AGATACCACAGTCTTGTGCAATAGCCTTTGCGGTCATAATATTATCTCCTGTTACCATCCTAACGAAAACACCAGCCTTCTGGCACTGAAGGACAGACTCAGCCACGCCAGGGCGAAGGGGATCTTGGATACCAACGACACCCAAGAATACCATGTGGTCGAAAACACGCTCAAAAACTGCTTGTCTGCGGTCCTCTTTCTGGGTTGGTGCACCTTGCGGAGGCCATTGTTCGAAATCCCGGTAGATCATACCGATAGTTCGGAGAGAGCGGGATGCATATTGTTCAACAATGGTCTTCAAGGCGGTTCGGTCCTTTTCAGTGAGTTCGGTTTCGTCCAGCTCACCTGTTGGATCAGATACGACTTTTGTACATTTTCCAATAAGAATTTCCGAGGCACCCTTAACAAACATCCTGTACTTCCCGTTGGGGAGCTTAATAACGACAGCCATACACTTACGGCCGGAATCGAATGGTACAAGTTGAACAATTTCTGCATTGGACCTTGCCTCGTTCAAGGGCCCTAGTGCCAAATAATCATGTGCAAAACTGAGCAACGCTGTCTCGGTCTTAGAACCGACGAAGGTGGTTGATCCGTTGTCATCACTCTCGAATGCCGTTGAGTTTAACGAGATAGAGCTCAGTAAGAGTTCCTTGACGGAGGGCGATAGAGATGAGATGCAGTCGGTGGGGGAGACGTTGTCTGCGTCCTGCGGCTGACTTTGGCCATCTCCACTCGGCTGAAAGGATGAATTATTCTCGCCGAAATTGGTAGTGGTTCCAAATGTTCCAGCAACAACTGTCATCTTGTTCTGGGTCAAAGTACCAGTCTTATCGGAGCAAATGGTAGTAGCATTTCCCATAGTCTCACAGGCCCTGAGAAGCCTAACCAGATTGTTATCTCGTAACATTCGCGTCGTCGCGAACGCAAGTGCAAGGGTGACGGCTAGGGGTAATCCTTCGGGCACAGCAACCACGATGACGGTTACGGCCATGATGAATATCTGGAGAAAAGCTTGACCCTTGGCTGTAGCACCGTGGATGTTCTTCAGATGAGCGAGGAACTTGATGAACAGTACCACAAACAAAATCAAACCAGCAGCAAGACCCAACTTGGCAATGTACTCAGCAAGTACATTCAGCTTTAGTTGTAGAGGAGTCGTTTGGCCTTCATCCTGCAGGGAAAGCAACGTTTTACCATAAGACGAATTGACACCGGTAGAGGTAACTAGGAATGTGCCAACGCCCTCCGACACCTTAGCGCCTGATAAGATAAACGGATCCATCTTCTCAAGGGGTTCCTGGTTTTCAATGGCTTGATATACGATATCTCCAGGAGTCTTTCGAAGCACGTCGGATTCACCAGTCGCGGAGGACTCATCACACTTGACGTTATGGCCCTCGAGGAAGATACCATCTACCGGTACCATATCACCAGGTTCAAGATGCATGACGTCCCCTACAAGAATATCATGAACTGAGATTTCGATGGATTTTCCGGAACGAATGACCTTGACATTGCGATCTTCTTTCTTTTCGTTGAGTTTCACGAATTGCCGTTCTTTCTGCCAATCATTGGCTGCTCCAACAATGACAACCACAATGATGGCAACCATAATTGCTACACCCTCAACCCACTGTACTCTAGCCTCATTTCCGGTGGCCGTGATAGATTGGTATATACCCAAAGCAAGGGATATTACAGCAGCCACAGAAAGTAGGATCAGAACGTTGTCGTTATATGCGATCCAAGCAAGCTCCCAAATCGACTTTGTTTTTCTTGCGGGAAGGCGGTTATCGCTAAAAACACGTTTGCGGTCGACGAAGCTATCATTGGCCTTGGAAACTTCCTCTGCATTGGAATTTGTGCTCCCGACCCTCCCCGATGGTTTGGGAGAATGCCCTAGGGAGCTGGTGCTGGTTGCGTCTTCAAAAGACACTGTGCCATCCAGAGTCGTTTCATCCACACTGAGCCCTGTTGACCGGTTAGTCCGTAGACCCTTCTCTAATCCCACCAGACCTCCCAATGCATAAAAAGCGGAAAGACTCTTGGGACTAAGAAGTTTGTTCAATTGGCCAGGCGAAAATGCGAATTTGTTATTTTCCACCTCGAAATCGTCTTCCGATTTTGGGTCCGGCTTCAAAGCGTCAGGGTCGTTCCTCACATCAACATGTTTTGTTGCGGCGCCTTTGTCAGGGTGTTCACCGGTAGACGGGGACGACGGGACACATGTCTCGCTACCAAACGAGCGAGGAGAATTGGCGTCTTCAGAGTCGAGGGAATTCCCCCTTGATCGTGTCCCTGGAACGGATAGGAAGTTTTGTGAGTTGGGGTCTGCGTTTCTTGACGTGGGCGAGGAAACATTATGCGGTGATATTGGCCGTGGTTCCCTTTCTCTCTCTGATGATGGATTCAAAGTACTCTCTGGCCGGGACTGATGGACATCCCTTGATTCGACATCGTGACTCTCGACCCCTTGTTGGTTCCCGGCCGGCGGCTCCTCCGTTCTTATTTCAGGCCCTGCGAGATTAGATGTAGTGCTGACGGCAGACGTATCGATTGTGATGGTAGGAGCTCGTTCCCTTCTCAACGGTGAAGACGGAGTGGGAGCGTCATCTTTTGACGGGTCCATCTCCAGCGGTTATTAATGATATTCAAGTCGATGCAAGATTATGTCAAATGCAGCCCTCGATCATGCGCAGGTAACTATTCGATATGGTGTAAGAGGTTATAGGTAGAAATGGCATGACCATATGAATAGCAGCAAGATAGATATTCGCCTGGTGCAACGGTGTATCAAGGATGCGGGTTCGGGCTCTGGTCATCACGCGTAGGTCAGTAATTTGGAAGCCACCATGACAACAGAACCATCGGTACCGGAGAAGAAGGGAATAAGAAAAAGGATCACTCTTCTCAGCAACCAAGCAGCTTCAGAACAATGCAGAGAGAGTGTCCTGAGATAATCAAAGAAATCGATGAAGAGCTTACATTCTCCGCGGAAGAGGCGGGCTCAAAGCTCTCAAGCCCTTTAGGTGGCGATGGACAGTCAAAAAGGATCTGCTGCCGTGTAGCCCATCAGAATCTCTCTCCGAGCAGTTGAAACCAAGGAAGAAGAACAAGGGGTGGGATCGATCGGTATAGCGGAAGTATTATTTTGAAGTTGATGTTTCGATGTCCATGTTAAGGCCGAAAAGGGCAAGGAGAGAGAGATAGAAGAAAAAAAGCCCCCTTTGAACTTGTTTACTTACAACCAACAAAGCAACACCAACCACAAGATGCGATATTATAGCGAACTTCCTACCAACACGTCAAATCTCGCTTGCTCCCTTTAAAATGTCTTCGCCGTGTTAAATCTCACACAAGTCGCCAAGGCACCAAGGGCCACCGAGCTGCCTGAAATCTGAATTGCACTCTCAACGAGCCAAGGATGGCACCGGAAGGGCGATGATATCATAGTCCTTCCTCTCTCACTCTAAGAGCCAAAGAGAGTCAATAAGTGATGGTATGCGAGGCGAAATCGCCCCGTTGTGACTATGGTCCCCGTCGTCGAATCTGGTTATAATGCTGGGATGCCGAGCTATTTCGACGTGGAACGGGGTGAATCGTGCAGAAAAAGAACACCCTTTGGACATCTGTTGCTATTGGGTTTCTCTCAAGAAGGCGCAGTCATATACATGATAGTACGGGCCCACTGGAGACGCCAGATGTTCAGAGATCCAGCAAATCAACTGGCCTGAGGACACTGCCACACTGTGCCAAGTTTCATCTACTCAGACGGCGGAGGTCCAGGGGCGAGGGGGCCACTAGTTTGCCGCTTACCACGAATGTGAAGAGCTCGTGAAACAGCATACGGCCATAAAGAGGAATACAGTATAATATATACAAATCCACGGGCGTCTCGATTTATGTATGTGCCCTTGAACGGATGCGGCTTGCCATGTATATCTATGGCGGTCCTTTTATGAAACAGACTCTTCTCAGGAGTGGAAGTTCTGCAGAACGGCTTGTGGAGACAAATGAAAAGCTTCCATCCCTTCCAGAACCCCAGCACATCCAAGCCTTAAGAGGTTATTATTTATTATCCTGAGCTTTGGTTGGCTGCCTTCAAATTCTTTCAGAATAACCCATAAGGTTCCACCCTGGATAGATGCCTGTTCAGGCACGGATATACCGATGGATGGTCAAAAATAATAATCTCACAATACGGATACGGAGGTGTGTATATTATCACCCGCAGCGATGTGACCTGTTGCTCAATCTATCCTCGTTAATACTCTCCGCATAAGCGACTAGTTAACGGAGACTAGTTCCTTCAATGGCTGATTTTCGCTTTTGGAGCTGCTCTTCCTGGCGGAATCACTACTTCTTGCTGGAGTGAAAACTAGCGATGACGGTTGTCTGATCTTCTCAATAGGCTCAATTGAATATGGCCAGCCTCTGGACATAGCTTGTTGCATTAACGGCATCTACGTGCGAGGTGCATATTCGAGCTAGAAAAGGTACTTTATTCACGACGTGTTCTGAGTTTTTTTTTTTTTTTGGTAATTATGGAGCTATAATACATCAGATCTTTACACCACTGCCTGCGCCTATGAAAATGTCGGGAGCAACAAAGGAAATGAAAAGGGAATCAAAAGCCGGCGACAATACGCACCATATGTGGAAATGAACAATAGAAAGCATTAAACATCTTGAAAATAAGAAAAAAGGCGCCCAGTTACCGTAGCCTTCTCTAGGCCATAGGCAGCGCAGTTGAAACTACATGGTTGCCATTCATGCCAGTTTCGCATCCGTTAAGCTTGACTTTCTTGTCGTCGTGGGCATCAATCTCCTCAGTCTCGTCAAGCTTCAGCGGTCGGATCTTCCAGATATCGTTGGTTCCTCCATTAGGAAGTTTTCGCTTCAATTTAGATGCCCCTGTGCCCATCATTGCGAAGCTAGACAGGGTAAGTGCATCTACTAATTCGCGCATTCGACCAGAGGCCATAAAACTTTCGGTTATGGTCGCGGAGGATGAAACGACTGTGGCGAGAGTCATGCACTGAGCCAGGATTTCGCGACCGAGTATATGCCCTGCATAGTAAAGTGCGGTGTGATATGCTAGGATAATCTCTGGGAGATAGGTCGATCGAATAAAGGCAAGCTCTTTGGCTTCGGCATCTAGAGATAATGTTAGATATACAGACAAAACCGGCCATTAAAGGGAGAAACACGTACCATCGATGGGTTGAATGAGCCAGTCAGTACAAAGAGGTTCTATGGCACGGGTGATCACATCCAGAGCGGAATGGAGCTTTTTCTTTATTACGGGCTTCTGGGCAGCATCCGAACAACTATAAACAAGTCTAGTTAGTACATTATGTATTGGAATGCCAATCAATACTTGAGGCGCAGCACTTACTTTGTGTAATCATCCATCAAATCTCCCCATTTCTCAATGGCGTCAAAGGACTGAAGAAGTTGCTCAAGTTCAAGCATGGTTTCTGCCTGCATAAAGAGCTGCTCACGGGTGAGCTTTTTATCGGTTGGTTTTAATTTTTGCTGCTCAGAAGCTGCATCCAGTGTTGGGCTGGCAACCCCATTTTCCATCGGTAGCTCCAGGAGCGGCCCTTGCCCACGATTGGTCAGGTCAACAAGAGTCTGATGTAATTTTGCGCGTTTAAACAGTTCGCGAGCAGTAGAAATTTTGCCAGCAGCTATATAAGATGGTAACGCATGTTAGCAATGCAAACGATAAAAAAATGGCAGAAACTCACCAATGAACCGTTTGTACAGGTGGGTTCCGAGAATGCATAATCTCGCCCACTGGCCACCAATATATCGATGCCAGTCGATACAACGAATCAGTTTCTCGTCCTCCGGTGAGACGGTAAACCTGGAGATGAATCCTTTCATAATGTGCCCAATCTTTCCTGGCCGGTCTCCGCCAGTCGTAACTGTCCTCATAAGCCTGATTGGTCTCTCATCTGATTTCGCATCTGCTTCCTTAAGGACCCACCGCCATTGGCTTTGGATCATAGCAGAACTATCAATTTTCAGGCGTCTCATCATCTGAATATGAGATTCTCGTTCAGATGGGTCGGTAACTTCAATCAGAACTTTTCCCAGAACTTCATTGCCCATATCCCGAGGGAGGAGAGAGGCGTATAGTGGAATATCACGGGTGGCCCCAGATTCCCGTAGGAAGTCGATATACCTGATCACATTGATGGAAGCAGTGGCAGAGTAATGTGAATCAGATCGAACCAACCCAACAGCACGCAAAATAAGATATAAATGCGCGGTAAGCCTTAGAGAATCATTATCCTTTGCAGCAATCAAGGTTGGCTGATCAAAAGTGCTCATAGAAGTAACATCTGGTATAAGAGTGGGTTCTCCGCTCTCTTGGGCCACTTTTGCCAAAGCGTTCGCCTGACGATTAAAAAATTGGTCGTAATTTTGGCTCAATATCGCAGCTTGAATTGTACAATATGGGTTTTTGGACTCTTTCGCGGTTCGTGGGTCTTTCACCAATGTATCCAAAAAGTTGCGAATGCTGTCGTACTGCGGAGGATCAACACGTAACTCAATGTCGCCCTTTGGCGAGTAGCTTAGTTTCCGCTGAAGCTGTTTACAGAAGTCTCGATATCGGGAGAGAAGAATATGGTTGCAGTTGACGTAAACAAAATCACTCCAGCTTTGGCAAACTTCATACGCAGGACCAGTTTCTCCAGCTATCAGAGCATAAACGGCTCGCTCATAGCGATTGGACTTTGGATTATTTGCAAGAACCGAACAGGCGGCCCTCCAGGATTCTTGAGAGCGATAATTCATCATTCGAAGAAGGCTGGAATGTGAAGGGTCATCGGCAGACAAAGACGAGTCTCCAGCAGAACCGCACAAACTGATTGCGCGCCAACTTTCGAGGCGCTCCTTGGCCCATTCACGAATAGATAGCCAGTCTTTGCCAGTTCTGATCATCTTCCAGCATTCTAGCCATGTCGCTTCTTCAAATGACTGATCTTGTTTCTGGAGGCCGAGGCCTTGTCGCGTAACCGCATCAGGATCAAGCTGGGTAATGAGAGGTTCATTACGAGTCGAGCTCAAAAGGGAAGCAGTAACGCTAGGGTCATCAGGTTCGAGTGGTTGAGGCCACGATCGCAATCGTTTTGCGCCTTTAATAGCCTCCTTGGTATATAGCCATCCGTGAGCCCATAAGCCTTCTCCTCTGTTTGCATCCATCTCTAGCTTTGAAATCGTCGAATCCATAACTTCAATGCCTGCCTTCGCTGTGTTTTCAAGCCACTTGAGCATAACTGCATTCTCTACTGCAAAATGGTCAGTTCTCAAAAAAGTTTCCCAAATATCGTGGTCTGTCGAGTATCTATGAAGAGTTTGTAGCGCCGACTTCTGGTTAAGCTGCGCTTGGAGGCGCGAGTCAGGGTCACCAACTGTAAGGAGGTGGAAAACCAGTCCCCAGGTATCTGCCTCTAATTGCCATCGCCGAACGCTAGCCTCCGCATCCTTGTTGATAGACAGATTTGGCTTATAGCTCTGACTGAGGTTCACCACGGTGGAAGATCTGAGTGATTTCCGGGCACCGGTTGGCTGTGCTAGCTCTTTTGCGGTGTCTTCGGCTATCTGTTGGTACTTCTTTACCAATTTACAGGCCTCTTGAAATGCCCGTGTGTCACCCGGGTTAAGTCCTTGTCGCCTAAAATTGTCCAGGCTTTGCGCATATGCTTCTATCTGTTTGACAACGCGATCCGCAGTATGCTGTAGCGGGTGAAGGGCGTCTTTTACTTCTGTTGGGAGGAGGAGGGGTGATTCAGGAGCTGGAGATAGGGTGATAGTTTCTATATTCGTCATAACCATTAACGACACAGTAACATGGAGAAACATACACCATCAAATTGCCCTGATACGACTTACCTGTCTGATTTTTGGATGGATGGAGGACCGGAGCAGGGGCTGGTGCTGTACCGTTGAGCCCATTGTGGTGAACTCCATTTGATTTCCAAACATCTTCAACGCTCCCTTCATCATCTTCGTCATCATTACCCTCTTCGTCTTCACCATTTTCATCATCCTCTTTGTCTTCTTGATCCTCTTCATCCTCTTCGTCCTCCAGTGAGGCATGGTTGCTGAAGCCCGGCCGTGCCTCGAACTCGCTATCGGTCACAATCTCAGAGTCCTGCTCTTCAGAATCTCCTTCATCCGACTCTATTCTCTGTCTACCATCGTCTCTTCTATACTCATCATCATCGCTGCTCTCTATTTCGATGATTTCGACAGCATGGAGACGACTCGGGGGAGCTGGCGAAACCTAGAGATTTCTATCAGCTCCATCCTAGTTTAAGCAACAAAACTGCTAACTCACATCTGAGTACATAGAATCCGATTCATCCACAGAAATATCAGAGGCTGAAGACATCGTGTATCCCAGGTCGATGGATGTGTCGTTGTCGTTGTTTTCTTCTCTGTCTCTTTCTTCTCTCGACTTATTTACTCTTCCTCCCTTCACAGTCAAAAACCTGCAAAGCTGCCAAAGACGCACTAGCGCGACGCGACCAAGCCCAAAACGTACTAGCGTCACGTGGGTCGAACACTTCAAATATTTTTTTTTTTCGACATCAATTTTTTTTCTTTTCTTTTCTTTCTCCAAACAAATGTCATTTAGGCGGTCATTAGAGTCTCGGAACAGTCAACTCTTCTGGTAGAAAAGAAGGGTACTTCAGTGTTTGTTCAGGTTCCTCTTGGAGCCTCTTGCGTGCTCACGGCCGTCTTAGACCAAAGACAATCCTCTACTTCTTGGTTGACCTTTTCTCTGGAATCAAAGATATTGACGGTTGTTACATCCAGTAAAGGGGAACGATCCTATTCCATTCAAAGTTATCTATGTACGTTTTATAGACATTATATATCTACACGATAGTGCAGCACCAGGTTATCGTACTCAAGTACAGGGGCATCTATCTTTCAACACCAACTTGCAACAGTAAAAATAGTCTCAGATGTCACCGTTTTCAATTTGCTTCAACTTCACCTTTAATAAGGCAGGCTTAGGGCAGCTCGGGGTTTTTGCGTTTTCTCCTTTTTGCGTGTAGAGGGCATTGCAGCACTTGTATAGCTGGATGATCTGGTTTCGACATTTGGCCTCATTATATGAGTTTGACGTCAAGCATGCTTCAATGCTGAGATTAGCCTGTATCCCCATACTTTTCTCTCGCTTGACCAGGCCAAGTTTACCTTGAATAGCACACTAAGTGACTCTGGTTAGCTGGCGAATAAATACATCATTCAATTGGAAAGTATTTATATTCAAAAGAACTCACTGCTTGCGGGTGGCAAGGAGGGTCAGCAGCAACACCATCCATTGCAGCAACATACAACAACGAGCTGGCCTCGTACTCTTTTCCTCTACAGCTAGATCAACAAAACGAGAACACAAACCAGGCTTGCTCCGCGTTTCCCTCTTCTTCCGTTCTCCTTTCTTTGCCCTTCAAACTCAAGCTTTTTTCTCTCAAGAAACCCCGTCTGTCGGAAAATAAATTCCCCGGCGCAGGTCCTTTTGCGGGGGCAAAGAAAGATCCAGTGTTCATCTTCTCAACTTCATCTTTTTACAACCTCAGCTACGCCTGTCTGCATATTAGAACGACATTGACGGCCTGCCTTTTGCGTCTAAATATCTTGTCAAACCACATACCTTCGAAACAACACCAACAAAATGGCCGAACCAGCACAGTCTATGCCCGCTCCAGTCGAACACTTAAATATAAAGGTTACGGACAACAATAACGAAGTGTTCTTCAAGATCAAGCGAAGCACACAGTTGAAGAAACTCATGGATGCGTTCTGTGAACGTCAGGGCAAGCAACTGTCCACTGTCCGATTCCTGTTCGACGGCACGAGGGTCCGACCTGATGACTCTCCTGAAACTGTAAGTAGCATGACTCTGTGCCTAACCTCCCTTTTATCACCAGTCAAGCTGACTCTCGTGTTTTTCAATAGCTCGACATGCAGGACGGTGATACCCTCGAGGTCCATCAAGAGCAGATCGGTGGCTGAGCAATCTGAGATTCCAAGTCCAACGATGATGAGACACGAAGTAAGTAATTTCTACCTCTGTGTATTCAGCAATACCTCTTCATATATACGTTGGCTAACATCTCTTGTGTTCTTCCCTACTGTAGCCTTTCCTCGATCTGTCTGCACACTACCATACATCTACACGCTTACGCATTCTCCGACGGCCGCTTTTCCTTTACTTCACCTACCATTTTATTTCCTTTACTTTTTTTAAAACAAGTGTAATCATAGTCCTTGTTCACCCATTTCGCGTATTCATTATGCGAATTGCGGTTACTTTACTCCATTTTCAACCAAAATTCGTTACCCTTCAGAGTTGAAATTCTGGGTGGATTGTTTCTCCCCCCAACTTACATACAATGCTGTTGACTCGTTAGACTCTTCTTTTTAAACGAGATTCGCACTTGTTCATTTCATCCTGGAAAATAATGCTCATACTTCCCCAAGTTAAAATAAGCTCAGCTAGGTCAAACAAGAAGGATCCACATAAAGGAGAATTAACCATTATCACCTGTGCACATATACGAAAGACTATATATGACATTTATATACAGTGATACCAGTACATCCGGACGGAGTACGGGTGTCGATAGAGCGATAGAGCGTCAAAAAGGCATATGTACTAATAACGGGAATTAAAATAAAAGATGCAAGATAAGAGCGGTGACTTTCGATTCACCAGTTTTTCCATGCCAAAAAAAGGGGGCCATTTCCTTTCCATATCATATATATCAAAACTTCCGGCAATATGTCATGTCGGTAGCATGAAACATCTGCCGGGGGTATCCTTCCTTCAACCATCAAAAACAAATACAATGAAAATTCAATTTTCATGCTCGGGCGTTACTGTATCCTGCGTTGCTATATCCCCGGCTACCACATGCAGCCTCCTCTCCTCGAACGTCCACGGAAGTGCGAACGTTTATTTCAGTGAGGTTGCGGTCAGAGGAGTATCCTTCGTTGGTAGAAGGGTCTGTCCCATTACGCCCGTATGGGCTTTTTTTTGCCCACGCAGAGCCATAGGAGTAACCGCTGCCTCCGCTGAATCCTACCTCGCGGTGGTTATAAGACGAAGGCTTGGGCTCCGTTGAGCCACCAAAATGTCTTAGAAGCGGACGAAGAGAAGGTAAACATGCTTCATGAGTAACAAATGTCAGTGTTATGCAATTAGTAAATATATAGGATGGCGCTAAAATACCTGATACAACTCCAATGTTCGTCTCGACGGCGGTCCAGGTGGATGGGCCAATGAACACCCATGTGACATCAATTGAAGGTACTTTGTATGCCCTCAACATGATAATAAGCCGGATAATTGATATAATGCAAATGCTGGAGGTTAATAAATTTTAGGTTAGTTGTTGATATGGTAAAATTGTAATTGAATGTAAGGGACAGCAGTGGCGCGCTTACAATCCACCAAGTAAGAAAGTTGCATAGATTGCAAGCTTCTGGACTGTGTTCCTGTGCAGGCGCCAGATGTATGGTAAAGGCAGGAGTAGTAGCGCCCAGTCAGTGACAATGTTTGGCACCGCATTGCCAATAAAGAAGCTGTTCACATCGACTCCACACACGGATACAATTTTCTTATCCCAGAAACCTTGAATTGGCAGACATTGGAAGATAGTTGTACCAATCTGTATTCGTTGTATTAGCTCGGCGTAGCCACTTATCGGTAGATTGAGTGTTAACTCACAACTCCAATACCCCATCCGGTTACTATACTAGTGATAATATAAATTGGGATGCGGATGCTGGTGGCATTGAATATTCGCCAATAAAATAGCAGGATGGAGTACTTCGTAAAGCACACCGATAATGTATATAGGATCTCAATCACAAAGAGGTTCAAGAAGAAGTCTTCAAAACCTTTGAGTCCAAATATATATATGTGCATCCCAAGTCCCCTAGGTATCCCTATGTATCGTTTAGTTATCTTTGAATGTCGAGCCAATTGAGGCACATTAGGTTGTATAAACATCGAACTCACATATTATCATGGCCACGAAATTTCCCGCTGTCATCAGCTAAATAGGGTATTAGAACCATTACTAGCTCAACAAGAGTAACCTTTGATCTTTTTTCTCTGTCAACTCTTACCAATGAGGCACATATCATATAATCATCCCACCATAGACCAGGACGTAGGTGACCCAGTCGGCATTTTAGACGGAGGACAACGGCAACCACTGCCAGACAAAATGTGGAGATGTATGCAGCATAGAGCTGTGGTTGCTGTGATTCATACACATCAATTCCAGGCGGAGGGGTGAAGTCCAACGACATTGTTTCCTGTGATATTGGGCGGGGTGCACTAGAGTCGGCAGCAAACAAAGTTCACTGGCTGCTTCAGAAGACACGAGTGAGAAGAACAAAGGAAACCGAAAGGCGTGTCAAGCGTTAAAGACTGTGCTTAACAACATCAAGGCTGACATTGGGGATCTTGTGCAATGAAGTATAGAAATCATTGAAGCCAAATGACGAAGGGGTTGACGGCTGCAGTTCTCAATTAAATGAGACTATGCCTCAAGTTCGCTGGCCCCATGTAAGGCCGAAGGGATTTTCCTCCATCCAAGACCTCGTAACGCGGCGATATTAGCAACGATGTTTATGAGGGACATGATATACCCTGCTGGAAACGGGTAGATCCCCTGGCGATTTTGGGCGTCCCGGGGTAGACTCCCAAGACGGCAGGACAATAATATCCGCATATCGATGGGGGGACGCTAAATGCCACAACCAGCGCCCCCATTTGTTTACGAGCTTGGATCCCGTAAATAACCCTGTTATTAATAAGGGTTGATATAGCGTCGTTTTCGGGTTGCAACCTAGTTATGTATCAAGTAGGCTATATAGTCGAGCACGGAGGACACCTGAGTCGAAATAGAAACCGATAAATATCAATCTGAACCATCCGTTATAACACCAGCTTATCTGTGTGTAATTTCGAAATCATGTCAAAGCCAACTATTGCTGTTGTTCCAGGTGCCTGGATCCCTCAGCATTTCTACTCTCCGTATATGCATACGCTAGAACAGGCTGGGTTCGAAACTCGCTACGCTGGATATCCATCTCTGGAGCCGAAAGATCCTTTAACAGCCGATTGCGCAACAGACGCTGAAGCGGTTCGCACCATTTTGCAGCCTCTCGTTGAAACTGAGGGTAAAGATGTAGTTCTCGTGATGCATTCTTATGGGAGTATGCCTGGCTGTGCCGCCGCCAAAGGGCTGTCGAAAACAGAACGGCGCATGGCAGGGAAACTTGGGGGTATTCTAGGCATGATATTGTTCAGTGCTTTCCTCGTGCCCGAGGGATTGAGCTGCGCTGGCGCTCAGGGGGGTGCTCTTCCCCCATGGATCTTGCTTGATAATGTATGTCGATTCCCTGCCTATAAGATGTTCATTTTACCTCTGCTCATGCACAAACTCGATAGCCTGCGCCTGGTCTCAACGTTCCAAAAGACCCCATTGATATTTTTGCCGCTGATTTTGATCACGGTCTCGCCCAGAAGACTGAGCAAGAACTGAGACCACACTCATCGCTGGCCTTCTTTTCCCCCCAGCCGCCTACAGCTTGCGCGGACCCTGCATTTAAGGGCCGACTGGCCTATGTTGTGGCGAGCAATGACCTTGCGGTCCCGAAAGGCGCTCAGTATGCAATGATAGCAGGAACTGGACAGGAGTGGAAGATCAAAGAGATCCCCAGAAGCCACTGTGCGCCTTTCAAGGTTGAACTTGAAGAGAACGTGAAAATCGTGGCGGAATTCATTGAGGAATTTCAGCGTGTCTAATCGTACATAGAAATATGTGTGTAGGGTTATTTTATGAAGTGTCACTATTCCTCCCTTGTAGCGATGAAATTGATTCCCATCCTGTCTTGCGGCATCCATTCAACATCCTCGTCTTCCATTCCCCATTCGTGCAAATCCACGAGGTTTGCAGTCACACTCCAGCGTGTCCCTGTTTCCTGCTGCACAATCTCCCACATATTCTTAAATGATTCAATGTTGTGGTAAAACATCATCCCCCAGGGCCTGATATATTCCCTTGCTTGCAATCTAGCCTGCTGGTACCCGATAAGCATCGTTCCGGGCCTTGAGAGGGTCACAACCCTCTTTGTAGCCTTGATCTGGTTCTCCCACCCGAACAGATGCAGAAACTGACAGGCAATGATGATATCCGTTTTCCCATCCAGACAGGACAACGCAGAATTCTCTTGGAGAAAATCCGCCTCGAGAAAGGTGGCTTTCATACGATCCGCATCCTTAAATAGCTCGTAGCCCAAATCCCAGAGCGATGAATTGATGTCTAGAGCATACATCGACTCTGTAGGTGCTCCGTAAGCAGCAAGACGACGCAGGTCCTGTCCGAAACAGCAGCCAACGTCAAGGATTGTGGCACCCGCCTTTGCGCGATGTACAATGTCGGGGAATTGTCGAAAAGCCGAAATACTGGGAAGTAGAAATATCCATTCACCCACGCATGGGTATTCTCCCAGCGGCCAAGCTTTATCACGCTGGATAGCTGTCAGTATTAATGCGTGTCATATATATGTGCCTGCATGTGCTTATTTTTCTGCAGGTATTGAGATGTCTCACGATCGAATGCAAATGAGCAATGAGCTCTTTGCCAGACACTCCACTCCATTTCTCAAACACATATCTAGTCGAGGCTTTCAGCCGCTGTCCGATCAGCGGCTTGTACCATACTGATGTATCGATGGCCATTTTTCGGGTCTGAATGTTGATAGAAGTGCGTGGAATTAAAATCGTGGTCAGCAATCGCTGCTGAGTTCTGACAAGGCAGGCGGCCCCCAGCCATATTATATTACAATGCAATGTAGGGTAACCCTTCAACACCTGTCTTCATGGGCTGAAATTCAGTGGCCAACAACCACCAGGGTATTGTTTCACCACCGAAGTCCTTGGCTTTCTTAATCGGATAAGCCTTGACCACATAACTCCGTCATCGGGCAGTCACCCTTCATTGTTAGGGTGTTCATATGAGTTTACACATGCTTGTTGCAAAACCGACCAACTCTTCCCCACGATATAAGGTTATGTTGGATATATGTCTGGGGATGATGCGAATGCGAGCTTAATATGTGAGTTTCCGAGAACTGTGGAGATCGGGTCAAGACTCAAGGTTGGTTCCTTTTCTCCTTTTCGCTCCTTTCTTCCGTTTCAACCGAAGAGAGGAAGGGTTCTTCTACCTGATCTGCCAGGTGAAGGACACAGGACGTTCCATCACGAGGATATGCCCGCCCCTTTTGGCGGTTGAATATCGAGTGCACATCATATTCATGGCTTTTGGCAGACACATGAATGTCACTTTACCCTGCATCGAGAACTGAAAAAGACGGCTTCTCCCTGGCATCGCACAGGGGTTGTTGTTGGTTGAGGGTGTGCAAGATGAAGCGAGGTTTGCGGTTAGAGAGGGCCCAGTCACGTGATAAAAAAGCAACTTGAAAAGACAAAAAACGAACAAAGATGCAAAAGAAACTCTAGACGAAAGCAACGAAGATGCCTGCTTGATCGCCTGCGAGCCCGAACAATCCGGAAGGTCGATGGCTGGCAACACGTAAGTAAACACACAGCACTTCCTGCCCTGCAAAATAAACCATGAAATCCTGACTCTAACGGCTTGCAGGGAATAGGCGAAACTCACCCAAGAATAAGCACCAGAAGCATCAATAAAGGCATGATTAGTTTTAAGTACAGTTGATATCTTAATTCCCCATAATATTGGTTATACTCTATCCGGTATGAGCTTAGTGACAATCTGCATATGCAGCAGTTCGTTCATGCAACCGATGACCGCCTGTCGATGCCGAGCCATCTCGAAAAAAAAAACGTCAAAATGATGGCAGAGGGATGCCCTTTTTTCGGAGGTTTGTCGCCTTATCATCTATGCTGATGGCAAAGATATCACAAGGTGCAGCAGATATTATATGGTGCTTCTACTATGCTCTATGCTCTATATAACATACATAGTATATGCTGGCCTTTTGTCCTCTGGCAGTATTCCGAGAGCACTTAGGGAATGCACCTGCGTAGCCAACGCGACCACATAGTCCCTGACAAAATTGTCTATTCCCTGTGAATAGACCGATATATCCCAATAATGTGTTACTGCAAAGAGGGGATCATTGCTAGATTTATCTCTGAAGCAACACGGGCAAAATGCTTTGCATATTATACGAAGTACGGGGCGCGATAATACTAACAGCTTTCAATCCTGAATTATAACAGCTTATGATATCAATAACTCTGGCTTGCAGAAACACTGAGACTGAGAGTACCAAAAAAAGGAGAGAATGATAAGATTTCCCATTTATGCATGCATTCTCAGGAGTTTTTCACTTTCCACAACTCTAGCACCATAAACCTTCTGCATGTACCCCAAAATATCTTCGTTCTTCAAGTGAAGCGCTGTCGTACAATCCTGGACGACAGTAGTCCATAAGCCTCTCTGGAATGCTGCCTTGGCTGTCGCGTCAATGCAAATATCTGCATACAAGCCCACGAGAATGATATGTTCGATTCCTTTCTCGGAAATATACTTTTCGAACTCTGGGCTTTGGAATGCGTCAAACTGAGCTTTCTTATAGAATATATGTTCTCCGGGCGCCGGTGAGAGAGCAGGGGACAATTGTGCTCCCCAAGTTCCCTCTACGCAGAGTTCTTTGCGGTTCTGAACACGGTTTCGGTGCTGCCAGCTAGCATTTTGATATCGTGAGTCCCCTAGATGCTGGATGAAGACAACGTCTTGAGCATGAGATCTGGAAAAAGCGAGGACACGAACAAGTGCATCCGTGATGTGGCTCATAGTTGCTGGGTCCCCCAATGAAATGAAATCGTTTTGAAAATCTATTACCACCACAGCTGTCGGCTTCCCCATAAAGGCTGCGGAAAAGTCAGGCGATTGATACATTTCTGTGGAGCCATCGGCAAGAGAGGATGACTGCGAAAATTCGCTCATAGTAGGCGAACCAACGCTTGGGCTGGGGAGAGTCCGGAGAAATACGTCGACAAACGCGGCCGTGGTGAGATTGCCTCCTTGGTCTGGTGTACCTGATTTGTTCTTCTGTAGGATATTCAAAGTGTCATCGACTTTTGCATCAATACCAACGCAACCACCAAAGCGTTCAAGGATGGCCGCAGCAGCACGTATGGTGGCGGATGGATTTACTATTCCTTTTCCCGTGATATCATCTGCTGAGCCGTGAGTAGTTTGATACTCGCTCAGCCGGTTCAATACTGGTTTCAAGTAGACATTCTCAGAGCAGGAGGTTTCTTGAACCCGCATATTGAACTTCTCAAGGAAGATTGTTTGCATGATATCCGCATATTCATTACCCGCTATCATGAGGCAGCGGTGCACACCGAACGCGATCAAATTCCTATTCATCGTGTCCGGCTGTATAAACTCCACCTTGATACCAAATTCTTTCGTCCAATCCCGGGCCCAGGACAACAATAGCCCATCAAAAAGATGGAATTTGTACACCAGAAATACGGACTTTATCCCTCCAAGATCGTAGCCCCATTTTTCTCTAGCACGCTCCAAGGAGAACGCGATGATATGTTGGAACACCCCTTTGCGGAAATGGCATACTCTCGACACCGAATCTTGATCACTTTCGAGTTTATTTGTCCCAGTATAGAACCCTTGTGCCTGGTCTCGAATGACTAGAAGGGACGAGGTTCCACGGTCAAAGCACTCAACCTTGACAGCTTCAAGCTGCTGGCGCACTGCATACAGGGATTGGGCGCTTATTGCGGTTCGAAATATGACTTTGAGCCCTCGACTGGCTTCTTGTTCACAAAATTGTTGATAATGTGTGATGTCATTTACGGTTTCATCGCAGATATCAGGTGTTGCATTTTGGCTCTCATCTGCAAGGGGAAGGGAGTTATAAGAATGATAAATCCTGTCGGAGCGGACAAACTCGACTCCTAGAGAATAACGAGATGCCAGTTCCCGCACGACATGTTCAAACACCGTTGCGAGCTCTGGACCTGTTCCATGTCCTATGGCGACACCAATCCGTAACGGATCCATTCCATGCATCTTGGCAAGTGGTAGTATGGAGGACGAATGCTCGAGGGGATCTGTCGACTCTTTTTTTTTCGGATGAGGGGCTCCTTTGTTGGCTTTTATTTCCGTTCGCTGACCCGAACCAACAGTATACTATCTCCGAGGTACGATTCCCAAGTTGGCTGATATTTAGGCTATATTAGCGAAATTCGAGGCGAATTGGAGGAGAGAATGCTGGAATTAACAGTTGTGCTGAATGGAACAGTCAAACAATGATCCCAAAGACGAGGTTCGTGTTGGCACGAAATGTTGACCAGGTTGAGGCCGCGAGCCTACTACTATATACCTTCAACATCTACATACCGCCATTCTAAGACGCCCTCCCTTTATACTTCGATGGATCGTTTCCTTCTTTTGACAACCGAAAGCACGAATTTCTATCTAAATTGATGCTGGCGCCCAACAAGTCATTAGCCCTTTTCCTTACGGGAATTTAACTCTCTCCGTTCCTTTCTATCTTCGACTTGGACCTTGTATGGATAGTCATTTATCAGCCAGGCATTATGGATATGAGAATACGGCGCAACAGCTTCCTCCGCACTTTTTCTTTTCCCATTCTCATTTCTTATTCCTGACTCCCCAGGGGTCAGGGCCTTAGACTATATGAGATCCTATTTTAGTACACCTCGCATATGTATTTTCTACTGGTTGCATGCACGGTCAGAATCAATCACCTAAGCTTTTTTGGCAGGATTCCTGATACAAAGGCAGAGAATATGCACTTCCTCCTGTCGTATATCGAAAAGTTTTTGTTACGTACCCCCAAATGAATGACAGTGGCGATCCCCCTTGGTATGGATATTCCCCTTCCGCCTGACCAAGAGATCAGAGGAGATCCGACCTTGTCACCACATCTTGACGGCCATGTGAAAGAGAAGCTATACATGGTTCTTTGCTGAAGTCCCCGATATCGGGTGCCTACCTAGTATATAATTAACGGGATCTATGGATTATGCCAAAATCCCCTATTGGGACTTGGTCTGGATTAGCGCGGGAGGCAAGCCACTTTACATAATAACCCTTTGGGTCAGTGAGGCACGGGTAAGGCGGGGTGAGGCGGAGTTACTTAAGTGGATCCGTAGACTCGGTTATAACACCCCTGCCGTATTTAAACCTTCCCGATGTAACCCCGAAAGGTCGCTCAGCCAATCATGTCTTATATCCAACCAGAGAGCCGAGGGTCTTATCACGTGACCAGGGTCCTTGAAAATACAGCAGGTAATCGGTCTGTCAGGTATCTGGCATGATATATACCGATTGTTCAGCTAATCATATCTCTCTGCAGGACATTCGACCCTCACTGGCTGGCCCTTACACTGCAGAATTTACTTATTTTGGGTGGGGTAGAGCCGCACGATCAGCTGCCTAGCGAAGGGATATGTTCATCATGCCATATCATATATCCATCACATATCAAAACACCCTCCCTTTTTCGGGACTTGATTATTTGCAACATCTCTACAGTCACTGATCTATCTACTATGTCTCACTCTACTTTCCAGTCAACCGCCCAGGTGGGCCTCATACCCCAAAACACACACGGCCAGGGCATCCAAATTGAAGCAGGCATCAGAGCTATAGAAGAGTATATCGTGTTATGGTGTACTTTTTGCAGCCACCCGTATTGATATGATGACTCCAAAGTTAGCACTGTCCAAAATTTAGGTCATCTGTGATATGTTGAAAAGTGATGCAATTGGGCCAGGCGCGGCGTCTACATTCCACAATTTGGGAGAAACAAGTCGGTTCCGACCTTGGCCTGGAGCTTACCCCAAACGGAGGAATACTATGTAGATGGTGACGAAGGCGAGGCTGAGTCCAGACCTGAAAACACGAAACTACCTCTCGAATGTTAACCCCAAGGAATAGCTGGGCCCTTCAAATAAGCCGCACCAGAGCTACAGCATGGGTTCGAAGCCACATCATCAGGTCATCGGTAACTTTAGCCCCCTTGTTTTTGGGAAGCTCGTCTGGAACCAATCTTGGAAATGGTAAAAAATTGCAGAGACAATATAGAGTAGGTCGGAGGTGTCCGTAATCAACCCCTCTCTTCCTTCTATATCCTTTGTTGCGAATCTCTGACTGATAGATTGTTACTCTAATAAGTTGATAGGTTCATATTTGAACTAAGATGTAATGGGCTAACCAATTTCCTTTTCGAGGCTTCAAACTGTAGCTCGTTCTCATATACCTCCACAAACCTCCAGCTCAATCCCATCTTCCCCAGTCAGCTTCATACCTAGCCTCTTAACAACAACTTCTTTCACAATCTGCATCACTTGCTCCGCACTCTGGTACGCTTGGTTCCATGCTTTAACCAGTATAGGACCAAGTCTTTCCTCCTCGAGTACCTACCACGCACCATGCCTACGCCTCTCATCTTGATAATTTCGGAATTGAATACTACTAGTAAATTCCGGTCATGATGCCGGGTCTATAGTTAGACGGAGGACCAGTAGCTATACATATAGTGCTGTGGTGGGCTTGTTGAATGTTGGTTTGAGTTGCCATATCCAAGTTGCCCATTCGAACAAGTCATCAGCTGCGTTATGTGGAAACTAAGTACTATCTGTGGTAAAACATTCTATAACTCTTCCATAGCGACGGTTGATACTGTTTTCCTATGGTATATAAAGTTACCAGTTTCACCATGATCACCCCATCTTGGTACAGGGTAGGGCTTGCGACACATGTATGTCCAGTAACTGCGATAGACATATCTGACCGTAGCTAGGTTGTCAATGGAGGTAGGATATAGAGATTTTGAATGCATAAAATGTCGAGCAGAGAGGCTCTAGGGTGCCCATTGATGATATAAAGCTAATACAGTCCAGTTTTGAGTTGATGGCGCTGAGATAGGAATCAAAAGAGGTGGAAGTCTAATATTATCCAAGGGGCCAGGGTTGAGACGTTTGAGACAAAACCCAAACCAGAGTCAAACCGATAAAGATATCTAATGGTTATATGGGGCTATAGACATATATAACATCTTTCTGTATTTACTACCGAGAATAGGAGCTTAAATAATGTAAAGTAATTAACTTGCTTCACCATCCGTGGATGTCCACCATGTTTAAAGAACAATCTCTCGTATGGTAGCAGCGCTCGCTATAATGTCTTTTGGATCTACTCCATCAACCTTTACCTCATAGTTATAACAGCCAAAATACAACGACAGGGTTTCCATCCTGATGGGGGCCAACAAATGCCTCTTCAAGGAAGTCAGTGTACCAGCCTTTGTGGCCCCCAGGCCTCCGCCTGACTTCATCAGGTATCTAGTCAGCCCAGAACGATATTCTGCGCGAGCTAGGTGGCTGTTCAACCATATCGGTGTCGTTGTTTCTTAGAAAAGATCTGCCTCATGGCTCGAACTGTTTTAATCGGTAGGGCGCGTGGCTCAGAGGAGTTGGTCAGGATATGGAGGCTCCCCAGAGTAGTTGTATCAAGGTTTTCGATGTATTAGTATCAAGGACGGGATAACTTATAGTTTAGCCGTTAGCTAACGAGCCACCCCAGGCACCACCCATGGCGATAGCATATACGGAGTATAATTATAGGATCTCGTTGAACTGAGGAAAAGAAAGGTGAAAGAAGGATAACCACCTTGGTACCCAATCCAACGAACGCGAAACTTCCTTGGCTCGTATTCATATCTTGACAAGAGACGCCACCATCAGTTTATATTCCTTCCAAATTCTTCCCTGGCGCCGCTACCTGGATCAGGGGTACAAAGGCCGCTAACATTCTACCAAAATTTGGGACGACCGTCTGGCACATCCAATCTTTGCCTCTGGATGACGAGGAACACCAGTGAGGGGATTTGATATATATTAAACCTCTTCCTACTATTCCTTGAAGAGAAGGTCTGCACGCCAGGCGGCGCACATCATCCCTGTTGTTGACTAGACGCAGCATGATGCATGGAGGAACTGAAGCACCATCTCGTTCACAGAGGAGATTCTTCCATATGTGGAGACGGACGCTTCACTTCAGTGACCAACTTTCCTGAGGATCCACGCAAGTCTCTTGCCCTATAACGTCTGTGTTGTTATGCTACTATGTATATTAGAGAGGGCTATACTATGTATAGTTCAGTCCATCGTGCTCTGTATTGGCCCATGTCAACGTTTGGTACATATACTTACCCCACGATATATCCTCAGATATACCGGGATGGTACCAAATCCAACCACTCATCGCCCCGAACAAGGGGTGTTCCAAGGCAAAAATCTAAATTATGGGAACAAAGACCACAAACTCGCAAGTTGATGGTCTCCAATCTGTTTCGAGATGACGTGGTCTATAATGTGAAATCCATGTGATGCTTGCTCGTTCTGGTTTTTTTTTTTTTTTTGGCCTTCCAGAAATCTAAAATATCTGGCTCAAAATGGCTGTGATGTTCTCCTCAGATTATCCCTGTATTCGTCACTGGCACTTGCTCGATACGAAGAGGAATAAACCCTGGACCGAATGGATTCCTCACAACATGCCGACTCTCACCGACCTTCGCTCGTATTACATACTTCCATCCTGCCAGCGACTTCGAGAAACCAACTGGTTGGTGGATAAAGTTCTCCAGGTCTCCCCTGAGAACGGCCTCCAAGGCCGACATGGCTAGCCACACTCGATCTAATAAAGGAAACCATTGGATATGGGATCACTCTGCAGTGGTTCTTGAATGCAATGCAAGCCTGACAATGTTGCATTATCAGGTCTCCACAAGGGGAGAAATGTGCTCTTTGTCGTGATATAGAAGCGAAGATGCCCGAACATCACGACCGGTCTGCTCGTCTTCTCGGCAAGGAGGGGATAACACTATCAATACCGATGATGTTATGTATCGGAACCGGCACGGTCAATATGTAAGTTTGTGCTAGTTAGCCCAAGGGTTACCGTTTCTGTACGGGATGTACAATGTATAAACCTCACAGAGACGGATCATTTTACAACCTCGACCGTTATAGAGGAGCTTTGGTTGAGTCAGATGTCGAACCTTCTATTCTTTTCTTTTTTAATCTCGGTTTTACAAGGTAGCGGTGTGTCTGCAAAGACCGTTGCTCTAACTTTGCGGAGATGCTCCTTTATTATAATTGTCCTGTCAAGTCTGTGTCAGTTGGGTAGCAGCCCCTGACTTAAAAGAACAGCCAAGCTTTCTTTTGCATGATCTTTTGCCTGTCCATTTATTTGCCTCTCCTGTCTTCTACAAGCCTTTTTTCCCAAGAAGATACAATACAGAGATATGCCTTTGCCTTCTGTCCCTCACACATCCACCGAATCCCAAAATGATGTCAGTTCCGGATTCCATCTGGCTGACGGACGAGGGTACATGCTTGACCGTGGCTATTTTGCCTCTTCAAGACTAAACTTTCAATTCTATCTCTGGAAAGAGTCTCTACGGTTTAATTTACACCCCTCTATTCCTACACCGATACAGAACTTGCGGATTGCAGACATTGGTACAGGAACCGGGTTATGGCTGTTTGACTTAGCTCGGGAACTGCCAGATTCAGCACAGTTGGACGGATTTGATATCAGTCTTGCAAATGCGCCCCAAAAACAATTGTGGCCACGGAATGTTACTCTACACCAATGGAATGTCTTTGATGATGTGCCGGATGAAATGATCGGAAAATATGACGTCGTCCATCTAAGGCTGTTGATTCTCGTGGTTGAAAATAGCGACCCAAGACCCATCATCCAGAATGTCTATAAGATGTTAAAACCTGGTGGCTACATTCAATGGGATGATCTGAACTACCCTGATACTCATGTTAGAAGGACTTCCGCAGCACCAACCCCAGCCTTCGACTCCCTGCGAGAATTTGTATACTCCGACGGACGACACGACTGGGTGTTGGAACTTCCTGAGATTCTAAACAGCCAGGGATTCGAAGACGCTAAACAGTTCAACTACGTGGATAGACCTGATCTCACCAAAGCAAATGGAGACCAGCACCTTCTTACCATGGAGGAATTCGCAACAACCCTGGCGGCTGCAGGCAGTCATCAGGCCTCGGAGAAGATATTCAACCTAATTGGAGAGGTGTATCAGGAGTCATTGGTTGGCGCAGCTCTGTCTATGCCGCGGGCTGTGAGCGTTGCTCGTAAACAAAGAAGTGAGACTCTGCGCTCTGTATTATAAAGTTGGGAGAGATCCCTTTTGTTTGGGCCTGTTTGTTGTCGTCTAACCTATCTCCTTAATATCAAATCATACTTAAGACATAACAAACGCGAAGCTATAACTATAATACGTTTGATAACTCCATTTCTCGAGTCGGTTTAAATAACCAGATATGGCCTAGCATTCACTCCTCGTACTTGAACGAGGCAGGGTTCCTCTTTAGTCAAACAACTGAGATACGAAATATATCCAACTGATGTCAGCTCTAGCTCTTCAACCAGCAATCATTGGACGGGATCACCCGCCAACTTAAAAAACGCATCAACGACTAGTGGAAAGCTAGAGAATTTCCGCCTTTAGTTCTATAGTTCGGGGTTTGAGTGTGGCAACATCACCTCCTAGTCCATTTGATACTACATAATGCAAACCCTTATTGGAATCCCAATAACACGGGGGGGTACTCCGTTACGTACTTGTAAAGAGGTTAGATATGGAGGAAGACAAGCTAAAATAGGTGAATTGGTTAGTTGTATGAGTTTTATTTCTATCTATAACATCAATCGATGTATACATAGTGGGTTCAACTCTACGAGAAAAAGCACATTTCTCCGGAAGTCGGCAGACCTCTTGTCCCTCCCTCTTTGTGTTATGGTTATGAATCCTATTCCTCGTACTCGCATGATATTTTTACCTGCAGCTTTTCAGATTTCTGGGCTTCATCGGCACATACCTTGTCCATACAGGTAATTGAGGTATAGCCCGTTTTATACCAAGTCATCTCTTACAGCAGCCGCTAGGACATTCAGAAGGAATCAGTATGTCACGAGCCAAGCAGGAGGAGCTTAATCGTCAGTGTATGTAAAGGCTTGATGGTCCAGTAGCAAATGCTGATATATTACTTCAGCCCTGGGGTATAACCGGATGTGGCTTGTTATTCTCTTGAATAACAGTAACTCGCAGAAAGTGTATCTCTGTTGGGCAAATGAATTTATTAAGGAACAAATCATCACCCTTGTCACTTGTATCCCAATAATAAGTGGTTGAAATTCATTTTCTTAACTGGGTAATTGGAAGGGGTTGATATGACAACCTAGTGAGATACACGCTGGGAACAGGGGATCATTTTTTCCAAATTTCCCCTGAAGGGCGCTGCATTGGGTACTGGAGGAAGAACGCAGAAGAACCCAGGTACATAGTATGGTTATTATATTTTTCATGTAGATACGAGTGGTGTTATTTTGAGGGCTAAACAGGCTGGTCTATCCCTTCTGCTACAACACACTGCTCAAACATGCCCCGTGAAAAAGCGTAGCTCAGATAGTCATCAATCTTGTTCCATGAATCAGCAACCTGTCAAGGCCCAGGAGATTACTATGAAGTCAAAAAAAGGGGCCACCTGGGCGACAGGATATGAACTATAATACAGCTCATTAAGAGTTCTGACATTTCCAATCCCGAGACATAGCTTAACAAGATCTTGGTGCTTCCATGATTACCGGCAACCCGGGCTCAACGTTCTCACCTTTAACGCTCCATTATACCCTGAATAGCGAGTTATGCTTGTTGTGAGACGTTGGTCTGGGGAAGCCGGGAAAAAGTTTCCCGGCAGGATGGAACCTCGGCGGATGCTCCCGCTCATACCGCGGCCCCCAGACAAGATCGTCTTGCTTCTCCTCATTCCTTGGTGTATGGACCGCTCTGTGGTAGCGGCTTGATCGGTTCGCCCGAACCGAACGAGGAATCAAGCTACCTATGTCGAGGACGTAAAACTAGTTATGGGACCAGCAAGCTTGTGACAAGTAATATATAACGAAGCGGCTGAGAACCCCACAGCGGCGGCGGGATAGATCTTTTATAAATTTTCACCCTTGACCGCTGAGGAAAAAAGAGTCGAAAGAGCTGGGAGAAGTTTGTCAAAGACGCCAGTTACCAGCCATGGAGCATCTTACCCCGCTGTACACGATGGCGAGCGAGTCACTCTTCACGGTGCCGGGGATGGTATGCGTGGGAGCTGCGTATCTCGCCATGGTGCAATATCTTCGCTTTCAGAGGATACGCAGCCTGGAGAAGCAGTATGGCTACCACACGCGCGAATCGCTCAAGAAGATGACGAACGATGAAGCGTGGTCAATCCACCAGGCGATGATGACGCTGGAGTTTCCCTTCTTCACGCTGAAGGGGCTGCAGTTTGCGCTATTCAAGGTGTGTTTCCAAACCGTTTCCCCTCAGGCTGGGTGCACGGAACTATGCAGATAGGGAGGGTTGATTTCGTTGAATGGCAGACATACGGCATCCCTACTGTTTCGAAGCTGCTGGTGCAAACCTCTGAGCTGTCCAACCCCGAAACGTCTCCAAAGCGATATGCGGACACTTCTGTGTTGATTAACGAGTTTGTGGCGAACCCGCCGACCTCTGACCGGGCACTTGAAGCGCTCGCCCGCATGAACTTCCTACATAGTAACTACCGTAAGGCCGGGAAGATCCTGGACGATGACATGCTATATACACTAAGCCTGTTTGCACTCGAGCCCTCGCGCTGGGTGGATCGGTACGACTGGCGCAAGGTCAGCGACCTGGAGAGATGTGCGGCAGGGACGTTTTGGAAGAGCGTGGGCGATGCGATGGATATCGAGTACGACAAGCTTCCATCGGCTGCCACAGGCTTCGGAGACGGGATACACTGGCTGGAGGAGATCGATGCATGGAGCAGGGAGTATGAACGCAAGTACATGGTTCCGGACGAGTACAACCACCAGACAGCCAACGAGACCGTTGCGCTGTTGCTTTACAACGCACCAGAGTTCTTACACCCCTTCATGCGGAAGGGCGTTGCCTTCCTGATGGAGGACCGTCTCCGCGTTGCGATGATGTATGTCTAGCCCGCACGCCCTTGTCACTACAAGCCCTGGGCTGTAGGCGCCCCCACCGCTGACACTCTGGTTAAAACTATTATTAGGTATGACCGTCCCGAATGGATGTATCGGTTCATCTTCTCCAACATCCTTGCTCTCCGCCAGTTCGTTGCCCGCCATCTCCTGCTCCCACGGCCTTACTGGCGACGGGCAGTCCGCCACGTCGAAGGCAGCCATGCGTCTGCTCCTTTCCATGCTCTCGCCTGGGACAACGTGCCCTACTACGTCAAGCCCACCCTCTGGAACCGCTGGGGGCCTGAGGCGCTGTTTACTCGCCTGCTGGGCAAACCGGTTCCTGGCGACGACGGCGACAAGTATTCTCCGGACGGCTTCAATCCTCCAGACGTGGGGCCTCTGCGGTTCTCCGGCAAGGGCAAGGAGTATCACGACCAGATGAAGAAGAGACTGCAGGCTGAGCGCACCGGACAGTGTCCTTTTATAAAGTGATCTCCTCTTCTTCTCCTCTTCTCCTCATCCCATCGACTCTAAGTATATAATAATATTTATATATCAAGAATCAAACGAACGTCTTCTGCTTCTCCACGTGACTGCCCATGGTTTTCCCGTCTCTTTCCGTGCTTTTCCCAGCGTTTCCAGCGTCCATCCAAGGTACTTCTTGTTTGGCCTGAAACTCCACGCAAGCCAAAGTACCTTCGATGTTAACGCGGGAAGAAGGAAGAGACAGCAAGAGACGAAGAAGAAGAAAACAAAAACCGACAAGATAAAGCGCTTGGCCGAGTTTCCCCGCTTCTGTCGGGCTGGATATAAATCTCCCCTTTCTCTGCTGCTTCGATGCCCTCTTCCAGACCGCAGGAATAGCAGATATACACACAAGGAATACTTCGTACAGGCACCGGATAACGAGAGTAACCAATTGACACCCTCTGTATAGCGTCATCATGGCACAGCTAGCTACCTTCAAGCCTCCCACGGTTCAGAACGAGCCAAACGTTTGTGGTATCTCCCCCTGTTGGCAAAGGATACGGTATCACTGACATTGGTCGTAGAATCACTATGCCAAAGGCTCTCCAGACAGGGAGAAGCTTGCCTGTGCTCTGGAAGCGTTCAAGAAGAGAGCTCCCCTCGAGGTTCCCGTCATGATCGGTGGAAAGGCCATCACCACTTCTCCGATACAGACGCAGCAGAACCCTTCTGACCATGCCGTCAGCGTTGCCAAGTATCATACTGCTACCGATGAAGACATCAAAGCTGCAATTGACAATGCATTGGAAGCTAAGAAGGCGTGGGAGGCCATGCCCTTCTCGGACAGGGCTTCCATCTTCTTGAAGGCTGCCGATCTAGTCAGCACCAAGTACCGGTATGAGCTGATGGCAGCCACCATGCTGGGTCAGGGGAAGAATGCCTGGCAGGCAGAGATCGATGCTGCTGCTGAGCTGTGTGACTTTTTAAGGTATGTCTCTTTTGCTAAAGAGTTACATGCATGGCCAGTCATATTGATGGAGTTAATAGGTTCAATGTTCACTACGCGTCAGAACTATATGCTCAGCAACCGGTACACAATGCACCAGGGGTCTGGAAGTAAGCATCTACCTCACACTGTATACACTTTGTTCAAAACATCATCTAACCAACCGTTCAGCCGTGTGGAATACCGGCCTCTCGAGGGTTTCGTCTATGCCGTCTCCCCATTCAACTTCAGCGCTATTGGGGGCAACCTTCCCGCCGCCCCAGCCCTAATGGGCAACGTCGTGCTCTGGAAACCATCCCCCTACGCCATTGCCTCCAACTACCTCATCTACAACATCCTAACCGAAGCCGGCCTCCCCGCTGGCGTCATCCAATTCGTCCCCGGAGACGCAGAGAAAATCACCAGCCTTGTCCTGGACAACAAACACTTCTCCTCCCTCCACTTCACAGGCAGCACTGCCGTCTTCCGCTCTCTCTACGGCAAAATAGCCCAGGGCGTAGCAGACGGTAAATACCGCAGCTATCCACGCATCGTAGGCGAGACAGGAGGCAAGAACTTCCACCTCCTCCACCCCAGCGCCGATATAGATAATGCTGCCCTCCACACTATTCGCGGTGCATTTGAATTCCAAGGCCAAAAGTGCAGCGCTTGTTCGCGCGCCTACGTCCCGCAGTCAAAGTGGGATGCATTCCGAACCAAGCTGGTCGAAGAGACGGAGAAGCTGAAGATCGGACCCCCCGAAGACTTCACTAATTTCATCGGCCCCGTCATCCACGAGGCTTCATTCAAGAAGCTGGCTAAAGTCATCGATGATGCGAAGAATGATAAAGACCTCACGCTCCTGGCGGGCGGTAAATATGATTCTTCAAAGGGCTACTTTATTCATCCGACGATATATTCTACGACTAACCCTGAACACCACCTGTTGAACACGGAGCTGTTTGGACCAGTGCTGGTTATCCTCGTGTATCCTGATGACGCAGATGATGCGTTTGAAAAGATCTGCAGCACTATCGATAACACCGGCAGCTATGGCTTGACGGGCGCCGTGTTCTCGCAGGACCGTAAGGCAGTGAATTACGCGGAAAATGCCCTCAGAGGCACTGCTGGAAACTTTTACATCAATTGTAAGTGTACTGGGGCTGTTGTCGGACAGCAGCCGTTTGGAGGTGCGAGGGCATCAGGGACGAATGACAAGGCGGGCAGTGCGGCCTTGATGGGCAGGTTTGTGAGTATGAGATCCATCAAGGAGGAATTTGTCCCTGTGGAGCGCGTGCTTTATCCAAGTAACGAGTAGAGACTGTTCATTAACGCACGACGAAGACCATAATGCAATTATGTACATAGTTTTACAATGCCTACGTCGTTTCTACTTTAGGGGTCAATGAACTTCCCACAGTTAACGGGTCAAGTAAGAATGTATCAAGAGGTGAAGCTCCATTCGCTCTTTTTTGTCTTCAACTACTGTATGCCAGTATCTACTGAGACAAAGAGAAGGTAAGGGGAGTGAATACCTTGAAAATTGAAGGGGAATTTTTTTAATAATTGGTTCTCCGAAAACAAAGGAAAAATGATGAAATTAAAAAGATATTTGGGATGGAGGGATATCAAACAGCCAATTGATCCTGTTTTTGTTATCACCTAGTGACTAATATTCGACTCAAAACGGACACGCTAGTTGGGGGAATTATTAAGCAGACAAGATAAGGGGAGCGTAGGTGTAAGCATAGGCTGGTTAAACGCAAGGCTCACACTCGAAGGATGGTACATCTGCTGTGCGGGAGAAAGGGATATTTTGCAAAGCGAATGCAAGGTGGAGGATAAGAGAGACATTTAAGTCTCAATTATACGGGTACGTGGCATTTACTCTTCGGCCTCGAGCTGGTCCTCCTCAAGGCTGTTTGGTAGGGTAAGTTAGCAAATAATCATGATTAGTAGTTGGATAGGTGAACACTCACTATTCCTCCTCACCGTCAGAGACGGAGGCGTCCTGGTACTGTTGGTATTCGCTGACCAAGTCATTCATGTTGTTCTCAGCCTCAGTGAACTCCATCTCGTCCATACCCTCGCCAGTGTACCAGAACAAGAAAGCCTTCTTGCGGAACATAGCAGTGAACTGGTCACCGACACGCTTGAAGAGCTCCTGGATGGAGGTGGAGTTTCCGACGAAGGTGGAGGACATCTGGAGACCACGTGGAGGAATGGAGCAGAGAGCAGTCTGGACGTTGTTGGGAATCCATTCAACGAAGTAGGCAGAGTTCTTGTTCTGGATGTTGCGCATCTGGTCCTCAACCTCCTTCATGGAAACCTTACCACGGCTATTGATTGTGTTAGTGATTAAGAAAGATTACGATGTAAGGACGAGCGAGACTTACAAGATGGCAGAGCAGGTAAGGTAGCGGCCGCTGCGGAAGTCAGTGGCAGCCATCATGTTCTTGGGGTCGAACATCTGCTGGGTCAACTCTGGTACGGAGACGGCACGGAAAGAGTAGGCGTTGCGGCTGGTGAGAGGAGCGAATCCAACCATGAAAAAGTGGAGACGAGGGAATGGAACCATGTTGACGGCCAACTTGCGGAGATCAGAGTTGAGCTGACCGGGGAAACGAAGACTGGTGCTGACACCGGACATGACGGCAGAGACGAGGTGGTTGAGGTCACCATAAGATGGGTTGGTGAGCTTGAGGGTTCTCATGCAAATGTTGTACAAGGCCTACACGCTGTTAGATATGCCCACGTCACATATAAATGAGCACGGGAGTAAAGCATACCTCATTGTCGATACAGAAGGTCTCGTCGGAGTGCTCAACGAGCTGGTGGATGGAGAGAGTGGCGTTGTATGGTTCGACAACGGTGTCAGAGACCATTGGGGATGGGACAACGGAGAAGGTGGCCATCATACGGTCTGGGAACTCTTCACGGATCTTAGAGATCAAGAGGGTACCCATACCGGCACCGGTACCACCACCGAGAGAGTGGGTGATCTGGAAACCCTGAAGGCAGTCACATCCTTCGGCCTCACGACGAACGACATCAATGACCTGGTCGACCAAGTTGGCACCCTCAGTGTAGTGACCCTTGGCCCAGTTGTTTCCGGCACCAGACTGACCGAAGACGACGTTGTCGGGGCGGAAAAGTTGGCCGAAAGGACCGGCACGGACAGCATCGAGCGCAGCGGGCTCGAGATCAACAAGCACAGCACGAGGAACGTATTTTTTGCTAGAGGCCTGTGCCTCCAATGAGTTAGTATTCTGCTGAAGAGAAGGGCTTTGGTTGTGCCAACCTCGTTGAAGTAGACGTTCATGCGCTCCAATTGGAGGTCAGAAGATCCGGTATAGCTATTATCACGTCAATAACCGAGTCCTCGAGCCCTACTTCGACTCCTGCGGATTTACTCACTGGCCGGATCCATCGAGACCATGCTCACCAGCAATGGTTTGCCTATACAATTTCAGTCAGTAACGATCGTACACGACTATATACAAGCATGATTGGCGTGTTGAATGCTTACCAGAAAGCGGCACCAATTTGGTTACCCTGGGTGTCAATAGCTGTTAACTCAACGGGTTCCTGTCAACGAACCAGGGAACGATCAAAGCTTACACATTGGCCAGTTTGGAGATGGACCTATGCAAGCAATACACGTTAGTTTGATGCTGGAAGCTCTACATTGGGGTTATGAAACTCGACGCTCGTTTTTTTCCCGCTGGGACATGGTCGTGTGGTGGCCCTCCCCCCCCCTTTCTTGGCCTGTGCAGACCGTGTTTTGGCACAGTTGGAGGGGAAGCGAGGAGTGGAAGAGAACTAGACTTACGATTTCACGCATATTGATGTGGTTGACGGAGGTCTTGAGGGTGAGTGGACTGGAGTGTTCGAGGTCGAGCTGGAGATTGTTGTGTATATCGGGGTGAAAGAGAGAAGAAGTTGATGTTGAGAAAAAGGAGGAAGAAGAAGAAAGTCGGACGTGGTGGGCGGTGTGCAAAAAAGGAGGTAGCTCGATCGGGTTTAGTCTTGTTTACTCCCAGATAGTGTCGTGTTTTGCTTAGTCAGTTATTATATAAGCCTGAAGGTGAAGAGAGATCAAGGGCGATTAATTAATATACAGTAAATATCCTACGCTACCTGAGAACTGCGTCCTGGGAAACTTGTAAGAACCGAAAATAGCGGGCATGTCTAGCTGCCCGTCGTCTTGGTCTCTCCCTTCTCCTGCTCGAGCCAGGCTCCAAACTTATCCAGACGTTGAGCTTCATCGTCTTTGCCATTGTCGGCCTCCCAGCCCGCCCCGTCATCCTGCAGGGCAGCAGCTGCACTGGCGCCCGACTTCTTAAAACGCACTTTTCCCTCGGCTATATATGCCTCTACTTTGGTGCCGCCAAAGAAGCGGCCGTTCATCATCTAGAGATCGTTAGACCCTGTACTATATACAACGATATGCAGGTAGAGAACAAACCTGGACACAAGCCTGGGCACAGTCAGGCTCAGAGAAGCGAACCGTGGCAACGCCCGATTCTTCTTTATCGTAGAGCACAACGTTAGTCACCTCGCCGAGTTTGGCACATTCTTCTCGGATGTCTTCCTTGATATCGAGAATGGCAGCTGGATCCTCCTGCATGACGAGTGTTAATTAATCTAACATGACATACGCGGGGGTTGAACACATACCTCTAGCTCTTGCAGGGTAAACATATGTTTCAGCACGACGACCTTCCCTGTCTTAGCTAACTGCCTGGGACCGATATCGTCATCGTCCCAGTCGGTGAGCTTACTGTTATAACCCCCCCCAGGTCAGCCGCTTTACACTCTACACGCAGCTGGACACTCTCTTACTTGTTCAGTTTCTGCGTCTTACGCATGATCTTCATCTTCTCCTTCATGTTCACTTTTGCCGGTGCATCCTGCACAGCTTTGAAGGAGAAGTCTGCCGGCTGAACCCTCATGTTACCATCTGTACCCTTTTCACCGAATCGGAAATCGGTATCATCCAGCATCTGTACGGCAAGATTGACAGATTCAGGGCGGAAATAGACGACTAGTGCATCGCCTTTGAACTGGCCCTGGTCGTCAGTATACATCTTTATGCGCGGCTGGCCGCTGTCGATTTCCTCTGCGATAACGCCGCATTTGCTGAAGAGGGAGCTGATCTCGGACAGGGTGGCATCGAGTGGGATTGCAGTTACGTAGACGGCGGTATTGACACGCGGTTTCTTGGGTTTCTGGGGCGGATGTGATTCCTACAGCTCGTTTCGTTAGGCTAGTGAGCAGAAAAAGAGACGACGGAGAGAAAAATAAAAGGAATGACAGACATCGCTGTTATGTTTCCGTTTCTTCTTTTTCTCCTGCAGGGCCTTGAGATTCGCGGGCTCCTCCTCGTCGACTCCCTGTATCTTGTATGCCTGTCTCTGCTGTTCCATCAAGGACTCGTCCAGCTGTATATCCGGTCAAAGACAATGAGTTAGGACGCCCCACCGACAGAGTCACCATCGTGGCCTCTTTCAATGTCACTAAGCCATGAGCATGCCTACCGAGGGTATCCATCTCTTCAGCGCGTCATCATACATGAACTCCTCGCCGTTGTCTGTTTCCAGTATGTACTTGTTATCAAGCTTGGAGAAGGACACGCGAGGGTCGCTATCGAAGTCTTCGGGCTTGGGGAATGTAGACGGTGGGTTTTCGGTGTCAGACATCGTGACGTCTCATACAACTCGATCTGATTATCAGCTTCGGCTTCAGCTTCGACTTCGACATCGAAAAAGCTCGAGATGAGAAAAGCACGAGCCACAACACATCCCGGGTCATGTGGTAAGTGAAATACCGTATTTATTACGAACAGACACTAAAACCACCCTGACACTTGCGTAATTACATTACCCGCGCTTCCAGGACTTCAATCTTTTCCTAATTCGGATATTCTCGACTTCATCTCGTCGTTTTTGCTGTTCAAAAAGCAGATTTGCTCTTCTATCACAGAACTTCGACTTGTGCCATGTCAGATTGCAGATTGACCTGTCAGGTAACTAGTGCCGGCTAAGATTCGATGTGGCCAAACGGCTCCCTCCACTCACCGGCTTGCTGCTCGCTAACTTGCTGCAGCTTCAATTTCGCACCTCCATCGTCTACCCCGGCAGGCAAACTGCAAGTTTATTTGTGTAAACGGACACGCAGCACCGCCACTCGGAGCAACTAGCAGGGTCACTAGGGGCTCGCTAGATGGTCACTAGTGCCAGGGAGCAGGGTCTAGTAAATAATAATAAAGGGAATAAGGGGAAACTAGCTGGCTATTTGCACCTAAGCACAGCTCAAGGGCAAGCCCCAAACCTCAAGCCTCAGGCTGCCCAACCCGCCCGCTGAGGACAAGAACTTCTCTTTCAGGATGGATAGGGAAAGCCCTGCCCGTGATCGAGATCGGGATCACAACAACGGCGATTATTTTTATTCGCTCCATCACCCCTCTGGCTACGTGCTCGCCACTCCTGCTCAGGCCGGCAACGACCACGAGGACTCCATCGCCAGCCCAGGTCAAGGTACGATTGCACACACCCAGCTTCTGTTCCTTTCATCTCGTAGAAAAGAAAAAAGGTCACGAACTCAATTTCAACTTCCCTCGAGTAGGTCCAAGTACACCCAACGTCGGACCCAACCTCAATCTCATCGGGTCGTCACCGTCGCCGCACCGTGCTCCTCTCCCGCCAGTGGCCTCTCCATCTGCATATCCCTCATGGCCCGGCAGTGCTGCTGCCAGCCATTCTATCGGAGGTAGCAGCAGCGGTGGTAGTGGTGGTACGGAAGCAGCCACAACATCAATCCTAGGCAGTACAGGCATGATGGGTGAAAGAGAAAGTAACAATCTCATGCGCCCACAGCGGCCTCTGGGGCCGGCCAGGACACCTTCAAACACTTACGCTCCTCCACGACGGCCTAATCAGTTCGTCACCGCGCACTCAACCAGTCAGCTACCACTTTCTTCAAAGAGAACACCCCGCCGTGACCGTGATCGTGACCCCAACGCACAGTACCAAGCCCAGGAGAAAGCCTATGTACAGAGAGTACGGCAAGGGCTTTCAAACGAATGGTTTAATACCAATAGCTCGATGTCCGTTTCGTCTGCCGCCCTGGATCTCGAGTCAGATGTAGGAGACGAGTCACCGTCGTCCGAGCCACAGTTCGATCATGATACCTTCGACCCAGATCTGCGCCTAGCGCTAGAAGAGGATGACCTGCAGCCCACGCTCGAGGACCTGCAGGATCCCAGAGCACGCGAGAGACTGGAGTGGCATTCCATGCTAGCGTCGGTACTCAAGGGTGACGTTGTGAGGCAGGAGAAGCAGCGTCTCATCGGTACCATGGAGCAAAAAAGTAAGGAGGTCTTGGGCGATGAGATCTGGATGGGCGTCCGGGCCCACGCGCTCGGGCGGCCTGTCGCAACACAGGCTAGAATTATCGAAGAGGAGAGAAAAAATATCGGTCCAATGCTAGAAGACATTATCAACTTTAAGATCAAGGGCCAGGCGGAGATCGGGAAACCACCCTTGCAACAGGTTGAAGATATTGTTGAGAAGATCGAAAAGGTAGAAAGCCTGTTCGCCTCTCGCCGACAACTCCAGCTTGCGAGCCCCCGCGCTGCATCTGAAGAGTTCTACGAGTCTTGCGATGCTATCATATCATGGCACAATACTACCAAGCTTATCAACACCCAGCTTTCCATCCTGCAGAAATGGGTAGGCAACGAAGAGCTTGACTTTACAAAACCCATGGTCAACACCTCATCATATGCTTCGGAATTATCTGACGAGGGATCCTTCCTTGACCGCGTTATGAAAGAAGATGGCCTCAAGACACTACAGGGCGGCGACCAGATGCTTGATGGAGTCGGGAAAGTAATCAAAAAGGCCAAAAACACTCTGATCGAAAATGCCGACTCCTTCGCCCAACGTCACTTACCCCCTTACATTGAAGAGCTGCTCACCTTGATCAATTTTCCTTCCCGGCTCATTCAAGAAGTCACTCGCGTCCGGCTCTCCTATGCTAAAAAGATGAAAGATCCAGGCCAACAATCCCCCATCCTTCTCGACCAGATGATCGTCCAGTTCCAAATACTTATGAAAGTAGCTACTGAAATCAAACTTCGATACCTCATTATCTCCGACCCGGAGCCGGGCTGGGATCTTCCTCCGTGCGTGGATGAAAACTTCGACATGGTTGTCTTGGATGCGCTAAAATACTACTTCAAACTGCTCAACTGGAAGCTAAGCGCGAACAAGAATACCTTCAAGGAAGCAGAAATATTAGAACAGGAGTGGGATTTTTCAAACCAGATCGGACGGCAGCTCGAGGGTGGCGATATCGAGGTTGCTGAACAGTTCAGTACCCTAACCGCCAAAGCTCTACAGCGACTGATGCTGCATTTCGAGCGCGAGCTCCTTACCAAGCCACAGGGGGATGCCGCGGATAGCGAAAAACGGTACAAAACAATTCTTGACTCCGTTCGAGTTCGACAACGAAAACTCTTCCGATTCTCCCGTTTCCTTCGCCAGCGTTTCGAGAATGCCACCGAGTTCAACTTGCGGAGCGAAAGTTTAGAGACCCTTACCGAAGCACTTTTGGCATCGGGTCATTTCTTAGTTATCTCCACGGACTCTGTAGGCCAGAAGGGCGTATGCCTGATTGCTTCACCATCCCTTTACGATCGCCCAAAGGACATCCAAGCTATCTTAGGCACTTCATTCCTCGCAGAAGATGCCCCGGAGAACTTATCTTACCCTTATATCCTCGTTATCAGGCCAGACAAGCCCTTCCAGTGGTCTGGGAAACGTCTTGAGGTAAGCTTGCTAGAGCACCCTACCGATGTACGCATGGGCAAACTCCGGTTAGTCGCCGACGGTTCTCAAGAACGACTTCAAAATGCTCGCCTCGCCCTATCTAAGTTAACGGGCTTGGAATTCGACGTGACTATCGAACAACGTGCGAACCTAGGGCGTGTCAATGTGGAGCTTAACAAGATCAAGAAAACAGCATTTAAACTGTCCAATACCATCATCGACAGTGTTGAGATTATCAGAAGCCAAAGCACTGACAGACAAAACCTTGAGCTTATACAGTCTTGTTTTGCCTTTGCTACAGAATTCGGTAAACGATCATTGATGTATATGGACCCTAACCGTCGGTCTATGAACCATGGAAAACTTGTCAAACTAGGTCTGGACTGGATCTCTTTCATCTGCGATGACTGTGATGCCGCAGATCGCAAGACATTTAAATGGGCTGTGTCCGCTCTCGAGTTTGCAATGATTATTACCCACGGTCATGCTGTAATTGCTTTGAATGATGAGGAGTATGACCTACTTCGTGTTAAAGTCGCTGGTTGCATGGCTTTGCTGATTTCCCATTTTGACATCATGGGCGCCAGATCCACATTGGCTGCCAAGGCGGAGAAGCAGCACTCAGACGCTGCCGGGAACTACAGGAACTTGGATTGCAGTGGGATTGCTAGCGACGAAGTGGCATTAGCAAAGGTACAAGCTCAACGATTGTTGCATCTATCGGATATAGATGCTTTCAGGGCGGACGAGGATGCCAAACGACAACCGCTTGGAAAGGTATTGGAAGGTGTCAATGAGGCCGATCGTTCGCTTACGGTTCTCTCCTCATCGGCTACAAACATCAACTTACGCTGGCAGCAAGGCCAATTCATCGGCGGTGGAACATCGGGATCTGTCTACGCCGCTATTGATCTGGATACCAGTTACCTAATGGCCGTAAAGGAGATTCGCCTCCAAGAACCATCTGTCATCCCCGGCGCTGCGCAACAGATCAGAGATGAGATGGGTGTTCTTGAAGTTCTAGACCACCCCAACATTGTCTCTTACCATGGCATCGAAGTCCACCGTGACAAAGTCTACATTTTTATGGAATACTGTTCTGGCGGCTCTCTTGCCACCCTTCTCGAACACGGTCGCATCGAAGATGAAATGGTTATTATGGTCTACGCCCTCCAAATGCTCGAGGGCCTCGCCTACCTTCACCAAGCCGGCATCGTCCATCGCGACATCAAACCTGCTAATATCCTTCTCGACCACAACGGTGTGATCAAATATGTCGACTTCGGTGCTGCGATGGTCATCGCCAGGCAAGGCAAAACCCTAGCCGCAATGGACCACTACAAGGACCCTGCCCTCGCCAACAAAGACCAGCGCAAGAATCAGAAGTCCGTCACGGGCACGCCTATGTACATGTCGCCCGAACTTGTTAGAGGAGAAACAAGCCATAGCTCCTCTCGCCACGGATCAATGGACATCTGGTCCCTAGGCTGCGTCATTCTCGAAATGGCGACTGGCATGCGTCCATGGTCTGGCATTGATAACGAATGGGCGATAATGTATAAGATCGCACAGGGCAACCAGCCTCACCTCCCTAGCAAGGGCGAACTATCCGAACTGGGTATCGACTTCATCAGGCAATGCTTCGAGCCAGATCCAGCCAAACGACCAAGCGCCGTCGAGCTGCTGCAGCATGAATGGATAGTTTGTATTAGGAAGCAGGTCGTTGCCGAACCGCAAACGCCGAGCAGCGAAGGAAGCGCCTGTACGCCTAGTCTAGGCAATACACGACAGAACTCAAGCCAATTTTGAAGTTTATGTAATTTGTTACATATGGAAAAGAGCTATAATCCCTTCGTCGATTGGGGCAAGAGCTACTATATATCCTTTCTTCCCGCTGACATTAGCCATTTATCCCCATATTATTACTTTCATCCCCCTATCTATATCCCCCTTATATGCATTTTATACTCTATATACTATTCCCGGCTCCAGGGCCTGACCTGATCCTTACCCACAGCTCCTTTCTCCCTTGATGTCACTGGCGCTTGAGTTAGTGAGCTACTTGGACATCTATGGCCAACTAGCCATAATCCACCTTCATACATATGTCTGTCTCTGTTACCCACTATCTCTTGTTAACTGTTTCACAGTCTCATGTATGTTCAACGTGAATGAATACTCGGGCGCGACTTCTGGAAAGTATGCGGTTCAAGTTCATTATATAGCATTTAATTGCACTAGCGTTTGTGAAATCTCACGCACTCAGAGGAACAGCATCAAACGTATGCGTATTAACTGCCATACACGAGAGTGATCATCTCCAGCATCATAAGCTGGAATCGAATTATTTAAACGATTAAGAGTGAAAGTTGATTCTAGGTGCGAGGACAGTCAGTTTTCTTATTAAATAGATCGCCTGTCCAGTGGCAATACATACCCATAGCAAGCCATCATCTACCAGCGACGACACCCCCCACGACATTGACAGCCAAACGGATTGCACGCTATATGAAGCTTCTTAGCCTTTGGACCTGACCGTGTATCTTAATAAGAATATGAAGCTGGTTCTTTTACCTCCTACACCACAGTCTGGGTTTGGTTCGCTGCCGTCCATACATCTCTATGTGGAGTGTAAGTATATGACGTACACAACGATCGAAGGCAACCTTTCGGCCTACTTACTCTGTTCCTTCCAGGGGCACAGCACCCTCGAAGAAATACTGGATCAACACGGCGGCCAAAACCAAGGCGGGTGCTAACGGGCATGCGCCTCGCAGCAAGCGTGAGGACAAACAGCAGCGAGAGAACCGCGAATATACGGAGAACTGACTTCATGTTTGTGAGTGCAGCGATGATACCGTAAGAGTATCCGTTTTCATAGCATTAAAAGGCTGAAACGTACATCTGGGAGACAGTAAGCCCTTAAATAATCGAGGGTCGAAGAGCTGAAGATATACAACCCCAAGCCCCTTTTTGGCCTGAAAGTAATCATATACTAGAAAAAAACAACAACATAAGGGATTAACTGTACGACAAGAATATATTCTGGCCCTGAGGAAACCGAAGGAGAACTAGATCTTATTAAGTTGAATGATTCCCGGCCTTTTTTCTGACAGCTCTGCGATTGTTTGGGGGAAGCTTCATTTCAGGTTTTTTTGAGTCGCGAGGCACTTAATGATGTTACGCCTATGGTTAGATTATTGGTGCCCGTCTAGATATGTAATCTAGATATGTATTATTCGACGTGGCAAATAATAATGACCTGTACTCTTTTCTTCCGAGACGCTGGCACAATATCACTACTGACTGAAATCGAGCTGGTAAGCAGGGCGAGGACGGTTGAGGGAGAAATATCTGTAGCACAAGAGCGTGGCTAGTAGTTGTGCAGCCAGCCAGTTGATATAGGCCAGGTTATACTTATAGCGAAAATAATTATGTGAACGAATTGTGTATGCATGGCTTGCTGCATGTCATCAGTCTGCCCCATCCAACGGAAACGAAGACTGGAGCCTGAGCAGTTAGCAAAGAAGATCACTGGGCAAGCCGGAAAATTCTAGCCTTAGCGCTTAGATGGCTCATGGGATAGGCTGGTTGCGCTTGGGATCCCGGTTTTGCTGAACGGTTCAGTATGCATATTCAATATGATAGTTCCTATGCGTGTCTCTCAGGCCATTCTCACAGGACATCTCTGCGACCATAGCTTACGATCCGGCTTGTTCTTGGTGGTACAGCCGTTCTAGGTTTAAAAAAATACGACATTATTAGCCTGAGCTTGCTTGATAGATAACATGGTTACATCTCATAGCTTGCTTAAAAGTATTAAACCCTGGCTATCGATTAATCTTGCTTATATTTCCTCTTATAAATAAATCAAATACTCCGTAACTAGTTCGAGTATATAAATTTCGATCTACTTAAAGGTGGCCGGATGGCATATGAGAGTGATTAATACGGATATTCCTGAAGTTGGAAGATCCTAGAGTAATACCCTCGTAGTTTCACTAGTATTCAGAGGCGCATACGTAGTTAATGCTTATTATCCTGATGCTCGTTAGGTGGTCGAAATAGCTCATTTGCTTTAAAAGATTAGCTTTAATGTAATCAGCTTCGTAGGTAGGAACTAGATGGTATAACGGGGTGTTTTCCATTATGGCTTTCCCGAACGGCACCATGCTTCCCTAATGCCGAGTCCTAGTAGCGCAAGCAGTTGATCATGCTAACGTCGCCAGCGTCTGGCAGAACGAGAGTATGCCTCTGACAGCGTTTGCGTGCAGTCAGTTGATGGCTTCGGCGCCGCGGAGCGATGAGGTCGTAATCGCCGGCCAAGGAAAAACAAAGCTCCGAAGCCCTATCCGCTGTTCAACGCCAAGCCCGCATCACGTGGCACCCAAAGCATATATATAAGCAGTGCAGCGACCAGAGATGACGAACATCACTCACTGTGTATGATCTTTTGGCATAGTATATGCTGTATCATCGCTGCCGGCATACTACCATTACAATATCCTTATATCTATTGGTATCTGACAATATAATTAGTACTTTTTAAATTCCTTAGGTATTATCTATACTTTCTTTAATATTCCTTTCTTATTCTATAGTGTCATGCCAGGTTATGTGACTTATTACTCTGTTACTTAAAACTATTTAGGTAGGCCCGGAGGTCTTTTATCTCACAGCTTTTGCTTCCTTTTCTCCTACAGCAGGCGAAATCAGGTGTATAATATTATATTCGTCGATTGTGAGAGTCTGGCCTGTTCTTTGCTTTTTATACCGGTGCCAGCAGTGAAAGCAGATTTCAACGGCTAATATGGAAACTCTTGCCCAACCAGCCTTTCGCTCAGCCGCCACAGTCTCTCTGCTTCGAAGCTATTCGTCGCCCACGGCTTGATCGTGTCGACCATAGGGTCCGCCACATGGCAGTCAGTCAGATAAGCTCCATTGCTACCTGTTTGAGTGTTGGTAAGCACAATATCACGAATAACCATGAGAGGTAATGCAGGAAAGCCATACATTTCAGGTTGGGATCGAAGGCTGCGTATACGTGGGTGGCAGCACCTCTCTCCGGTGACTTTAGATCAAACCGTTTCCAGCCTTCACGGTTACCCAGCCACTTGTCTAAATTCTCTATAACGGTGTCGTGTTAGTTTTTTTTTAAATCTAGAATGAAGTATACGGAAGTTTTCAGAGCAAAAAAGCACTTACGAAGTTCGTCTTGCGCCGTTTCCAAGTTCAGGTGAGCACTCAAGTTCGTGACGATGGCCCCTGGGTGGAGGCTGAACGCTTGTAATCCGGACTTAACACCCAGTTTTTGGGCGAGTGAGATAGCAAAGAGAACGTTGCAGGATTTACTCTGCCCGTAGGCGCGCCAACGGTTATATGTCTTTCCATCCTACTCATTTCCATACAGTTAGTACGCAACCCCTAAGAAATGGTTACCGTAGCCTCCTCAAAACGTACATCGAAATTGTAATCATGGAACCGAACTGGATTCAATCGATGGCCCTCGCTGCTGACAACTACAATCCTGGGCTCCTTAGCCGCAACAATCTTCTTCATGATGAGATTGGTGAAAAAGAACGGCCCCAGATGGTTGGTGGCAAACTGCGATTCGAATCCGTCCGGGGAGAGTCGGTAGTCCACAGCCATGATTCCCGCGTTGTTGACTAGCACGTCAATGGCCTGGAGGTCATCCCATGCATTGATTTCGGTAGCGGCAGCACGAACACTTTGCAGAGAGGCCAAATCTACCTGCAAGGTGCGCACCTTGACCGTAGGATGCGCGGCGGTAATCTCTGCTGCTGTCTGAGTCAATTTGCCGACATTGCGAGCTGCCAGGATAAGACATGATGGATTGGCTGCAGCGACTGACTGCACGAAGACTGCTCCAAGGGAGTTTGAAGACACGCCCGTCGTCAGGATGACCTTGCCCTTGATCAAATGAGCGTAGTCAGAGACGAGCTCGCCTGCAGTGGTGTTGGTGTTGTAGGGAGCAGGCATCTTATGGATGTATTGCAGTAGTAGTGATGTATTTGGTTATTAGGTAGTAGTAGCTATGGTTGAATATAGTCTTCCTCTGAGTATAACATGAAGCCGTGCGAAGGGGAGATACTTATACTTACTCTTCTTACACCAGAGCAGAGAGATGTCTTCGCCTATAGACTTCTGTAATATCCGATATCTACATTCTCCGGATATAACGATATCTCCAGCTCATCCCTGTTTACCTCAAGACCTTCTCCCTGTCCTGTCCGAGACGGATGAAGTAGAAGATACATTGTGATCCTGTATGCACATCAGAAGCAGAAGCATATGACGGAGTTAGGGGGCAAACGCCTATTTGAGTTCAATATCCTTCGTGGCAAAAGATGGACGGCGGAGCTTGCTCTGGTTTCTTCTCATTATTGGGCTTCTTGCTATTTGTTAGACACGAAGTTATCTTCACGGAGAAATAAAACAAAGCAAAAGATACAACAAAAAAATGGTGGAATACTTAAAAACTCCTGAAATGGAGGTTGAAATATAGTCGTCGCATCCCCGTTCCATTAAACATTATCGTCTGACCATTATATAAAGGAATAACTGTTAAATATCTAGGTAAGATATATATCCAATAGATCATGAAGTAGACGTCTCCTCGCTTGGCTCCGCCTTGACTTCTTCCACTGTAATCCCCCATTGCACCCGCATTCGCTGCACCCAGTCAGAGATCATGATGATTTCCTCTCCAACCCGAATAGATCCCTTGGGTACTTCCTTGGCAACCTCTGCATTCCAGGGGGGAACATGTAGGAATTCATGATTTTTGCGGCATACCTTCAGGTCCACAACACCAGCCTTCAACGTGGTAAAACAGGGGTGGCAAAATTGCACATCTAAGCAGTCTCTGCAGGCATAGAAATTGTCCGCATAAGTCCACTGCTTTCCACAGTCACCATCGCATCTCATCTCCAAGGGGCCTGATAACTTGTCATTGCCATCGTCCTCGTTTTCCTCTTTGTTGTCATCTTCTTGATTCTGTTGCCTCTGCTCCCCGTCTCGATCCTCCATCTCATTCTTTTGCTCGTTATTATTACCCTCTCCTGCCCCTACCACGGTCGTTTCCAGCTCTGTTACGTCTGCAACCACTTTCACCTCCGTTTCTTTGACCTCTATCTCCATGACTTGAGCTTCTTTGACTTCGTTCACTTCCTCATTTAATACTTCAGGTGCGGCAGATCCTCCGTTCGCATCCACGTCTGGTTGCTCCTTGCAATCATTAACCTCACTGCTCTCTTCCTTTTCAGTGGTTTCGTTAGGAGAAGGCTCGCCAGCTTTGCCTTCTGCCTCTTCTGTAGGTTCAGATGGGCTAAGCAGAGACCAAGCAGCGAGAGCATTGGCGTCGTCGCAAACATGGGCCACAGACGTTAGTCTCAGGAAAGCATCCCAGTCATTACTATCATCATCATCACATAGCAAGTCCAGAGCTACCTTGACATAGCCTCTCAAGGTTTCTATCGCTTTCTCCTTTTGGCCTAGAAGATACTGCAAACGGGCGATAGCGAATTTCAAATTCTGGCTACTGAACAGGCTAGACGTGTCGTTTTCGCCGGGGCCCAAGTTCATTAATTTCTTCAAATTTTCCTCGGCATCTGGCGTGTCGATTCCAGCGTCTATTGCTTGGTGAAGATATACCTCCCCTAACTTTTCAGTGGTAGCCTCAAGATAATCCGCTTCAGTTGTGAGGTATATTTTGCGGGCAGATTTATCCACGATATGCGCCCATATTTTGATAGCTTCTGCTTTATCAGCATCAGACCTCGGATAATGGTACAGCACACGAGCGAGAAAGTGATTAAGCCATGAGGTAACATATGGAATCACTGCCACAGTGTTTTCCGCTGCCAATGACTCGTAAAGAGAATCACGAACAACATCAATGCTGTTGGAATGATATCCAGCTACATTCAATCTTGTGAAGTACTCATCCTTATTTGCGTATTGGTGATGCATCGCTGCCAGGCGAGTTTGGCCCTTACTATTTTTTTTTCCCTTTAAATCCTGGAGAGTTTCCATGATTTCTGTGTATTTTTCCTGTTTTTCTAGTAATTCCAAAGTCCAATAAATCGGCGCGTATTGATCCATATCATGTTCATGAATTTCTTGGAAGGCGGCTGTTGCTTTGTCGTACTCCTTGATATCGGTATTCCACACTCCGTAGAAGGCGAGGACTCCAAGATAAAACTTGTCTTCGTATTCGACTCTTAACTCTTCCTCATTCCTGAACCTTTCCATCACAGGCCTTATAAGTTCAAGCGAGGCGTGAGTATCATCCATTTCCCAATATGACTCCGCTTGAATATAAGAGGCACGCCAATTGGAAGCGTCCAGGTCGCGAGAAATAATGCACTTATCAATGGATTCCTGATAAAATCCAAACAGGTGGAGAGTAATTGCCATCTGCACCTCCCATAACGAATCGGCTGTGGAAACATCCAATTCGGATTTTGCCCATTCCTCCACGTCATAAATTTGTTCTAATGTGGGCGAAACATCTTCTGTAACCCGCTTACCTTCTCCTTTACGTTCTTTTATCTAGAGATATCAAATCATTAGTTTATACACAAGAACTGCGGGAAGAGATGCGAACCTTAGTTACATATCCAAGCAGCCACAAAAATGGCTCCCGTGTCTCCCAGTTCACTGTTTGCAGCCATTTCTTTGCTAAATACTTTGCAGTATAGCAAAGAAGATCATCATTTGGATTAATATTTGAAATTAGTCCATTTACCCATTCTTTCATTTCGGGAGAAAGGTTCCTTGTCACTGCAGAGTCCTTAAACCATTTCAGCATTGTGTTTACGTGCTTATCCTGATATGACCACCAACTTCGTTGGAACATACGGTCCTCAACCCACCAGACTTTCATATATGCCTCATCGGTGAAGTGCTTGATAAGGTATGAACCAATTTCAGTTTTCGGCGCAGGCTGCGTAAGTGCCAGGTCAATTTCATCCAAGTAATCTTGGAAAAAGTAGAAATGTGAATTCCTCAGAGATTGCAGCTCTTCATCCCTCTCGTTCGCCACAGATTTCATACCAACAAGTACAGTGTGGACCTTCAGGGTTTCCATATTCACACGGATTGAAGCAGCTTTAGCCCCAAGTTTCGACTTAAAAAATTCTTCAAATCCGAATTTATCGAATAATTCTTTATCACAGACGCTGTTAAGAAATCTTTTCACAATAGCAATTTCTGCTGGGTGTAGCTCAGTCCTTGCAACTTCTTCTTTTGTTTCCTCTTTTGTCTGTTTCCTGAAAAATTCACCGATAGCCTTGGAGCGTAGTATCACCGAGTCATATTCTGCTATCTCAAGTAATGAAGAATATTTATTCCGGACTTGCTCTTCCAGTGGCATAAGTGAGCCCTCACCGTTCTTAATTAAAAGAACGCCTTCAAGTGTTTTAAGGAAAGGAGCGCGTTTCGAACCCATTACCCAGCCAAGTATTTCCACCAGATCCTGAATATCTTCATATCCGAGGGTATGGTTCAGTTGGTCAATTTCACGGGCGATTGTGGCCTCTCGGTCCTCGCCAGCATGCTCCAAAACCTCTTGGATCTCCTTTTTTCTCCGTTTTTTACTGATCTCCGTCAATAGGTAATTTAACTGGAAGTAGTCTCCCTGGCTACCGTTCGCAAGGCCGGTTTTGACTAGACTTCTCAGTTCCTTGATCTCTTGCTTCTCCTTGTTTTTGAGGACTTCCATATTATCCATTCGCATTTCAATAAATATTTCAATGTCCTCTTTATTGCGAGTTCCAAGCTCAATCGTAGAGAGAGAAACCCCGGGTGCTGTCTCGGCTTCGGCGAAGATGGTGGGCCTTCCAGTTATGAACAGCCTAACCGTCATCATACCCTCATTTGCCATGAGTGATATGTCACGGAAGACCTCGACCAGAGGCTTTCCAATTTCGGTATCCAGCTCTTCGATACCATCCAGCACAATATAGAAAACAGCGTTGGTCTTTAGAGAGAAGTTGACGACGAGCTGTTTCCAAAGCTCTAAGGAGTTTCCAAACTCTTCCGGTTTGTCGCACACTGACGCGACATTCTTTTGATATACTGCGTCATTCTGTGTAAGTTGCCAGACAATCGATCTGAGAGCAGTATTTACAGATTTTTCCGTAGACTGTAAGGCAGTTCCCCCAAAGAAGTAGTAGGCAACAGACATCCGGGTGTCCTGATTTCCTGGGGGGTAAAGCCGGTATAGATGTCTGATTGCAGCAGAGGATAGATAACTTTTCCCATATCCTTCCTTTGCTTTGAGGCCAATGATGGGCTGAGTTTTGGTGTTGGGGTTTGTCCAGGCCGAAAACTGAGGATCATTGAGAAGCCACTGGCCGGTGCCTGGGACTATGTTGCTCATATAGTCTTCCTGATAGGTCCTCCATATTTCTTTATCAATTTTCAGGGCGGCTTTGATCTTGTCTTCTCGTTGTTGACTTAATCCTTCTTGATCTTTGCGTCTTTCGGCAAGGTCGTATTTCTCTAGGAAGGAGGAGACGTTTTCCATGTGTCCATCAATATTGTCTAGCTTTGAATCCATGATTCCAATTGATGACTTGACATCAGAAAAGCCAGCAGTTATCTTTCCTTCACTAATCTTTGCGGATTCCAGAATTAAAGCAATGCTCATTTTGGTTTCATTTTGTACAAGTGTTTCAAGCTTGCTGAGTTCTGCTGAAACACCCTTGTCGCTTCCAAAACTGAATACTTCAAGGGCCAGAAGAACCTTTGAATGTTTTGATATCTTAATGGACAGGGCGCAAATGCGCACGAAACTGCGCAGCAAGTCATGAATAATTCTCCTTAGATGAGGGTCAATTTTAACACCAACCACCTTCGCTCTTGCATAAATTTCGAATCTGTCTAAGAATGTTGAAATACGCTCAAAGAGCTCCGAGAGACCATCAAATATTTTGGAATACTTTTGGGATGCTGTTATTAACATGGAAACAGCACTAAAACAAAGATTTGAGGGTCCGAAAAACTATAACAAATCATTAACATGGGGTGCGTACTATGTATGCCCAAAGTGTTAACTTACATTTGAAGCAATGGAGGCAGCGAATGACCCCAGCGTTTGGATACAAACAAGCGTCTTATCCACAGCATTTTTCACCCTTGCATATCTTGCGTTAGTTTTCGCATCCGCCTCTTTCTTCTGCTGAAGGCTGGCAAGAACTTCTTCGACGGAAAGTTGTTTCAGGCCCTTTGTGCTGTTTCCACTCAAGTTCTGGAATTCAACTTCAGTTTCCCTCCACATCTGGTCGATGTCGACATCATCAGCAGACTCGGCCCCAGACATGCTAGAAAGTCGCTCACGAATGGCAGTACGTTATAGCACAGCCGAAGATTGTTATTAAAATATATGAAGTATTCCGTAGAATGGAGTACAATATCGATATGCCCAAGGAAGACAGAAAATGACGGTGCAGATTTTTGGCAGGCCTCGGGGGCAGCCGCCTCTTTTAAAGTCGTCAACATCACAGCTCAGGTAACTCGTAGTTCCTTTTTTCTGGAGGATTAGGGTTCATTCTGGCGTCCAGCCTCACTGAGGGGCCTCAGGAGGTGAAAGTCCGAACCCTGTCGAATATTGGGAAGAAAGGCAAGGCTGTAGGATGGGAATGGACGGCTGGGGCGGCCCTTATCACTTTAGCGTGAGTATAATATGATTGCTTGATGCGAGTTATCTTGCAAACCAAAATTAAGCAACGCGGGAGAAAATTACTGGTTCCGCCTTGTCGGGCCGGTAACAAATACCATTGCCGTGTAAGCTGCCCAATCAGCACACAAAGTTACAAGACATATCCGAAATACATATACGTTGTGCTCCGTGCAGAATTCAACATTCGCAACAGATGATATCAGCAAAGCGTTGGTATGAGGCAGAATACATATTTAGATATGTCTGATTTGCATAATTAGGTGTATGGCTGCTCACATTTTTTCCACACTGGGAATCAAGTATAGAGATTGTGAAGGGCTACCCTGTCGCAACATTTGAATCTATACGAGATTGTATACGAGGTTGTGTGGTGTTAGCCACGCCTGTTAGGCTCAGACAGAAAAGCTGCTTAACTAGTTGTAGCAAAAAGTTATTAGAAATCCATTTCATAAAGCAGTAAATTATGAAGATATAAACCCACCTGTGGAATCCGAGAAGCCCAAAATGGAAAACCCCGTGGTAATGTTAAATATCGTTCGTTTTCCAAACGAGTCAAACTGGACAATATATGTTGGAGAGTTAAAACTAAGACCCATTTCAGGCGAAAACGATTCGAAGAAGTCTTCTGCAACTAACCCCAGTTCATGACCTGTTAGCTGACGATGACAGCATGCCTCTTATTGAAGTGGTTACATACGTTCTTGGCTAACTATGGAGAAGTTATCTCTGCTAACGATGGTCAGACGAAAACCTCCGGTTTCAGTGTTTTGGAGTATTGATATCTCGGCATCCGCAATATGTAATGTTTCTGTGTGGACGTCATATGCTTGACTAGACCTTTTATTAGTTTGATATGACAATTGCTATGTTAACGAATGCATCATACATTGCGAAAAGCGTTCTTTCAATAGTTCGGGGATATTGAAGGCTTATAACGAAAAGATCCGTCTGCATTTCGTTTACCTTTGTTTGAAAGGCTGAAAGGGCTGTAAATTTGTTCATATAATTCAGTATGGAGACAGAATATACGGGAGAAAGAAAAGGAAAAGGAGGGTTACCAGCAACATTCTTGAACCGTATTGTTACTTCTATATCAGTCGCTGGATGGGGCTCCTCATTCGCAGTATAGCCTATGCAGTTAACCTGCCCAAAAATTATAGCCTGCCGGCTAGGTTGGAGATGCCACTTTGTCTCTGATGTTACTTTTCCCGCTGTGTTAGTTGATGTACCTGGGAGGCTGTGGCTAAAAGAAGAACGTACAATGTACTCTTGTTTTCAAAATATCAGAACATGGTTGGCTTGTAGGATAGTATAGAACTATCTCAGCATGGTCATGAAAACGAAAGTGAGCTTGTATAACGTCTTCGTCGCTGGCGAGGTTCTCCAAGTCTATGTCTTTGTAATGCAGTACTTGGATGCCTTCTATATGATCCCTTTCATATGAACGTTGCCTGGATAGGGCAGACGTGAACCTCACCGACTTTACTTCGTTGCTATATTCTTGTATGTCTCTATATCTGTATTAGTCTCATGACCTGTGTATTCACCGATTTGGCAACTCACCCTATCAAATTAAGAATATGAGCTTGTTGAGACCCAGACAGTCCAGAAGAAGAACTAAAGCAAAGAACCGTCCCCGGCCCTTGAAGAATCATTTGCTTAGCCTGGCTAAGCGTAAGGCTCTCCATTAACTCTTCAATATATGCCATATCTGATGACAAAGTATGTGTGAGCAGGTAATCCTTAAAATGCACAAGGGGGTATGCACAAACCTGACCGTGGAATCCTTTTAATATATAACGACTTGAGGCTACTCGTCGTTCGATTAATCACCTTGAATAACATCAACACTCGTTCATTTCCTGTTAGCCGGGTGCAAATGGTATAACGGGAGGCTAGTTTCAATCCGAAGTCAGTAACCACCTTAATTACGTGCTGTATTGAATAGGCTTACGTGCAAAGCCGGCAACCTCTGCTCGATGAGATGGCAGGCCATCTGATGGCGTTGAACATTGACATGCAAACAATTCATGGTGCGAAGCCGGCACTTCATGGACTGGGAAATTGGGGTTCAGAACAGCATGCGGACAAACAAGCCGACTCTGCGTCTCATCATCTTCATAAAGTTCAAAGTCAAGCTTAGAAGTTCCGACAGCGCCTTTCCGCAAGTCATCCCTAGTATTTAAACAAGAATCCTCCAAGTTCTCTGTGAACCAGGCGTGGATCTCATGGAGCATGAAGTCGATGTTATTGACTCGGGCTTCGATTCTTCCGGTTTGGGACCTTTTTTTTTATTCAACGTCAGTCCAACACCTTTGACTTGCAAGAGATATAACATACTTGACGATAACACCAAGTAGTAAGTTTAGGCTGTTTGTATGGACCGCTAGGTTGCTACGCAAGGTCGCCAGGTCTCCTCCTTCGGTCGTCCATGATATCGACCTCCAGGCATGCTTGATGCTGTCGTTCCATCTCCCTAAAATAGGTTGTCTAGCACTGGACACCCTCGGCTTGCCAATAATCCCATACTTCCGAACGATAGATTCAAGATGGGCTAGGGTCTGTTCACAACTTCGAAGCACATGAGCGAGGACATCTTCTTCACCTTTATCTTCCCCATAGCGAGGCTGGGATAAGACCGGTAGCGCTGACTTATCGACTCGCAAGGTTATGGACCCATCGCGACTCTCTGTTTTGAATGCTTCTAAGACAACACTGAGGGAGTAAAGCTGCTTTTCCACTTCACGGAACTCTGCCGGCGCTGAATTGCGTCCCTTGGTGAAGGCTCTTCCGAGTTGGAATGCCAGTTTGGCCATCAGATACACATCGCCGACGCTGATTGGAGATGTCATGACAACGGCTTTGGAGGTTTGGTGGTTACTATTCTTGAAACATCTGTATTTCTCCTTTATTGAGATGGCATGCAAATTGTCTATTCTCTCGAGAAATTATTGGACTATCGTGAGCCTTGCCTTTTGTCCCATGCCCAGGTCTCATTGCAGCATGCATACATGAATACGAGGGGCAAATATATATATACACCCTGGACACAATGGCCATGTAAACAAGGCAGTGTTTGCAAGTTATATACATTGGGGCTATCCTTTTGCTCAGCCTCACAGTTAACATGGGTTTGGCTGGAGAGCTTATAGTAAGAAGGCGTTTTCTTTTATAATAACCCTTCTGCCACATATATTTACATTGAAAGTCCCCTACTTCCCAAGTCTACATCCCCAGATAATTCAACATTCCACTTTGGATGGCGTCTGCTACTGGCATCCTCTTTGAGGACTTGGAACCGCCAAACCCCTACCTGAAAAAATCTTGGATTTCTCTCCCTGTTGGAGTAGAACGACCCGGATTTCCTTCATACCTGCCCCCATCACCTACACCACAAAGACAAGCATTGCTACCTTCATCATCAACCTCTGTTGTGGTCCATGTTATTCAGGACATAGCCAGGACAACTATCACCCAAATCTTCAATAATGATAGCCCGGTTAACATCCAAGAGGGAAAATATCAGTTCCCCGTCCCTTATGGATCGAGCGTCGTGGATTTCAGGTGCAGGATTGGCGACGATCGGGTAATCGAGGGCCAGGTTAAACCCAGAGAGATCGCTCAAGCCGAGTTTGAACACGCTCGTGAATATGGTCGCACCGCAGGCCTTGTCGAGCAGGACACTCCTGAGATATTCACCACCAAAATCGGCAATATCCCTGCAAACACTACAATAGAAGCAGAGCTTTCACTCATCTTCTTTTTAAAATACAACTTACCACAGAGCTCATCCACGATTACCCTTACAATCCCCACATATATTGCCCCTCGATATGGTCAGCCTGATTGCGAAGTCAATCAACATGCTCCAGCACCTGGAAAATTATACATTGCCGTGGAAATCCTTAATGCAGACGAAATTAGCCGCATTGACTGTGACACTCATAAAGTGGTTGTTGAAAAGGGTGCTAAACAACAGATTTTCCAGCACTGGGCAGACTTCGTTGCCGGTAGTCCAGCTGTTCAAAAATCATCCACGGCTAGTGTTAAATTACTACGTGGCTATACTTGTCTCGACAGGGACTTCGTCCTGCGCATTTCCACTATCGCGTCAGCTAAACCTCGTGCTAGCCTCGAGACCCATCCGTCAATCGAAGGGCACTCGGCCATTATGATAGAGATCCCTCCAGATTTTATGCTTGAAAGCCAGGAGCCTGTGGACGACAAGGAGATTATTTTTCTAGTCGACCGGTCTGGATCTATGGCGGGTAAAATTCATGGCCTCATTTCGTCGATGCAGTTTTATTTACGAAGCCTCCCCATGTCCACACTATTCAACATTTGTTCTTTTGGTTCAAGCTATCAGTTGTTGTGGGAACAATCCAGAGCGTACTCTGAGATAACGTTAAATGAGGCTCTGTATTATGTCTCTAGCTTTTCAAGTAACTTAGGAGGCACTGATCTTCTTCCTGCTCTGGAACATGTTGTTTTGCAACAAAACCATTCTTCCAAGGATATAATTGTCCTGACTGATGGAGAAGTTTGGAGATTGGAGGAAACGATCCGTTTTGTCCGACTTACGCACATAGTGTCAAAGAAGGCTATCAGATTTTTTGCACTCGGTATTGGAAACGCCGTTTCTCACGAGCTTGTTGAAGGCATTGCAAACTCTGGCGGCGGATATGCTGAAATTATTCCTGCTACTAGTAGTGGTAACTGGGAGGATCGTCTAGTGGCTGTCCTGAGAGCTGCATTATCCGGGCATGTGACTTCTCTGAGTATCGATATCGAAGGCTTGGATACGCAGTACGAGCGTAAGCATAACCAACTACTTCATTTAGAAAACCCTATTTTTCCAAGATTATATAAAAGGCTAACGACTCGCAGGAAATAATACTCCCATATCGCGACCCACATTTCAGATGTCACCTGGAAATACTTTGACCTTGAGCCCGTTTGGGAGAAGTCGCATCTTCATTTTGGCTGAGAGTGGCCAACTAAACCCTAATTCAGTAATCAATATCAAAACTACACGCAATGGCAGAGCGTTTAGTACTGTTGTGCCAATTACGGTCCTCCAAATTAGAGATTCCCTTTTACACAAGTTTGCTGCAAGAGCCCTCCTCCATGACCTTGAACGTGAAGATAGCTGGATCCAGCAAGACAGCCGCATCCGAGATAGCTTGTCTAGGGCAGTTTGGACAAAGAAGGAAGGGGAAAGGTTAGGCTCTCAGTGGTCATTGGTATCCAAATGGACGAGCTTTGTTGCCGTGGAGGCCAACTCAGACCAGGCTCTGTTAGGAATGATAGTCGTTCCTCATTATAAACAACTTGACGGAGACAAATTTGGCCTTCTCCGCCCAAGAGGTGGACCTACTGTTAAAGCTCACCCTACCGAGCCTCTTCAGGCGGCTATTTCTAAGAGTTATATCTCCCCTAACTCCTCGAGCCCAGCGATTAAAGAAAAAAAGTCCAAGAGGATTTCCCGTAGATATAGATTTCCTGATGAAGATATCTCTCTTGAAGCTGCGCCCAGATCCTTGCGTTCCGAACCCGATTCTATGCTTGGCAATGCGGCCGAAAAAAGTTCTCGATCTCGAAAAACCGATGACTCGGTCCGCAGACATCAGGATGAAGCCGTGCCTCACCATTATTTACGTGCCACTCTCGTCGTGCCCATCAAGCAAAGCTCTCCTGAGTTCCATAAACTGGAGCCTCGCATCCCACAGTTAGAACTGCAGGAACTCCCGATGATGGTTCCTTGTTGCGATCAAAATTACGAAGATCAGGATTACGAAGATCAAGAACAGAATACAATTGATATGGACAGTACCCCTAATCCCCCAGCACATCCGCTTCCCACAACAAATTCTGCTATGTTTGTGCGCCGTATTGTGTCCTTCCAGAGAGCGGATGGGCGCTTTGATTTCCATAACCTCGACACTGTTGAAAGGAATATTGGATCTGAAGTCTTTGTTATCATAGAAGCTTTGATGGCGGCAGAATATGCCTTGGACGTTGCCGTGACAATTGTTATTGTGGCATTATTAGAGGAAAGATTTCACGCCAATAGAGGCCTGTGGCTCCTCATTGTTCAGAAAGCTAGGGAGTACATAGGCATTCCTGAAAACGTTGAGCATCCAGGCATGTTGGTCGCGAAGAATAGTGTGAATAATATCCAGGAGATCCCTTTGGAGGAGGAGACTGAAGGAGAAAAAAGGTGTGATGATTAAGTTTACTATATATGATGCAAAAATTCAGATAGGATAGTAAAGAGAGATAGCGGTTACAAGTTGATTTACTTGTGGTTAGCTAACTGCCTTTTCTGTTATCTCCTTTCTAAAGACAAACACAATCCTGTTCAGTTGGATCTGGGTTATAGATCCGGATTATGAACCAAGCAATGAGGCTTTGGGCGAAGCTCAAGAGGAATCGGAAGAAACTTACATAGATGAGACTACTATCTTGGATTACTCTTGGTTGTAACTGATTATTCCTCGTGGCCTCCAATTTCGTTCGTGATACTTGCGTTGTAGAAAGAAGTAGTTATCAATATTGCCAAGTGATCTAAGCATTGTACATGCCATTTTGCTTAGAGAATGTTTGTATAGTCATTTATCCGGCCTTTAATTAGAATGATGATATCTACAGAAATATCTACTTGGATATCTCTCGCAAAAAGCTCCTTCTGGTAACTAAATTTGATTTGCGTATGTTAATCTCATCTGTCTCTTTGATATCCTTGATGTTTTCTCAGTAAGTTGACCGACAATGAATGCCACATTAATTGACTAGGCATATACATGTCATAACGAAAATGTGACTACTGATAAATAAGTGGACAGATATATTTCACGACCGAGAGCCATATTCTTATATACTCCCCAGTATCACACCTATTACATCATCGAAAATCCCTAAGCTATGGTCTAGCATCCAGTGACATAGTTGATAGTCAACCTACAACCGTCATTGTATGTTTTATTACCGCAAATCTTGCAGCCACGCTGACGAAGCTCGTTGTAGCCATCAATCATCTCAGAGCCATTAAGATCACAATTTCCTCCCTCGACGAAGATACCGCATTTTCCATAACAGACACCGGTTTGCGTGGCTCTGTTTTAGTCCATTGCAGTTAGCTTTATTATATATCCGTAAGATTAAAATAATCTGATGAGGGCTCATACCCAGATCCGGTGAAATAGCGGTGGTTTCGATCAATGACACGGTAGGCGGCATCACAATCTCCGGCTCCAAGGCCATGACCGCAGAGACTAGATCCACTGCAGCTATAGGTATCAAGTACTATCGTCGATATTATTAGTTCCGTACTTGGGGAATTATGACGGAGAGAGAATCTTACTCTGGTTGCCAGCGGATGGTTCAACTCCGGCCTGAACAACGTTGGATCCATTGAACAGTGGAATTGTTAGAGCTCCAGGAGCAGATTGATTGGGGGAAGTCTGTCCTGGGGCAGCTTGAGCGAGGTTGCTAGCCAAAGCTGCAATAAAAACAGCGAGCTTAGTGATGGAAGGCATGGTGTCTGGCTCAGATATAATCAGGGGGGTTTGAAAAAGTGTGAAATGATTGATTTTGAAAACTGCAAATTGGAGGGAATGTTGCCCCTATTTATATTCCCATTATGATATCCTAACGGACGAAGTTCGTAGCTAATGAAAGATATTGAACATTGTTCTTGGAGTTCACAGGCCAATAGACACATAGTATCAACACCGCTTACTAGTTTCCTCTCTTCCTATTCTAATGCAAGGGTAGAAGGACCCTTGCGTTCCAGCCTACTATCTTTTGGGGGAAATGGAATATTGCTCCGAGCATTCTGCATCTCCTGCCTTAGTTGCATTGTCCTCATGGCCGCCCTTCTTATTATTGAGCACGATGAAATGGAGAGGGAAGCCCGCACTACTGCTGGTACGTACGAAACGACTAGGGATGGAGCGAGCAAGCAGACTTCCTTGCCTTTTAAATATGCAAGCCTAGATGTAAAAAGACTTGGGGTATATATGTTGGTATATTCCAAAATGATAATGCTAGGAGAGAAAAGCCATATTTCTCCTACTCGTTTAGTTAAACTGATATTCACGGACACAGAGCACAGAGTTAGGTATATTATGCTCATGGTTGTTCGGAGAAATATTATCTTGCCATTGCCATTCAAATCAAAACCCGACTTTGATACTGGCGGTCGAATGCGTAGCGCGGTTTGGGTTGGATTAGTCATCCATTCGACTCCGTTGGATTACGTAACTAATAACTAACAGTTGCATAACTAGCTGCATAACCAACATAACTTATACGAGTACTATATATGGAGTACTCCATACTGTGTAGACTATTATCGGCTACATATTATAAACATTTCTCCATAATGTACTTCTTATAGTACGGAGTATCCTCAATTATCTAGACATACTATGTATGTATATGCACGGGGTACTAAAAGGGTAAAAAGACCGAATATCCCTGCCCAATGGGAGATATTTGATAAATATTGGGTGCTCATTGTGCTAGGTGACAGATGAAAATATCGTTAGCGCACATAGAGGACCCATAGACCAGGGGTTTGAACCCGATACATTGTATGTTGACTGGCTTGATCCTTGCTCTAGGCTAATTGATAACATAATTTAGTTCCAAACATTGTTGTTAGCGAAAATACACAAGTATACGAACTCCAGGGGTACGCTCACTCAGTACACCTAATCCTTGTCAAAGGCTTTTTTAACAAGTTAACAAACCAGATTCCTATTCAGGTAGAGCTCATCCGATCCACCCATGTCTCAGAGCGCCAAGAACTAACAGTTGTAAAATCCTTGTTAAGTTTCTTAAGACAATGATATGTTGAGAAAACAACGTACAAAGTGTACCTACATATCGAATATGGATGGTAGTAGCTACCACTTATACGAATTTGTGAGTGTGTCCAGCGCATTTTTACCAGGCTTAAGCCAAGGCGGATCTGGGCTGAAGGGTTATTTATTTCAATAACAAATCAGTTAATGCTCTTTCCGAAAAAGCTGTTACTTGCCAGCAACCTTTGACGTAATAACAAATAAATGAGAGGCTGACAGTATACAACAGGTCTCTATATAGAGAGACGGGTTTTTATACTGCCTACCAAAAGGGCACACTTATCTTCTCCCAATTCTTCTCGCCTTTCTTGTTTGCTGCAGTAATATCGTTTCTCATAACAAACATTCGTCTCTGACCGCAGAAACCTCCCGGGCTCGCTGCCCTCTCCACCATTTTGAAGGCGCCATTTGAGTGCTGCTGGTCATTAACCCAAACTTTCTCCTGGACAATTTGACCAGCGTTATGGATACGGCGAGGGTTGTATTCCGGGTATCCGATCTTGCTCACAATCCATTGCAGGTTTGCAAAGATCCGTTCATACCTCCTGAAAAAGTCGAGCCACTTCCATGTATTCTCGGTATACGCAACTCGGATGAATGGGTTTATATATACTCCGGTCCCATCTACAGTGTTCGGTGGGTGGAAGGAGTCTTCGATATCAGCAAAGATTAGACAGCACTCAGCGGCTTCCCAGAAAGGCTCTGGCTCATGACGAAAACTCATAACTAGATCCGAAGAACCAGCTTCAAAATTCTGAAATATCCTAGCATCGAATGCAACCATCCCTCCCCAACAGCTGCGGACCTGAACAGCATCGCTTTCAGCAAGTACAGCCTGGCGGCTTTCGGCTTTTCCAGATGCTGCAAACCAAGGGAAAAACATCAGACCCATGCCAAATCCTTCAGTATCTCTGACCACAAAGGTATCGTAAAACATCACGTTGGCGACAAAGTCGATTGCACAAGCGGCATGGTAGTCCGCTCGGCCACTTCTCTCTGCATTGGTTGAAAATAACAACTGAACCGCGTCTGTAGCTGCAAAGTATATGTCGTTCAAGAATAATACGCGGTCAAACTGTGTTGTTGTATGGCGAAATCCACTTTGGGACTCCGCTGAGGTAGGGATATATGAAGAGTTCAACGGTCTAAGAGCACGGTTCCGTACTTCCGCGAGATATGCGATTCTCTTTGTACGTTGCCCACCACCGGGCAATATAGTTTTTGGCAAGCTCGATAATTCCAGATGATCTCCTGTGACCACTGACGAATTACCTACAACTCTATATTAGCCACTTTTCCATGATCAAGAGGTTTTCTATTAATTGCAAAAACGGGGCGACAAACATGGAAGCTTTGCCTGTAGGCTGCTAAGAGCATCACTCGTTGAATTTCCACTATCATTCTCGTAGATGCTCACGAAGACATTTTGTTCACCAAGTATATCCACAAGCTCTAGCAGCGAGGCACCCCATGGTCCACGGATCAAGTCTGCCTTGACTATGTTTGCCGCGATGAATATTTTCTCCTTATCTGGGTTCCCACGCGCGGGCCCTGTAGAACTGATTATTCTTTCACGCAGTTGGTTGTAATGTTCTGGCGGTCGTTGGTAAGACGGGTAAAAGAAGGCTTCTAGGACTGAGACGAAAATGAATCCTGCGATTAAGTAGCAGGTATACTTTAGCATGCGACGGAATATGTAGCTTTTCCCTCTCCAAGTAGCCCGTCGTTTGTGAAACCGGTTGCTTCGAGGTATAAGATCTCGTAGAAAGGTTCTTGCACTGTTACACCAGCGTCGGACTACCCATCCATCTTGTCTGCGGTCTCCTTTACCACCAAGAAGTAGCTCAACATGACTGTCAGCGTCAAGGTATTCGTCGTAAGATGTTCGCGAAGTAAGGGGAATGGAAGACGACATCGATAGTTGGGAGATTCTCGGGATAGGGCCTGTTCTTTGTTATCTCAACTCTCCACGATAGTTAAGGGGGCCCATCTCAGGCTGCATTTCCTGCATTTCTCTGCTTCTCTTAAATATGAATTTGGAAGAACAGAAATTCTCTTCCCTGGCTGCCTCCACGTGATTGATTGGCCTATATTTGCCCATTGTTATACGCCCCAACATCAACTTGAACCCCTTACAGACACACCCTTGGTGGCAGCCATGCAAGTCGTCAAGTTAGTACTCCGTACTCCTATACGTATATTAGTTAAGCTTTTAACTTTTAGCTTTTAGCTACTCCGAACCTAATTATAAATCCTAATTTCGGTCGGACCATTTTAGTTAGTTACTAAGCACTAATCAAGCCTTCCTTAGCTTCGGTCGAGGATGCCTCGGTCAAAGTCCACAACCAAAACATTCCAACTTCACGATAAATACAAACGCGAACCTTGGTCTAGCCCTTTCGTATACTTCGATATCGTCAGTCGTTTATATTCGATGGTGCGCCTGGAGTTGAACGTCAAACTGGATTATTCCTTATAAATGCCTTGTACATCCCAACGAGCATCAGAACTGCATACACAGACAGCCTCACCACAGGTGCGATATGGGAGCTCGTTAGGCATACAAGTGCATACAAAAGATGACGTCTGCCACCATGTGTATGATCTTTCGGTTGAACGGTATCTATGATATCGTCACTACCCATCACATCCGAGGAATCATCGGGATGACATCACCGGGCTTGCCACACAGGAAGCTCTGCTATGGACGGACAGCTCGATGATTGAAATAAGCTGCTATGTACCCGCTGAATTAGACAGCTACAACAGACGCATTGCTAATTCCTTTTTTCTTTTACTTCCTTTCCTTTCGACCTGCAGGAGCGACAATGCCTCAGTTCTTTAAGAACGACCTATACTTGGTCCCCATTGACAAAGTATCACTGCAGAGCACGCTCAATGAGCTCAGAGAAGCCATCACCCGGGGTTTTGCATTGATCAAAGCGAACAGCCCTACACCAGATATAAATGACACCAGGGCGTTTGGCTCTTTATATACCGGCGACAATGGTATGCTCTCAGACGGTCAAGGACACCAAACTAGTGGCTGAGCAACGAAATTTCACTACAGGAATTGCAGTCATGGCTACTCGCATAGCTATTCAAGCCAAATACCTCGGCGGTACCAAGGCAGAGACTGATGCGTTGGTTGCCAGTGCCCATAGTTTGGCTAAGGAGCGTCTCAGCCCGCATCTGGTTGATATACATCCACAGCATGGACAGGTTTCGCCAACCGGATCAGCTCATCTTGGTGCTGCATTTGCTCGTACCTTTGCTGCCGCAGCGAATATGACGTCTCGGACGGGGGGTGTTTGTAGAATCCATTCTCGGGACGTTGCATGTGTCTGTGAAGCATTTGACCATGCGTGCGATGAGAACTACGGCCTCGGATACGATGATGCCCTGAGCGGAAGAGCAGGAATTCTTCGTGCTGTTCTTGCTTTTCGTCAGTTTCGTCTAGACAGGGAGACGGCGGCATCCTACACCATGGTATTCGAGAGTGTGCCCATTTTGGTAAACTGCATGATAGAGGCAGGTAAACATGGGGCAGAACTGTTCGTGGAAGAGCATGGAGAAAGCGAAGCTCTTCCCCTTATGTGGCCGTGCCGGGGCAAATACTATGTTGGAGGGTAAGTCTACCACCGCTCTAGCCAAACAACAAAGTACACCATCCGAGCAGAAGCTAATCGTATGATCTTAAATGTCAAGTTGTCACGGAATATGTAAGTATCGCCGTTGTCTAATCGTTCCATTGTGTTTGGTATAGACGCTCACATGATGAATGTAGGTGGTATCCTTGCCATCCTCCTCGAATGCAAACTTGAGGAGCTAGGAGATGGAGACCCGGAAAACAACCATCTTCCTATCATTGGGAGGACAATCACACAGCTTTGCAAGCTAGTCATCGCCAACGAGGGCCATCTCCCATCCTCTCTACCCCACAACTCACTATCACGTCATTCCCCTCTCGTCCAAGTCTGCCATGGTGCCCCTGGGTTCTTGATTCTACTAGCCCGCTCACGAGGCATTGCACGCCTAGCGAGTCTACATTGGGAACCATGCTGGGACAAAGCAATATACATGGCCAGCCAAAGAGTATGGGAACAAGGCCTCATTTTCAAGGGTGGCAGCATATGTCATGGCATCGCGGGAAACGCATGGCCTTTCTTAATGCTACACAACTTGTTTGAGTACGGACCTCAGGGCACGAGAGCCGATAGGATGGCCTTCAATGAGCGACTGGCACAAACACCGCCGCCTCCGCAGAAATGCTCTGCAGACCAATACCTTTCGCGCGCATTGGCTTTCCTCCTACATGCCAGAAAGACGCAGCCTTTCAACACGCATACGTATGAGGAGGGCATCCAGTATCGTATGCCAGATCACCCATATAGTCTATACGAAGGGCTTTCTGGGACGATTGTTGCTTGGGCAGAGGCCTGCGTAGTGATAGCAGCGCGCCTGCGAAAGATGGAGGTTGACGAAGCTGTTGGCCATGGTGCCTATGATAGTGATGGAGCTTTTCGCCGAGACCTCCGCCATGTGTTGGGAATCCCTGGAATTGCAGTTCAGGGATATATATAATGTTCCAAATCCTGTTTTGATAGTTTTCATTCGTGGTACGGTTGTTAGAGACTGACTTGAAATATACAGAGTCAGGGGAGAAGAGCGTAGCAAGTTATTGCTTTTTTTTTTGGGTACTTAGCGTTCTAACGATGTACAATTACATGATGCGAGCTTCATACTTTATCGAACAATAGATCAGCGTAATATCACAGCAGAACTGAATTCTATGTCATGACCAACATAAATTAAAAGCCTTCATCGTCATCTTTACCCAGTAGTGCGGCATAATCTTCGACCGATGCAAAAGTGGGCAGATGTTTGAGTTTTCGTCTCTTTTCCCTCTTCGATTCTGACTTCTTTTCCGTATCTTTGAATTCAGTCTCCATGTCCAAGTCAGACGGCAACTCTGCGTCGCTATCCAAGAAGGCCTCCTCATCTGATTGATCGATGTTAAACATGTCATCATCCATGTCGATGGATTTATCCACCTCAGCTTCAGAGACAGCTTCCTCTTCACCTGAGCTCTCTTCATTGATGATAACATCATCGTCAATTTCACGATCCCCGTCCATATCTCCATCCATACCCTCCAAATCATCATCGCTTGCGTCCATGGCAGATTCAAAGTCATCCATATCCATGTCATCATCACTAATACCTTCGCCATCCAGTTCAGGCTGTGATTGTACCAAAGCCTTCCAAACTTCAGACTCTTCATCACTCTCGCCTTCTTCGTCATCACCCTTGGAAGCTTTCTTCTTGGATTTCTGACGCAACTTGTCCTTTCCTAGGCGGTTGAAGTAATCGTGGAAGAAAACATCTTCGGCAGCAACCTCGTCACTTTGTTTCCTCCAGAATGACTCGCTGTTAACTGGTTGCTGTGCTGCATTTCGTCCAGATGTTACTAATAGGCCACTGGAGTCCCCGCCAGCAAGAGGCTGCATGATAGAGGACCCGCGAAGACTAGGCGTAGCCTTCGGAGTTTTGTAAACAAAACGATCCAGGAAGTGAGTGAGAGTATGGATCGTGAGGTCTGGTTTCCCAGACATCTTTTCATGTGTTAGCAGCTGTTTAGCGCTAACAGCTACCGAGGGGTGATAGTGGGACAGATAAGGGAGCTAAAGAAGGGTTATCAGTTAATTTCGAGCTAGTTGCATTTAATAAGGTTCATATTGAAAATACTAACCAGCTCCCAAAGACAACTTCTATCAGCGTTGCTTTGCTCTGGGTCTCTCTTTCGAGGGTCATAACGAGTTGCAGAAAATTTTGCCTTAGCTTCTTCCTTATCTACCTCCATTTCCTCTTCTCCATCGTCTGGAACATCCATAAAGACTTCTTCTTCGTCATCGTCCTCGGCGTCTTCAGGTTGATCCACCATAGCTGTAAGAGACGGGAATGTCGATTCGAGCTGTTTAATCAAATACAAAACACCACAACTGAATGATGGGTTGTGCACGCCTAGTATTTGAACTAAACGCTTGACAAACGCCTTGATTCGTTTTATGTTGACATCAGTGTTCAATGCCTTGTATAGCAGATTAAGGTACATCGACTGTTTTGAGGATGTTGCCACACGAGGATCCAGTAAAGACTCATAGAGTGTCTTGTAAAAGCGGTCTGCTGAAACTGCGTGTGATGAGGAGAGCTGTTGAATAAGCATGAGAGCTTGAATGCTTGTGTTAAAATTAGAAGAATTAGTAATGCGGAATAGGGTATCCAGGTGTTTAGAAAGCCTATAATGGGAGCAATGTTAGCCATCATGGTCCAATGAATATGTTTGCGGGAAATTACTTACAATTCAAAGCTTGACGTAGTAAAAGGATAGGCGCGGTTAACGCCAACCAAAACAGCTGAAATGAGTTTCTCTCGTAGTTCCTCATCCTGAGCTTCCCCCTTGGCAGCATCATTCCCCCCCTTCCCCTTTTTCCCTTTTTTAGAGTGTTTGTCCTTTTCATGCTTCCCTTGGGTGTGCGTTTCTTTCTTTGACTTTAGAAGAGCAACGAAAAGAGGGAAATAAATGTCAAGAAGCTGTGATGCAACTTTATCGTCGCCCTTGCTCAGAATGGTCTGGTTGAGAGTGATCACTCCATAGTATTTTGCGTGTTGACTCTGCCCGGGGCGGAAAAGAGATTCCGACTCTATCGCAGATACAATTGTTCCCTTCATGAGCGGGTGGGCTTGTTCGAGCTGAAGGAGAAGGTAGGAAGCCCGCGAAGCAATCTTTTTGCTAGGGTCACCCAACTTATTGATCAGAAGACGTAGTAAGTTAGATTCCTGTTCTGGTTTTTCCTTCAGAAGCTCATAAACGTAACTCAGGGCCCTCGATCGAGAGAATTCGATTTCATCGTTGCACCAAACTTCGAGGACTTTCAGTACCTCGAAGTATTGGTCTTTAACGAAGTCTTCGAACGCCCACATGATTAAATGGCTCTTCTCAATCTGATTTGGAAGCTTGTCGCCAACGTCCCAATTACCCCCTGACTCCGCCAATGCAGCAGCTAGGGCTGGCTGATTAACAAAATATTTCAATCGTCGATCACTAGGAAGTAAGGTGCCTTGAGCAAACATATCTTTCAGTGAGCGTAAGACTTCGACAGCCTGAGCTCTGCTCCGCTTTTTTGCTAAACCGACTAAATTTTCCAGAGCCTGGGTATTGTGAAGAGGCGACTCTTGGGCTGAGAGGGTCAAGGCTGATATTTTGTCACTTAGGGTCCCTGAAGAAACAATGGTCGAATAAAACTTATAGCTCGATGACTTTGAGTCTCTATTGGACGCATATGCTTTATTTTCAGCCTCCAGTAGTGTCATGGCGTATTCACGAACGCGCTCAAGTATTTGTCGGGAAACATTTATAGGGCGACTGGAATCGTAAGAGATATCCGGAAGTGGAGTAGCATACCAATCCGAGCGATCGGGAATGATCTATACGTATAGGTATCAGCACAATAATTTCCCCATAGCGATATGGTTTACTCACAAGATTTGAGGATGAAGATGAACTCCTCTTAGGAACCTTAGCTTCCAGGGTCGATGCCGTTGTCCCCGAGATCGTAGCATCCTTCTTCTGTACCTTTTTACTCTCGCGCTTAACGGGAGTATTCTCTGAGACAGCATTTCCCGGAGACTTTTCCTCCTGTATGGGCTTCTCTAGCAATCTTTCTCCGGATGGCTTCTTGTCCTGTTTCTTTCCTTGCTTCGTTTTGGCAGATTTCGTCTCCCCTTGCGCAGGAGTATCTTCAATATCAGGTAGCTCATTTTCACCATTAATCAGCCTACCGAGGTCTCTTCGGAGTCTCTCAAGATCACCGCTAGAAATTTCTTTATCTTCCATCTCTGAGTCTGATTCAGCGCCAGCAACAAGATCAAGATCCTCTTTTGTCCCGCCAATTGCATACACCTCTTCTTCCCAACTCTTCCCGTCCGCACCCTGTTTTTTCTCCGGCGAGTATGGTTTTTCAGCCACTTGAGGTTTTATTATCTTCCCACTTCGATCTCGTTTCTTTCCCGCTTTGTCGGTGGCATTGATATCTGCAATTGGCTCTCTTTTTTTGGCGGGTTTATCAGTGTGCTTCACCTCATTGTCCATCTCTCGCCCTTTGCGCTTTTCATTCTTTTCCGGTTTTTGTTTCTTATCAACCTTGGATAAGGCTTTATTTCCACTCTCATCGCCCTTCAACCTTTGCTCAATTCGCTTTGTGAGGTTAGCTACCATAGCATCAGAGAAGCTAGGTGCTGCGTCTGCATTGCTATTCGACCGCGTTTTTTCAGCAACAGCGGCATCTTTGTCCTTGGGCGACTTCTCTCCCTTTTCCTTTTCCTTTTTCATTGCGTTTTATAGTTGGTTTGGTGTTGTCATAAGTAATTCGAGAATTCAGTCGCATCAAAAAAAAAAAACTGTGATTTTCTATGTCGGAGAAAAGTTAATCCTCAGCTCGATCAGATAAGGAGATTCATCAATATAAAAGGTTGACGACGTTAAAGAGACTCTTTCGTAGGCTTATCATGAACCGAAATAGCTTCGAATACCTATTTACAAATATCAATTCGCTGTTACCGGTTAATATCTCAGTCAAGTCTCATGTTCCTTCGATCTGGGCTAAAATATGGCCTAGAGTCGCGACAATGGCGACCAGCATTAAGTATCCTTCGCGCAGGATGTCTGCAGAAATACCATGTAGGTGACTTGAGTTCTCAGATGGAATAGCATCTTTAACATGTTATATATACAGAATGATGCAAGGAACCGAACGTCAAGTTTTTGGACACCGTCTGGTGGGATAGCCGAGGCATCCAAAAAAGGAGGTATGGTAGAGCTGCTTTTATGCAAACGGGAGGTTTCTGATGCTAATTACTTATATAGTCGATTCTAATGACCTTCTAATTAGAGCTGGGTTTCTCAGACAGGTACGCTTTATATAGTATTAAAAGGGGCTCTCAGCTCACATAAAAGTAGCCTTATTCAGGGGTTTTCCATCTTCTTCCTCTCGGGCTCCGGGTTCAAGAAAAATTGGAGAGACTTATTGATAAGCATATGCGCAAATTAAGTGAGTAATCTCGACTATATTTTGCCGTGTTCAGTGCTAATAATTTATTGTAGATGCATCAAAACTATCTTTGTCATCACTCTCGTCTCAATCTCTTTGGAAGAAGTCAGGGAGGCTACACGAAGGTGACTCTGAGGTATAGAAGACATTCACTTATTTTAACGAAGAAAATTATTATATATTAACCACCAAACTAGGTATTCCGGCTTCTGGATAGGAAGAAGACCCCACTCCTTCTTGCTCCCACTCATGAGGAAGAGATCACTACTGTTATATCTAGTCTTGTTAAATCATACAGAGATCTACCACTAAGAGTATACCAAATTTGTAAGTCTGTTTCCCATAAGGCTTTTACTTTCCCGCTTACTAAATATGTACATCATAGCAAGAAAATATCGTGATGAACCAAGACCACGGCATGGCCTTTTACGTGGTAGGGAATTCGTCATGAAAGACCTCTACACCTTTGATTCTACGGAAGCCGAGGCAATCAATACCTATAATACAGTGAAAGACGCTTATATGGAGCTTTTTGAGGAACTAAAACTTCCATTTGTTGTAGCCTCAGCTGCTTCCGGCAATATGGGAGGCAACTTAAGTCATGAATTTCATTTCCCTAGTTCAAAGGGAGAGGATACAATCGTCAGCTGCTCTCAATGTGAATATGTCTTTAACGAAGAGTTAGCTAGTGGAAAGTCTCCCAACGGCTCTATCAGTCATAGGCTAGAGACAAATCCTGCATGTGACGGACTAGGCCGTCAAGAGGCAGCGGCTATCTCAACCGGTCAATGGACAGCGATCTCAAGGGATAGGAAGACCCTAGTAAGGGCATTCTATCCCAAATTCCTTATTACTAACGGAGAATCACAGCCAGCTCAGCGAGAAGTGAACCAGCATTCTCTAAAATCAATTGTGTCGGCGTACGGAATAGATCTCGACATAGGTGTTAAGGATGCGCTTGCAACCTGGAAAGCTGAAATTCAGAAACGACCTCAAACTGCTAGACAGGATATTCATGTCCTGGACGTTTATGATTCCCGAGTCCGTGTTTATGACAGGCCACCAATTAAAGATCTTATGGAGGGGGTAACTTGTAATGACCTTAACATTCAGTCCTCGCTACTTGACCGCTTTCCTGGGACTGATGCTGGCCTGGATTTACTTCGCGCGAGGGCCGGAGACGACTGCCCTAATTGTGGAAACTCGGCTCTCAAAACATACCAGGCCATAGAACTTGCCCACACATTCCATCTCGGAACGCGGTATAGCGGTGTGCTACAAGCGAATGTGGCTATAAACCCTGCCACTTTGGAGGAAGGACAGCAAGGAAAAACAGAACTTGTTCCAATACAAATGGGCTGTCACGGCATTGGGGTTTCTCGAATGATATCCGCAGTATCAGATATCCTTGCAGACAATAAGGGGCTTAACTGGCCACAAGCCATTGCCCCATTCCAGGTCGCCGTTGTACCCGCAAAGGGACTAGAAAAAGAAGCGGAACTTGTCTACGACTCCGTTGCTGGACAAAACGGTGAAACAGTAGACACAATATTGGACGATAGAAACAAGGACTTCATCTGGAAGCTGAGAGACGCCGATCTTGTTGGATACCCTATTATACTGGCTGTTGGAAAGAAATCATGGAATGCTGGGAACCAGGTAGAGGTTCAGTGTCGGCAGCTAGAAAATCTTCGAACTACAGTTTCCTTGGAGGAAATACCCAAGCTCGTTTCGTCTCTACTCAGCAAATTATAGCGGAGCCTAGTTTTGTCCTTGGGAGGCAACGGTTTCTGTATCTGTAATATATTGATTATACTAGCGAGCGGCGTTTTCGGGGATATTATGTACTGTTCTACGATAGAGTTAATATTGGAGGGCATTTTCTTTATATCTGAAATCTGGACGTGCAATTGAACATCCACCAGTGCAGTCAATGTATTGACTTCGAATAATACTGGCATTGATCCGCCCTGGATCTTTAAATATAACAAAACATTCGTTCGCCATGTTAGTCTACTAAATCCTCCACGTCACTTTCCACCAACAGAAACATTCCCAAATCGTCAACACAGCAATATACCATATCATAACATTCCATTATAATATTCACCCGTACCCTGGAGATTAAAATGGCTTCTTCACAGAAGTCCGCAACTCAAGCTCCTGGCACAGGTTTGTTACCCCGCAGTCCTACTTTTGCTCCAAGCTCAACACATTGCAATGGCAGCAATTGGGATGAGATATACAAAGTGCTCGCCTGCTAATCTAGAGGTAATTAGTTGATATCGCTACGCTTTCAGTACCTCAGCTTCGCTCGCTTCAGTCTCGCCTAAGCTCTGAGCTCGAACATCTCACATCCTCACACACAAAGCTGCGATCAGCGCAGTCGAAATTCCGAGAATGCATTCGCTCTATAAATGACGGTATCCTCGCAAAACCAGAAAAGGATGGGCAAGAGAACGATATTTTGGTGCCGTTGACGAACTCATTGTATGTCAGAGGGAAGCTATCAGATAGAGAGAAAGTGATTGTGGACGTTGGGACCGGGTTCTATGTTGAAAAGGTATGGAATATACCTATTCTTTTCCGGTTCTTCCTGTGGGCTGAGGGAGTTTGAAATAGACATAAGGGTCGAGAGTGCTAATTTCCCCTTTACTAGACACCCACTAAAGCTATTGAATTTTATAATGGGAAAGTGGGAGAGCTAGGCACAAACTTGCGTGACCTAGAAAAAGTTGTGGCAGGGAAGAGCACAAATCTAAGAGTCGTTGAAGAAGGTAATGTCAATCATGCCATACTTTTATCCTACCTCATGCCTCGAGTGACTAGCTAATAACGAATATGATACAGTGTTGCGCCAAAAGCTTCTCGCTGGCGAAGGCAATGCGGTGCAGGCAGCGCCTAGCGGCGGTGGACAATCTTGAACGCAGAGGGAAATATTTATATCCTTGTTGAAGGTGCAGTTCATGAGTCTGCCATTACACAAGTTCAAACATCGCCGTGACCATTCCAGAAGTCAGAGTAAAACTGCCCGGGGAATACCATATCTTGAGTGAAGATATGGTTGAACCTCTTACTCTGGAACACTTGGTTAATTAGGACCGGGCGTTGGGTAACTAGATATTAGCAAATGCTTGTATCTAAAAAAGTCCCATAAATTACTAGGTATATTACGGCTTTATGCATATATAAAAAGAGAATTTTTTTGGTCTAGATATTTTTACTTCATTCTTCTCAATTCGTTCTCTTCAAGATAGATATAGGAAAGCCTTTGAAGATATGCACGGTAATATGTATATCAATAAGGCGACCACATGAAATAATATTCCCCGAGGTATGCCCCGGGGTTACAGGGAGATGACCTAGGCACTTTATCGAGAATTCATCCGTAGCACCTCCTCTAGTACAAGTTCCAGGTAGCATTCTTTGCTCTCCCAGATGTAATATATTTCTTTTAGGTCGCTTGTTCCCTGAACCCAGTGGAGGAAATACGTTTAATAGTGTATTTGAATCCATTTCGTAAGCCTGAAATTCAGGTTGTGCTGGAGCTATTAGATTCATTCACTTCCTCCATTTGCTGTACGACGGTCTTGTTTGCAAGTCCCCTCTCTCGCTTGTGCCCAAGCAAAGACGAGACTTGCTGGATAAGAGGCATAAAGCAATTGAATCCGCTTCGAAGATCGGTTGGATCAGCATCACCAAAGCAAGGGAAGAATGTGTTTAGGCTAGGACTCCAGTCTGCATTATGCCCAACTCCGAAATTAGCATGCTGGCCGAGCATGTTGTCCCATTGTAGGTCAAAGATAGATGCTCCCCAAGATGTTACTGGGGTGGAGGACATATGATTCGGTTTTGAGCCCTGAAGAATTTGAGCAGCTGACCATTGAGAAGGCGAGTATTCGTCGTATCGGGCAAGTTCAAAAATGTAATTAGTTCCTTTTAGTCGGTAGCGCAGGGCTGATTTCTCGACAATTCGGGCAATAGGTGCAAGGTTTGAGAACGATACCCGTTGTTTCCCGGGGCTGCTCAGGTCAGGCATCTCTTCAGGCTTAAATTTGACTGAGTGGGAGAACTCTCTCAGAGATTGTTCGATAGTAGAAGGCTCTTGGAATTCAAGAGCTTTGATCTCCAACTGCCAATCCGATCTATTAAAAGTACTTAGCATGGTTTACCTTTAATGTAAATCCAGTAGCAACAGTACCTTTCAAAGTCAATAACTGCAACCTGGAGCGGTGGCCGTTTGTCACCAATAGTGTCACCCGCCTGAGGTCGTACCCAGCGCTTCTGGTAGACCTCAAAGCTATCAGTAGACGGTGACTTTGCAAATTCAACCTCCAATCTCAGAAGCGAGCTGCTACCCTGGAACTCAAAATTGACAGCATACAAAGGTTCTGGCTGTTTAAGGGGAGCTGTATCGGACCCATTAAGGGGAGCAAGAATATGATTTGCAGAGGCGCATTTGGCCAAGATATTGGTATTCCCACAGTTGTACTCTAGTCTATAAGTCCTATTAGTAGCCATTATGTAAAGAAATGCCCAAATGAAATGTGAATATTACCCTTGCACTAGATGTCCTCTAGTTCTAGAATTGAGTAGCATTGTCCTAAATTCATCAAATGTATATCGGGCTCTCGAGTCTTTGGGTTCTCTGTAATCGTCCAGAATGAAGGTTCCAAAGTTTACGCGCATACGCATATGGCCACGGAGAAATCGAAGTCCCTGGAGTGATTCCTCAACTGTTTCACGGAGGCGACGTTCGTTACTGGTGGTGGGATTTTCTTCTTGGTCTTGCAAGAAATCCGGGTTCATTGGGGTTAGGGGAGGCCCATGTAGCACTGGCGTGGCATACTCCTGCCCTAATGCTCCGATGGAGTGAGCAACTCGAGTTATTGCGACCTCGTTATTCCTAATCTCTGGTGAATCTGACTGCACCAGGTAGAGCTTAGACTGGATATGAATCTTTGCCATAACCTCCGCCCATTTAGCGCGAAGTCGGTGTACAGCTTTAATAATGTTATCATGGTCATCACCATCAACCCTGATAAATGACGGCTGCTCATCGTAAACATATATGTAGCAGCCTGTCTCACGGCGAATAGGATCAAGAGTCTCTAATTGCGGCCCCAATAAGTCGAACGGCACCTCATCCGTCGGCCAAAGAAAGAGCAGCTACAACCATGGTATTAGCAGGTATAATAATTCAGGTAAAGAAGTGCCTAAAGAGACAACATACTGTTTCCAAGAATTCAAAAGCTAGGCTTGGTTTCTGGCGAAGCTGTTCAATAACAGTACTGTGTTTGTCAATCTGATCAAGACGTGCCTCTTTGACTTGGGAGTAACTATGAACTTTTGCGAAATACGCCTTTTTCTTCTTTTGTAGCCCACCCACAGAGCAACGGTTGATTAACCGCATGATCGCACTTTTAGCAGCTGCTACCTGAGCTGGGCTACCCCAAATATAAAGCCACTGTAGTGACGTATATTAGCCACAAGCAATGATTAAAAAAACTCAACCTGCACATACCTGTTCAGAGGATTTCTTCGGCTGCGGAATGAAGGCACATGTATCATGGTTTATCTTATCAAATAAGAAGTCATTGACGTTCCCACAATCCGGCCCTAGTCCTTTGATATATTCCGCGACCCTAGAGTATTTTTGTCAACATGGCCCATCAGCCGAAATCAGTTATTAACCACCAACCTCTCCTTTAAGCTCCCAAAAGACATTGGGAGCCGATATGAACCTAAGAAAACATATTAACTGCAGTTAGGATATTATGTTCGGTACACACTCACCTGATGAAGCGGCACCAGAGGCCCAAGCATTTTTATTGGCGGATAAAAAGGAGGGAGGCCGATCACAGCGTGCACCAGGAGTAATATTATGCACGGCTTGGGAAGGAGGTATTGAATCTGATGGATGCGGTGATGGAAGGGGAATGTCGACACTATCCTAAAGAATTTATCTAATCAGCTTCTCATATCCTTATAGCGGTTTAATTACTTACTTGCTCGGTTTTGGATCCAGGTAATACATCAGAGATTGCGGTGTGGCCGTAATCGGCAACCTCCTTGTCATCGTCGTCCTTCAAAATCTCAACTTCCCGAGAACCAGGCTTCCCCTCTTCAAGGCACCACTCTATAAACGTTATTAGACCGCCTGACTCTCCTAAAGGAGTTTTGTTTCCTGCTCACCTTTTGCGCCTGAAATTTCGTGGCTGTCAACACTGTCAGTTGATGATCATAAACAGCAGTTGATTGGGATAGGGGTGCTTACTCCATGGCTGATTCTACCAAGCTAGAGCCGCTTCTCAGTGCTCTACACTAAATTTCTGAAGGTTGAAGGTCTCGTAGTGGTGGATGTAGTTTTCTCTTGTGAGAGGGAAGTGTTGTTGGCAGAAGGTGGAAGCGGCAAGTGAAAAAAAAAAAAAATAAGCACCAGCGAGTCTTCACTCTTACTATAAGCAACAAGTGAATTTCTTAGGCACAACGGCAGCATAAAAATGGAGACTTCATCTCAGAGACTACAAGAAAAAAGCATTTTGATTCATAAATGATATATCATTGGGTAAATAAAACGGATATACATAAACGACATGCAGCCATCCGGTTGTATACCCGTTTTGATATATCAGGCTAGGGTTGATATCATGAAGCTGTCGTTGCTTCATCCATTTATATAAGGCTGTAGAATATCAGCAAATATTCTTTCGCCTCGCTGTATCGCGACCTTGAAGTAACGACAGAAGCATATCAAATTGAATATCCTGCTTTAGTAACAACAACACTTTGGTATACCAATGGAAAATCCGGTTGTACTGCAGTTAGGCCTTGAATCCATTATTTAGAGTAATAAATTCTTTACAGCAAATCCAGGTTCATCGAACGAGATGCTGTAGGCCAATATCAAACATGATAACATAAAGTCTTGGGTGGTTGATGTTTTATTAAAAAAAAAATGAAGACAAGATACTATTGGATACTGGATGGGCTAATTTCATGATATTATTGGTTCTAACTGACATTAATTATGTAATATAAATAAAATAACGCCCTGTGATTGGATAAAAACTCCATATTTAGCACATCGCTTTGCTTTGCTGCTTCTTCCTCTCCAGTAATTTGATCGGCTTTTTGTTGCTATTTATTTTTTGGATAGCTAGCTATTAGTTAGTAACTGGCTCGTTAGAACCAATAGCAAAGTGCCGGCAGCATCATGGATGAAGAATTCTCTATGTCAATGTATGGCCGCTTTCTAAGCCGGCAATGAGGGTGTTCTTCACACAATCTCTTAAGAATTGAATATTAGAGCAGCTGCCTTAAAAAGTAGATGTAGATGTCTCTACCAGTAAATGGACTGCTAAAGCCAATCAAGTCATAAACGATATCAGGTAAATCTGGGACGAATTTGCCCGGGGCAGCAGAGAAAACGGATTATGTATAATCCGAGGACATGCGACCAATCAGGAAATCGGCGATTGACTTCATCCTGCAACCAAGCTGTTTCCAAAGCGCAAGACGCCAGCTTCAAGACCAACAGCTTCAACTCCCAGAGAGCCATTGAGCCAGCAAGATGTCCGGCGCACGGAGACCTCAGTAGGCCCTCCCACCCTCGCTCATCATTTTTTCCAGTTGCCCAATGCTGACGCCCGTTTTTTGTCCAGGTTCAACCAAGAGTCCCTCACGGACAACACGCCTCTGCCAGACCACATCCCAAAAGTGGAAGAAATTGGTGCCACCTCGGCACCTTTGATGAGCGCTTCATATTTCATTGGAGACCGATGCAGAGCGTTCAATGACGATTACATGAAGTGCAAGGCCGAGGCCGGCGGTCGAGGAGAACTGGATTGTCTGAGGGAAGGCCGCAAAGTCACCCGTTGTGCTGCGAGCGTGTATGTCCATCCATATTCTGACTACTGTCATTGGGAAGAAGATATTAGAGGAAACCGGTTGAATATGCCAGTTGCTGACTTGGTGGATGATATGCAGAATAAAAGACATCAACACGCACTGCATGCAGCAGTTTAAGGCACACTGGGAGTGCCTAGAGCAGAACAACCAGCAGCTATGGTACTGCCGAAAGAATGAAAACCAACTTAATAGCTGTGTCTTTGAAAAGCTTGTACGTCTAATCTACTGTTCCCTATATCTTTGCATCAACGAGAAAGCGCGGTTTGCTGATCATGAATAAATTTGAACAGGGCCTGAAGAAAACCATCCCTGATACCCCTGCCGGTCAAGTCCCCGTCCACCTTCGCAAGAAACAGATATACGCAAACTACCAAGGCGAACAATACTAGATTCAATTTCTTGCTTTCCCTGCTCTCCCTGCAAGAATCCATACTCTTCCCTTTCTCCACTTGTGTATGTGTAAATATTAGTTAGAAACGCATCAACATGTACTGTGCATGTTTGTTTTACCTGCCGTCTCTCTGGTACCCTGCAGATTATACGTGTTACAAAGAAAAATCTACAGTTTTGCTGTCCAAGTGTTTTTTCCTTTGTATTCCCAGATGGTTCGTCAAAATGCGTAATAGGTTACGGAGAAACGTAAATCAACAAGAAGAGAAAAGACATGTTTTTAGACAAGTGATTGTAAAAGTAAGAAAAGGGTTGATCAGGATCGATCAAAATGAAGGATAAAGTGTAAAAAAGGGCCATGAAGAAGTCAAAAAGAATTGATGGTTCTTTGTTTTAAAAAAAAAAAAGAAGGATAAAACATCGAACGGATTTCGTCAAGTCTGGAAAGAAAAGGGTAAAACGACAAGACATATAGATCCCAACTTTTTTGGAAAAAAGTAAAAGATAAAAAAGAGGGAGAAAATAGCAGAAAAGAATAAGAAGGTTCCCACCCCAAAAAAAAACACCTACATGTACCGTGCGATGACATGCTAATGAAGAGAGAATGGACGGTTGACAGCAAACAGCGCGTTCAAACCGTATCCAACGGCATCGATCCTTTACGCAACAACGACAGGTTGTCCAAGTGGAGGATGAACATTATCAGCATACCGACCAACGACGTTACCTATTCAATATATGATTAGCATCAGATACTATAGTGTATTATCTAAGGTGATATGTTTACCTGCTGGGCTGTAGTTGCAAACGGTGTACAAAGCGTTGCGGGCAGAGGCCTGACCACCGAGATTTGGACAGTTGGCGGTGAAGCATCCAACATGGGTAGTTGCCTTCCAGATGATCTGAGTCAAGTGACCCCATGCATGGAAGTTCGAGGGATTATTCATGCCGTAGTTGCCCTCAAAGTACATGAACTCTTCGTTGTACATGCTGTTGGTGATTAGAGCACCAACGTTGTTGAAGCCGGACTGGTAGCCGATGTTCTGGCCATAACCGCCACCGCCAATTTCGCTATTATTGTTTATGTTAGTAATAATTCAATCATGTAAAAAAGATGAAAGCGAACATACGTGTTGTGTCCGTAGCTGCAGCTCTCAGCAAGCTGTCTGGCATAATTCTCTAGAGTTGAATCCCAGGTAAGATCGGAAGCAGAGTGGTTGGAACGGTGGACGTTGTGGTGGTACATGACAGTTCCCTTGTAGTCACCTCCGGGATTGGGTGGAGGTGGTGAAGGAGCTTGGGTTGGCTTTGGTGGAGGAGCATAGGTTGGCTTTGGTGGTGGTGGTGGTGGTGGAGGTGGCGGGGGAGGAGCATATGTCGGTTGAGGCGCTGGCTCTGGTTCTGGCTCCGAAGATGGTTGAGGGGGCACATAGGTCGGCTCTGGTTCTGGCTGGGGGGTGATGATCTTCTCCTTGGGAGAAGTGGTTGGGGGCGGCGGGGGGAAAGACGTGGTGGTAGTTGGGCAGACAATGGTAGTTATGGTCTTGGTCGTGGTCACGACTACGACATTCACATGGGTATGCTGCCTGGCAGGGGTTGCGAGGGATCCAGCAACGCAGAGCGCTGTAAAGAGCATAGAGGTCTTCATGTTTGCAGTTGGGATTTTCCTTTCTTCCTTCTCTTGATCAACAGAGGTTCCAGCAGTTCAGGTCAAGGCAAGGTATATATAGGAACCCAGAGGGCGTGGATGAGGGAGAGATAGGTAGGGAGAGTTATTGAGGCTTGATTTGATAGTTTGATAGTTTTCACAGGTCAACTGCGAAAGAGTTCGATATTTCTCCAAACACGGACGATAAATACACCCTGACCAAGGCAGGATGCTTTAATGGATAAAAAAGTAATGAGCGAAAGGCTTGCCTAGACACTTTAAAGGAATGGAAAGTGGCTAAGAAGCAGTAGTTGGTGAAGAAGAGAAAAGATCGAAAAGAAGACGAGAATAAGAAGAAGGGGCAGAGCAAGCCGGCGGCAAGGTGAGTAAATAAAAGAGAGAGAGAAGCTCAGGGCCCCTGACAGAGATTAGCACCTCTTTTAAAAAAAAGAAGAAGAAGCTCTTAACTCAGATTAAGATTGGTCTAGTCAGGGGAACAGAGGGACGGGAAGCTGGGGTTGAGATGCCGTCCCAAAAAACATGTATTATATATGGAGACATCTGATGATAATAATATTATCGCCCCATTCGTTTGATACCTATCACCATCTTTCTCTCTTGGGCCCAGCCTGGTTAAAAAAAAAAAGGACCGGATATTAGGCACCAAGGCCCATGATGGGGAAGGCCATCCACCTTTGTCGCCTACATCTTCGTTGCAGGACGACCTTGGAGTCATGGCCTAATTTGCGATGAAACAATTCAGGGGCTCCGGCGAGCTGTATCATTTCTTAGCTGTGGGAAACATCATTAAGGTTGGTCTAGACAGCATGAAGCGTTAATTTGTTTCCTTTTCACTCTGCCTTTTGCTCTGCGTGTGTCTCTCTCTCCGTACCACGCCGAATGGATGGCAGTGTATCCAATGTATATCAATGTATATCATCGACTCTGGATGCCGATCCGTTTGTTAGCCTCAACCTGATGATCTCATCGTCGACCTTTTTCGTATTTTCCGTAGTAATAACAATAAACTCCTCCGCCGTGGCGGATTTAGCGCGCCCCAAGTGGAGTGTTTGAGTAATGCAAGTCTTCCCTCCTGGGCCGGCATATCGCTGACAGCATGAACTTCTTCAACAGACACCGTCAACAAAAAGAAAAAAAAAACACGGAGGGAGATGCTGGTCGTTTTCTCAATGCGTGTTCCCTCCCCATCCGTGGTGCGACAGAAAGAAGGCTTGCATATAAACTTCCGTGCACAGAGTCGCGAAGGCTGACGGGGAGATGTTTGGAGCAGATCGCAATCTTCCCCTTCTCACTCTTGTTTATTCGATAGATATGTTCCTTTTTGCTGCGAGTGGCGGCGAGAGAAATCAGGCGTACGGAGTACAGAGTATCGAATGTCAGGGGCGTTCTTCTTTTCTTTTTCAATGACGACGGTTCCATGTTTAAAAAGTCGCTGCCAATCACTCATCGGCGAGGAAGAATCATATCCAAAGCCTCTTTCTCTTGGTCTGGAATGATCCGAACCGTATACTGGCCCTTGTCTCTTCCCTGTCTGCATGGACTCGTTCTCACGCACGATCCCGTAGCTTCATTGTAGTTAAATTTGGTATCCAGGGGTGGAGGATTTTCGGCTCTGTTTTCCGCGATATCATGATTCTTCTTCTCTTCGTTTCTATCCTCTTCGTTTGATTAATTATCGCTTGCTTCATTTTATTACAAGTTCTTCTTCTGAGATAATGCGAACGGGTGTTGGTACTCTGGTATTACTGGAACGCGCCGTGTCTCATGTTGCGCTAAACGAAAGGCCGAAGCCCTGATATTGAACCATCAACAGCCATTCAATGCGACTCACTGGTGGCGAGCTGAAGAGAGGTAAAGAAACCTGTCACTGGCCTGGGGTTTCTAAGTATAGACGGTTTTGTCTCTTCCATGTCTTCCTTCTGGAAATATTTTGTTTAATATCGCTTCTCATATATCTCAGGGAATGGGCGAGAACGACTACCGGGAGAGACAAGGGCTGGGCTGTGTTTGAGAAAGGCTTAATCCGTTAATCCGCGTCAGAAGTTATGCAACGTTAATATACTTATAGAAGTTGAGGGACTTCAGGTCGGTTACTGAGACTCTCCACCAGTCTGTGTTAGAGAGAAGCTAGGCAGGGCACACAAGCACCACATTGTTATTTGGCTTCATCCTTTTTTTTTTTTTGTCTCACTGCATAAGAATAATGTATACCCCGTATTCAAGCTATTATTTTGCTGGGTTGAAGAGTAAACAACAGTGTTAGAGTGTTAGATAAACACCGTAAACCCCGAGCCCTAATGCAGCCCTGCCATGAACAGGGCGCTTATATGTATGTGTATCTAACTTCGACAAATGGGGATGGGGAAAGAAGAAAGAGGAAAAAGAGGAAAAAGAGGTGGAGAATCTAGGCGGCTTCCAGCCCAATATCGACTGTTCGACAAGATCCTGCCTCACAGACAAGCAAAAAGTTTTTTCCTGATGAAAGGTCTTTAAACAGTGAGTTTCGCCCCCGAAGCCATTCAGACTTGTTTGTCCGTAAATCAGTGGCACGAACATCGACCATGGAGAGAACCGTGGCACTAGTTGATGCCGTACCACCTGCTTCAGTACGTATTTTCCGTATCAAATCTCTCTCGGGCTTTGAGCTGTCCTCTCCCGTCGCTGCTTCTGTGGACCCCAGAACACCTGTTATACTCTTCGTGCCTATCTCGAGACCAACGATGACATCCAACATGCCAACGAAGAGGAAAGGATGTTGCATTATCTCAACGGCAAAGGCGTTGCATGTTTGCCTGGCCTTGACCTTGTATGACTCGTCCTCTAGTAACGAGGATAGCCGCAGCAGGTTCTGGGCGATGACGCCGTTGGTTGAAGGCGTCGCAGAGTCCGTTCCCGTCTTGAGACGGAAGAGGGCACTAGGTGTGTTGGTCACCGCCTCAGAGGGGGTCATGTAGTACCCTGTGCAGATACTGCTATCGCTCGTGGACACAGATATGAAATATTTGTTGAGATATTCTGTTCACCGTTAGTCATTTTTTTATGATTGATCCTTTGGCTTTTTTTGTAAAGAATTGATAATTGACAAATAATTGGAAACTCACGTTGCAATTTATCGGCAAATTGTAAATAGGAATCATCAAAGGTGGCTTCATAGAGTTGAATTAATCCAGATATGAGATAGGCATAGTCATCTGCGAATCCAGGCGTGTTTCCCCTGGAATCGGCACGGTAGATCCGCCATAGCTGGCCAGATTCGGCATCGAGCAGATTCTCCTTGATAAACTTGACTGCGTTACTAGCCATAAGCTTGCAGTGTTTTGACTTTTCGGCGTCGATATCTTCCAGCAGTATTGCACATTTCGCCAGTGCACCGATCACGAGCCCATTCCATGATACAATTATTTTATCATCTAATTCAGGCCGTACCCTTTTCGTCTCTCTATACTCTCGTAGTTTCACTCTGGAGTTCTTTAGGATCCGTATCGTTTCTTCTTCGTGGAGTCCAAACTCCTTTGCAACCTGAGCAGGGGTCGTAGCAATCCTTAGGACGTTCCTGTTCATAAATTCGTCGTGGGGGTCGTTAACACGCGCCACATTTCCGTCTGGTAGAACCCCCCAGTGGCGCGCACAGACATCAGCATCACGGTGGCCCAGTATTTGTTTCAATTCTTTAAGCGTCCATACGTAATAGGCACCTTCTCTCTTATCCGTATCGTCGGGGCTAGGTTGGCTATCTGCGTCTTCGGACGAGTAGAAGCATCCCATGGGTGATAGAATTGGAGGACTTGTAATATAAGTGACTAGATCATAGATGGCTCCCAGAAGTTCCGGCTCATGGCTGGCTTCAAATCCATCAATATAGACGTCGAGCAACTGTGCTTGATCATACAACATTTTCTCAAAGTGTGGTAGACTCCAGTCCGGAGTGACGCTATACCGCGAGAAGCCATAACCAATTTGGTCTCGAATACCACCCCGTGCCACCTTGATCAATGTGTTTACAGCCATCTCAGTAGCTTTGGTGCACTCCTCACGGCCAACGATATCCATGACCTCTTCTGGATATCTTGACAGACGAAGTAGGAATGACAAATTAACTGGTGTGGGGAATTTTGGAGAAGTTGAAAACCCGCCATTCGTTGCGTCATAACGAGCTGCAAAATGCACAAAGGCTTCTTCCAGCAGCTCGATCTCCAGGTCTTCCATTTGCTCTTTTTTGTTGGCCTGTGCCAAATGGGTGCCTTCTTCAGCAAATTCACGAAGTTGGCGGGTGATTTCCTTTGCGCTCTCTCGACACCTTAACTGCTGCGTGTTCCAGACATCTCGCAGCTTCTCCAGCACATCGATGAAACCAACTGGTTCTTCTCCACCCAGTTTTGGCAGCGGAGTTGCGTTCGGTCCTGGCCAGTAAGTGCCTCCAAATACAGGTTCGAGGTCAGGAGTGAGAAAGACATTTAGAGGCCAGCCTCCGGAGCCTGTCGTAGCTTGGACGTAATTCATGTACACATCGTCAATGTCCGGTCTCTCCTCTCGGTCCAGCTTGATTGGAATAAAAGATTTATTAAGTATAGCAGCGACCTCAAGGGACATGAATGATTCCTTCTCCATGACATGGCACCCTGTAACAAGACGTTAGTAAGTAGCATGAAGCTGTGATGTTTCCTGGAGCCAAGCCTGGTATAAGCGCACAGTGACAGGCTGAATAGCCAATACTCAGGAATATCAAACGATTGAAATCCTTTGCTAGATTCATGGCCGTAGAATCCCATAGCTGCCATGCTACCGGGTTATTCATGTGGCCGCGGACCTGTGCAGTCGGGATACATATCTTTCTTTAGCCCACTGTCTAGGGTAGAGCATTGTTGCGCTTGCTATAGAACGAACAGACATACATATGGAGAGCGACTTTCACTTAGTCGATTGACCAGCTCAGGGGAGGCTGCAGGGCCAGAGGACTCCTCCATGCGTCTTCTATACGGCGCTGCATCCATGCTGCTGCTGGGGGATGATGTTGGTGTTGGATGTTGCTACTCTGGCGGAGGTGAGGGATGATGGCGGGTTATCCCCGAATTAAAGATATCGTCAGGCAACAACCGGGGATGTACGTTTTGTCTGGGATGTATATTCTCGACAGGGGAAACCCTGATAGTTTGCGCTCACCAATGCTATTATGTATAATAATTACAATGCCAGCCCCAAGACGATCGTATAGAAATCCGCCAGTCGCTGATAATTCGGGTAATTTGTAAGGAAAAGAAAAAAAGGTGGAAATGGGGAAAAGACGGGAAAATGACCTCATAAACACGTGACTTGGACGAGCTTTGAAGGAGATGTAAATAAGTAGGTGTATATTCAAATTTTTTTGGGATATCAAGGATAGAGAATATCAAGTTAGCTATCGTTTAGTAGTTCATCGAGTTCTCGTTCTTCTTCCTCCGTTAGCATTGACTCGGGAGCAGGCTCCGCAGCGGCTTGAGTCTTCTCTTCCGCAGCAGCCTTTGCCTGCTGTATCTCTCTTGGGTCCAGGGGCCATTGGCGAACTGTGGCATCGATGCTGGCACTTATCACCTTTGATCCCACGATAAGCAACCCTGTGACTTCTTCAAAGTGGCCGGAGAAGGTATGGTGAAGCTCTCCGGTCTATGAAGGAGGTCTAATTAGCAAGATGAAAAAAGAAAGTGCCCCCTCTTGATCAGCTCCGGGGGAACATACCGCTCTATCCCAAACTCGGACTTCTTCGTCTCTACAGGCTGTGATGACCCACCCTCGGGCTTCGTCGACCACGATATCTTTGACATAATCTGGATGTTCCAGTGCGGTTTCAGATTTCCATCCTCTCTGCCGGGTGAGACACCGAGCTATATTATCAGCCGAGGCAGTCCATAGATCCCCGTCCTCGTCGAAGAATATTTTATAGATACTGGTTTCATGGACTTTGAAGGGATCCGAGAGAGCCACATCGCTGAGACTCGGAGGGACGGTGAAAGATTGAATACCCTGGCCACTGGATGCACTGAATACCGTAAGAGGGCCGCCTTCCGCCTTTGCTATCGGGTCAGTGGCCAGACACTGTATTCCGTGGGCATGGCCTTTCAAGACGTGTAGTCTGGTCCCAGTGGTGGCATCCCAGATAATAATCTCTGCATCAGCTCCTCCTGATATGAGCAGGTTGCGGCCACTAGAACTGGCGTAGATGACCGCTTTGACAAAATCAGTGTGGCCGGAAAATTTGTGACCGGGTTTACGTGTTTTCACATCCCAGCTCCAGATGGACTTATCCCAGCAGCCAGCATAAACAGTACTACCATCTGGAGAAAGGCAGATACATGGCAGTGGTGCTGTAGGGCCTCTGTAGACTGCAGCTGATTCACCCGTCTGTGTATATCAACTGGATCAGTCTCCCGTTTGGATGTTGATATCGAGCAGCCTTAGCCTCTGGATATATCAAACCTCACCTACTTCTAGCATAAGCTGTCTGGCAGTTCCAGAACTCTCTGCAAGAAACACAGCATCGCCTCTAGCTGGATCCGCCGTTATGGCTAAGATTTTGCTCTGCAGCTTAATTGGACCTCCATTCGAGTTCTTGGACTTCTCACGCTTCCTCTCAGCATTCTCCAACTGTGCCCTAGCCAACCTGTCAGTCAAGCTACCTTGTAAAATAAGAACTCTGTCACTTACGTTGTCTGGAAGAAGTAGTCCCTGTTCGACGTCTGCATGATGACACCCTCTGTCTATATTTCGTATATGTGTGTTCTTCTATAAAATCAAGTTCTTTTTCTTATGTGAGAAGAGAAAAAGCCTGCGCTCTTGGCTCTTCCGCCCAACCGTATCCTCGACTTTGCCTAAAAAAGACAAAAACCAACCTCAAACTCCAACTTCGCCTCTTTTTCGCGCCTGCAACTTCTCAACCACCAACGCACGTCGACGTCTTCTTCCTGCTCGCCTCTTCTGCTCTTCCATTTCCTACTCTCGTGGGGTTTTCTTCTTCTTCTCCTTTTTTTGTTCTGTTTCTCTTTGCTTTCGCCGCGCGGATCCGCGCACCACCGTCATCATGGAAATGAACAATTTTATTGGGTATGATTGGGATAGTGAACCACAGCTTCCGGCTATGCTCGTTGTGCCATGGTGAAGCTAATAAAGCCCTTATAGTCGGCGATTCAATCTCGTCTCGATGAGTGACATCCGGTAGGAAACGTTTTATACTGCTACAATCCCTCCCATGAGGGGCCCCGTTCGTTGACACTTGTTAGTTATGTTGGTACTCTGCACGATATCAACCCAGAGGCTTCAACTATTGCGCTCGAGAACGTCATATCGCACGGCACTGAAGGCAGACGCGGCAATGCGTCAGAGGAAGTTCCGCCAGCTAGTTGCGTGTACGAATACATTGTTTTCAGAGGCAGTGATGTGAAGGATATCAACTTTGCGGACAACGAAAAGGAGAATCAGGCTCCGGAACAACCGCAGGTTCCTAATGACCCTGCTATACTAGGTGTAAGTGGTAGACTGTTTACTTCACTTTATAAACCTGCAACTGTCACTTTCATCTTTGTCCACATTAAGGACATGGGTCTAGAGGATTAGTTTGTGGAAGTGTGAAGATCATCAAGATGCTGCTCATCCTTTTGGATTCAAACTTCACATTGACGCCTGTATTGTGTGAAACCGAATATTAGGAATACTGGCTGACAATCATGCTTCGATTAGACTACAGCTCCTCCACGCCAGGCTCCTGCCGCTGCCCCCGCTCCCGCTCAGGCAGGCCGTGGGCAGCCTGCTCAGCTCCCGCAGCAACCTCCCCGACAGCAACCACCACCTGGTTATCCTCAACAACCACCATATCCCAATTACTATAACCCTTATGGACAACAGTTCCGTGGGCCCCCCGGAGGCCCACCCGGATTCCCCGGTGCACCTGGCTCTGGCTTTCCAAATATGCCATATGGACAACAGGGATGGTATCCTCCTCCCGGCCAAGGCTTTCCGCAACCACCGGGCCCATTCGGACCACCTCAAATGCCAATAGCTCCTCCACGCGGACCACCAGGACAGCAACAACAACCACCACAACAACAGCCACAATCGCAGCAGCATGGCGTAGAAGGAACTCCAGCGCCTCAGAATGCCCCTATGCCAACTTCGGAGCTTCCTGGCGGCGAAAAGGCTCCAAAGAAAACTACCACTCCAGCTCCGGCCACCAGTAAAGAAAAGGAAGATCAGAAACCATCACAAACCAAGCCAGAACCCTCCGCCGCACTGGCTAGCCAGGCACAAAAACCAGCCCATGATAAAGCGCCCACTCAACCTGCTCCGGAGCCAACAACTGCCGCGAAGAATGACCGGATTATCCCGGCTATTCCTCTTGCCATGCCACTCAAGCCAACCGCATCGGTAGCTCAGGCTACTGCACCAGCTGGGCAACAACCAAACCGAAATGGTCCAAATGCTATGGAAGAGGCAACCCGAGCCGCTACAGCTGCAGTTGCAGCTGCAATGGCAAAATTGCCACAACCCACTGGATCTCAGCAACAGCAACCTACGAACGGGTCCGTAGAGTCAGTGACCAAGAAGCTCAACGAAATGCGACCATTTGATGGTGAACGTCACTCAAGAGGCGGTCATCATGGTCCGCGTGGCCGAGGTGGCCATCGTGGACATCATCACCAGCAACAGGTGAAGAAAATTGATGTTCCCACGACTGACTACGACTTCGAATCTGCGAATGCCAAGTTTAATAAGCAAGATCTCGTCAAGGAGGCCATCGCTTCAGGATCGCCATTAATTGAAGCCGAAGGAAAGCCATCCACCGCTGTTTCCGAAGCTAACGGAGCCGACGGTGGTGACGTCTCCAGTTCCACATCGGCTCATGCTACCAATGTAGTATACGACAAGACCTCTTCGTTCTTCGACAACCTATCTAGTGAAATGCGCGATAGGGAGGAAAACGCTCGGAACAAGACCAGCGGCCGTGAATGGCGCGGAGAGGAAGAAAAGAAGAACATGGAGACCTTCGGACAAGGAAGCGTTGACAGCGGATATCGTGGTAGAGGCCGTGGTCGTGGACGAGGCTTTGGTGGACGTGGCCGAGGCTACAACCGTGGCTATGGAGGTGGACGTGGTAGAGGAAGTTTCCGTGGTGGAAGAGTCGCAACTGAGTCCACTGGAGTTCCATCCACCTCCTAAATGGTACTATCACCGAAGTCTGTCGTGGACCCCCGTCCTTCCTCCTCTACGGCCCCACCGGATATAACATCTTCAAATTGGCCGCTGCCTACTTTGAGTGACTCTGCAAGTTTCAATCTGCTCTTTTTGTAGCGAAAGAATGATATCACGCCTCGTTCCCTTGGTTTGGTCTTGGGTTGGTATGCGCAACTCGGCGTGCGGGCTTGAGCATTTCTCTTACCTTACCGTCCTCCTTTTTCTTTTTTCTGCATGGCGCATTCGGTGGGTGTCTCTTATGGATTTTATTCAAGGTTGGCCAGGTCGATGAGTGATGCCACTGAAAATGATCATACCGTTGATTCCTTTACCTCCATGTCTCCAGTTTCTTCTCCCTCCCTTTCCCCTTACCACACCCCCAGAAAATCAATTCAATAATATGTATGTACTCTCTGCTCCGGCATTGTTGCCCCTTTTTCTCCTTCAACAGCACACCATCTCTATCTATTCTTCGGTCGACTTCATCATGAGCTATCCCACTCGTTCTTTCTCCTCTATCTCATGCGGACGGCCTTTTTCTTCTCTTGATTTCGATTCTGTCTAGATAAAAGATGCTTCCACAAGAATCTAACAGTGGAACACAGGAGGAAAGCTTGTATCATCATATGCAGGGCCTCGAAACCGACTTAACAAAAATAACAAAAACCAAAGACACAGCCTCTTCGGCAACTTTGTAACTCCTTCCCCCCCTTTTCTGCTGTAATATTCAACGTTTATATATTATTTGTAAATGTTTCGTTTGTTTGCTTGATAGGAACCGGCAGTGCAGCACGTGAACTGCGCGCCCAACAAGCCGCGGCTCAAAAGCTTTTGGCTTTCCATAACGACGCAGCTTTTCTGCTTCTTCTCTTTGTCTGTTGGAGGCGCCATCCCATAACAAGTTGCCATGATATAGCTCTCTTGAATACCATTAAACGCCTGATAGGAGAGAGTGCCATGTCCATTTTACTCTCCTGAGAGATAATTGACCTTTTGCATGGGCTCATACAGCCCCCATGTTGCTTAACGCTCCCCGAGTCCGCGCTCACTACTAAGCTATTCATTCTTCTGCTTCATCCCCATTTCGTCGAGTCCGAGTCTCATGTAGGGATCAGGCCAGTATAGCCCATGAATCATGTCAGACTCAGTCGGTATGTTGTTCATTTGGTTCTGCTCTTATACTACGCAACGGCGCATTATCTATTCTTCGGTAGAGAAACAACTTACTGATAAAGGGAATACCCACCTAGATCGAGTCTTTGTCCATGCGCTTAATACCGTGAAGAAAATTCCCCGAACGGGGTCAGCTAGACCACCGCCGGCTGATCGATTGAAGCTCTATGGATTATACAAGCAAAGCATGGGTATTTACAGCCTGTTACCCTGCTCCGAAGCTAGAAGACGGCTTCTTGGAGACAATGCTAATGGTTGTGCTTATCATCGATATCTAGAGGGTGACGTGGAAGGTGTAATGGATCGACCGGTCGGTGACGCTGATGTCCAGGCGGAGAAAGAGAAATGGTAAAATGCCGAAATTATCCCTTTTCGCCGAATGTTTTACCTGAGCTTGTGGATACTAATTCTATCCGTTTGTTATTCAAGGGACTCGTGGTATGCGCAGCGCAACTTGTCGCGAACTGAAGCGAAACGACGATATATAACGACACTTATAGAGACTATGCATCGATATGCCTCCCCTACTCCCGAGGCGCAGGAGCTTATATCCGAACTAGAATTTGTTTGGGACCAGATAAAATCTAATACTTCGTCCTCTTTTTCAAATCCTGACCAAGGCTTAAGCATGTCTGGCCCCGCTCGTTTACAGTCACACACTAGCTACGATAATATAGGGAGCAGAATGGCACGGCAGGACTTTGATGAAGCAGGGAGGGACTCCCGGCTCCGAGTACTGAGCCCCGTAAGCCAACCGGACGGGGGCTCGAGACGGCATCGTTACGGCAGCCAGTCTGAAAAAGAACATGATCAAATCCCGGGAAATAAAGGGGACGATGATGATACGGAAGATGATGAAGGGGAAGAAGAAGACCAGGATGAGGAAGAGGAGGAAGAAGAATTCCAAGAAGCTAGAAACAGCTTTTATGAGAACCAAGAATCTGGTGAAGATCCACGACTACAACCTCCTGCAGGGGCTGGACAGAGACATTACCAACGATGGCAAAAACGCGTTGAGCAGGCCTTAACGAAGATGACCGTCGAAGTAGCTGCGGTAAGAGAGCAGCTAGAGGCTCGTAAGGCATTTGAGCAGAGGAAATCCAGCATATGGGCTTGGATAAAGTGGTTTGCTTGGGTTGCTATACGGCAGCTCATCTGGGACCTTGCTCTGTTGGCCATCCTTCTTCTTTATCTTCGTATTCGGGACGAGAGACGACTTGGAAGAACACTCAAATCCGTATGGCTCGATGTCAGACAGAGGTTATCCAAGGTTCGAATATTCCGCCGGCGGTCAAACTAGAAGAAATCACGATATTGTATGGCTTCACACCACTCTCCTTCACTTATAACTTGTTGTTTATATACTTTATTTTACGCTAATATAGAGGTGGATCGCTCCATTTACCAATGGAAGTATTGAACAAAATAACATTTTGTAAATAAAGGCCAAATAATTATGCAGAATAAATAGTACATCGTCTCGTATACACATTTCTAAATTATAAAGAGGAAAATATAATGTAGTAAAGAACGCCAACCAAGACAAACATAATTTTGGCTAGAAAGTGAAGAAATATGCTATTATTGAAACGTTTTCTCAAAAACGCCACATGCATGCTTGTTCATTATCTTGCTGTAGAATGATAGAGTCCCTCGACAAAGCGAATAGCATAATATTGGGACTGGCATCTGAGATATCATGTCAGGAGGTTGGGAGAAGGGGTATATAGGAGGCACCTAAAGTGACTCCGAGTAGACATAATCATGCACAGTAACGCCATAAGCTATCAATCGGTTCAAGGGGTATGGTTATGTTAGCCCTCTCCAACGTATTTGAACCAATTCGGCCGGCAATCTTCGAGTTGGAGGAATGGTTCCCCACGATAGAATTGCCCGGCCTCACATTCCCTGCATTTAGGGGAATTTGGGCAGTTCAAGAAAGGGATATGGTTATAGCCAATATCTTGGAACCTATGCAGTAATGGAACTATCAGTGATATGCCGGCAAAGAAAGGTTTACGTCACTATAGGAATACTCACCAGTGTATTTTACTTTTATCAGCAAATAGACCAAGTCCAATGGAATGAACGGGTGCATCTCCCCATCTCTCGTAGAAAAACCCTCCTGCCTTGTCTAGGTGGGTGAAGTACTCTTCGTATTTCTTGCTTCTCCAGAAGGATAAATCGCCAATCTCAAAATTTGACCAAAAGTGGCAAGTTGAATATCCGTTCGCCTTCTTATTATGTTCAGGTCTTTGCTTGTTGTCCGTCAACCAGTCCATGGCATTGTTTTCATGTATATAGTCGGGGTGCTTTTCTAAGAATTTGAGAGTTTCTGGCCACAGCCCTGGCATAGTTTCGGGTGCGTCATACAAGTTGATCGTAAATCCATAGGTTTTGTTCCTGTCTTGCATGTATCGGAAGACGTCATAGTCCACATCACAGAAAAAGCGTACCTTTGGCTCCACACGCCAATAGTATTGCATATCCGTGAGAGCAGGGTGCTTGTAGAACATTCCACTGTTCCAGCGGCACATCTTGTGGTAGGAAAGCACGGTACTATATTGTATGCCATTCTCCTCCATGGCCTTGGAAGCAGTCCGATATTTATCCATATCTATCCACGACGGTACATCCCAGTGTTCTTTCGGTACGAGTTCTATCGGCCGGTTTATCACATATTAGAACCCGCAGAATTACCAGTGAAGTAGCGAGCATATCTTGATAACATACCATAATTGCACTTCGCCTTCGTTTCCGCCTGCGTCCTCCTTTTAAACTCCTCCGTAAACGGTTTATCGTTGAAAAATGTCCAAGGATAGTTGAACTTTTGGTTCCACGTCCTCTCCAGCTCCCTCATTGTTGGTATTAATTCATCCAGCTCCTCGTTCCGTACAAGCGAAATGAGTGTTGCCTTAATTCGAGCAGATTTTGGATTATCAGGGGCATAAGCGTCCCCCTCTGCCCTCCACAGAGGCCCCTCTGGCTCCCCAGTCACTAAAAAGAGTCAGCAACTCGTTAGGGCCGATAAAATATTCAGTAGAACCTACATTCTTTCAGAGGTTCGCGCTTCAAGCCATTGTCGTATTTATGTTTTCGGATTGGTGAAAGGGATAAGGATGGCGAACTAGAAGTTTGGTAGATGAGCAACAAAATTAGAGCTATACAGACTCCTATAATCAGTCTGACTGGCCGCGCGAGAGCCATATTGATAATGAACACCCAATACCTATGCGCTCTGGTAACTGACGGAGATTATTTTACTTTTGATAACTTCCAGCCGGATAATATCTCGATCGTATCACGTGATAACCCGATCTGACGCAGGAGCTCTATTATCACGTGATATGAACAGCGCGTCAACTTTTTTTTTTCTGACAGTAAACGAACATCGCGATTTCAAATTCAGCTTCAATATATTACGAAGGAAGAGTTTGCTCCTGTGAGAATTATCGCTTCGGTGATATGGCTGTACCGTAGCTGAAATGGTTATCTCGTCAGTTTCTTTCTTACTGACAGTATATACCACTCTCACACCTCCCGTAATGTTGGGTCTTATAGATCGGGGTATCCATCACAATGTCTATCTCTCTTCGATAGGCGCGTTGACAGATGAATTTGTGGTAGCTGTCACCAGACCACCAAATGAAGTAGATTAGCCTGTGACATAAAATCTCGAGATATACTGTATTACTTGACAATAGAAGTTGGCCTGATACCGAGCTTAAAGCAGGAATCGAGAAGAAAATGAAAGATGACTCCTATGCGAGGACAGATAAATTTCAGGTTATGAAAAGTCTTGATGGCCTTCTAGAGAAGTTTCAAGTCGTTGGGAATGATGAGCTATCAGATTCACTTCGCCAAAGATTGGATGAACTGGGCCAAAGACGGTTAAATCTGGCCCCTGAAATCCTCTCTCTTTTGTGAATGGACTAACCAATTCCACAGCCTGTCGCTTAATTCCTAAGGGTACACCATTCTGTCCACCCAAGGACCCTAATACCTTAACATGGGCTGACCTCAATGACTTGGACTCCAATGAGGCAGAGGACCTCTGGAAGGATATTGATTACGCTGCAGAGTCTTCTTCTTCTGATGATGATATATCGTCTGCAGCAAGTGATGTTTCAATCCCGAAAATTGTTCCACATAGCTCAACTGTTCCCTTGGAAGAATTCAACCCATCAGAAGATCTATTTATCGATGTGGAAGATGACAACTTGATAGCCTCTATTATCAAGTCTCAGGCTCATATACAGGAAGGTGATACGGAAGTAGTCTACTTAATAGAGCTTCAGATCATCAAAGACGCTCTATCTATGCTACGAGGTTTACCAACAACTACATTCTTAATTTATGAGGACAGAATCGCGGTCAACCGGAATATTTCCATGCGCCATACTTCCCGAGCTGCATTCCAGGAGCTGGTGAAGGCTTTTAGTAACATAGGCACTTCCATTCAGGCGCTTAGGCTGTTTCTGAAGCGTCCACAGCTAGTGCCATTTATGCAGACTTTCCAGAAGGAAATAGAAGTGTTGATCTCGTCATTCGACAGATACCTCTCTGATGAACAGTCACATTATCTATACCAGCCCACGCCGCTCTCCGTCAGCCTTCTCCACCTGCTTCACAAGGTCCAAAAAAGTGTCCAGGTGCTGCTTGAGCTTTCCACCCTTGTCGGAAAATTAAATGAAAACCCCAGTTGTGAACACTTTCGCTGTTTAGATTTGCTATATGACTTGGTCTGCGAAAAGCAAGCGACGGGTGAAGACACTCAATACCGGGACATCTCTAAACTTTTTTTTGCTTGTTTTGAAAACTATACAAAACCCATCAGACGCTGGATGGAAACCGGAGATTTAGACACAGCCCAAAATTCCTCCTTTTTCGTGAACGTTTCGACTAGTTCACGCGATGATCTACGGACGTTGTGGCACGACTGGTTTACTTTAAATCGGCATTCTGGACGTTTATACGCCCCAAAATTTCTTCATCCATCCTCTAGGAAGATATTCACAACCGGAAAAAGCCTGGTATTTCTTCGGCATCTCGGTGTCGGGCCCTTATCCACTAACTTAACCGACTCCCCTTCCCTCAATCATGAGGCTGTCTGTCCATCAATTCCATCTTTGTCATTATTCCCTTTCGCTGGCCAGCTAGATGCGGCATTTAATCAACTTGTTGACATCAACCACAACCGTGCATCTTCGCTGCTGAAATCAGAACTCGACGAGAAGTGCGGTCTATGGCAATCATTAGATGCTCTGGAATACTTATACTTAGGTAAAGACTATGGTAGATGTTCTGCCACAGACTACAGAGTGTTTGATTTAATCGACAGAGGCAGCCAGTCTTGGAATGATCGATTCCTTATTACGGAACTCATTCGGCAATCTTTCAGCACTTTGTCATGCATCGACACCACAAGGCTCATTGGGCGTTCGGCGAAAATACCACTTCATGTCTTCGAGAACTATAGTCGATCTGTCAAAATTCTTAAGGTTATATCTGTCGATTACACCTTACCGTGGCCTGTTGCGAACATTGTTACGAAGGAGTCTATGCATGTCTACAAACGTATTTCACTGCTACTTATGCAAATTCGTCGAGGAAAATATACCTTGGAGAAGCGCTGGTTTACAAAGCCACATTTATCCTTAGGCGATGAAGAAGAGAAAGCTGATCATGTCTTAAGTTTTTGCGTTAGACACCGCTTGTTGTGGTTTTTGAACGTTCTCTATCATCATTTCACTGAAGTGATCATTGCTCGTGCGACCCGTGAGATGGTCAAAGCTGCCAAAGCATCTGCAGATGTTGATTCTATGATTGAGATACATCAGTCATACATTCAATCTTTAGAGGCACAGTGTCTGCTCAGCAAAGATTTTGCACCTATTCATCGCGCATTGGTATCTTTGCTAGATCTGTGCATATCATTCTCTGACACACAAATTGCCCGCACATTGGAGTGTCATCAAGATCAGAATGACCAAACCTTAGGCACCATTCGACTGGCAAGGATCGCCGGGAAGAGAGTCTCAGCCGCAGACGAGTCTGACAACAGTGAGTCTGATGTGGAAATATCCATGTTTGAGGCTGGTAACGCTAGCAATATCTCCTTCCAAGACGAATCTTACCGCCGACGCGTTTTGCAGGTAAAATCAAAGTTTGACAACCTCTGCGAATCCATAAAAGCTGGGCTCAGAGTCGATCATGGAAAACATTCACAGAGTATGGAGATTTTAGCTGATAGCCTCGAATGGGGCTGATCTGAAGCCAATGGTTCATGATTTTACGCTTCTCTTTTGAATCGGGGACACTAGGGCTTTCAAGTATTTTAGTCGTTTTATTTACTTCCCACTAATATAGAGAACTTTTTTGTTGCAGTTAGAGCAAATATCAAAATCTTCGACAATAAGGCAACACGTCCTATAATGGTATGGAAACACTACAAGAAACTTTCTGTGGAAACAGACAAGTGCTCCTTTATATAAACCTTTCCCTTTCTATTGACCTTCCTTTTTCTGTGGTATCGCCAGCCCCCTTACATCTACCTAGACAGAGACAGGATCAGCCGACCCATCTTCTGGCGCTGAAGAATACTCTGCCCCAAGGACCAATGTTGCCCCATTCCTCGCTCATTGCTTTGTCTCCAGGGAACCAACTTCCAATACCAGCCATAATGGTACGCTCAGGGTGAGGCATAATAGCAAGCACTCTTCCATCAGGCGAACGTACACCAGCAATAGCTTCAGGGCTGCCGTTAGGATTGAACGGATATCGCATCGTCGGTTCGAGGCTTGTGTTGTCAACATAGCGAGCTGGAGCAAGGCCACGCTTTACCAGCTCCATACCGTCCATTTCAGGGGTATCTTCAAAAGATGCCCTACCTTCGCCGTGAGCTACTGCGATGGGTAGAGAAGAACCGTTCATATCATGGAAGAAAACCGTTGGAGGAATGTCCGTTGGTTCTGAGATGCGAACCATGCACACACGTCCCTCATATTGTTCACTTGCATTGCGCTCGAAATTTGGCCATACTTCAGCGCCAGGTATCAACTCCTTTATACGGCCAAAGAATTGACAGCCATTGCAAACTCCAAGAGCAAAAGTATCCTGTCTTGCGAAGAATGACTTGAATTCCTCGCGTGTCTGCTTGTGAAGAAGTACAGACTTAGCCCATCCGCGTCCGGCTCCTAGAACGTCGCCGTATGAGAAGCCACCGCATGCGGCTAAGCCTACGAAAGAAGAGAGTGAGACCTTTCCGGTGAGAATATCACTCATGTGAACATCAATGGCGGAGAATCCAGCCATGTTGAAAGCGAAGGCCATTTCTGCCTGACTGTTAACTCCCTGTTCGCGGAGAATTGCAACCTTTGGACGAGTTGCAAAAGGCGAGAAGCGAGATGTAAGGCTGGTCATCAGTGGCAGGCCGGTCTCCTTCGGGTTGAAAGTCAAGTTATACGATAGTCCGGCATTGTTGTCATCGAGGATATTCTCGAATTCCTGATCAGCAGCGTCTGGGTTATCTCTGAGTCGCTGCATATGGTACGAGGTCTCAGACCAAGCTTGCTGCAAACGAGATCGGCTTTCTCGGTATATCAAAGTGGCACCATGGTAAATAGCCAAATTTTGCTTTTGTTTTTCCGCAACACGGCCAATCCTGAAGATCAGGCCAGGGGGAGGACCGCAGGTTGCAAAGCAGCTTCTGAACTGGCCTTCATGGGCCTTGCGCACTTGGAAAACAGCACCCAGCTCCTCGTTGAACAATGTTTCGATCGCGTCCTTTACATTAGGACTTGAACATATTTCATCGAGCATAATTTGAGCTCCGCATCTTCCAGCAAACATCATTTCCGCAATCGTTGTAAACAGCCCACCATCTGAACGGTCGTGGTAGGAAAGGACAATTCCTGCCTCCTGAAGAGATTGAGTGGCGTCGAAGAAGTCTTTGAAAAGCTGCACGTCTCGAATGTCAGGGCAATCGTTTCCAACCTGTCCAAAGACTTGTGCTAGGGCCGAGCCCCCCATGCTCTTGCGGCCAAACGAGAGGTCAACAAACATCAAAACGGTTTCGCCGACTTCCTCAAAGCTCCTTAAAGTGGGAGTCCACGTGTTTTTAATGTCCTGGACGGGCGCAAAGGCGGAAATAACCAGTGACAAAGGTGCGGTAACCTCTTTGGATTGTCCCGTCTCTTGGTCACTCCATTTCATTTTCATGGACATAGAGTCCTTACCAACTGGGATGCTTATACCCAACTTCGGACACAAGTCCAAGCCAATTGCTTCAACGGCTTCGTAGATAGCAGCACCTTCACCTGGGTGGTTAGTGGCGGACATCCAATTAGCTGAGAGTCTGACACGACTGAGCCTCTCAGGCAAGTCTGCAGCAGCAATATTCATTAGCGATTCAGCAACTGCCATTCTCGCCGAGGCAGCAGGAGAAATGAGGGCAAGCGTGGGTTTCTCTCCCATAGCCATTGCCTCTCCAGTTTTCATTCCAAGAAGCAGTGAAGTTGCAGTAACGGAAACGTCAGATACAGGAGTCTGCCACGGCCCGACCATCTGATCCCTAGCAGTGAGGGCACCAACAGTCCTATCACCAATGGTGATGAGGAAGGACTTAGAACCAACAGCGGGAAGATGCAGAACCCTATCCACAGCCTCAGCAATCAACCCTTGTTCTGGTAAGGAAGGAAGATAAGTCTTCAGGCTGGAATCAAACGATGGCAGATTGAACTTTCTTGAGGAAACCGTTCTTGTCAACTTTGGTGGCTTGCCAAATAAGACCGACAGAGGGAGGTCAATTGGCTTTGGATATTCCTTCGAGTCCTTGTCGAGCAGAACAAGTCTACGACTTTCATCCGGTTGCCCTAGTCCACGGCCGACAACAGAGTAACCACACCGCTCGCGGTTTGCGATAGCGACGAAGTTGTTCATACCCTCCTCAGACACAGCCATAACATACCTTTCTTGGGCTTCACAGCACCATATCTGCATGGGGCTCATACCCTTGTCTGCATTATCTATTTCCCGAAGCTCAAACGAAGCTCCCAGGCCAGCGTCGTGGATGAGCTCGGGTAGAGCGTTGGACAATCCTCCAGCGCCAACGTCATGGATGAACTTGATGGGATTGTCTGCTCCCATGGCAACACAAGCGTTGATGACCTCCTGTGCCCTTCGCTGGACCTCGGCATTCCCTCTTTGGACACTGGCGAAATCTAAATCAGCAGATCCTTCTCCTGAGGCGATACTAGAAGCTGCACCTCCTCCCAGTCCAATGAGCATAGCTGGCCCTCCCAGGACTATCAGATAGGATCCTGGCTTCACAGAATGAGGATTTTTCAAAGCATGCTGAGGGCGAACGGTGCCAACACCGCCAGCAATCATAATGGGCTTGTGATAGCCTCTGATTTCAGACTCGCCATTGCCGATGTCAACCTTGGTGAGGAGGGTTCTGAAATAACCTGCTGTACATGGTCTGCCGAATTCGTTGTTGAAAGAGGCACTTCCGATAGGTGCTTCTAGCATAATGTCAAGGCTGCTTGCAATGTGATTTGGTCTTCCAACATCAAGCTCCCAAGGCTGTTTGTGTTCAGGGATAAGCAGGTCCGAGACGCAGAACCCACAGAGACCTGCCTTTGGTCGCGATCCTTGTCCAACTGATCCTTCGTCACGAATCTCACCACCTGAACCGGTGGCTGCGCCGGGGAAAGGCGAGACAGCTGTCGGATGGTTATGGGTTTCAACTTTGGCTAGGAAATGAACTTTCTCCTTCGTCTGGATCCATTCTCCGGTAACTAAATCCGGAGCCCAGTGACCTGCTTCCTCGCCTTCCAAGACTGCAGCGTTATCGCTATACGCGCTGACAGTATGATCAGGATGTTGCTTGTGAGTATTTCGAATCATCCCAAAAAGCGTGTTTGGCTTTTCCTCTCCGTCTATAACCCACGATGCATTGAACTGTTTATGACGACAATGCTCAGAGTTAACCTGTGCAAACATGAACAGTTCCACATCAGTAGGAGCTCTTGAGATTGGGCCTCCGGCGGCATAAGCGTCGACAAGGTAATCAATCTCAGACGAATCCAAAGCCAAACCGAGGCGTTTGTTTGCGTCCTGGAGGATCTCTCGGGGAGATTTCTCTCCGTCCTTGAGAGATACAACTTCCAAGGAAGCGGGCGGCTTCTCAGCAAACATGGCCTGGAGATCAGGCTCTTCGGTACTGATAACTTGGGTCATCCTGTCGTGCAAAACATCGAGGCTTGCGGCATCCAGGCTGTCGACACCTTCATCTACGAGGCAAGATATCCGAAGCCCACGTTCTATCCGCTTAAGACACTTTTCAAATCCACAGACATGGGCAATTCCGGTGGCCTGGGAGCTCCATGGTGAGATGGTGCCGACCCTTGGGCTCACGTAGTAGGTGATAGACCGGCCGTCCTGAGGCCCAAAGGTTCCAGGAGAATCCGAAATGTCTCCGTAATGCAGAAGCTGTTCCAAGTCTGTGGGTTGGTTACCTTGCAAAGGCTCTGCAAGGTGCAGATAATGTACCCATTGGGCCCGGATTGCTTTAGCATTGGTGCTGGCAGCTATACCACGGCATCGAAACTCTGAGAACGCAACGGATCCAGGCAAGGTCAGGAATAGAGAGTCTGAAGGAGCCATGTTCGAGCCGGCATCAAATGAATTGCCGTCGTTGTAGTCAAGTATATCAAACACTGTTTTTAACCCCACGTTCAACCAATCTGGGGGTAGATGTCGAATTGACAGTTATTCTTCTTCAGACACAAATGAAGGCACGGTCAGTTGACATTCAGAGGAGAATAGAATAATCCCCCATAGGATCCATCCTCATCTTCTTGCATCGAAGGAAGATTTTTCTTCTCTTCCTCTTCGTCGGAGTTTTTTTTTTCATCCTTTTTCTTTCAAATCGCAGGACCGAGAAAGTCACATGACGATAAAGAACTGATAAACCCGATCAGGCTTAGCGCGGGGTAGGGATGTTTGTATTGTTTATACTGTTTGTAATGTTTGCATAGAGATCTTTTCTGCTTATTAATGACTTTCGGGATAATATTAATCCTTTCCGAGAGACGCTTCGGGGCGGAGACAATGTTTATCCGCAACCGCCGAGCTTCACCCGAAGCAAGTTTGCTTACTAACAGCGACGGTGATAACTCGGCGGTTTCTTTATATTTTCTCTTCTTGACATCAACGAAGTGCAAAGTTGAATGAAACGAGAATATAAAATACCAGCAACGAGTTGACCGTCTTAAGCACAAAAGATGACGGAAATGCACGCACCGCAGAAGATGGCCAACCAAGTCCGATACCTGAACATGCAACAGATATAGTGCTATATTAACCTGAGCAGGACAGCTACTCTACAGTTACCCAGCTTAGGCTGCGGCGGCCATTGCCCAGCCGGATACGCGGATCTCTATATTGCTGTCCGGGCGGTTGACTATCAACATGGCTCTGGCTCTGCGTGTTGCGAGTCGTCCGGACTTTGGTTGTCCACATACGTTATCCTGCCCGCAGGACGACCTTTGATCTCCGGGAGGGCCGAGGATTTGCCGAGATATTGAATGCTTCACAGATGAAAATTGCTTCTCGCCATCAATCTATAAGGAGCCTTGCGGGATGGCCGGCATGAAATTGCCGTACACATAATATATATAATATATATATATATATCGTGTGTATATATGTAGCCGTCTATGCCTCTGGGTCATACGGACCTCGTTGTTGTGTTACCAGACCAGTTCTCCTTCCACCACCAAGAAGCAGCCACTATGGAGAGGCCATCCCTCACGCTGTCGACCGACTCTTCACACCACCATGCTGCAGTCCCGGCTGGAGCTGAGGCTACGGACCTGCCGTACCGCCAGCTGGAGGAGACGGCCAACTTTGAGGAGTTCACGCAGGAGACCGCCAACGGACAAATTCTCAAGTCAGTCAAGTCAAATGTGACCGGGAAGATCGAGGACTACAAGCTTGTTACGTTCACAGTCGGAGACCCCGAGAATCCAAAGAACTGGAGCAAGCCGTACAAGTGGTACTGCACCATGGTGGTCTCCTTCACCTGCTTCGTGGTCGCGTTTTCCAGCAGCGTTATCACCTCCGATCTCAAGGGCGTAATGGACGAATTCGACGTTTCCGAAGAAGTAGCTTTACTGACGATAACCCTCTTTGTTATTGGCTTTGGCGTTGGTATGCATGCAGATATATATCACGGACAGAGCTTGGATTTGTGCTGACTTCGACTTAGGCCCAATGGCTTTCTCACCAGCGTCGGAACTGGTTGGCCGTAAGCCTGTCTATGTCTCAACCATGTTCCTCGCCGTTATTTTCATAATCCCATGTGCCGTGGCCAAAAACACCGGCACGCTTCTGGTGTGTCGCCTCATCGACGGAATTGCATTCTCTGCTCCAATGACGCTGGTTGGAGGTACTCTGGCGGATCTATGGCGCAGTGAGGAACGAGGAGTGCCAATGGCCACCTTCAGTGCTGCTCCATTCCTGGGGCCGGCAATTGGACCCTTGATTGGAGGCTTCTTAAGTGACGCTGCTGGCTGGAGATGGTTGTACTGGATCCAGCTTATCCTCGCCGGGGTTGTCTTCCTTCTAGTCACCTTCACCCTCCCCGAGACATATACACCTACTCTTCTAGCAAGACGGGCCAAGAAGCTCCAAAAGGAGAAAAACGATACGTCATACGTCACGGAAGCCGATCTAGACTCGCGCCCCATGGGAGAGAAGCTACGCATTTTCATGATCAGGCCTTTCCAACTTCTATTCATGGAACCCATCGTTTTCTTTCTTTCCATCTACATGTCGATTCTTTATGGCCTCCTATACATGTTTTTCATTGCGTGAGTGCCCCCAGAGAACATCTCCCTTGCCAGTAGTAACTAACCGGTATAATCCTCAGATATCCAATTGTATACGAGGAAGGGAAAGGCTATACATCGGGCATTACCGGGCTGATGTTCATTCCCCTGGCTATAGGAGTAGTAGCCAGTGCGTTTTTCGCTCCCGCCGTCAACAAGCATTATTTGACACTTGTTGCGAAACATAACGGCAAACCTCCAGCGGAAACCCGCCTTATTCCAATGATGATATCTTGCTGGCTCGTCCCGATCGGAATATTTATCTTTGCGTGGACATCGTATCCCAACATCCACTGGTTTGGTCCTGCCATAGGCGGTCTTCCAGTCGGATTTGGTTTCATCTTCCTCTACAACTCATGCAACAATTATCTAGGTACGTTATTCTGTGATATGATATAGTACCGATGAATTTTGCTAACATGACCCCCAAATTAGTGGATACTTACCAACACCAGGCCGCTTCCGCTCTTGCAGCCAAAACATTCCTCCGTTCGATATGGGGTGCATCCTCCGTCCTCTTCACCACCCAGATGTATTCCCGACTCGGAAACCAATGGGCCAGTTCGCTAATTGCATTCATCGCCTTGGCTTGTTGCGCGATTCCTTTTGTATTCTACTACAAAGGAGAGGCGATTCGCCGCCATTCGAAATATGCATTTGTCGAGGATGAAGAGAACTCTTCAGAGAAGAAATAATCCGACCGTCTCCATCCTTGTTGCCAGTATGGTTCTCGAAATTTTTTAGAGGATGTTGGTATTGGATTTTATGGTTCCATCTTTTGTGCGTTGTGAAACATTTAATGGGATACGGAGTTAATGCTGGCGATGGCGGGCCATAAAGCAGGAAATCTAACTTTGCAGAGCATGGTCATATATTGGAGACTAGGCTGTGTAAATATCACGGACCAAATACATATATATGTGCATTTAAAATATAGAAAAATAGAATAATAAAATGGTTTAATTATAAAGGCACTGAAGCTAAAGTTACAAACATCATCAAAGGGTATATTGGCAAGAATGAAACGGCTCTACGGCCCGGAAGAAGTGTTGTTCCGTTGTGATCTTACACCACGCCTGCGTATGGTGCGCCAGCAGAGCACGAGGAGTAGTCAGATAAGCATCGTTCAGGGTCTTTCTTCCTCCTAGCTGTCATATCTTGTAGAAATTTCCAACCATCTCTTGTGAAAGGAAATATTCAAGGGATAGACAGTCTTTTTGATGCCCCTTCTACCACTTCTTTCCCCACCCCCCCCCTGTTCGCCATTTTAAATAGCAAGGTAACCTCCATAGTATTATACACCTATGTCCTCTGAAGTGTATCACTCATTCAACCAGAGTCCCTGTGTATGGGATACCAGCATAGAAGAGTTTCCGAAGCGCCAAACAGCGCCAAACCGATACGTTAACCTCCACCTGTTCGGTATAAAACAAAAGTATCGAATCTGTAAGCTAAAATGTCGAAGCCAGACCATTCATGCAACGCTAGTCCGAAGATAAACACGTTGCTTGTCGTAGCTCAGGTGAGTATCACACCTCAAATGCACGAGGGCACCAGGGTAATGCTAAGCTCACCAAGAATAGGGTATGGGTATTTGTTGCGTAGAGAAATGCTGAAAGGGGGATGCGGCTGTTTAAAATAAAAAAAACTGCTGGAGAACCAAAAATGGCGGAGGCTTCGTGATATGTAAAAGATAGCGACTGGAATAATATTTCTTCCAAGCCACAAGGTTTTCGCACAACCCCGTTCTTCTGCAAGGGGCAGACTAAGGTTCGTGACCTTCTAGTCCATCATCTCACCTTTCTCCAAAAGGAATGGTTGTAACAAATTTGATAATGTCTGCTCCTACAGTTTGCTCGTGTGGTTTATGGGTGGAAAAAGGCTTACAGAGCTAGAACTCGGGAAGGATCTTGAAGAAAGCGTCTGCGGTATGCAGCGATTTCTTGCGCAACGATGGAAAAGTCCTTCACCTTATCTCGCCGCATATCATTGATGATTTGTCTGAGCCCGGTCACGTACTCATCACGTTCAGCTGGAGTTTTGCCTTCTCGTAAGGAGCCCATTTCAACGAGAATTTTGTCATCTATAAAACGTTAATATCGCTTAATTGTCAGCCCGTTACTTCAATCTACCAAAGAGCAAAAAAGACGAATGAAACTGAGATGAGGGAATGGTTTGAAGAAGAAGGGTATCAAAAGGGAAATGTGAGGAACAGTCAGAATCTGAAGATGATCATCCCATCAACGCACCACTCAGATTCATGTCGCGAAAATGTTGAAAAGCACAAGAGGGAGCGTCACAAACGCCACCAGAAATTTCAACGTCACATATGGGCTTGTGTGGATCAATATTATGGCTGTATGTTAGAGAGCGAAAACCACCATTTACATGATCTGCGAAATCAGGATGGTAGCGGAAGGCTCTGAACAAGTGCAATGGGCTACGGTAAGGGCTGAAGCGATGAGTGAACTGATGTGAGGGCGCATTGGCATCATTCTATGAGCTATATGTTAGTGACCAACAATTTCGGGTTTCAAAAGAGAAGATATTGTACCGTGGGGGGTTCTGGAACGGCCATAGAGGTCGCTTCTTGTTCACTAGGAGTTAGCGTTTGCATATCGCGGTCTTCAGGTACGGGCTGTGACTCTAGAGATATCTGTTCTATGGGCTGAGGGGGGGCGGGGCTGAATGGAGGGCTCTCTAGAGAGTTATAGTCTATAGAGATATCGGGCTCTGGCGGCTCATATCCATCAGACACGGACTCATCTCGTGGAACAATATCGGGTTCATCATCATTGTCTGGATTGGATGATGTAGAAGTTGCAGTTGTTTCGTGGAGGGCATTCTGTGAATCGACCCCTTCGGCTGTGGGAGAATGATCTCTAGTGGACTCCATTTCATCGTCCCCATTACTCGCAAATGATAAGGACTTAGCCATGGAAGTTGACTCTTCATTTGATTCGTCCTCTGAGCTTCCCATGGATTCATCCATGGCCGAACTAGAATACGACCCCTCCCGAAGTTCACGCGGGTTACCGCACGAGGCATCATCCATAGCTTCATCTTGCAGATTGCCTGCGTTAGAAACTTTATCGTCGACTCCAGTTGAATGATCTTCGAGTTCACCAGCCGCTTCGTTTAAACCGGGTAAGTTGGTGCTGAGATCTTTGTTTGCATTAGAAAGAGGCACAACCTTGGATTGTTGGCTATTCTGGTCGATGGTAGTTTCAATAGCTTGAGCTTCCTCATTTGCTACAATAAGAGTGAGTTCAGCCATCAGGGTATTTGAGGTCAAATACTTCACTTACTGGAGTTGCTGTGTATATTTGCGATGTCGTTGGGTGTTTCTTTTAGTTCTGACATCGAAAGGTTCTCAGTTTCTTTCCCCAAGCTTTCTAGCTCTTCAATAAGCTTGCGCTTGCCTTCCCTGCCTTTAGCAATTTGTTCAAGTAACTTTTTTTCTTGTTCACGGAATTCGGCTAATTTCTGTTCGGTCCTTAGCAATTCAGCGTCGAGGAGTGGAAGCCCAGACTCAATCTCTTTTCGACGTAGAGCTTTTAGTCGTAATTCTCCAGTGCGGCGGGAATCAGGCCCTAGCGGCGCACTAGAAGGACTGGATATTGGGGTTGTTACATGGTGAGATGCCACTGAGGCTGCCACAGTAGGTTCGGTGGATCTGCTTAAGGTACACTCAGCTGTCTTATTTACTGCTTTCTGAGAATTTTCAAGCTCAGATGATGAATTCTCAGCTTCTTGTTGAGTTTCATCAGAAGTTGCGGCAGCTGATGCATTTGAGGACTCAGAACTTTGAGCTTGGCTTGTTACTTGTTTTTTAACACGGCGTGCCTCTAGCTCCGCAATTCTTTGCCGCATAGCCAATATCTCCATGTTTTTCTGAAGGAGGCCATTCGCGGGATTTGGAGGGGTGTTTGACATTGCAACAGGGGTAGAACGATGAGAACCATAGTTCCGGGATGGAAAATCGGGTAACTGTGGTAAGTCGCGGGTCGTCGGTTTTGTAGAATTGGTAGTATGTGACATATTTGTGGTATCAGTCATTCCACCAGTTTCACCATCTGAGCCATACATTGCCTCATCGTCACTGATATCAATGATGACTCTCTGTTCAGCACTAGCCGAGCGGGGCCCTGGTGCTTGGTGTTTTTTTGCTGACGTATCATCAAGGTCGTCTGTAAAATCTGATGCTCTGGGCCGTTTTCTTGGAAGACGAGAAAATTCAGCCACCTCTTTATATCCATTTTGGATTTGTTCACTAAGGGTTGGGTTGTCGACCTTAGGAGAATCGGAGCTTGTCATGATGAGACCGGGAATCTGGGTTGATACAGCCTTTCCAGACGGCGGAGGCCGATCAGGTAAAGGGTGCGAGAGAGGCGATGGTTCCTGAGGGGTAGTAGAGACGGGAATATTGGGCGCTGGGGGAGTGGAGGTGGAAGTGGAAGTGAGACCAGGGATTTGAATAGTAGATTTTCCGAGTCCCAGCTTCTTAAGTTGTTCCATGCGTTGCCTAGCTAATTCTGTTTGGGCTTTATTCTTTTCTTTTGTACGAACTTCATCACGAGTACTTTGCATGGTAGTCAGTGTTGACTGAGAGGAATTTTCATTGAGAGAATTTGCCATCTTGGTTGGCGGTAAGGGTGGAGAGCTGGTATTTGGATTTGAATCCGTAACTTTGGTAATGGCTGTTGAGGACGGTGCAGCTTTGGCAGCTTTCGCAGCTAACATACGAGCAATAACGTCTTTACGTTCCATCGGTTTACTAGAGTTAGCACCCGTGCTTTGATTATCTTTCTTCGTCGTCGCAGCTTTATCTTGTGTTATAGACGTGGTATGAGGATTGGGGGTATTTGCAGTTATGGGTTGTTCGGGCCTCTGCTGTAAAATAGAGGTATCACTAAGGCCTTCGGTAGCTTGGACTGGTTTGTTAACAGGATCTGCCGTGATTTTTATCCCAATCTCATCATATAAGCGTTTCAAAATTGTTGGATCTATTCCCTCTTCGACCAGCTCGTTATATCGAATTTTGTGAGGTGCGAGATTTAACAGTGCTCCCTGAGCAAGCACCCTCAATTGAGAAGGGGACTTCCCAGTTGAGGGACTCACTTGTATATCCTCTTTAGCGGATGTACTCTTTCCTGAGTGATCGTGTGTCGCCCGTGGCGTTGTGATGGCTGGATCAGGTCCGTTCACTTCAAGGCTTTTACTGGCAGAGTTCTGTTTTATGCTTCTCGAGGGCTGTGCACAGTAATGTTTCTCAGAGTTGGAGCTCTTTTGCTCAGCTGCTTCCTCGCAGCTACTCAACTCGCCCTCTTCTCTCGCGTCAACGTCCATTGTGTCCGACAAATTTTCAGTTTCCGGGGCGTCGGTTTCCCGGTGGTACATAGCTGGAGCGGGGTTCTGGATCCATGTGTGAGAATATGAGCAAAAACAGGAAGTCAAAAAGGAGGCATACCGGTACCGGTTGGGGGAAAAGATATGATGCTTGCGTGTGCAAAAATCGTGGATCCCCGGTAGGCAAATAGCCCAAATTCGCGCCATAGACAGCTTGAGGACCCTGGGTAGACATATACGGTTGATTCATGTTGTATGGAGGATAGGGCATATTAGGGTCGTAGCCTGTGGGTTGATTAGTTGACCAACGGGGGTCGAAATTTCCATATGAAGGTGCCTGTTGATATCCGGACATGTTTCCAGATGTAGCGGACAAAATCATTCTTATCCGCGCGTCGGAAGATCAGGAATAAACGCGACTAATTCTATACTGCACAGGATTTGGTGTAGAGGCATGAGAACGAAGATGTAAAAATGGTCGTGAAAAAAGATAGGTGCCACCCGCATCAAAATACGATTGTCTGTATATAGACAAGCAATCAATTGATACGTGCCAAATGCTCGACACAACAGAGATCTTCTTTTAAGTTCTTGAATAGAGGGCAAAACGTCCGATATTAAGTCGCTTTTCTCTCTCTTCTCAATTTGATATCTTATGATGTTGAAAAAAAGATCTTAAGCTTGACCAAAAAGAGAAGTCATGTGATACCAATAAGCGCTCGCGCCAAGCACGGTTCACAGGCTAGTCCCGAACTGGCAGGATGTAAACAAACAACGCTAAAAGTTGGCGATTAAAAGTCGATAAAGGCGGAAGGCTGGTTCACCATGAAAATGCCCATACATAATATCTAACGAGTTACCAGGGTTTACCCAAGAAACAGAAGAAATGTCTCATTAACATGAAATGAGTTCCCTTGTTGTACGCTTCTTTGGCCTTGGAATTATTTGTTTTTCGGCTTAACGACCTTTTCCTTCTCCTGTCACCGCTCCATGACCTTACGCTTGGGAGTGCCTCACCTTAGTCCTCAGGACTATATTTCATGAATTAACGCCCGTTCAACGACCGGATCCCAGCTAATCGCTTTTTACCCGCTGCATGAAACAATGCATCCGTCATTTAATAGCACGACGAAACGGCATAATCCTTTCTCCCGAAGCTCTCCTTCACCCTCCCCAGCCCCTCCAGATGCCGCCATCAGGGTATCTGGCCGGCCAAAATCTGTTACATTTACATCTCCGGTACAGACATACGTAACAGGGCACTCACGAAACTCGTCTCTAACTCCATTAAATTCTACTCCTACCAATGGTATAAGTAGAAGACGATCGAACTCAGCAAGGCACCCATCCGAAACTTCCAACACGTTTGCTCCAAAGTTTATAAAATCAGAAGAACTACGGAGAGGCGCAGACCAAATACGAGGTGAAGAGGGTGATAATGACTTTTCCGGGAAACGATACGTCTGGTTGAAAGACCCGGAGAAAGCATTCGTCCGGGGAGCCGTTGTTCGAGAGACTGAAGATGGACTCTTGGTTGTGCAGTGCGATGACAGCCGTGTGAGCTTAGAAAAAAGTGAATCATCGATATGTTTACTTTCTGACAATTAGTATAATAGCAGGTAGAAGTAGACCCCGAGAATGTTGACAAGGTCAACCCACCAAAGTTCGATAAGGCGGACGATATGGCCGAACTCACCCATTTGAATGAAGGCTCAGTCATTCATAATCTGCACACTCGATATCAGTCCGACTTGATATACGTATGTCTGATTTACTATCTGAGAACTGAGTTCGAATGAGTTACTAACTGATCATATAGACTTACTCTGGATTATTCTTGGTGACCATAAACCCATACTGTCCTCTGCCTATATACTCTAATGAATATATCAAAATGTACAAAGGCCAAAGCCGAGAAGATACACGTCCGCATATATTTGCAATGGCAGATGAGGCTTTTCGCAACCTTGTTGATGAGGGAGAGAACCAGAGTATCCTAGTTACGTGAGTTTTTGTTTTCCCTTCACGACTCCCGACCTAATTACTCATGATTGCAATTATAGCGGTGAATCCGGTGCCGGGAAGACGGAAAACACCAAGAAAGTTATTCAGTATTTGGCCGCGGTGGCTCCTGGTGATGCAACTCAGGGAAAGCTGTCATCTAAGCAGTTAGGGGATCTTTCGCAGCAAATATTAAGAGCTAATCCTATACTAGAAGCATTTGGAAACGCCCAAACTGTGCGGAATAACAACTCTTCACGATTCGGAAAATTTATTCGTATTGAATTCTCTCGCACCGGTCAAATCTGTGGAGCTTTCATTGATTGGTACTTACTTGAAAAGTCCCGAGTTGTCAAGCTCAATGCTCAGGAACGAAGTTATCACATCTTTTACCAACTTCTCCACGGAGCCGACAAGGCACTACGAGAGCGCCTACACCTCTCGAATTTAGATATCCACGACTTTGCATATATGAGAGAAGGGAACGACACCATAGCTGGGGTATCAGACACAGACGAATGGGACTCGCTCATAGAAGCTTTTGAAACCATGAAGTTTGAAGAAGAGGATCAGCTATCAATTTTACGAACCGTTGCTGCAGTCTTACATTTAGGGAACATCACTGTTGGAAAAGAGAGCTTGCGTGCCGATCAAGCTAGGCTCACCCAGGACGATACCGAAAGTGTTAAACATGCTTGCCATCTTCTAGGGATACCTGTCGAACCTTTTGTTAAAGGATTACTCCATCCTCGTGTGAAAGCCGGGCGCGAGTGGGTAGAAAAAGTACAGACACCGGAGCAAGTCCGTTTCGCGATAGATTCTCTGGCAAAGGGTATCTACGAACGTGGGTTTGGCGACTTGGTGAACAGAATCAACCATCAGCTGGATCGTAGCCGGATTAGTTGTGAAGAGAGTTACTTCATCGGTGTCCTTGATATAGCGGGATTCGAAATATTTGGCACAAATAGCTTCGAACAACTCTGCATCAATTACACAAACGAAAAGTTGCAGCAATTCTTCAACCATCATATGTTTGTTCTAGAGCAGGAGGAATACTCTCGAGAACAGATAGAATGGCAATTCATTGACTTTGGCAAAGACCTTCAACCGACAATCGACCTTATTGAATTATCGAATCCCATTGGCATATTCTCATGCCTCGATGAGGATTCTGTGATGCCAAAGGCGACCGATAAGACATTTACTGAAAAACTTCATTCGTTATGGGATCGCAAATCTCCAAAATACCGTGCCTCGCGTCTCAGCCAGGGATTTATACTTACCCACTATGCTGCAGAGGTAGAGTATAATACGGAGGACTGGCTGGAAAAGAACAAAGACCCTCTCAATGACAATGTGACCCGGCTGTTATCTCAGTCCAACGATCCGCATGTTGCTAACCTATTTGCCGATTATGCCGAAGATGCGTCCAACGGAACTAGGAGTGTCGTGAAGAAAGGTCTGTTCCGGACCGTTGCCCAGAGGCATAAGGAGCAGCTGTCAAGCTTGATGGCCCAGCTTCATTCAACTCACCCCCACTTTGTCCGCTGTATTTTGCCAAATAACAAGAAGCGACCGAAACTTTTCAATGGGCCGCTTGTCTTAGACCAACTACGATGCAATGGTGTGCTTGAAGGTATTCGAATTGCTCGAACAGGATTCCCTAATCGACTAACCTTCAACGAATTCCGCCAGCGTTATGAAGTACTCTGTCGCGGCATGCCCAAGGGTTACTTAGACGGACAGATGGCAGTAACTTATATGGTGGAAAAGTTGGGTCTTGACAAATCTTTGTTCAGAGTAGGGCTATCAAAGATATTCTTCAGGGCCGGTGTATTGGCGGAGTTGGAAGAACAACGTGATACTCTTATCCGTGAAATCATGAAGCAATTCCAATCTTTAGCCCGTGGCTTTATTCAAAGACATATTGCAAACAAGCGATTGTACCGCGCGGAGGCTACTAGAATTATCCAGCGGAACTTCCATCTATATCTCAACCTAAAGTCATCTCCATGGTGGAGACTATTTGCGGCTATGAAGCCGCTTCTAGGAGAAACCCGTACGGCTGGAGAAGTTAAGAAGCGTGACGAGAGGATCCAACAACTTGAAGCAAAGGCCCAGCAGGATATAGCCGATCGACAAAGGATAGAAGAGGAACGACGCAAGATAGAGGCGGAGATGCAGCGTGTCAGAAAAACACTAGAAAGCGAGCGCTCTCTTGCATTGGACAAAGAAGAGATATTCAAGCGACTACAGCTTCGAGAAGTTGAACTCAGCGAGAAGCTAGCAGGAGCGATCGCCGATCAAGAAAGCTTAGAAGATCAACTAGACGAACTGATTGCCGCGAAGAAGAAGATAGAGCATGAATTGGACCTGCGTCGAGACCAGCTTGAGCAGGCAGCGCAAATAATGGAGAGGCTCGAGGGTGAAAAGAAGGAAATGCAGGAACGTATTTCAGACCTGGAAAAGCAGCTAAAATCTGTCGAGAATGCGCATAACCAATACGATGATAAAATTGAGGCTTTGAACCGGGAGATCAACGCACTCAACAGCCACTTAAGCTTAAAAGATAAAAAACTTCAAGATTTGGAGGCTAAGCTTCTGACATCCGACCAGCAACTTGACCTTGAATTAGCCAGCACCACCAAGGAGCTGGATGCGTCGAAAAAGCAGATTAACCAACTGCTAGAAGAGAACCGGGAAATCCAAAGACAGATTGCTGACCTGTCGTCAACCTCAACAGGATACGAGGAATTGGTCCGGCGCAAAGAAGGCGAAGTTGCCGTTCTCAAAGCTGACTTAAAGAAACATGAATTCGAAAAACGGAGCCTTGAAACAGAAAAGAGAGGGTTATCGGATCGCCATGATGATATGCAGCGAAGGATTCGTGACCTGCAGGCCGAGATAGACACCACAAAACTCGAGAAGGCAAACTTTGAGCGTGAAGCTGTAGATGCTAGGAAGCTCCTTGAAGAGAAATTATCCGAAGATGCGGAATCGGCCCAAGGCAGGAAAATGCTAGATAAGCAGGTCCAGGATCTCAAGGCTCAGCTCTACCAGACACAAGCGGAACTCAGTCGAGTACAACAGTCAAGGGATGACGTACAAATGCTTTCAGAACACAAATTTGCACAGCTAAGGGAAGAGTTCGAAACCCTCAATGAAGCCAAAATCACCATTGAGAAGGAGATGTATATCCAACAGGATACACTTCGCCGGGCGAAAGAAGCTCGAACAGCCGCAGAGGAATCTCGGAAGCAGCTTCAGGGGGAAGTTATCAAGCTGCGAGAGCGAATAACAAAAATAGAGGAAGCCCGCCTGAATGCTGAGACTTCTTATGCAAATAAGATGACTGCGCAAACAACGGAAAGGATAGCCAAACTCCAGGCCGAGCTTGATGAAAAGACTAAGGCTCTCAACAACGCTGAAGCAGGGCATGCTCGCCTGAGCTCTCAAGTTCAGAATCTGAGCAATCTGATTGCAGAGTCTGAAAATTTCCGTACCCAGCATGACCAACATAAGGAACGACTGGAGAGGGAGCTTGTTACTGTCAAGGGCAGGCTCGCCGCATCTGAAAATGATAATCGAGCTCTCTTGAACAAAGTCCAACAAAAGAATTTAGACATTGCACGCTCCAACTCAAGGGCGGGTGATACCCAAAGGGCTAGATTGGCACAGCTTCAGACAGAAAAATCTCGGTTGGAAGAGGCAAACAAGCAGCTTACACGCCAACTCGGAGATGCTCAACTATCAATAACCTCGCTTGAGAAACAGAAGGAGAAGCTCGCTTTGAGCGCTGAGGATCTGAATCACGAAGTGGCACGCGAGCATAAAACTAGTCGAAACGCAGAGAAGACTGCTGCCACCGCCCAGTTACAGTTAGCTGAAGCAAACAGAAATCTTGAAACAGAACGACAGCTTAAAACCCAGGCACAAGCCAACACCAGGAAGCTTCAAGCGTCAATGGATAGAATGAACTCAGAGCTCGAAGATTGCCATCAGCAGTTAATTCTTCTACACAGAGTTTTTGATCCTGATTCATCCCCTGCCGAAAAGACTTGGGAGACAATAAAGCCTGATTTGTCCAAGAAGGTTGATATGGCAGCTATGTTAGAGACCGCTCATAATGAGCTTCGGATTAGTGAAGAGAAGCGTTCCCGGGCAGAGAACCAACTTAATGAAATGCGTCGCCGGCATGCTGATGAAATGAATGAGCTTGACGCTCGCTACTCTTCGTCGAAGCGTGCTCTATTAGAAGAGATCGATCAAAACCAAGTGGCCAACACCAGGTCTCCTTCACATTTCAGAAAAAACTCCGAGCCTAATAAGCGATATTCTAACCCCTCAACGCCCAACCGCCGATATAACAACCTTATAGATGGGGCTGGTGATTCTGCGCGGTCAGACCGAACCGTCGATACTGTTGCATTCCAGAAGAGGATGGATCATGCCGCAGAAATTGAAAGCCTTCAAAATCAGCTGCAGCTTTCAGAAATGCATAATCGTCACCTCCAGAGCCAGATCGACAGGTCTGCTCCTGTTCGGGATATGTGGCAGGATGAAAGCCCTTCTATCCGCCGCATGCAGATACTAGAACGTGAAAATGGTCGCCTCCACGAGAAGCTCGACGATTCCGCTAAAAAGGTTTCTGCTTTGGAGAAGAGCATTCAGTCCGGAGAGTTAAGCCTTCGTGACGTCCAGGCTAAGTCTCATGAAGAATTATATGACCTCCTCAATTCTCAAGAACAGTCTCGAAGGTCTCTCCTCCAAGTTCACAAGTCTGCACTAGCAGACCTCACACATGCCAAAGGGGAGTTTGAGAAACTCAGGCACGCAAGGGCTGCCATGGAAGTTGAGTTGCGCGATACAAGATCAGAACTTCAAGAGCTCCAACTCGCACGAGACCATGACGCTGCAAGCCGAAGCCAATTACTCCAGGAGTTCTCCGATCTCCAAATTAGATTGGACGCTGAGACATCTAAGGCTATCGATGCCAACTCCAGTTTGAGTCTCTATAAGAGTCGTGCCAATGAGTATTTCAGCAAGCTAGAGCAAGCTGAAATTGCTGTTTTGAAGGCTACCCGCGCTGAACAATTTGCCAAAGCACAAGCCAAGGAAGCGGAAGACACCTGCGCTAATATTATGTCTGAAAGAAAGGAAACTGATAACCTCATTGAAGATTTGCAGCGGCAGGTGCAGTCCCACGAAGAAAAGGTCGAAGACCTTTCTGCAGACCTTGATGCGGCATTGCAGGCGAAGAGGCGCCTTCAAAATGAGCTTGAAGACTACCGTAGCCAGCGAGCTATGGATATCGAAGACAAAGAAGCTTCGATGGAGCAAACAAGGAAGAAATACCAAATGGAATTCTCGGCGCTTACGAGCGAGCTGGAGGTGGAGCGTGAAAATGTTCTCCATATCCGAGGCGAGAACACTCGCCTTAAGGAAGAGCTTGAAGAGCTACGATCCAAGTGGGATGATGAAGTCTTAAATAGCTCAACTTGGTCCAAGGAGAAGTCTAGAATAGAAATGACTTTGCAAGACATCACAACTTCCCGAGATGATGCCGTCAAGGCCCATAACGAAGCTCAAGGCAAGGTTGTTACGTTGTTGAACCAAGTCCGTACGCTTCGCACTTCTGTCGATGACCTCTCAGCCGAACGTGACATGCTTCTCAAGGAGAAACGTGGCCTCGAATCCAGGCTTGCCGAAGCAGGAGACCGCTTAGAGGACCTTGCCAAGGGTGAAAGCCCGATGCGGAATGCCGCTGGTATGGATCGTGAGATTCTGGATTTGAAATCACAGCTCGCGCAACAACAGGACCTTGCCTCAGTTGCCGTTGGTAAAATGAGAAGAGCAGAGGCTCTTGCGACTGAAGTCCAGAAGGAAATTGTAGCCCAACGAGAGTCGACAGCACAGCTGTTCAAAGATAAGGTTGCACTTGAAAAGCAGTTCAAGGAGGTCCAGTTACGATGTGTTGACCTTGAAACTAAGGGGTACTCATCTTCAAGTCAAGATGTCAGGTTCCTCAATAAGCGAATCCAGGAGGTAAGTTGAAGTCGTCCAAATTCTCCTAATTTAGGGATAACCTGTTAATAATTTGCACATTAGCTCGAAGCTCAGCTAGAGGAGCAGGAGTCGAAACGAAATGCTGAGCAGAGATCTGTCCGCAATGTCGACAGAACAGTAAAGGACCTTCAAACGCAGATTGAACGGCGAGAAAAAATGAACAATCAGCTCACTGAAGATATCGGAAAGTCGCGTGATAAGATTGAACGACTTCTCCAAACTATTGAAGAGCTTCAGACCAGCGACTCTGAGAATCAACTTCAGGCTCGTCGTGCGGAACGTGAACTCCGTGAAGAGCGTGAGAAGTCTCTCCGTCTTGAACGAGAGCTGGAAGGCTGGAAGGCACTCCGCCTGGAAAGAGGCAGTATAGCAGGGAAAGGCCCTGCATACGGAGGAGCGAGTGAGATGGGCGACAGATATAGCCGTCGAGGAAGTGGAGTGTATGTTGGATCCGGGATTGAGCTTCCTCAACGGAAGATGAGTACAAGCAAAGGGTTCTTGTAGGGCATCCCACGATTCCCTTTCCATTCATGTTTGGAGATTACACGAGCCTTGGAATTGTGAGCATCATGAGCACTCTCTATAGTAGTCTTTTTCTTTTGAGCGATGTATGGGTCTTGGGCGGTTATGGTCAGGTTTCTTTGTAAATCTCCGGTTGTATCGAGCAGGTTGTTGATATGAGTTCATGTATTTAATAGGATAACCGGTGTAATTCTACGATTCAATGTCTATAATATTTTGCTGACCCTAGGCATGGCGTTAATTTTGGAGGCTGGAGTTTGGCTTGGCTGCGATTGATAAGATTGGCAAAGCAAACAAAGCTTGTCTAGCAACCAAAAACGACACACATCCTTCAAGCAAAACAACAACATCGAAAACTTGGACAAGGCAGGCAAATCTACTGCTCCACCTCATATTCTGACTCAAAATAAAGAATCTGGGCCTGGGAATTGGCTAATCCAAACCCCTCTCGTTCGCCATGGTAAGCCTGATAGACATGACTTCCGCCTATATATAGCTCTGTAACTAATCACAAGACTCTCACATGTCGAATAGGCTCGAAATAGTGAAAAGGCGCAGTCTATGCTGTTTCGGTTTCGTGCTGCTCAAGCTGCGGACCTTGGAATCCTAGATATCGGACGGACACGCCGCCCAAAAGCCATCACCTCAATCGACTCCATTCCTATCTGCGAAAAATGGCGAGGCCAAGTTCTCAAGGAAATATCCCGAAAAGTCACTCGCATACAAGACCTAAGTCTAAGTGATTTCCAAATCAGAGACCTAAACGATGAAATCAACAAATTGATGCGAGAAAAATGGATGTGGGATGTTCAAATACGGAATCTGGGAGGGCCAAACTACACGCGCGGCGGCGGGAGGGTATACGATGAAGACGGGAAGGAGATTCCGGGCGGTGGTAAAGGGTATAAATATTTTGGTCGTGCAAGGGAGTTACCCGGTGTCAAGGAGATGTTTGAAGCGGCTACGAAAAAGAGGAGTTCGTCTGAGTTAGACGATGCGGGAGGACGCAAAGTGGATATGGAGATGTTCAAAAAACACGTTGACGCAGCGTACTTTGGGTATGGGCTAGACGAGGAAGACGGCACGTTACTAGAATATGAAAAGAAGAAGGAAAAAGAGGCCTTTGAGGCTGTATTGAAGAAAGGTGATAGTAAACCCAACGATGGGTGGGAACCGCTCCCAGGTGACGCCGGAGATGCTGTTGAATGGCAGTTGCCTACACTAGATGATGTTCAGGAAGAGCTAGTGGAAAGGCGGAGGAGGAAACTACTGGACAAGATTGGTTGATATGCTGAAGACAGTGAATGTTTTGGAGGATTTCATAGGATAATATTATGTATAAATTATTCAGTTCATATAAAATTACATCGAGTATTGTACATTGTAGGGGGTATATTGCATAGAAATATCAAACATGGACATCAAAACAAGCCAGTCTCCACTGTACTGTTCCAGTGGCGAGTATGTTATAGGCTCTCTTAGGTGGAAAGTCCAGCTGCCGACCCCGTGGCTACTAGCCTGTCTATTTTCTTCTCCTGAGAGATCTTTACCACATCATCGAGCATGAATAAGCCGAGTTTTCCCTCCCGCCACTGCGTAATGAACAGTCGTGCAGCTGCTTCGTAGTCTGGCTCACCCCCTTTCACTAGTCGGCCGGCTCTTCTCGAAATCGCACCCAGTAGTTCCATGATATCGTTGGTTGGGGGGCAATAATTTTGGTACTTATTCATTAATAAGTGACGGTTCATTTGAAAGAGAAGATAGTCAGCCAAAGTAATAATAGGAACTAGAGAATCTTTTATGATTCCGCAAAGTGCCATTTTAAGCATGCTGTTCGGATTAGACATGTATGGCACAAACACACCCGGGGTGTCATACACATAAATGCCCACATCATTTTTTTCAAACAATTTTATAGGTGTCCCAATCTTCCTTGTGATGCCTGGGTCCGCACCGGTTCTGACAACTGCAGATTTCCTGACATTTCTTATGTTGGTCATTGATCGCAGTTTATTGATCAATGTTGACTTCCCCACATTCGGCATCCCAACCACCAGCATGCGGTATCCAATTATACTGTTGGTAGCTACCGGGAGAGCTTGGATATATTTCGCTAACGGGGTAACTGAGTTCCTCAGGCTTCTGCTTGCGAAGAATACTTTTGTAGGCTTCTTCTCCCAACGGGATATAAGTTTCTCTTTCTGACGGTAAAATTCACAAATTAGTAAACTGTGGTAAACGAGGCCAATTCAAAGGTTGCAAGGACAAATACCATCTGTGATTCTAGCTTCAAATTGGCCCCAAGATCTCTTTTCGTATAGACGATGGTTCGACTCTTTTCGCCCAATGCCTCTTCGAACAGAGGATTTATTGAAGTTGCCGGAACTCGGAAATCTCTACACTCGATCACATGGTCAACAGAGTCAAGCATCGCTTTCATCTTGTCAAGACCAGCACGATGATGTCCCAGGAAATAACTTCTCTGGATGTTCTCGGAGGCCGCAAACGCCGTCCGAGGAATGAACGATGCCATTTTGAGGGTGTTATTATATACTATTTATATAATAGCATCGTAACAGAGAGAAATCTCGCAATATCTTCACAGTTCACCGGATATTTGTTAAATATCTTCAAAGATTTGCTTCTTCGTCACCAATAATTTAAGGTTTGAAATTGATAACGGAATAACATTAATCCGAATAAGCTTGGATTTCCCGTCTTGGCATATCATTACAGAGATTATGTAATCATCGTCGAATCCTTCTTTTGTTAAAAAACATCAAACTTCGCGATATCAAAATTGAACATCCCAAAAAAGAGTCCAGTTGAATTAACGCAGAATCTGCTTCATAATATTCATAGAGGGCGAAAGGGAAGTGATGCAGGGCTCGCCCCCGAGATAGTTAAGGTCAAGAAGGACTCAGCCTCTCCCTTAACTAGTGTCTCGGACAAGGCAAAAGTCCAAGAATGCCCAAGAACCCATGCCAGAAGCAGACCCCCTCATGCTCGCTAAATGCTATCTCATTAGGAGTTGTTTACCATGTCAGCGCTTGGCGTATCTCATGGGCTTCTTTACCTCCCCGTTGAAACCTAAAATTTAAAAATTTCCCCTCGATGGAGGCCGAATTCATATTAATATATAACTGACAAGCTGGAACCAAGGGCATTGATATTGACAGGATGTTCATGCTATTACCGTTTAAATAATATTTCCTATTACCAAGCCCAATCATCACTTAGGCAGGTAACCAAGGCTATCCTAAATACTGCTGCCCTCCAATATCAGAACCTTCAGTTTTCGGTGGCAAGAAGCTATGTCTGTAGGCACATTCCTTCGGCCGCGGTCCACCAGGCCAATGCAAGGCATCCTTCGTCGAAGAAAGGAGCCTCATTCATCGGGTTCAGCCCAAAGAACAGCTAATGATGAGGATATCCCTGATGAGGATGCACACTCATACATAACTCCTTCAAAACATACCCCTAAGCCGTTATGGCTGTTCAACAAAACAGTAGGACCTAGTGGCCCTCTGCGGCCCTTTCGTCTTGTCAAACAGGACCTAGCCAATCTACGCCAAAGATATCTCTCAGATTGGAAGATATTCAACCAACTAATAATTGCCAGCACTGTCTATGTATTCTTTACAAACTTGCTACCAGGTATCACATTTGCTAGTGATTTATATGTACTCACCGGCAAGAATTGGGGGGCTATAGAGGTGGTATTTAGCACGGGGCTATGCAGTATCATCTTCTCTCTGTAGGGATTCCTTCCTATTTAACATATTAAACATATAAGGAATCTGATATTAATTCGTTATTGATTAGATTCTCTATTCAACCTCTTACCATCCTCGGGGTTACTGGACCCTTTTCTGTTTTAGCTGAAAACATATATTCTCTTTGCGATGTAGCCTTCAAGGTCTGACTTTATTCTTTTTTTTTTTTTTTTTTTTTGCAGATATGTTTCTAATGTGTTTGTATTTGTATAGGTTCCATTTCTACCATTCATGGCTTGGTCACTCATCCATGCAGGTTGGCTGCACTACCTCCTGGCTATATTCAACGCTCATGACTGGACTATGGGCTATGTCACCACCTTTTCAACGGAGATTTTTTCGCTTTTAAACAGTATAATATACTTTCATAAAGCTATCCAAGAGCTTGAACGTGCCCATGCAAACCTCTCATTCGCTGCATTTCTATACGCCGTTATGGGAGCTGTAGGGACAATGCTACTCGCCATATTCTTGTCCACAGCGGAATCTTGGAAACCATTGTTCCATCGATATATACGCCTAGGCCTTTCCGAATATGCTGCAGCAATCTCTATCATTCTTTTTATTGGGTTACCACATATCGGAGAACTCGCCCATTTGGACAAGTCAACGCTCCCTGTGAGCACCACCTTCCAGCCAACGTCTCCGGATCGTCAGGTATTCTTTGTCGAGTTCTGGAAGCTGCCTTTACGTTGGATATTTGCAGCCATCGTTCCTGGCATCATCATCACCATGCTTTTCTTCTTTGACCACGAGATAAGCTCCATAATATGCACCATCGATCGATATAAGACGCGGAAGCCTGGTGGGTTTGCCTGGGATATCATTCTCCTAGGAACTACGACAGCACTATGCGGCATATTGGGTATTCCTCCTGCAAATGGGCTTCTCCCACAAGCCCCTCTTCATTCCGAATCATTAATGCACGCAGATACAGAAGAAGTTATAGTTGAAGTTGATGGCCAGGAAACGATAGAGACTCGACCGACGAGAAGAGTCTATGAACAGCGATGGTCTTCCTTGCTCCACGGTTGCGGCATCCTTACATTCATCAGCCCTCCTTTCATGAGGGTTCTTGGGTTAACCCCTACCAGCGTGCTGGCTGGTTTATTCTTATTCATGGGAGAGCAAAGCTTGTCGGTCAAGTATGAACACTTTCTAGAAATTCTCCATGTAACTATATGCTAACTGACCAACTTTCAGTCCCATCCTGTATCGAACATTTTACCTCTTGACACCACCATCAGAGTTACCTATTCTTCCTGCAGAATTGAGCTCGTCATCCTCATCCACAACGACAACATCCGAACATCCCCCAAGGCCGTCATACATGCCAATCCACCTTTACACCCTACTACAGCTAGTAATCACAATAGCTATATTCATCCTGACTCTCACACGCGGCGCCCCAGCCTTTCCTGTGTTGATTATCCTGCTAGTCCCATTTAGACTCTTGGTTATGAAACACTGGTTTAGGAAAGAGGTGCTTAAGTTTGTGGATGCGTGGGCTTGTAAAGCCGGTACGCCTGAAGATAGAGACGATAAGGAGGATATTAGGGAAAAGGAAGAAGAACAAGGTAATAATGATACTGGAGTCCTGGGATCTCGAAGGGATTCAGTTGATCGGGTCTAAAACATGAGAGGGATATGAGAATAAAAAGCATTGTTAGATACTGCTGTATAGTGACAAAGTCTAGCCATAGAGCTATCTATGTCCATAAGTAGTTGTGTAAAATACAAAAAGTTATCATAAAAATGGGTATAATATGTCGACATAAAGCATTCCCACACCAAATGTTCTCAGGACTCCTAGCAGTTCCCATTCATGCTTTATCTAATCAAAACGAAAATAGACCCAAACCCCGGAAGGCCAGCTCTAGCTTTTTGAAGCTTGATAGGTGAAGCAGGCTATGCCCTCCAGCCTTGAACAATATCGTGAATTCGATCAATAACAGCACCGAATATAGCATTCACGCTATTGATGATAAGTTCGTCGAAGTGACGAATTGCCTCCTCCTCAGTCATTTCCAAATGGAACCGTTCCTTAACTTTCAAAACGGCCTTGTCGGGTTCCACCCGAATGTCAGGAATATTAGCATCAACCATCAGGCTGAATAAATTAAGAATAAGATTTGCAGATTTGCGCAAGGTGATGTAGGCAGTGAAGCAATATTGTTTAAATTGGATGTAGTTCGGCGAGTTGGCACCGCCCATTCCTTCAACCATTTCCTTGCATAACTTCATCATTGGCGCGAATGGTTTTGGGTCACGACCAAGTATGAAACCAAAATCAGCGTGGAAGAAATGCCCATCAGGGGCAAGGAGTAGATTCTCTAGATGGCGATCGCCAACTCCTAGAAGATAGGTGATAACGCAGTATCCAGCACAAGACTTGATGTAAGTGTCCATTGCTTCTTTTCGTACCCCCAGCGGCTCACTGTCGTCAGGGTTGTTTGCTTTGAGGTACGCAAGGAGTGAGCCTTTATATTTCGCAGTAGCGGCAGATAGAGGCGTTGATGGAACGAATTGTACCGCGCCAGCAGTAGCACCCGTTGCAATAATACGGTATGGAGTAAGCTTAAGATCCAGGTTCTCCTTCTGCAGAAGCCGGTCCATAAGAGTGATTATCTGGATTACAAGTTGATCCTGGCGCAAGTCATCTCCGACCTTGAATATGACTGGATACTTTCGACCATCGGATAGCTTGAAGTTGATAAAAAGAGGTGACAAGGAAGACTTAAAAACGTTGGCTTCTTCCGGATGGCAGCCAACAATTGAAACCTCGGGATCAAGAGGGAAAGGAAGAGGGGGATCAATCTGTAAGATGTCATTCTTAGGGTCACTGAGAAATTTTTTGAGCATTTCAATTTTGTAAGGACGATTGACTCTTGCAAACCGGATATCCTTTGCTATTTTGGAAAGGATGGTAACAAGTTCACCCTGTCTGAGTAGCACCTTTCTCTGCGCCGGATTGACCTTTTCTAGTTCTAGCATGAAGTAAAATTCCACACGCGCAAAAAATTTCCGGTGCGTAGAGAGCGTCCCGGCTGCTGTGTCATCACACTCGACCATTAGATACCAATGAAAGTAGCTTCCGAGTATAGGGTTATTGGCAGCGCGGCTGATCAAAAAATTGGTCAAGGAGGAATCGTGTGCGGCTTCTTCTGTTTCTTCAGCGGAACCCTTGGGAATAGCTTCAAATTTCAGTGCTTGTACAAGCTGAAGAAGGTATAAAAGCAGCTCCTCGTCATCTGATTTTCTCAAGCGATCAACGGCATAAGCACGAACTTCTGGGTTGTCGAAAAGGGGGCCCAGCAACTCCAAAGCATCATCTACATCGATTTCAGTCCACTTTGGTAGGATTTCAACGGCCTGTCTAGCTTCACTGGCATCCTGCCAGTTAACAGACTTGACAAATTTAGTCAAAGCCCGTTTATCTCTAGTGAGATAGAATCTAAATTTCCAGACCAGGTCTTTCTCTTCTGCATTCAGTTCTTGCGTTGGACCATAGGACATGATCTCATTGATTTCATCACGAATCTTAGGGTTTGGTTTTAAATCGCGGTCCATAATACCAGTCCTATGGCTACGGACTAGCCTTCTGTGCTTATCTTCACAAGGGTTTCCTCTCTGGCCAACCTCAGGGTCATATATTCGTATTAGAGGGTAGTTGCCTTCATCATCCGCAGCTCCTTCGATGTCAGGGCCAAGCCGGACTTCGGGGGGCGGTTTCAAAGCAATGGTAGATCCGGATGGGGTATGCTGCGTAAGTGAAGAAACCGGTGGAGGGGGATACTCGAAATCCTGGAAAACAATGGGAAAGTCAAAGCGTGGGAATTCAATGTAAAGGACGAAATTTTCCTCATCTTCATCCTGAGTACTGGCACCAGCATCTCCATCAAGCTCAACAATCGCCTTTTCTCTCGCAGCTTTATTTCGAAGGGCGCGCTTTTTCGCAGCATCTTCAGCTTCAACTTTGATCTTCTCTACCGCACGAAAAACCAGCTGATCCAGCCAATCAACCCGTGGTATTTCCCCCATTTCATGTTTTTTCAGCAGTTTTTCTAACCGTTCAAGCTCAAGTTCTACCGGAGTAGGGCCCTCTTCGACAAAATTACCTCTGTGGCGCTTGGGCGGCGGAGTGGAGGGCGTCGTGGTGTACGAGAAACCATCGGCAGCTTTGTGTCTGTATAGTTTGCATTTTTGCTTCCCTTTTTTTAGTGTTCCATCTTCATCAAAAAGCGAAACGGTCGTCCCGCCGAATGGAACAGAATGATCATGGCTTCCTTCTCCGCCCAAGGGCGACAGATCCCAGACTGTGAGCGCCAACTGAGTATTCTGCGGTGCATCCTTGATCAGTACTGGCATTTCAAGCCACTCATTCCAAGTCCGGTTAGTTTTGAATGACTTGTAGGCGGTCTGCATGGGCATTCCAAGCGGCTTGCAGCTGCTCCATAGCTGTGCAGTAACGTAGAGGTCTGAAGTAGGACTCTGGTTGGAACCAAGGTGACGGAGCTCCGGGTTCTTCAACAAGACAGAGAACGGTATCTGTTTTTGTCTCCCTTCTAAGTTGCATCTGCATTAGATCTGGTCAGTACCACTGCGCACAATGATAGGATCCAGGGAGCCCTTTTTGTACATACATCTTAGCTCGGATGGGTAGGGCCACCTGTGTTGACGTTGCAAAGGTGAACGTATCCATGACAGTCACCCAGTTACGAGAGATATAAAGCTCACCGTCCGAGCTTTTTTCATCCTCAGACTTGGGTAAAGAGACAACATCAACGTCCTCGCCTTCGTCCTCGTCTTCTCTTCTGCTTCTTCCATCTTCAACCTCAACTTCATGCCAAGACTTTCCCATATCTTATCCGGATTAAATTTAATCCGGAGACGAAGTCAATTTAGTGCACGGACCATCGCGTACTCCCAAAAAGCAACTTTTTTGACGTTTGATGTAGATAAAAAAAGTGAAGACGTTTTTCTGATGAAGCGGCTTACCAGTTTACAAGTTGTCAATAACACATTGATGCTTTAGATGACATCTGTCCACAGGATTTATATGTTTATTTTATAAATTTATATGCGCTGAACCACATTGTTTCCCATTTACGCGCATTGACAAACACGATTGCATTGATTCTGCGCCCCCCTGACAAAGCATTTAGCAGTATATGGAAACAGAGAGATGGCAGGACTAGTCAGGCATAATGATAGATCTCTCTCAGTGACACCTCCAGCCTCAGATCAAGGCTCTGAGCCGTCACCACCAACGTCCTTTTCCTCTGATAAAGAGAACCAAAGCGCGCGCCACATCCAACTGAAGAAGAGGAAATCTGGCGGCCTAGCAGCCCCTCCAACGCCCAGCGCATCAAATAAGAAGAGGCGTGTATCTGAACAGATGCCGGAACAATCACAGTCTACCCATCAACGCCGATTACGGGAAGTTGTAGATACGGACTATTATGATCCAGACCAGGATCCAGAGGAGAGGAGGGCGGTTCGGAAAGGGCTGAGGGACCTGGCTTCAAATTTAAATGGTATACGGATCTGCCGTTCTATATTTGGATCAATATGCTGATATAATGTGGTTTTCTGCTTCTAGATTCGCGAGCCGAGTATATCCAACCAGAATCAAACGGGCTAATGCAAACGGTAGAAAAGGCAAACGATCTCTTCAAGAAAGTCAAGCAAACATCCGATGCGACTCTTGATTCCCGCCTCCTTGTTACGGCGGCAGATCTCTCCTACAAACGAACCGCACATGCCTGTTTAGGAAACAATGTAGCAGGTATCGACGTTGACGAGTTTGTTTCGAAATGTATCTCGTATATGCAGAGGGAGACGACATCGTCGCTACCTACCCCTACACAAAGCAATCGCCGCAGCTCGGGTCACCTGTCACAGCGCGCGGCTGACAGTGATGATGAGGACGAACCCTTTAACTGGGACTATCTCGGGCGACATGCCTGTTTTCCAAACAACCTGAAACCATCCATTTCAGGATTTCTTCTTGGCCCGCTATCCGTACAAAAACGCGTTCGTCAATTAACCCAACGAAGAGCACGAGAACGAATAGATCCGTCCCAGCTTATACGGCCTAACGATCTTAAAGCCACGGATTTGGGGAAACAAGAAGAGGCTACTTTGACGACCATGTGCACAAACATAAGAAAAAGGTTGGTCGAGATTCAACAAATGAGGGAAGCGCAGGCTCGTGAAGAGCTATCAAATATGGACGACGCCACTGAAGCTGAGGCCATCGAAGTGATGGGTAAACACGGAATATCCGATAATGGCGGGATTCCCCTCTTTCAGTTCTGTATCAACCCAAGGTCATTTGGCCAGTCTGTCGAGAATATATTTTATGTCAGTTTCCTGGTCCGTGATGGAAGTATAGGAGTGTCCATGGACAGAGACAATCTACCCACATTACGTATGTTCCCATCAGATCTCTGTTTTTTATACTCAGCACAATAATCTCTAACCGTTTGCCAGTTCCTGCGGAGCCACTTCGTCCCTCAGAGGCTCGAGAACAAGGCATTCAAAAACATCAAGCAGTCTTTGGTCTAGACTTTGACACCTGGGCGCAACTTATTGAGACATTCGATATAAAAGACCCTTTAATCCCACATCGGGATGATGAGGATAAACATGCTCCTTCTACCGGCAGATGGCATGCATAACACAGTACAGCATAATTAATCCTTACCACACCTTATTATCTTTTAGAACTGATTTTGCTGCGCAAAATATGTTCTGTGTGTAATTCTTTTTGCATGCATCCTTAAAGATTTGAACCTGCGATGCCGCCGTTATATTTAGCAAGCATGATTCTTATCCCATCTAATACTGGCGTTATTGAGAATATTGTACAAAACAGCTAGTAGAGCCTAGCCATCTAGAAGCATCGAGCTCCGTCTTGTCTACGTCATAGATATTAGTAAAAAGTGTCCATGCTATATGGCGTGTTCCGGCTCTACATAGTATGTTGACCAGCATTTGGTCATAAGCCAGCACCTGTTAATATTAAATGACCGAAGCATGAGAGACCTCCAGACTGGTTGTCCCATCTACATTGTTGGTCTTCAAAGCTCACATGTTTCATCGCCCTCTCAGCTGCGTTCGAGTCACCCGATGTGCGCGGTATACCGTGACCAACGGCGCAAAGAACACCCAGAGACGAGATATAAAGCTATCAAGAGCCAGCATAAGCTACGTTTTCTTTTCTACGGACATCCAGAGACCGAGTAGACAGCTCAGAGCTGGGAACAGACCTGCCAGGCCGTTGCTGCGTGTCACATCTTCGCCTTTCCACAGCACATCTGTCAAAATGCCAAAACTCGCCCCGTCTGATCCGGAAAAGGTGATGGTTATTCGCAAGATATGCGATAATATCGTTACATGCAGCCTACCGTTTTCCCGACTTGGGATCTTTAAATTCGGAGGTCGCGCAACTCTAGGTCAGTCGACCATTATACGTAGATGATACACCGAATGCTAAGGGTTTGAACAGTCCGTCTCCAAACCGGATCGATTGCTGTCTTCTCTCCAGTTGCACTTACGCACTCTGTAAGGGAAGCAGTCGACAGCCTAGGTGGGAACGTGAAATATCTCATCGCGCCAGACATGGAACATCATCTGTTCCTAAATGACTGGACAAAAGCATATCCTGAAGCAGAGATAATTGCTCCAGAAGGGCTGTGGGAGAAGAGGCAGAGTAAACCTGAGACCTCCGGCCCAAAGTTCGAATATATCTTTACCCCTGAGAATAAAGACACTCTTCACATCTCGGATGAGTTCATTGCTGAGTTTGACATCGAGTACATCCATGCACATGTCAACCGTGAGATCGTGGTACTGCATAAGCCCTCGGGGACCCTAATACAGGCAGACCTGTTCTTCAACCCACCCGGAAACGAGCAGTATCAGAAGTCCAAGGAGGGAGCCAGAGACGGGTTCGCGAACAAGCTTTACCTCTTCCTTATGTCGTCGAAGGGCAACGCTATGTCACAGCAGAGGATGATATGGTATTTAATGTCAAGCAAGGACCACAGAGCATTCAAAAAGTCCATCCAGAGGGTCGATAGATGGGAGTTTGACCGTGCGATTCCATGTCATGGGGATACAGTTGATCAGGGAGCAAAATGCATGTTCAGAACCCTGTTCCAGTGGTTCCTTTGATCAGCTCCAACTTCCTCTGATATCTTCTCCTTGATGCTTAGTTATAATTAGAGCTGGATGTTATTTGTATATCTATATATTAACCCATTCAATTAATAGATTCCAGGTTCCTGTGATGTCACCAATATCCACATGAGCTTGACATGGATCACAGGGAAAAGGAAAATTTGGGTTTTCAGCATGTGAAGATGAACTCTTGTGACGTCCTTGAGTTCCTGGATTCTTCTCAGGCCAGGGACTCGATATTCCTATCAGCTTGACCGTGCAACGAAGAGCCACACAGTACTCCGCACGTTCAGCACAAAGCAGGTCGATAATATATGATACATACTCCGTACTGTGCATACATACATAGTATACATAGTAGTAACCATCCTGGGTTGGTGACGATGTGCGAAAAAAGAAAAGAGAGAAGCTAATAAAAAGGAAGTCGATCCTTGCCCATGCGACGTCATGATGTTATTGCTTTTCGTACAAGCAAGCATCCAGACCTTTAGCGTCTCTCGAGTCTCGACTTTCGACACGTTCGTGAATACGGGTTATGTTCCTGAAATGGTGTTCAGAACTGGTCTGACTTCAATATCGCGATGCTGCTACGTGCAACGTACTCAGAGCTGCTTGGTGACAACAATCGATGCAAGCTTGAGGTACTCATTCACTTGAGCCAATCACGCTTGCTCCACCGGGTGATCGTACTGGGTATTGCTTCTAGTTTGAAAGAAGAAAACACAATGGAGACGCTATCTTACTCCAGGGGCACCTCTTAGGGACGGTTCTTATTCCGTTTCGAGCAACAAGGGGTTCATGACCACTGTCAGCTTGATGGGATTCATATGTGAGCTGCGGAATACTTACGCAGAATAGGTAAACGAGAGATGAGATACCAAAGAAACTCGCTAGAAAAAAGGAATCAGGAGAGAAGCAATAACAGAGTCTTTGTTGAATCCTGCAAGCCACCAGGCCCATCCACATTGACGCTGCCGTGTCTACACCGACTCAAACCCGTTTGCATTCCAGGGGCGTGTATAGAAACCCAGAATACAGAGTAGCACCAGTTGCTACAATTGTTGGCTCACTCATTATTGTCTGTCAAATTTTTGAGAAACTGAACAAATGCTTTTACGGTTACCTATAAATATGGATGACTCTCCCTCTAAGGGCTACTAAGCATGGTATCGAATATACCCATCTAAGACTAACAACCCATACAAGATGCTATACCTAAGAAAAGTCCTGCTTCTGGGTGCCTTCCTTTCGGCTTCTACAGCTCTCTCCCAAGATCAAGCACAAGTGAGTAACTCCGTATACCCATTATATCTAACCGCTATGGTAAATATGTGGTGCTAATATGAGATTTGTTACCTAAGTAAATATCTACGAAAACATAGATTATCAGGGAACTCCCCTGACTATTACTGAGTTTGGTTCTTGCATTGATTTATTGCACTCAGGGTAAGCAACGTCATGGCTAAAATAATGAGATCTCTAGAAAGAATGCTTATAATGCTCATATAGCATCCCTCGGGTTGGGTCTGTTAATATAAACACTGCCGCAGTGTCTTGCATATTCCATGCGTATGTGCTCTGGCCCGGCATTTATGGAGCTGCATGGACACTAATATCAAATAAAATAGAGAGTATCGCTGTGTAGGGGCTGCAGTCGAGGTGGGATACCTAGGAACCAACGACTTTTCTAGGGACTTCGGAGGTTTCGAGCCCGTCACTGTCGTTTGTTTCAAGAACGAATAAGGCGTTAATGCCTCCAGAGCTGTATTATATCAGCTACTGAATGAGAACTGTTCCTCTCTTCAACATTCTTAACCCTTGGTATCACTACGAAGACATTGATAATGGATTTGTCGTGGAGTAAAAAGCCGTCAGGAACCGACCAACACTCTGGTAAAATATCCCAGGATCGAAAGGATAATAACTGGTTCCATGGTAATTAACCGTAGCCATTGATTGGTTCATATATTAATCTCTGGGTCTGAAGGTGTAAGTTTCTGTCATATAACAGGTACAGACGCAGTAAAGGGCCTTGCAACTCCTCCCTGCAAGCTCCCCTCCGACGTGATAGGATGAGAAGAGACTCCTCTGTTCATTAATGCCTATAATATAATATCAAACATCTATCACTGTGATATATCGACGGAGTGCTCCGCTCACATCCTCCGTCTTCAACCCTTTTATCCGCATCCAAGCCACGCTGGCGGAGTTTACTTTTCCTAGCTGCTCTAGAAGAGCTCCATCGCTAATCAGGCCGGCGGGCGACCAATTAAGGTGTCCATCCCTGCTCTCATTTACGTCATCGGCGAAAGCTTTTTGGCTCCCAGTTTGCTTTTTCCTGCTGGGATATAAAGTCGATCATCTTTCTACAGTTGAACCGACTTTTTGATACTCAGAAAGACAGAAGAACATCAGAGGCCAGAAGCGATAGAACCCCAGACAAGACACACATTCACCGAATTTAAATTTCAAAGTAGGAACAAGACAAGAGACTGCCAACATGCCTGTCGTCTCTCGCATCGTCTCGCCCATCTTCAGGACCGGAGAGCTCATCTTCGCTTCCGTAAGTATTTCTAATGCAGCTGTCTCGAGCCTTTCATGGACTGATTGACTGACTTGAACATCCGTATAGGTCGTTGCAGGTATCGTCGGCTCGTACCTGCACTCCTTCAGCCGTTTGCGTAATCACGGCTTTCCTCAGAGCCGCTGGATCTATACCGAGGTCATCGCCGGTATCTCCATCCTGCTCTCTCTGATCTGGCTTGTCCCTTTCTCCTGGTCGTTCAAGGCATGGCCTAGTATGTACTGTCCTTTCCATCTACATGAAGATACAAGGTACTAATATGTTCTCTAGTGGACGTCATCCTCTCCCTCGCCTGGTTTGCTTCATTCGGGCTTCAGGTCAACTCTCTCAGCTCTCTAAGATGCGGCAGTGCATTCAATTGGACAGGATTTACCAGCAATAACCCATGCGGTCGATGGAGGGCTTCTGAGGCCTTCAGCTTCCTCTCTGCTTGTTTCTGGATGGTCACTGCGGTCATCGTACGTTCTTTTGCCCTTTTTATTCTCCTTACTGAACGTTCCAACTAACAGACCTTCTACAGGGCGTCTGGTTCACTTTCCGCAAGCGCAACGGAGCCGTTGCAGGTGATGGAGTCGAGTAAGTTTACCAGGTATCGGTATCTATGCCTACAGCTATTCTTTGACTAACCTCAACTTCCTAGAAATCGCAAGTGGTACCGTCGTCATGCAGTCTAAAGTGTCTAGGGACCGCAATGCATGCCCCCAAGGTTGCCACAGCTACCTTCTAGCCTTGGAGCTGTCCACTGCCATCTGCAATGAAAAAAACTCTCGCGCTACGCTAATTCTAATGTCATGTTATGTTCATGGCTTGACGATACTCATGTCTCTAATATCTAATCATCTTCTCGAATACCCCTATTTCGTGTCTTTCGGTTTCCTCGCCTTGATATACCCGAGTGATGATTTACTTTAGCTAATGGTTCCTTTTCTTTCTCTTAACTGGTTTAATGAAGATAACGTTGTGATGAGAGATAACCTGTTAAGAATACTGTCCCATTCACGAACTATTCACCTAGTATGGCCGTTTATACTGCCAGAGTAAATATCATACGTAACCTTTGCATCTCACCTGATGCAGGCGTTGCTTCCCACCATCCTCGATGATCAATGCCGTAAGCTCCCCACCGCGGACGCAAGAAGTATCCAGTCCCTTGGTATATTTCCGTATGGCTGGAAGCTGCTTTGCGTCATGACCATATATCACCGTAGTTGGTGGTAAGCTCTTCTCTCTCTCCAGACGTAACTGATATGCATCAAACACCTTTTAATAGCCGTTAGAATCAATACTCCCATAAGATATAACTATTTGGTCGTACTTACGTTAGACCAGCCTGTACCCTCCTTAGACGAGCTGGGGGTATAAGTGTCCGGATCAATGGTTCTCATATTCATCACCAGAGATGGATCCTGACGCTCGAGAGGGACGCCGGGAACTAAGCCTGCATGCACAACCACCACATCCCCCATACCGTTGATATTCCCTACCCTTAAGATCACAGGGCATGACTCCAGCCAGTTGGCATCATCATCAGAGAGCTGGCGGGCGAGCGCATGCGCCTCAGTCTCCCGTTTCCCGATCGTGCTTTCGTCAGCTCTAAACCCTTGACTGCACCGTGATGTTATCTTTCGACGAGTCAGTAGGACTCTGTCTTCATGGTTCCCTCGAACACATGATGCATTGTATTCTCGTGCAAGTTGCACTACTTCAACGCTCTTTGGGCCCTTGGATATCAGATCTCCCGTAAAGATTAAATGATCACCTTTCTCACGATTAAATGATACCTGGGCAAGCAATTTCTCCACTACAGTTATCATCGTCAGTAATAGTTCAAATAAGACAGTACTAAGATTTCATACACTCGTCTTTGCAGCCGTGTACATCACCAACGACCACAAGCCTTTTCCTAGAGCGCCAAAGCCACGATCTCCTCTTGCCCGGCAGCAGTGAAGAGTCCAAGGTCTGCATATGGGCCATATCTCCGAACCCAGGCAGTGCATTTGAGCCAAACCATCCGCCGACCCGGTTTCTATCACTTGCATCAAATGTTTTCTCAAGGTCTTGGTCTTTTTTCACGGTGGCGTGTCCAACGTTCTTCCAGGCCGTGTAGGATAAGCATAGAAAGAGAAGAAAGACGACCAAGTATCTGCGAAACCGCGGTGTGATGAAGGCTACGGTGTTCCTCGTCACACCACGGCGTCTATTTGCCCGTATAAAATGCATTTATTATGCAAGCTTGGGACGCATATACAGGCCATGCTTGATGAACAGACAGACATGACCTTTAACATCACTTCGTAGGATGATTGAACCTTGGTTTACGAGAAACTCAAGAGTCCTTGATGCCTTCCCGGTGATCCAGTAATATCAAAGCTAGATGACTCTGCTATATCTCTTACGTATTTGAGAATGATTGTCAATGAATATCCAGCATCATGTCTCGTTTATCGTTATATGCCTTCTAAATGATGAGAACCTATGATATGAACAATGAAGAACAAAACAATCATCTATATCTCTGGAAGAATCGCTCTTCCTCCATACGCTGCCGCACCTTTTGAATAATCGTGTCATCATATACTTCAGAGTGTTTCTTGCCTCCCTTGAGAACTTCAGTCTCATGACGTAAGGCTTCCTCCTTGGTCATGCATACCAACTCGTCGAGCTGTAGTCGTGCACCCTTCTGGCCCTCCTTGAGGAGTTCAGGATCTACTCCAAAGCCATGAGCAGGGCGTTCCCACCTTATCAGGACTAGCCGAGTAGTGAGGCTGCTGACCACGCTCTTGCTTCTCCAGACTTCTTCCATCAGATAGCCAACGTCCTCTTTACTGATAGGTAGCCTCAATCCAACTGGATCCTGGCCTTCAATAGTCCTCGCAAGACGAGCTTCGGTGCCCTGTAGGGTTCCCAGGACGCTGTCGTAAAACTTGTCTCTGCTTTTAGCCGATGGGTTGTATTCATTGGGATATCCGGATACCTCGCATATGACATAGTTTGCAACAGTATAGCCGAAAATAGCGGGCATTGTTCCGAGTACTGGAAGTATACGGACTCTGAAATCCGGCAAAACTCCCAGGTCAGAAACGTCACCTTTGTTAAGCTCTTCTTCGGCTAGGGGTAAGAGCTCAGCTTTCCCCGGACCTGGCTTCTCAAGAGAGAAAACGACAGGTACCCCGCTTGAAACTCCTAGCATCTTCAAACGGCGCCGTGTGCTTCTCGACAGAGGGTCTTCCAGGCTGAGTGAGATGTCCCCTATGGCAATCCGAGTAGGGTCTGATTTACACCCAGCACCCATTGATGATATGACCTTTATACCGCGCGAATGGCAGTAGTGCAGTAGAGAGACCTTGGAGGATATATTGTCGATGCAGTCCAGTACGTAATCTGGCTTGCGGGTCACCGTGTCGTTCGCCATAGACCAAGGGCTCAGTAATTTGTCGGCAGCTGCCTCACTATATAGCTGGTTACGACAGTCAAAACGCACCCAGGGGGCTATTTGTTGTAGCCTCCGCTCGATGCAATTGACTTTTGGGGTTCCAACGTCTGCTAGTGTCGCGAGTGCATGCCGATTCAGTGATGAGAGTGTCACTTGGTCGAAGTCTATGAGCCGAATTCTCCCAACGCCTGATCGAGCAAGGGCTGCAGCTGCATGAGAACCCACTCCCCCACACCCGACAACTATTATGAAGGAAGATCGAAGCTTTTCTAAGCCTTCGTCGTTGAGGAATACACGGTTTCGGGCAAGCTGTTCGAGAATGAGATCTGAAGAAGTATACATAATTAGCTCAGATGAAAAAAATATGCCAGCAGTTTGACAACATACCATCATCATAGTCTCCCTGCTGAGCTCTCTTAGCAAGAATAGCACTCCGTCGATCCTCCTCGCTCACTGGCGGTGTCACTACACCATATTCTGTAAGCTTCATGATCGGTTAGCTTGCTGAAAATCACAAAAATGGGTATAATATGAAGAATCGCAAAGAATGACCTAAACCAACAAGCCCAATCACCCAGGGAGATACCAACCTTCTCCGCAGAACTCTCATCCAGAGCTGGTATGGAGGCCTTGAGCTTTTCAACAGCTGCTTGACGCTTCACGCTCTGGTAACCAAGAATTGCACCAGCCACAGCAACACCAGACAACACGGCCGCGCCCGCCAGCTGCACACTGTGTGAGCCTGCCTGCCTCTGAATCCAGCTGGTCATCGTTTCCGCCCTTGTACCGCCCTCTCTGGCTGCTCTTGGTTGTTCGCTTTTCTGTGTGTAGCGACGTTCTATCTTCTTATCGTCATAATCTGCCCATGGGTTATCGTGGTAATATTCGTAATTATGTGACCGACTGTATTTATCATCTCGCGGATAATCCATGGTTTGGACTTGGGCCTGGCGGGTTTATATTCATTCCTGATAACAACAGAGTCACTGAGCATACGCGGAGCATGTTATATAGTCGAAGAAGATGGGCGATGAATGCTTTTCTTCTTGTAATTCGCTGTCGCATTTTACAGCTGCTCGTTCGATGTCATCGTACATGAGGCACGTGACTGTATTTTTCCCTTGCTAAAATCCACAAAGCAACGAAGGGAAGAAAAGCACAACAACGTCTCGATGATGATAAAACCTCACAGAGCTACCCCGAGTCTTCCCCTGGGGCATTTCAACAGATGAGTTCACCCTCGACAGCTTCTCCTGAGGCCAAAAGGGTGAAATCGCTTTGGGTGTTACCCTTGAGGGATGCAGATGCGGAAGTTGAACAGAGATCTTAGAGACATTCTAACAACCTATTATTCAAGTCATTATACCTTTGGAAGGGCTTTGGACTGTTAATTGTTATATTCTTACTTAAGGAAGCTTTATTATTTTCCATCCTAAATATTCCGTGACTAATATTATACTGGGAGGTGTATGCAGGTTTCAAGGTACGTCCATATCTCTCATCACCTCTTCTGTGCCCTATGAAGAAATGGTCTTTAGTTATCCAAGGCAGGGATATGGAATCCCTTTGCTCCGCATGTTTTTGCTCCTCGGGGATCCTCAAACGGCGTTTTGAGCAATTGCCAATGCTGTTATACGCTGTAGTTTTCAATCTGAATTACTCTTTAGCACTCTTTATACGCGTCTATTATTGTCTTATTTCAGTTCTACGTGGACTAACTGTGGATATTTAGGTCTTCTATATGCAGAAATGTTTTTAATAACTTACGTATCAATCTAATTCAACTATACCATCTGTAACCAACATAAAAAGTATAGGAGAGATCAAGCAAGAGGATCAAGATGAAGGCTGTCCGGTGATGATTCAACGTGTCTAAAGCCAGAGTTGTATGATATCCTACAAAAGATATTAGCACACTGATCAGAAGCTGCCTAGTACCATATCTGCCCTCGGCTACATGTAGCTTCTGATCGGGATGTCTTGTGCTTTCGTGCACATTAATTCAGTTGTATGGAAATCAATGAGAACACAAGAGAGCTAATCTGAGGACAATCACGGCCTTTCATTTTGATCATCTCTTTTGGTGAATATTGTTGTTGATTTGGTGGAATTACTTGTCGATATCTATTATATTCGAGGGAGAGCGGATCATAGGTATATGGGTTATTTGATTATAATAAGTGAAATGGTTCATCGGTGTTTAAGTGCAAGAATAATATGATGCTAAATTACAGCGCTTAAATCGTAATGGAACGCCCAAACTCCAGAGTGCTATTAAATATCAAAAGTATGGATATCATCACCCAAGAAAGTTCTTCACAGGGCCTCCAATGTTTTTCAAATCCAAAAGGAAGGTATCGTGTCCAAAGTGGGATACATCTTCACTTAGCTCGACATGCTCGACAACCTTACTTCCAGCAGCTTGGAGCGATTCTGCAATTTCTCGCTGCTGCCAGGCGGGGAATAAAATGTCACTTGCTACTCCCATGACAAGAATAAGGTGGTTCTTTAGCGGAGAGAGGCCATTAACTAAATCCATTGGCGGTCCGGAGGAGGTGATGGATTCTGGCTGTACAGATGGAGGACCGCCAGTACCCTGGAAATTTTCAGCAGTAGATGGCTGTTCTTCATAGGGTTTCGACGGTAGAGTCAGGCTGCAAGATGCATTATCTTGAGCTGACCGGTTTCCGCGAGAGGAAATTAATTTCTCGTTTTCCAACCGACGTTTAAGTGTCGCCTGTTGCTGTGATAGCCCAAGATCAAAAAGGTCCATGGCCTTGGATATGTATAGAAGACTGTTTGAATCATATTCCAAAGAGAACTTCTCACCCGCATGGTCAAGGTATGTCTCGATTAGGAAATCAGGACACAGTGCCGGATTCTTGCTTGCATCTGCTCTCTTTCTGCCAAATCGTTTCTCCCACTCTGGTCCGCTACGGTAGGTGACAGTGGCAATCTCTCGGGCGAGCTTCATGCCTGAATGAGGAGGGATTGAGTCATAATAGAATCCCCGAGCCCAATTAGGGTCCATCATTAGGACTTGACGTTGCGTGTGGCGCATAGCAATGCTATATGGATGACTCCTTGCGCAACCACTGATACTGATTATCTTGTCCACTCTCTCGGGGAAGAGTACTCCCGCGGCTAAGCTCTGCATTCCACCCATGCTGGCACCAACGGAAGCATATAGCTTTGAGATTTCCAAATGATCCAGAAGCCGAAACTGCGCTCGAACCATATCATTTAGAGTCAGGATGGGGAATCTGGTGGCGTACCGTTTCCCGTCGGATGGATCAATGGAGGAGGGGCCAGTGCTTCCGTAGCAGCCTCCAATTACATTTGTACAGATGATAAAATGTTTGTCCGTATCTAATGGAGCTCCCGATCCAATGAATTTCTCCCACCATCCTGGCTGCGGGTTTGCCTTTGTACTATGCGCATGACTCGAAGCCGAGAGACCAGTATGAAGCAGTATAGCATTACTCTTGTCTGCATTCAACGTACCCCAAGTCTCGTAAGCAATCTCGAACTCGGGCAATATACCACCCCAATCCAGTAGAATATCACGTTTTGAGGTAAACAGTTCATGTTTCCCAACTGTATATGACGGTTCTGGTCCAGATGAAAGTGACCTCCTTGACAGAGCAGCAGATTTGGCCTCCAATGCATCGAGACAGGGGAACGACATGGCAGGATTTGACGAATCATGTTGATTCCCATCCTGAGATTTGGACTGAGAAACAGTTGCTTGAGCATTGAGAGGTGGCCGAGTGTGAACTGGACGCCAGTGAATGGACGGCACAAGACTGCGTGAAGAAGCTCGCCAGGAAGCAGTATCCCAACAACAGAGGCGTGCCAAGGTATTCCTTGGAGATGCTTGCACCGCGCTTCGAACTACTTGCTGGAGGCTGCTCATCTTTCTCTGTGATCACCTTCAACTGAACAGAGACATGACAAGAAGAAACCACATCTCCATCTCCCTCGCTTGTTCTCCCTCGTCTATCAAAGTCGGCTCGTAAGGCGCTTACAAATCTTTGAACCTCGGGATAAAAAGGCTCTTGCGTCATCTTGGCGCCTTTCTACTGGTTTTATCATAAATTATGTAATTAATTTTTCTAAGATACCATTGGTCATGGCTAGTAAATATCACATGACTCAATTAAAATGATAACCTCATCCCGTGACATTTTGATGACTAATACATCAGGCCACCTTTAGCTTGATATAAATTGAACGCTTCGAAGGCCTTGGGATAATTAATTGATAATATATATACAGCGAATTGACTTATCGGATATGGGGAATGCTTGTTTTATAACCATAGATCCCCTGCTACTTGGCTTTGTATACCCTACCGCAATACATAACTACATCCTTTAATATATCAGCCAGCGTTCAAGTATTGGCGACACTGAATCCTTATTATACGAAATGCCATTAGCTCTGACGCCTTGGACTATCATCTGTTACCCATCACCCTGTCCCTTCGAACCCTAAGATACCCTTTTACCTTGAGTCGATCATATATCCCTGTTCCTTATGGCATATGTTGTCCCGTCTCTACTTGTAACATCCAGGCGTGAGCGACTGTATATACAAAAGGCTGATTATTTAAACAGGCATATGGGCGCCCATCATGACCTCATTACCCGAAACCCCAGGAACGTTCGTTTCAGTGCCAGTGGCCCCGGTTTTATTACTATCATCAGGGATTTAGCGGTGTTAGCCGTTGAGCAGGAGCCTCCTTTCGATCGATACGTGAGCCGCAAATCCCGCTGCTTCTTTTTCACGCTTTAATAACGATGCCGGGTGCCCTTGAGATAAAGGGAAATATCTATGCATGCTTATTCTGTATGTGGTATAAAGGACAGACGGAGCTGCACTAAGTGCGAAGATTTCTCTTTCAATCCTTTCATGAAGTAGATGTCTGAATCGCCATGCCCTATGGAGTGAAAGTGTTGAGATTCAAATTCGCTCATTCCTTCGTTTCCATTCGATATTACTCCTTTTTGATAGCGTGAGATTGACTGACAGGGCAGCAGACTAACCGCCTTGGGTACGAGCATCTTGAGATAGTTGCTGCATTGTGCACTATGATTTTTCGCAGGGCAACAATTCGTATACGCTGTTAGAAATGGTATGAATGTACCATGCAGCAGACTTATAACAGCGAGTCTAATTACGATAGTGCATTGTATCCGGGCTATATATAGCATTTGGAAAAGTAGGAAATGATGGATCCCTCCGCCGAGAGATGGTCACAGAGCGGGGGAAACATGCCGTAGAACTATCATCATCAAATTCCCATAGCTTGCCGATTCTCACAGCATAGATACGGTTGCTTCCCTCTTGCTTAAGCCCCTCACTATGCAAGACGGGATTTCAATTCTGGTTGAGGTATATATTTCGTCAGATTACATTTCGAACACGACGGTATCCCAAATTGGTCCCTTTGTCCGAATGCTGCCAGGAACACAAAGGAATATACAAGTATGTCAAGGTGTTCGTATTTCAAAGTAGATCTTTCAGATTATTTTGGGAGAATCCCTGCGACAAGTGAGCCAGGAGGACTTCTTGGGACTTACGTTGACTGCTGCTGATCATACGCAGCGGCGCGTGTATACATAGATACAGCAGAAACTTATCGAAGTTTTCGAAGTGGAGAAGCTTGCCAGCCAAGAGAAGATCCTCCTGAATGGAGCCCAGGTATAAAGGCAAAAATCGCCATCCAACTGCGCCTGCCCGCATCCCGTCGCCTTCGGCGGTTGGCATACAATATGGCCTTGCAACGAACTTGTTCTGTGCTACAGAGTATTTCAGTTTGTGAGCAGGCAGCCGATAGACGGGATTTCGATATCGACTAGATGAGTTAGAGCGTGAGAGACCATAAGCACAGCGTATAGGTCTGGCAATATATGCCATGCATCCTTTTCTGTTATTTGGGCGACCTGTTGATGACCTCTTCCTAGTAGGCTAGGGGTGATGTCAAAAGACGTCAACGAAAGAGACCGTCTAGGCCGAACGTTCGCGCGCAGCTCTGAAACTTGGCCCATCTCATTAAAGGACGGGCCGGCAATTGGGGAATCTCAAACTGATGCGAAACGGCATATGTTCCGAGGTCACTGCATACCTCACACCATTCTGACAGTTATTGGGCGTTTCGATAGCGGTACACGTATACATATATATGATCCCTTCCATATAGGTCCATTTCACTTCCCAAGGTGTCACCAAGAGTCACCATGAAAGCAGCTGCTGAGGAGATCAGGCTCGCTGTCAACTTGTACTCCGTACTCGTGAAGGGCGTCTTGGAGCTTGGCTTTCCCGTGCCACCTCCTCGTGAAAGAAGGCTGTCATACATTAGTGTATATATATACCTCCGCAACGTCGGGGATCCATAGTCCGAGCCTGCAGAACCAAAATCCGTGAACCAAATAAATTCTCCATTGCCTCCACAGGACCCTGGCTTGAGCCGTCTTAACAGGGGCTCCATACATATATATATCCCCCTTTCCAGAACTATAGCCAGGGCCGTTTGCAAGGATAAAACAGCAGGGTGCCAACCGCAGGGACAATCTTTACCATCGGGATTCCACTGTCATCCATAGTATACGGAGTATTCTCTTGGGCGTCGTCATCTCTGCCTGTCTTAAGAGGGCTGATCCGCGTTTCAGGATGGCTGTTCCCCATACCCAATCCGCAGAAGCGGCGAAGATACGAGCTCGCGCGGCCTGATTGGATGTTTCTTCAATGTACGTCATCCCAGTTGATGCTCTGAGCAGAAAAGCTTGTACAACTGCTGGCGGTGGATTGGGTCAATCTTTTCCAGCGGATGATGTTGAGTGAATAAAATCCACATTCCAGAAAAGACGATGGAGCAGAAAGATTAGGCGTAACGGGAACTCCAGTGCAGGATCCCCATTGCTGCTGTGATTGGCGACGGACGTCATGCAACAGAGAAGCTGTCCGATGGTAAATCCATTCGTTTCCGTCTAGGATAATAAGTCTGTAGAACCTGGAGGAGAAGAGGACCAGGGACACGAAGCTGGGCCGTTCAAGGATAGAAACGGGGGCGGATCTCCTGATAACGAGGTTGTATCCGTGATGGAGGCCCTCTCTGAACATATACGCCATGGTCTGCTCCATCGAGTGATGACATCGTTGATCTGTTTCTCTCATGTGGTGTATTGCTTCCATCTGATATATATAAGTAGGATGAAGTTGTAGGTAAGTTAAAAAGGAAAAAGAGCCTGACCCGGAGATCCTTCCTTTCCATCTACGAACACCTGATACACGCAACATCACACAGGTCTTCAGCCTTCTCATCTCCTCTTCCCTTTGTCTCTTAATACTTTTCTTTCTCTGGGCTGCATGACGCAGTTTTATTTCTTAAGCTCCTTTGATATTCAAACTCTCGTCTCTAATGGCTGGATACATATAGAGTCCGGGGACCCTCAATACATAAACCAGCTGCAGGATAGCTTGCCATACCAACGATATCCAACACCTTCTGGCATATCAATGCCTGTTGTCAACACATAATAGCCTGGAGCAACCATGATTTCCTTTCGAAAATGCGTTTTCATCGCCTTTCTTATTCTTTCCGGCGGTTTCCTACTACACGCAGCCCATATCAAGCCGGTATCAGCCAATGTTGAGGTTGAGACTCACCACCAACGATCAGAACAACCACTACGCACATCAGTCACTGCCAAATTGGAATCGGAACCCGAGCCTGAGCCTAAAGTTGAATCTGATCCCGAACCTGAGCCAGAGCCAGAGCCAAAGACTCTGCGAGGCCGTCTAAAATACCATTTCCCTTATGGCGTAACGGCTAAGTTCCCTGGCTATATCTGGCAGACGTGGAAGTATACACCGGCATCTGGAGATTTCGATCCTACACTACGGCCGCTAGAAGCAAGCTGGACTGAGCTGCATCCTGGATTCATTCATCAGGTCGTCGATGATGAGAGTGCACTATACTTCTTGAAGTATCTATATGCCTCCTTCCCAGAGATTGTCGAGGCGTATAACTCGTTGCCATTGCCAGTTCTCAAGGCAGATTTCTTCCGATACCTTATCCTTCACGCACGAGGAGGCATATATTCCGACATCGACACATCTGCCCTTCGACCTGCAACAGAATGGATACCCTCTAAATTTGACCGCTCAACTATTGGCCTGGTTATCGGCATTGAGGCAGATCCCGACCGCGCAGACTGGGATAAATGGTATTCACGCAGAATTCAGTTCTGCCAGTGGACTATTCAAGCGAAGCCAGGCCATCCGGTTCTCCGAGATGTCATTGCTAACATCACGGAAGAGGCATTGCGCATGAAGGTCGAGGGGAATCTAACAGATGGGAAGATGGACAAGTCGATTGTGGAATTCACTGGCCCTGCCATCTGGACAGATGCGGTTTTCAGATACTTGAATGATCCGTTTTATTTTCCCAGCGAGGATGGGGCTCTTCGAAATATCTCTACCCCCCATTTCACTGGCATGACGAAGCAGAAGCAAGTAGGAGATATTGTCGTCCTACCAATTACCAGCTTCAGCCCTGGTGTGCAGCAGATGGGTTCTGAGGAGCCGGACAGCGATATGGCCTTTGTCCAGCACCAGTTCTCAGGTATGAAGAGCCATCAGTGTAAAGTCGTTAGTATTCTTTGGAGAAAACGTATCTAACTGTTACTATTTATAGGTACATGGAAATCACTTGAAGACAGAAGAATCGGCCATTGGTAGCGGTCTTCTTGGCCTTCGACCTTTTACTAGTTACCCCATTTTACGAACGCTTCATGACCTATCTTGCGTCTTCGCCAGATTTCCCTTCTCAAACCACATTCTAGTGTCTATTCCATTTAACGATTCCCCCAAAACCCTTACAAAGGGACCTTTCTTATCTGGCATTCCTGTCCGTTGGAAGTTTACGACTCCATAAAACATTTCACCGTACCTCTTTTTCCTTTCATTTGATACCATTTCCTACTATCTCCCTACCTCCTGGATGAATCCTTATATTACCTTCATCACGCCTCGACATTTGGGAGGATAGGCTTACAATAAGCCGTCAAACAGAGCAGGCCCTCTTGTTTTGCATGTATTTCTTTTGTCCATTTCATTTTCTGGAACTTGGGGCATTCATAGATATTTTAACTGTTTAGATTCCAACATGGTCCGGAATAGCAAGGCGTTGATAATAAGAAAATACATATTATTCTGCTATTCAAGCAGGCTACCCTTTGAAGATATGTGCACGTATGAATATATATAGATGGCAATGGGGAATATGTAGTTATGCCGAGGTAAGTTACGTCTGACAGATATTTGTTACCCAGGGGCCTTCTGGGGTGATTTTGTGACGGCAAGGAAGCGTCATGTATATATAAGAGAGTAAGAAAAAGTAGTAGGTGTGTAAAAAATGATGATGCTACAATATAAGTGTTGGTGGTAGATGTGATGTCAATGTCGATGGCGAGTATGGCGTTTAGGTGTGAGTACCGTTGGAAGTTCGCAAAAGTATCCATGAAACGACCATCGAGGTCGTTTTGGCCCGTCAAATCAAAAATCTTGAAATACCTCTTCGTACTTCTCCTTCATTTCATCCGTGTAAACGGCCTGAGTAGACGGGTCAGGCGGATCAGGATATTCCTCGAAATTCGCCGTGTCTGCTGGATGGTTTACTTGCGGTATTATCGGGCCCCTAATCCGTTTGTGATACAGATCATCCCAATTGATACCTTCGAAAAAAGGGTGGTCTCGAACCCGCTGGCTTCCTCCAGATATGTGCCCCAATCGCTCGGATGGGTTCACTTTACACAAGGAGCCGATTATATCCTTAGCTGGAGCCTTCATGTTGGAAGGGAAGCGGATTCTCCCTTGGACTATCTTTTCATATATGCCCATGGGATTTGAGTCCCAGAAGGGTGGTTGGCCGACGAGAAATTCGTAGATGAGTATGCCTAAGGCCCACCAGTCAACGGCAAGGCCATGGCCGCTGTTATGTATGACTTCTGGAGCAAGGTATTCTGGAGTGCCGCAGAGTGTGTATGTTTCTAGGTTATATAGTTGTTTCGCGAAGCCAAAGTCAACTAATTTGAGATGGCCATCTTGGTCGAGGAGGATGTTTTCGGGTTTAAGGTCGCGATAGGCGATTCCGTGCACGTCATGCAGGTACCCGATGACTAGTGTTATTTCTGCAGCGTAAAATTTAGAGGTTTCTTCATTGAATCTGCGTGATCGACGGAGGAAAGTAAATATTTCGCCGCCAGGGCAATATTCGAGCTGGATAAGTTAGTTCGGGCTGCTTAAGAATGATTGGGCGAGCTACATACCAGCATGCAGAGGCATAGTTCTTCTGAGAAGGTGGTGACTAGCGTTGTTATAAAAGGGTGGCCGGCAGCCTTGGAGAGGCACTTGCTCTCGTTTCGTACATGTTCGACTTGTTTCAGCTTTATTACTGCAGATGAGGAATCCTCCGTTAGTTAATGGTTTGTATCTCACCATCGGGTCTGGGTGGCTTACCTTCAGCTTTCCGCAGTATCTTGAGAGCAAAAATGTTGTTGTCTGGCTCTTTGGCAGCGTGCAACCTTGCTAGCCATACTCGAGCAAAGGTACCTGCAGACAATAAATGAGTTAATGGTGTACAGCAGAGACTAGTTTAATGGCCAAAATACGTACCTGTACCTAGTGTCTTGATGAGTTCAAAATCACCAATTGTCAAACCTCGATCGGGCAGACCAGCAGCCTCCCTCAGTCGACCTTGGACAACGTCCTTGGGCGTCCTTGGCCTCGACGCCGGCCACGAGAGGCGATCTGGCTTCACTTCAGTGTCAACATGTCCACGCTCCGGCATCTGCTGCTCCTTTGCGTGAGCTATGTCGGGTAACGTCTGCTTTATCATTTTCGTTGTCGCCATCAGGAAGAGATCTCTTGTTTCCGCCTTTGCTCAAATCGCAGTGTCCGTGTATCGTATATATATATTATCCCCAGCAGACAGTTACTTGTTTTTCCCTCAGTAAAATTCCTTCTCTTGTCCGTCTACTCTTTTCACGTCGCCATGCCGAAACCACGGCTAGGAAGGAGACCAAGCCCAGCGAAACAGCTTCGGAGATTTCGGCGAAGAGAGATCCTTGGGGTGTTTGTGTCGTAGGTAGTTCGTGCAGCTCGCTCAGCTGGCATTGAGGGCGAAGACAGGGTAATTTGACGGGCGCAGCACTCGCCATTGCCTTCTTAAACCATCCGCAGGTTGAAGGAGAAGCAGACGAGACATGGCGTCCGGAGTTAGGGGGCAGACTTTTTTCATTTCTCCCTACCAGGCCTTTTCCCGGTTAAAAAGCTAAGATTTTTGCGGCGGCGCGGAAACTTGCGACTTTTCTCTGACGTAGCGCGGGGCATTAGTCATGGCTTAGTCATGGCTTGGTTAAGAGTCGATAGAAGGCGACGAGGAAGACGAGGGAGACGACATGCTATTAGTTACTGGTAGAGTACATGGAGAGAAAAGGTCTAGAGAATGCGCAGAGACAAGTGTAAAGGACATCCCGAAACAACCCGGTGCCTGGTTAGGTGGCAGTTTGGAGACGCGTCGACTGGAGTATATACAACAAAAGGACACGCGGGATAGCTCTACTCGATGGTAGATTGATAGATGGTAGTTAGTAGGTAAGGGTAGAGTCCAGGCCATTCCACCACCAGTATTCATGAAAAGAAGAAGCAAGCTTAAGCAGAGCTCTTGGAGTTTAGAATCAAACCAACAATCAACCTATGCAAAGGGTTAGTCAAGTTATAGAATGCAGAGGTGGACAGACTTACCCGTATAGACCCAGGACTTCGCCGAAAATCAATATCAACACCATACCTACAAAGACTTTGGATTGCTGCATGTAGGCGCGCGTTCCCTAGATGCCCGTTTAGCAAAGGCTGTATGGGAGAAGCTATATCGGCGCAACTTACAGCTTCGCCAACTATTCCAATGGTGTAGCCGGCAGCAAGGCCTGCAAGACCGACCGAAAGTCCTGCTGCAAGATGCAAACACCCACTGTCACCGAAGTCAGTATTCTTCCTTTTTTTTTTTTTTTTGTTCATGCAAGGTGGATAACTCCACGTACGCATATAAACTGTACTGTGTCTCCGGTGGTGGTCCCAGGTCTCCAGCTATCAAAACGGCAACGACAAGCCCGTAAACGGCGATGATACCGGCCATGACAACGGGTATCAGTGACTATAACCGTCGTGTTAACCGAGTTCCTTGCTTCCGTAGAGAGAGTGTCATGCCTTCATGATCAAATCAGGTCTGAATGTTCCGACACCTGCGATACCAATTCCAGCCTTTGCTGTGCCATACGCAGCTCCGACACCTATATAAGGGCAATATGTCAACATGCGGGATTTCCACAGTTTCGACGATTTCAAACGTACATCCGAAGATTATCTAGAGGCCCATCGGTTAGCTATGGAATCTAGAGGGGGGCCGCATTCGTCATCCCGGTGGTTATCAAGTACTTACGGCTGAAGCTATGCCTGCCTGTTCATCGACGACAAGACGTTAGTCCAGGGTTCACGCCAACCTTGGGTTAGAATAGCAGCACCAACCATCCCGATAAAGGGGGCAAACTTGGGAGCAAGTTCACTCTCCGCCATTGTTATCTATAACTCCTAGCTCTGTCCTATCCGTGATCGAGGCGGTCTTCTCATCCACCGTCTGGGATGGATTCCCGTAGCTAACGTAGCTCTCAAGCGGTCAGGATATCGAGTCGTGTCGGATATAACAAGTCCTCAGAGTCTCGTCTCGTCTCGTCTATCGCTGGACAGGGCGTCTTTCTATCCTGCGATGCTGTCTCTCTCTCTATATCCTGTTTATGTTATTAATCTTGCTTGAGCGTTTGAAGACTGAGATTCGAACCCAAAGCCAGGATCACATCACGTGAATACAGCAATACAGCACCCGTACAGCGACTAAGTGAAAAATACGAAGCATTTCACTGTTTCTTCACTGTTTCTTCAGCTATCAAAGCATCTTCTACCTTTTGCCAGCTTATATTACATCTTCTACAGCAAAGAATACTATCAAAAAGCTGCTCTATAGAACATCAAGCACTTCCATGTTTCTTGTATTGTCACGGCGATACCGAGTTAAACCCTTCTCGGCCTTTTTTCCCTTCCAGTTCACATTCGCAACTCCAACGACCTAAAAAAAAAAGAACATCTTCAACTTCGCGGCTTTGACGGCCTTTGCTTCCTCTGAACTTCACTGTCTCTTTGCTGCTCGACCAAGGCAGAGCTGCTCTGTCGGCGTCTTCCCTCCTCCGTCACAGCTTGCTGCTGGCCCGGCATTGTCCTTTTGGGCGCCTTGAATCTGCTTCTATCGATTTCTCACGGTCTGGAGGGGGGATTCCCTATCAGAACACCCTCACACGGGACAGACCCCTTTTTTTTCTCTGTTCTGTTCTGCTGATATTCTCTCTGTCAGCCTGTTGAAGCTATTCGACTCTTGCTTCTCCTTTGTTCGATAGAGCAACGCGTGGTGCGCTCGACTCGGTTATCCGGCGTGGTTGAAGCTCCTCGGAGGATGAGGGAGAGCTGACCAACTGCTTCTACTGCCCGAGTCAGAGATCACTACCATCTCTCTCCATTATTCTGGCCTCAAATTTGGATGTTACTACAAAGCAAGCAAGTTACAAGGGCCTTCCTACCGACAGACCTGACATTTCTCAATATAAACCCATCTATTGGGGCGTATTTCACACTTACATAAGAGGTATATAAACAGGTGTGTTGAGAGAGGGTCAAGACTTGGTTCATATCATGGCGGATCTGGGAGCTCAGCAAGGACGAGGTTACCGGCCTGGAGGTTCCCGTGGCCCTGCTTCTTCCTTCCAGCGAGATGCTGCCTTTTCAGAAATTTTCGGAGGAACGCCGCCTCCAGGCCGGTCTCAAACGATGACATCGCATACTCCACAGTTCAACCAGGAACGCGCCCACACGATGACATCTCACCCATCCGACTCATACGCGCAGTCTCGAGGTCCTCCACCGCCTATGCGACAGTCTCGTGGCGGATACTCGCCAAATCCCCAGGCGGGATGGCAACCTAACGGCTCGGGGCCTCCCCCACAACAACGCGCACCACCACCTCCCCATCAGCAACGGCCCATGCATCCGCAGAACGTCCAGCAATATCCCCCAAATATGCAACAGCGACCCTATCCCTGTCGTCCTCAGTACCCTCATCCTCAGCGCCTGGACTCCCGTCCGGGGCCTCCTCAGTTCCAACAGCCAAACCCGCACAGTCGACCTTTACCTCCACCAGCTCTCAACACGGATCAATATAGATCACGTTCAATGGCAAGGCTAGGGGGGCCTCCTTCCTACCAGTCGCCGCAATCACAGTTCCCTCCCACCCCTGTCAATGCTTTCCGCCAGCCATCATATCATTCCATGGGATCTAGAACAGCCCAGGGCCGCATAGTTCCCGAAAGACATGACAACGAGCGAGCCATGTCAATGAGTTCTTACTCTGCAGACCGTGATCATGCCCAAACGATCAGTTCCGGGAGGGTCGTGCCGAGTAGAAGAAGGGAATCAGGTCTAGAACGAGAGCGACCAGTAGTTATGGACCGCCATTATGCGGATTCACCAGCTTCGATGCAACCCGCAATGGATGAGCCAGTGGCCCCTGTGCACTCTGGACATCATGTGCTGCCCACACCACAAGACCCTCAATTCCGCGTAAGGCATCCTAGTGAAAGCTCTGTTAATTCACGTACTTTGTCCATGGCATCAACTATTGCCCCAGAACGCAACAATAGCATGCAAAAGCCCGTTACAACGAAATCAACCAACCACTCAACGGCGGGACCGCCTCCAACAAACAATGTCCACCGCAGAACCCCGCTCGCTTATCCAGCTCTCCTGTCTCGAGTAGCCGCCGTATTTAAGGAGAGGATCTCTGTGGGCGAACGTATTAAAAATGACTTGGCTTACACGAATGCCTTTACAGGCGCAGAAGCTGTTGACTTGATATCTTACATTATCAAAACGACAGACCGCAACCTGGCCCTACTCCTTGGTCGAGCTTTGGATGCTCAAAAACTGTTTCATGATGTTACGTATGACCACCGACTACGAGATGCCCCAGGCGAACTCTACCAGTTTAGGGAGACGCTAGGTGAGGAGTCTCCTGTCAATGATGTCAACGGTGTATTTACCCTTTTGACGGAATGCTATTCTCCAACTTGTACCAGAGACCAATTATGTTACTCAATTGCTTGCCCGCGACGACTCGAGCAACAGGCACGACTAAACCTCAAGCCTCAGCCAGGACTGAGACCATCTGCATCTAAGGGCAGTCTTCACGACCAGGAGGATAATGATGATCAGAAGTTGTGGATCAACATGGTACCCAAGGAAGTGGCCGATAGTCTTGAGGACCGCGAGAAGAAGCGACAGGAAATCATATTTGAGATGATGTATACCGAGCGCGACTTCGTCAAAGACTTGGAATATTTGAGAGATTTCTGGATGCGCCCACTACGCTCCCCCAATAACCCTAGTCTTTCCCCCATACCAGAGCATCGTCGGGAGAAGTTTATACGGACAGTTTTCGGGAACTGTTTGGAGGTGCTGAGCGTCAACTCCAAACTAAGCGAAGCGCTTAACGCGCGGCAAAAGGAAACTCCAGTTGTTAAAACCATCGGCGACATTTTCCTTCAATTCGTCCCTCGTTTCGACCCCTTCATCAGGTACGGTGCCAACCAGCTTCACGGAAAATATGAGTTTGAAAAGGAACGATCGTCGAACCCTGCATTCGCCAAATTCGTTGAAGAAACAGAGCGCTTAAAGGAGTCTCGAAAACTTGAGTTGAACGGTTATCTCACGAAGCCAACGACTCGATTAGCGAGGTATCCGCTTCTACTGGAAGGTGTGGCTAAGTACACTGCCGATGATAATCCAGATAAGGAGGACATTCCCAAGGCCATTGTTCTTATACGAGACTTCCTTTCTCGAGTGAACACTGAGAGCGGAAAGGCAGAGAACCATTTCAATCTTGTGCAACTAAACTCGGCCCTGAAATTCACTCCGGGTGATTACGTTGACCTTAAGCTCACGGAGGAGAACCGAGTGATGCTGATCAAGATGGCATTCAAGAAGGGTCCTACCGATTCAGCGGAAGTTACTGCCTATCTGTTTGATCATTCTGTCCTACTTGTTCGAATAAAACCCGTGAACAAACGGGAGGAGTATAGAGTATACAGGAAGCCTATTCCGCTGGAACTTCTTGTGATCACTCAGATGGAAGAAGTGCTGCCTAAACTAGGTATTCACAAACGCCCTACTGCCGGCGGCCTGATTCCCGGCGCGAGGGCAGCTAATGCCACCCCAGCTTCATCCAAGGATGGGTTGCCTGTTACCTTCCGCCATCTGGGTAAAGGTGGTTATGAGATAACCCTTCATGCAACATCACAAACTCAGCGGAAACGGTTTATCGAGCTGGTTGAAGAGCAGCAGAGGAAGCTACGGGAGCGAAATAGCAACTTCTATTCGAAAACTATTCTTTGCGAGAACTTCTTTAGCGCTGTTAACAGAATCAACTGCTTGGTTCCAATTGGTATGTGTCCCACTTGCTTTTTATAGGCTTTATAACGGTATATTCGCTAATATGGCACGATGCAGATGGTGGTCGAAAACTTGTATATGGAACAGATAATGGCATTTATGTATCTGAACGTTGGCCAAAGGACAAATCCGCAACTCCAAAACGCGTCCTTGAGGCCAGTGCGGTAACTCAGATTGATACCTTGGAAGAATACCAGTTGCTTCTGGTACTAGCCAACAAGACCCTCAGTTCCTACCCACTGGAGGCATTGGATACGAGCGATAACCAGAGCGCGATGGTTCGACGGCCAAAGAAGATTCAAGGACATGCTAATTTCTTCAAATCCGGTATTGGCTTGGGTAGACACCTGGTGTGTTCCGTAAAGACATCAACTCTATCAACAACCATTAAGGTTTTCGAACCTATGGAGAACCTTGCTAAGGGCAAGAAGAAACCTCTCAGCAAGATGTTCCAGAGCGGTCAAGATGCTTTGAAACCATTCAAGGCATGTGAATCCCTTTCGTTTTCAGCCATTGCGTTATACTTTTGCTAATAGTATCCTTTGCAGGAATTCTACATCCCCGCTGAATCATCTTCTGTTCACTTCCTACGATCAACTCTCTGCGTTGGTTGCTCTCGTGGTTTCGAGGTTGTCAGTTTAGAAACTACCGAGAGACAATCTCTCCTCGACCAAGCCGACACTTCACTGGATTTCGTGGCAAGAAAAGAAAACGTCAAACCTATCCATATTGAGAGGCTCAACGGAGAGTTCCTGCTCAATTATTCCGATTTCTCCTTCTTCGTTAACCGTAATGGATGGAGAGCTCGACCAGACTGGCGAATCGCTTGGGAAGGCAACCCTACAGCATTTGCCCTCTCGTATCCATACATCCTTGCTTTTGAACCTAGCTTCATTGAAATTCGACACCTTGAAACCAGTGAGTTGGTACATGTTATGACTGGGCGAAACATTCGTATGCTACATTCTTCCACAAGAGAGGTATGTAATTCTCTTGATTCCCCATCCATACGCCACCATTTTAGCTAACTGATGTACCATAGATAATATATGCATATGAAGATGAAAGCGGAGAAGATGTCGTCACTAGTCTAGATTTCTGGAACAAGCCTGCATAAACGGGGGAAAGGATTTCAAAGAAATAAAAGGAAAACAAAAAAAAACACATTGGGAGTCATGGGAAATTTTTGTCTAATCCTCTCCCTCTTCTCTTTTCTTCTTTTTTTTTTATTGAAAGCATCTGAAGCTGCTTGTCTGACTGTCTTCCATGCCCTGCCGCGTTCTAACCTTCATACCTCGAGCGTTATGCACCTTCTTTCCCTCCCCTCCCTATTTTTGTTCTCGCCCACTTCTTGTGCCGTGCGTACCAGAATGGATTATGCCTGATGTCACTCCTCCTTTCTCCTCTGATGATGATGCATTTTTACCCTACCGAATCCCATTTTATCTTCCTACTTCGATGAACTAATCCTTCATGTCTCTATCCTTCTATACCATGTCCGTTTGCTCCCCCCTAGCCCCCTCTTGTGTACGGGCTGTTATTTCATTTCCATCAACATACTGTCCTATTCTTTCTTGTCCGTCCGGCAGGAAGCCTTCTTTCTTCCCTTCCACTGTACTCTTTTTTCCTCCTTCTCCCTTTCTTCTATCTTCGAATATTTTAATTACATCTACATTTTTCTCATTTCCTTTTCCTCTTTTTCCTTTTCTGTTTTCTTTTACATACGGATGATTTGCGAATTTCTCATAAGGCTCGTGCAACTCTTGAGATACCCCCTTCTGGCAAGCAAGCAAGCAAGTTGTGGATAGGATAGGATTGATATTCTCCAGTTATCCGTAGCTCTTGTTTTAGGTATTTAGATTGTATAGATATATCATTTGTTGATATCGCTTTTGAGCTGGCTCTGCTGAACTTTTGTGGTGTATATCTATCTATCTGTTCGTGGTGCGGGATTCGATTCGGACAACGGGTTCTAACAGCTGTTGGGAGTTGTACGGAAGAAAACTGCCGTTTAAAATACAACTGAGCCGTCAGCGGATCTGGAATTGGGATCGGAAGGTTGCTGCAGTCAATGCTCGCGCTTGCATAGGAAAAGTTTTAAAAATCTCCTGCATTTTATTCGATGCTTCCGAGGGAGGGTATATCGACGAACCCACAGTAGTCAGGGAGTACGACCAAGCAAAGGATATAGGATTAAATACCATTAATTAAACTGCTCTTGTTCTTTAAAATAATAAGAGGTTAAAGAAAAACACGCGCGGTAACCGGGTATGGAAAAATGGCGAGCGGTGGTTGCATAAGGGAATGGAGGGCATAAGATAAAATAAAGGGGGGAGCGAAAGAAGTAGATGGAAGAAGTGCAGAAGTTCAAGCAAGGTAGGGGGGGATCAACAGCTGAAAGAAGGTGAGTAAGAAACTGCAGATAGAAACACAAGAAGAGAAGCGAAAGGGAGTGAAGACGGATAGCTGGGAGTCTTGGGTTATACATGATATCAGATGAAGGCATGTAGCAAACGAGTGACTGGGTAAGAAATGTGCACTCTAAGCGGTCAACTTCAAAAGCGAGTCTCTCTCCAAGCCTAGTTAGTTATTCCCCTTATTTCCCCCTCCTCTACTCGCGGCTTGGGATCATTAATTCTTTTGCCATCCTCTATGTGGGAGTGGTGTGACTTCCACTCCGGGTGTCAAAAAAAGAAAACGTTCTAAACCGCAGTATCAAACCGCGCAAGCACCAGCCTTGGTTCCCTTAGCTGCTTTAGCTTCGAGCCTTGGCAAGGAGCTTTGCTTATGCCGCCTCTCCGTTAGGGTCCTGGTTCTGCTGGGCAGCTTGCTCGCGCTGCATTCGGGCCTCGATTTCTCTCAGCTGGCTCTCACGGGCTAGAAGCTCTTGCCGTTTCTCGTTAATCTCACGCTGTACCTTGAGCTCAATTTCACGGAGTTTCTCTTCTTCTCGGCGGAGCTGCTCTTCCTTAAGGCGGACAGACTGAGAGGCCAGGTCTTCAGGGTTCATAGTAGAATCGTGAGAACTGGAATGCAGTTAGTATATGGTATTCCAAAGGAGTATAACGGAGGCAAAAAGAAAAGTGTAGACATACGCAGAAGCACCTCCTTCGACGCTCTTGCTGAGTTTCTCGGTACGGTAGTTCTCGTACAAGAAGTCATGGGTAATCTCCTTCAGATCGGCCAAATGGCTGTGGAGGAGAGCGCTGCGAACGGCGAGGAAATCAGAGTGGCGCTGGTTCTCGACTTCTACGACACCCCATGGGTACTGTCTAGCTCGCACCTTGCGGCCACCGATCTCGAGCACGTCCTCGGAGCCGACAATGGCGAATGGCATGAGTGATCTGTATTCCTCGTTTTCTTGAACTGTATCCTCATCATCCTCTTCGATGTCGTATGGGAAGTTGTAGACGGGGATACGGTAGTGCTCAATATCCTCCATGATGAGCTTCTTTGACTCGGCGAGTTCAGCTGGTGTGAAGGAGTCGGCCTTGCCAATGACAGGGATGACGTTAACACGGGGAGAGAGGCGCTTCATGAGCTCAATATCGAGCTCGCGGAGACCGTGGCCGGTGGGTGTGATGAAGTACAAGAGAGCATGGACACGGTTGTCACGGAATCTTGGGTTACGCTTGATTCTCGACTCCTCGGCCAAAATGTCATCATACTGGCGCTCGAGGTATCCAACGATTTCCGAGAAGCTAAGTGGTGTCAGCCGTTTGTGTCTGTGATGGCCGCAAAGGGATAGTATTGTTTCTTACCTCTCCTCGTTGTTGATCTGGTCACCGAATCCGGGGGTGTCGACGATGGTGAGAGAAATGCGTGTACCTTCCTCGTCGAGCTCTAGTTCTGTAGACTTCGTAAGAATGCTATCATGCACGGCGCGGGTTGAGATTATCCATACCAACAGTGACTGGTTTTATGCGAACTCCTTCTTCGAGGTGGGCGGTTTGAGCATCATCGGCATCCTTCCCCTGAAGAACCTGCTTTCCGCATAGAGTGTTGACGAAGGTGGTGCGACCTGTAGCCATTGACATCAGCTAAGGACACAAAAAGCAGTCTATCAAGAGCATATCAGGACATACCAGTTCCGCTAGCACCACACACCATCAGACTGAACTGAATACCCTTCTTGACATTCTTCTTCTTGCGGATTCGGATCTATTGCCCACCAAAATCAGCATCACAGTTGCAAAGCACAAGCAGTCAACAAACGCCAGCTCAGTATACAAGCATAAAAGGCCCTTCTGCAGAGTGCCTTAATACAGGGATACCTTTAGAGAGGGCACGTACGTTGTTTGGGGCGGACATCGTGACGGCTTCGAGGGGGTTTGAGATATTGATAGGGGCCAACGGATGTGTCTCCCTAGCGAGCTGAGAAGCGAGAGGATCCCAGGTAGGATTGGGAGAACTAGCAACAGGCGAAAAGGTCACCGGCGCAGAGAGAGGAAGAAGAAGCTGGATGTCTGTCCTTTTGCTTGTCGACTCAACGGGAAAAGCGAGCTGTTGTCTTCCTTTGAAGGGAGTAAAAAAAAAAAAGGAAGTAAATTAACCAAAAACCGCAAACAAGGGCAAAGGGGGTTTGGATCACGTGAGATACCGTTCTGTCAGATATCGTATCAAGGCGTATCTCTTTTGCAGGGAGTATTGAAATAACGGCTGCAGTCGCACTTTTTCACTGGCCGGAAGATGATACCATTACACTCCCAGTACAGCCCCTATGTGTATTGTGGATACATCGCCGTGCTCAAGGTCAAAATTACGGGCGTTGGTAATTTTTGTAAGTTTCTTTACTTTTTTACCCCTTTTTTTTCCCTTCTCTTCAATTATTATTTTTCTTCTTTTTGCTGGCAGCGAAGCCACAGGATGGTTGTAGTTAGGCCGTTAGAGGCGACGGGAGACAGCCAGGCTACCAAGGAGTTGCCGTCCGAGAGCTAGAGAGAGCAAAAGACTTGATGGCAGCAAACAGGGAGGAAGAAGGCGGCCCATCATGTGACCTGGCCTTTTGGTTCAAACCTCAAAGTCATCTACGTCCAGCTTCCAGCCTGTGCCGGCAGTGGATGATATATTCATCAGATAGACGTCTTATACTTGGACTAGAGGACGAGTAGCCCGGCGAGTTGACGTGGATAGCTCTGGACTTGGGCTCTGTGTGGTTTCTAGTATGAAAGCCGGGGTAGTCGGCCGTATCAACAACCATGAATACAAGAGAGATGCTCGATGCCTCTGGGGGGCCGGTGTCGTTGACGGCCTCGTTCAATAGTGACAGTAGTTGTTTTTCTGTTGGACTGGACTCGGGGTTCTGTGGTAAGCTCTCCTCGCTGTTTTATACATGCTATACAACATAGACTGATGCCCTTGGTATAGTATTCAACTCGGATCCATGTGAGCTCAAAGTATCAAGAGGTATGGGCCTTTTGGCTTCGCCCAGCTGGGAGTGAACCATCTTACTGATAATATACCCAGATTTCAATGCCGGTGTTGGAATCGTCGAGATGGTTGGGCAGTCCAACTATCTGGCTCTTGTTGGAGGAGGCCACACGCCCAAGTTTCCCCAGAATAAGGTATTGATATACATCTGTTGGTCTCGCTCTAGGATGCACATGCTTACACTTTTGCATAGGTGATAATCTGGGATGATGCAAGGCAAGTTGCTGCAATGACACTTGAATTCCGCACCTCGATTCTACGAGTGTGCATCACCAAGTCTCGCATAGCCGTTGCTCTCTACGATTGCGTTCATCTCTACGCCTTTTCAATCCCACCTGAGAAGATAGCCGTCTATGAGACTGGTGATAACCCGCATGGTCTTGTCTGCCTTGGAGAGTCTCATATTGCCGTCCCCGGCCGTTCCGCAGGACAGGTTCAACTCATTAAACTGGACACAGGCAACGTTAGCATCCTTCCAGCTCACACCTCGCCTTTGAGTGCGATGACCTTTAGTGGCGACGGGGCTGTTCTAGCTACTGCGAGTCAAACGGTAAATATACACCTCAATACATTAACAACTCAGGGGTTAATACTAATACAGTTCAATATAGGGAACGATAATTAGAGTCTTTGCTACTAGTAATGGCGCTAAGATGGCCGAGTTGCGAAGGGGCCTTGATCCGGCGGAGATATTCTCGCTGGCTATCTCTCCTTCAAATACCCTCCTTGCCGTCACTTCTGACAAAGCAACTCTACACATTTTTGACATCCCGCACACAAGGAATGGACAGGATACCAGCAATGCACCCATGACACCCCCCGAGGAATCCGCAAACCGTGGATGGGGGATAATAAGCAAACTTCCCTTCCTCCCTCGCGTGTTTTCGGACGTTTATTCATTTGCCAGTGCTAGATTTGATATCGGCGAAGAACCACTTGGATCAAACTACGTTCCGCCACCCGGTGCACCATCTGAGCGGCCTTCAAAGGGTATAATTGGTTGGACGAGCGATCAGTCGTTACTCGTACTGGGCGCCGGTAAGGCTGGTAGGTGGGAACGCTTCGTCCTTCAGGAAGCCAGTGATGGGACACGGCAGTGTCTGAGAGCTGGGTGGAAACGGTATCTCGGGAGCTGAAGAACTCGTTTGACGAAAAATTTGCACCGCGCGTACACAGCCGAGATTGCACGTATTGACCCATGCTCATACTCAAAGGAAATATGAACTCGGGCGGTTCCTTACCATGGAACAGTTTCATCATTGACGGTCATATTCACAACCTAACCGGAAGAGAACAAAGTCGATGCAGATATCCGTGATACGGCACAGTGTCAGACACTGTCCCAACTCGAGATTTTTAACTGACACAAGCACATATTGACTTGCTTTGCGAGAAAATGAGCCATAGGAATGGCATCCCGGTGATATTGTTTAGGGGGAGGTTGCCTGCAGTTTTCGAAGTTTGTTGAAGTATTAGTAGATGGTTGAAAGACATGATAGAAATATAATTCAACTCCTATCCCGTCGTTCTCGACGATGTCTCCGTTCGCTTGACCGTTCCCTAGACCTTTCCCTCCTACTCCTATGTGGTGAGTGTCTTTCTCTCGACCGCGATCGCTCCTCACTATGTCTCCTTCTATGATGTCGATGGCGATGGGACCTGTGGCCATCCCTGCTTCGATCTCTCCTACTCGACTTGGACTTCCCCTTCACTAGCGCCAGGGCACTCTCAACCTCCTCCTTCTTCTCCTTGATAAGATACTCCTTCATTGGATCTTCATCGTCATGTTCATCCATCAGCCGCTGTAACTCTACTTCCTCCTTCAACAGCGGCCTGGACGGCCTCTTACGTTCCTCAGATCCATCTCGTGCAGACCTCCGTCGACCACTGCTCTCTTTCCCTCCTCTCTCTTTCTCTTCCTCTCTGCCTCTCCCTGAAGCCACCGCTTCCCCATTCTCATCCACATTCGCAAGGTTATCTTCCGTCCCTTCGTCATCACGTCTCTTATACCGAACATGGTCCACCCTAAGCACCCTACCTAGCACCGTTGCCCCTCCCAGGTTATCCACCGCCAGATCCGTGCTTCGCTGGTCCTCATATTTCAGAAATGCGAATCCTCGACTCTTTCCCGTCTCCTTGTCTCTCACCAGATTTAAATGGACTGGGTTGCCATATTGGGAGAATATCGTTAGAATGTCGCCTTCACTGATATCAAACGGAAGACCACCGATGTATATGTAAGCCGTATCACGGTAGTCGGCGTGCCAGGAGGCTTCCGGAGATCTGAAAGCAGCCGTTAGCAAAGCTGTCCGGAGATAATGAAAGAGATAACCTTACACTGCATTCTCGAGCTCTCTTTTATTCAGGGCTTCAATCTGGCGGATGGCATTCATGACGGGCCTGTATCTATCGTATAACAAGCATAGAGCATGTATATAACATCAACCAGCAGCTCTAACGAGTTCTTCAACTTCGTCTGTTTCTTTTCTTCTCTTCCTGAAGCTTCATAGAAATTAAAGGTCACGTGGTTCTCCTTGATAAACAAAAAGTACTGAAATACAAAGACTCTCCAGCTATTTGCTCTCTTCTACTTTGATATAAACACAAGAGATATAAGCATACTTCTGTATAGACAGAATAGCAGGTTCTTTTGCAGGCCCCTACATCGCTGCATCTTACGTGTGGCCGCGCGAACGTCTTTTGAGGTCATCGATAAGGAGAACCAACTCCATCTTCTGCTTCCACCTTGAAATCTCCAACAACTCCAATATTGGTTTCAGCGGAACGCCCTTCTCAATAGCCCCAAATAGCCTCCAGCGATTGCTCTCTGGATGCCAATTCGTTCTAACCTCTGAAGGTGTAGTTAAGGCATTTCCAGCTCTGTTGTTTGACTCCGCAGACCGACCTTGAAGCCCCGTTCGCGTCTCCTACTTGGACACCCGTATACCAGGGCATGGTCGCGCCAGCATGCCTGAACCAGGACAGCGGGCTTCGACCTTGAGCCAGATCTCAGTTCCAAAGGGAGGATCAGACGGTCGACCAGCCAGCAAAGATGGAAAAAAGGAGCTCTGGTCGTCCATGCTTCATGCTGGAGCCAGCGGGAAAAGGTTGCCAGAAAAGACATTATTAGTCCTTGGTATGTGCTGGAGGCTGTCCCGTCGGTTTGATATGTCTATATATACACACACACTATGTCATTTACGGGAATATTCTAATGGTATTAAATTATAGGAGGCACCCCAGAGAGCCAACGGGAGTTTCTTGCGACACTATCTACCGATCATACTGAGCCTGGACTACCTTCGGAGCGGCGGAAACAAAAAGCACCCCCCATTGCGAACCAGTTTGCGCTTGGATACACATATCAGAATGTCCTTGATGCTGAGCAGGAAGGTAGGGAAAGGAGTTTACTTCCGTGCTTCGTATATAAACTAATTATATGCATTTCAACCTGTAGACATCCTTGCCAGAATATCGATCTACCTGCTTTCAGAACCATCGGCTTCCTATGCTCCCCTTCTCCGACCATTGATCAACCCGAAAACTGTTCCTGAGATGTTGATAGTGTTTCTTCTAGATTGGGAGAACCCGTGGACATGGGTTAGACAGTTGCGAGACTGGGTCCGGCTACTGCGCTCTGTTTTAATATCACTGGATGACGAGACAAAAGTAGTTATGGAAGAGGTTATGACCGACTGGAAAGATCGCAGGAGAGGGTTAGACCCTTCACATGTTGCCGGTTCTGGCCCAGTATCATCTATACCTTTGGGTCCAGGTGAGTGGGATGAAGGGCTAGGTGTTCCTACATGTGTTGTTTGTCAAGGAGTATGTTTGCCCCTCTAATCTTATCATATACATGGTCTACAGCACTGACATATTCTCTACAAAAAACATAGGCGGAGAAGATCGAGCAGCTGGAGAAAGATCATGGATGGAGAGAAGAAGAGTTCGACTTCATACTACAGTTCATGCGAACCATACTTCTTAAGCGTATGTTTTCTCTCCTCCTTATGATGTCACCCATATTAATGTCTTTGTTTTCATTCAGATGGATCGTCATTAATATACACGACGCGATTCTTGGCCAATTCTCTGCAAGGTCTAATACAGTCCTCATTGGGTATCCACTCACTTCTTAAACGGCAGTCTCTTAAACACAATGTTATCGACAGGGACAAGATATTAGTACCTTCAAATTGGGATTCATGGGGCAAGATAAGGATTATCAGAGAAGGATTTAATATTGAAGGTGTTGGCACGAGCTGGTCTATTGAAATACAAGAACCTCCGGAAGCTTTTAAACGACCTAGCCCCGGAGATAATGAAGAGGTCAGGGAGCGAGAGGAACCAGAATCTGGCACCAGTGCCGTGGCTATTTATGAAAACATCATTAAGGATCCCAAAGGCGGTGCATCCATTTCCCGCGCCTGGCAGTCTGAAGGCAGCCCGATCGAAGTGACAACAATTGATACTCAGGAGTTCTTAACGGAGCAGGTCGAGGTGCTTGAACAACTTAAGGCAGAGGATGAGAAACAAGAAAGACAGATGCGCAAGGGAGGAGGTATCATCAAAGACTCAGAAATGATGATGGGCATAGACGACATGAACCGAGTAAATGAACACATTGGGCCCGTCCAGTTTAATATGGGAGGCATTCAAGTTGATGCCGATGATATGTTGAGGAGACTAAGAGTAAGATACTCCCTTTATCCTTTAGAGCAAGCCCAAAATTACTAACAGTCACCCACAGGAGAGGGAAGCTACTCGTGCATCCATGAGAAGCGGCTCTGTATCACCAACACCACCCGGCGGGCCAACATCTCCTGGAATACCACCTATCGGACTATCTAGTGACGGAAAGCATGGTAATGAAGGGCTAGCTACTTTCTTTGCAGGACTAGTGAAGAAGTCTAGTAGCCCAAGATCAAACGCCGCCTCCTAGCCTCAAAATTTTCCGAATCAATACCCCAATAAACCAAATTTCACACATCAAATCTCAATGTGATTGGCAGCACTAAAATTTTCGGATAATATGTTAAACAGGGAGCTCACACAGTGAGTCCTAGCTTTGATATTGTTCGGCTGAGCGCTACCGCTACCAATAATATAACCCCCCGTTCGTTGTTGTCTCTTCTTTCCCCAGCCCTTTCGATACATTGGTTAATCTACACTTCATGCAAAACTAACTCGCTAATTGTTTTCTTTTATTGTGTTGTCATTTACTCATTCCCTATCATCTGCTTTGTACGATACCCATTTCCAAGTACATAGATTCAACTAGAGGAATCAAATGTACGTTGATTTCTCATCACGGGAGGATAGGCTATCCTATCTACTTCATCCATACAACCTTTTACCTCTTGGCAATAATTTGCGCAGCGTCTTCAAAAATCCAGTAGCCATGTGCATCAAAGCCGTGGAGCTGTAGTTAGATTGCCATTTCCATCACCTTGTGCAGCTACATTTAAAAAAAAATAACTACCGATGGTTGATGAGATAAAATGTGAAGAGTATTACAATATTTGCATTGCTAATAAAGATATTACATCAAATGGTCGTGTTAAGCATAAAATCTAGTAGTCGAAATAAGAGCCAGCCTCGTGGTCGATGACCTCAACCTTGCAATCCGAAAGCTTGATGGCCTTGGGATTGCTCTTGTTGATTCCGGAGAACTTGTTGATCCATCCGAGAACCTGCTGGTGCCAGACAAGGGAGTTCTCTGGCTTGGTAACCCAGTGGGACTCGTCTGGGAAGTTCAAGAGACGGCTGGGAACACCCTTCTCCTGAAGGACGTTGAAAAGACCAACACCCTCAGCAACAGAGAGACGGAAGTCGTAGTCGCTGTGAACAACGAGCTGGGGAGTGGACCACTTGGCAACGTACTCTGGCTTGGAGCAGTCCCATCGGTCGTAGTTCTGACGAGCCTCAAAGAAGGTACCGTTGAACTAAAATGGCATTGGTTAGCATGATAAGTTGCGTAAAGGGGGTGATTGTTCTTGAATTGAATACTTACGTCGTGCTCAATGAAGAAGAGCTCGTCAGTCCCAATCTTGGAGGATCCAACGAAGGTACCGTCATGGGAGACGAGAGCCTTGAACTTCCTTCCAAGTTCTTGTCCCTGGATCCAGTTGATCATGAAACCACCGAAAGAAGCACCAGCAGCAATACCGTTGTCAGTGTCGACGTACTTGAGGTTGTCACGGACGTGTTCCCAGATCTTGAAGAGATCCTTGTATGGAGCACCACCCCAGTCGTTGGTGATGTCATCAGTCAGCTTCTGGCCGAAACCAGTGCTGCCAGTTGGGTTGGGAGCAATAACAACGTATCCCTGGTCAGCCCAAACTCTTGGGTTCCAGCGGGTGCTCCAGTTGTCACCCCAAGAGCCCTGAGGACCACCGTGGATGAGGAAAGCAAGTGGGTAGACCTTGTTCTTATCGAAACCAGTTGGCTTGACGATCCAGGAGTGGATCTTGGTACGGGCGCCATCAACCCAGAGGGGCTCGATGTCATTTGGACCAAGGCCCTTGAGCTGAGGATCATGCTCGTTGGCGTAGAAGAGCTTCCTGTTAGGACGGCCTGGAGTGGCAATTTGGTAGAGGGCGTTGGACCACAAGGAATTACCGGTGATCAGGACGGACTTAGAGCTGCCGACAAAGGAGAAAGCGCTGACGGAACCATCGTGCTTGACAGCAGAAGGCATGTGGTTATCGCGGGCATCAGATGGGAGGGTGAAGAGCTTGCCAGTGGCGTGCTCCTCGGCAGTGACGTAGAGAGTTCGTCCATCGGAGGACCACTTGATAGACTCAGGAGATCGGTCCCAGTTGCTGGCAATTCGCTGGGCGGGCTTGTTAGAGCCAACCTCAGCAATGTGGATGACTCGGCGGTCAGACTCGTAGTTCTTGGTGGCCATCTGAAGGTAGGCAATTCTCTTGCTGTCAGGAGAGAATACCGGGCTAGAAGAAGCGCCCTCGATGCCATGGGGAGTACGAGGTCCGTTGCGCTTGTTGATAGGCTCAGCAACCTTGGAGCCATCATGTGGAACGGTGAAGATGTAACTGGTGGTGAGGTTGGCCTTTGGAAGTTCTGGGGCCTTGCTCATGAAAGCGACGGTCTTGCCATCTGGGGAGAGGTCGTAGTCACCAGAACCTCCGAAGGGTGGGTAAGGAGATTCAGCGTACTTGACGGGCTGAACGAGGTTCTTCAATTTTCCGTCGAAGCTGTATTTGTTGCCGTTCTTGGTGAGGGCACCAGAGAAGACAGCGTTGAACTGAGTGCCAACATAGGCATCCCAGTGACGAACGAAGAGGCTGTCATAGATGCGAGCAGAGCTAACTGGCTTCTCAATAGCGGCCTCGTTGTAGAGGTCACCCTTTGTGGTGGATTGACCGTAACCAACGAAGTTGATCTTGTCGCCAGACTTGGCGAGCTTAAAACCTTGGAAGGCTCCAGGGATGGAACCAGCCTTGTAGCTAATGCAGTTGTAAGTAAATAGCCCTAGTTTCTTTGGGTTATATTCATGGGTTTACTCACGCATTGCCAAAGTTCTTGGCATCAGAGATCCAAATGCCAACACCACCCTTTACGGAGTCGGTTCCGTTAACATAGAGAAGGTTGGTGCCCTCACCGAGCCAGGTGATTTCAGAAACATCAGCATCGGTGGTGAGGACGCTGATGTCACCAGTCTTGAGGTTCAAGAGGTTCCATCCAGAAGGACGGTCCTTGGTGTCGAAGTTGTACTTGGAGACTGGGAAGACGGCGAATTGCTATAATTGGGAGAAAATATGTCAGCTCTCAACATTGCAGCCTAGCTATATGATAATCACTACTTACACCCTTGGGGTCTGGAATGGCCTCTCCTCTTCGTGGGGCGGAGATGAAGTCCCTATGAAGCTCATTAATACCTGGCTTATGGTAAATATCCAATGGGTCGATCTACTTACTCTGGGGTGAATGCAAGCCCTGTTGAGGCAAATGCCAGGGAGGCAATCAACCATTTGGCTGGTGCCATTGTGAAGGGAGCTAAGTTAATAGCTTCTCTCTTGATGCGCGTGATACAAGAGCCAGAAGGTCAGAAGAGATTCTGGAAGTTGTCACTGGGAGAAAAAAGAGAGAAGAAAGGGAAGAAGCATCGGCCGTGTCCTTCCCATTTATTACTTTTCGCGACCAGGCCCCGGTAAGGACGGTCAATCAAATAAACATTCCTCTCTCGTACTCCGACCTCTCTCCAGCTGCATGTTCTATGAGCTTCTGTTGCCCTTTTCCTCTTTTATTTGCTTTTTCAGCGGAACCCCAAGGTTGCCCCAGTTTTTGTCAGCATCCCCGTGGGATTTCTACCTGGTCATTCGTTCCCCAGGCTGGGATGCACCCTTGCGCTGCCAATCTGGAGAAGCAGAAAAAGCCGGGGCGGGTTTACCCCTCTCTTATCATCCTTTTAGTATATTTCCTGGCAAGCACTCAGGCTAACCACGTATAATAAGGATTAGAGTCTCAATTTTGTTCATAATCTCGCTTTTTGGAATTGCGCCTGTCAACCACTGGCTCGATGGAGCAATGGAGCAATGGAACAAAATGGAGCAGGCGGAGGAAACTAGCTCGTGGAGAAGGCGTTGTTGAGGTTAGCTCCCACTTTGCAATCAAGGCAAGCTTCGGCTAAAAGTATGACTGCTCGGATCCCTCACCCCGGAGATTATCAGAGAAAAACCAGGGATAGAAAGGCGCATGAATACTGATACGATATGGGAAAAGGATATGCAATTAGCCGATACGAAAGAGCTCAGCGGAAAATATATAACGCTTGGTTTATTCTTAGCAAATTGAATCTTCGAGTTTGGCCTTGGCTCTCAGGTCCGACTGAGGTCATGTCAACAGTCGTTTTTGAATATAACACTTATGCGGGCAGATGCGGGAAATGGAGCTTCGACTGGTTAGTGATACGAGATAGAGATTTATCCAGCGCGAACTCTTGCGGGTGCCTGGAGGAAAGCCACCCAGCTGCGAGTGGCAACCGTACGAACCAGGAACCCATTCATTCCTGTGTGCATCCCGCACCTTGGTAAAATTGCCCAGACAACCGCTGAAGTGGAACGGCACGTCAAACAAAGGCGATATGAGGCCATATGTAATAACCGACTGGGGTAGCGCAGGACATTCCGTGTTGGCTAAGCAGGGGAGCTTTCGACCTCCCTCTCCTCGTTATCGTGCAGGCTTTCTTCCTTGGGACATGAGAAGGGTTACAACGCCAAGTTTTTGGGGCGTTGTGGAGATCTCCCCACGCCTGATTTCTGATTGCAGGGCTTCCTCTCATGCGTTTCCAGAAGACAAGAAAAAAATTTTATGCCAAGCGACTTTGTTTCTTCCATAGAGTTGGGAGGGATCAGCAGCACTAAGGACTGAAGAACATCCTTGCGAATATGCTGGCTGCTAATTGGTCTTGGAGAGAGTTAGCAATATCGCGACTAGGGCGGATCTGGATGGTGGTAACCCGTCAGAGGCCCATTCTATCTCCCTGCACGAATGTGTCTCTCCCCATATCACCGCCTCTCGCCTGTCTCTTCTCGTTCCCTCTCATTCCCCTGTCAACTGTCTCTGGTGTCCCGGAGCACTGCCTAAAAAGACAAATGCGAGGAAGGATGAAGAACCCTCGCTAGACCCGGCCGTTCGAGTGACAGCGTGACTCGTCTTGCGCTGTGGGTCAGTTGTTAGAATGCCTCGCTGCTGGCTATGCGAGATTGCAGCCTGTCCCAACAGCCCTTGCAATCAGCCACGGTGGACACTCGAATCATTTTTCATGGCGACCTGGAACAGCTTGAGAAATGTTAGCATGGGAAGAAGTTCTTTTGTGGAGGTCGAGATATGCCTTTTCACGTGACATATCTCGGCGGAAGTTTTCGGGCCCCTGCTCATATATACAGAAATGTTGGTACCAAGAAGAGATACCAAGGAGAAAAGATTATACTAGGGAGAAAGGCTAAGAAGACACTCTCAGGAACGTCCAGCCACGGCGCAGAGTATATAACAAAAGGTTTGAGGCCGTGGCGAGTTAATTTATTCTAGGGGCTTTCTGGAAAAGACTACCACTCTGTATCCAAAAGTTCTAGCTTGGTTTTATCTCCTTCAAGGGTGGGAATGATAGGCTAAACGGGGGCATCTAAAACTCCAGATCCTGATGCACAAATCGTAGCATAGCGCCTTCCAACGGCCAAGGGTCAAGTATCTTTTCCAAGCTCTCCGGCCAGTCATCAAGCCATTGTAGTAAAGCAAAGGTAGCCGCAAATTCCCAGTACGTGGGATACCAGCCAGCTGTTTCCCAGTCAATAATGGCGCCAACTCTGTACCTTTTTGTAGATGATTCAGAATCAATAATTTGAATGATAATGTTTTGTGGGCATAAATCAGAATGAGTAAAAACGCTTCCATGGCCCTTGAGTGCAATGGGAAGATTGCGGGCGAAGAAGTCCGAAATCCACCCGTGTCTATTGTTCCCTGCCCAAATCTGCCGGGAGCGCTCAGCTATTGCAAGGTGGAAATCTTCTTCCCTTTCAAAAGGTCCTGTGATAGCAGGATTCTTTTCTCTCGAGTAGAAATATCGATGTGGCACTGGGCCTCCCATCACACCCCCAAAGAAGCCTTTAGGCGGAAGCGACCTGATTTCATCAAATATGCACCGAAGCTCCCCCAAGATGGACTTCTTATCAAAATTTGAAAGCGACGGCCAGAGTGATTGTAAATCTACCCCAGGTATGAATTGCATAATGATATATAGCTTCTCTCCCTCCCGGTACATCGCGTACAAACGTGGCGCTGGAATAGAGAGATGCTGTTCGATAAATAGCAACGCATGGCCTTCGTTTTCCAGTACGTAAGTGCCGTACTTAACAACATACTGGTCTCTAATAACAACGATGCGGCCGTCATAGCCAGGGCTGCGAATTGTCGGTAGCAACTTGGTTGCCGTCTCGATCTCCCGTTGAGTCGGGAGAGCGCTGGGCAAGAGGCTACCATCTTTATAATACGGCAAGGTAAGAGTAGACATTGTAGAGTAAACAAATTATTCCGAACCTGGGTTAGAGGAAAGGCTGGCTTTTGACTTTAAAATGTAACACGACAGCTGTCTTTCGATGACAGTTAACTATAAACTCTTAACTACAGAGTACAGAATATATAGCTATATCCCCAAGTCTAACACACCTATATTAATAAAGAACAATCAACTAGCAAAAGCTATTAATTGGAAAGTGTATAAGCCCGATATTGGCTCTTAATGCAGCGGAACTTCGTAAAACTTGCTTCAATTATAATTCCATGGACCCCAACTTACAACTCTTAAGCGCAAAGGGATGTTGACTCAGGACTGATCGCCCCATTAGTAGTATACTCCATCTTCGCAGGGATATTTTGCTGAGCCGCAGTACACTTACCAAGTACGTAGTTATATACCCAGCTGAAACCAATCATCACGGCAGTACACCATACTTATGTAGGTGAGCATAGCCGCAGCAAAAGTACTCTGTCAGAAGTATCCATATGCCAATGTAAATATACATATGAATGTATATGAGTACGTTATCCCACACTCTTATTTAGGCCCAGATGGGCAGTCATGGAAACCGGCTTGAATCACCCGAGAGTCCCTAGCTATCTCACGCCATGCCTGCCAATCGCAAAACACGATCAAAGCCAGCAGAAGGACGCCATTCTGAAGCAGCTTTTCCGATCGATAAGAATATGGTGTTGATATACCCCTTGAGACATTGTAGCCTGAGATCCGACAACACAGCTCTACCAGGAGAGTATCCACAGCGATGGCCTTAGTTATCAATACCCGTCAGGCCTTAGGGCAAATAGCACTTCACGTATAACTATAACAAGATAGCCTTGGAAATTGTTGGATCACATTATGTCCAACTAAATCCTCATTAGACATTAGGTTTTGTCTCTTGTGCCCAGGGACTGATAACTATTAGCATCCGTTACATAGTATTTCCTGTAGTGGCAGGTATTTTATCACTTTCCATGCCTCTCGTTTTAGGTGGTGGAGGGCGTGAAGTGAAGGGCAGAAGAGAGACATACGGCTGTAAAAATGAAAATTGTTGCGCAGAATAATTCTTCCCTGCGTTGCCAAACCCGTCATGTCACATGGATCGGATAAGTTATACTTCATGAAAATGACTACATAGGCTTTGTGGGTATGCATTGCAAGTTGGGATAAACCTGGTAGACAGGCACCGTTGACATGTCTCTCCCTGCTATATGTATCTCTCATATAGCTAGCGGCCCAACAAACCACCTAGCCGGCCTAGCCGACCATGAAAGGGCGCAGAGATACCTGGTAAAATAAGAGTGGACAGGAAGGAAAGAAAATAATAATAATAATAATAATAATACGGCTCCCTCTCAATCCATGCTTGGTGCCAGAGCCACAATGCTGAAGCCGGATGCATCAACCCCCTTCCCTGCATCGTTTTGATGCTTGAGAAACGCTCGAACCCCAAGCTCGAGAGCTTTCTCGCTCAGCCCGTCCTGGCCCTCGTCCAGAAGCCCTCGATCGATCGGGCCCTTCACCCCACCTTCCAAATCCCACAGATGGCCGTCCGAACCCCTCACGAAGCAGATGTAATGGAAACCACACTTGTCGTCAGGGGCCGGAACAGCACTGTCTCCCCTTCTCGCGGCCGAGCGATGTGCTCTTTCTAGCAGTGTGGAATCATATAGCAACTGGGCGCGTTCAGTAGGAGCCAGATCCACGGCTGTCTTAAACAACTTGTCTAGTTCAGATCCTGCGGGGATATATTCCCTTGCCTCCCCGTTGCTGATGCAGTGGATTAGAGCCATTAGCCCACAGGTATTCTTGATGGTCTGTCTAAACCACATCACGGGTTCGTCTGGTCCTGAGCCAGTGTATTCAGGCATGTTGTCAGTGCCCATACTTTCGCGAGTACGGACATAGACATCATGAGGACAGATGAAGATGAGGCCGTAGACAGGACGCGGGATAAAAGCCAGTAGGTCCGGGTCATCAATGCTGTAGATATCGTAGAACCCCAGCTTGGGAGACACGCCCAGCTCATGGATAAGGTGGGACATCACCTCTGGGTTGTTCTCTAACCTTGCTCATTATGGTTAGCAGAGGTCTCATATCGGGAGCTAAAATATATATTTTATAAAAAAAAGACGCTCATCCGTTGAATGTATATTATCCTGGAGACTGGGTAGTTTAGGAGACAACGGAGATAATACCTAGAGGAACCAGAGTCTTGACTCCATCGATGTACTGTATCTCCGCTGTGTTTGCGTCTGCCATGGTTGATATCTGACTGGGAGACAGGATAAGTAAAAGTCACGTATTATTTAGTCTGCTTAACTCTTTAAAGTACTATTGCTACCAGAAAACAGCTGAAAGAAGATGCGGTTGATGGTTTATTTGAAGCCATCAAGTTATGACGCGTTTCTTCTGCTGCCTGGTATGGGCTGTACATGATATATACCATTGTTACACCCACTTTAATGAAGATCATGTTTAGTCATATGAAATTTATACCATATGTGTATGATAATTACTTACAAGCCATGATTAAGGGCGAATCGAGTTCAGGGAGGACGAATAAATAAATATTTTTAATAAATATGATCGAGTAATATATACATTTGCAAGCAACTTAGAAAGCAAGATATTACGGTTTGAATTAATCATGTGAAGTGCACCGGGCCAACTTAATGCGTTTCTCGGATGCCCGGTAAGATGGACGGTTCAACTCCAACCTGAAGCCGTATATATTCATCAGCGCCCATGTTATTAAAGAACCATCTGGTAGTTTCTAACCCTAGTATTATTGTTAATTTTGCCCTTGTAACTATTTCGAAACTTATCTTCAAAATAACGAATAATCAAATATTATATTGAAAACAAAGGCTGGAGCAAGTCGGAGAACAAAGCTGTCAGATAACTACCTAGTCAGCCAATAACTACGCCGCCACTGATCAACTTTTCTACAAAGCTCTCTCTCCCACGGCAAAGTGTTAGCCTTCCTCCCTATTTCTCGCTGGATTTGCTCTTTATAACAAGGAGACTGATCTAGAGAATGTATGTAGTAACGAGCAAGCAGTTACACGCCAAATTTCCGGAGCTTTCAAGACATATTACCTTGTCTCCGACGGACATCAAGATTATGCATTATACAAAACAATTGTGAAGTTCTATATCAAAAATGAACTCTAGCCTATGAAGTGGCGCCCGTATATCACCGGCAAATAAGGATGAGCCTCGGTAGTTTCAGGAACAACTTCTCAACTGTGGAAACCGTTATACGCAACCTAATGATGATAGAAGAACCTGCCACCAGGGACACAGCTTTGCTCCAGAAACAAAAGAAAAGTCATGTCAGAAATCCCTTCCCAACCTGCTCTACCGTCTCCTCCTTTCTACGCTGTTGAGGGCGTTTACAATCTCAGGGATGTCGGTGGCTACGCCGTCTCCCCCACCACATCAGTACGGCGCAACTTCATCTATCGGTCGGCGCACCTATCAAGCATAACACCCACAGGAGCACAATCTCTCGTCGATGATCTAGGGGTGTCGTACATCTACGACTTCCGCTCCGAGGTCGAGATAGCCAGGTATCCGCTTGTAGACATACCGGGTACCACTTGCTGCCATGTTCCTGTTTTTAAAGACCAGGATGCAAGCCCTGCGAACCTGGCGTTAAGATATAAAGACTACGCTGCCGACGATGGCTCAGCAGGCTTCATCCGTGCATATAAGGATATACTTGGGAGCGGAGCAAAGTTCGCCTACAAGGTCGTTTTTGAACATATTCGAGACCAGCCTACGGAACCGTTACTGTTTCACTGCACGGCTGGGAAGGATAGGACGGGAGTGTTTGCTGCTCTGGTGCTGCGTCTTGCTGGTGTTGTGGATAATGAGGTTATTGGGAAAGAGTACGAGCTTACTGAGGCTGGGCTGAAAGGGCTTCGAGAGGACTTTATACAGAAGTTACTTCAACATCCTTCTGTTGCTGGGGATCGGGATGCAGCGTTGAGGATGACGAGTGCAAAGGCTGCTGCGATCATTGGAACTTTGGAATGGCTGGATGAAGAATACGGATCTGTGGAAGGATATTTGAAGAAAGAAATTGGATTCACCGACGATGACATAGAAAAGATCAAGAAGAACATTATTGCAGAAGGGGCTGGGATTCATTTGAATTAAAGGAAGAGCAAAAACGTTAGATTTCTTTTGTTATGTCATCTAGTATACATTTGTTTTGCGCACGGGGTTACAATTTTCACGCTCTGAAGCTAGAGTATATAATAGAAAAACATAGATGAATGCACTGCTTTGGAATCACCATTTCTCCCAGACACTATCTGGAAGTACACTGCGCATAACATGCCAGTGGCCGATTGCTCCCTGGAACTGCCAATAGGCGAGTTCCTTTGGCGCACTTGGACCCAAAGCATCGTCATTGCCCTGGGCATCCTTCGAGAAGGCATCCGGACTAAATTCAAGGCGCGGTATCAAGCTGTCCTTTCTCGAATAGGTTCCTAGATAGTCCTTGGGTTCGGGGATCCTGAATTTTATGGTACCCGGTGTTTTCTTGCAGAAGATAGTCATGTTCGTGAGGTCTCTTCTAGACGATGAGCCTGGTAATGGTTTATTATCACGGAATATCCTACACGACGAGAATGTGGAAGTGATAGCTCGGACAACCAGGCCAGCGAGTGGCAGGGCAATGTCACCAGCATAGTTCTGACATGCAGAGTTAGTTAAGAGCCTGTCACAACACATAGGCTAATACCACAGTTAAACTTACGATAGCAATAACACCCTCGTCGTCCAGCATGGTGTCAAGTCCTTGCATGAAATCCTGGGTGAACAGGTCCAATGGCTCCACACCCCCGGTGAAAACATCATGGATGATGTAGTCATACTTCTGAACAGGGGTCTCATGTCTAGCGCGGTCAACAAAAACCAGAGCATTTTCAATCACCGTGTTCACTTTCCGAGGGAATTCAAAATAATCCAAGGCTATCTGATGCACATTTGGATCAATCTCGACAACGGTAGTGTTGATTCCATGTGCAGCAAGAGCTGAAGGAGTTGTGCCAATGCCCAGCCCACTATGATTCACCTTGTTAGCCATATACCTTTAAAACCAAGAACATGGGCCAACTCACATAACTAGAGCACTTTTCTTTGAATCAGCCTTCTCCGGCTTATGAGAGTCTTTCTTGACCAATCTGACGGCCTCAAGAGCTGTAAAGACGGTGAAAACGGGGTCAGATACTTTGGCGTCTTTGGTCATAAAATGTGGCAGCCACTCTCCACCCAAAAGACTGTGGCCGCATCTCATCACTCGGAATTTGGCATCCGTATTTTCCAGAACGGATAAATATCCGGTTAAAGACTCCTGGCGGTGAAGCAAAGTAAAATTTTCTGCTTTGAGAGAAGCATTGAGTAGGTCTGTGTTGTACGGTAATGGAGCATGGTGGTTGAAAGTGGCTGTAAACAATAGGGAAGGTATCGCAAGAATAATCCATTTTGACGGTAGGAAAATGGCTTGAAGGGTGGCAATGATGAATTGAAGCCCCATGCTTGTCATCGCAAGGCTTGTTCCCAGATAGTAGGGCATAACCTGCTCAAATTTGGCCTTGGAGGCGTTAAAGAGAGCATATGCGGCCAGGATATTTCCTTGCTCCATGCCTTGCTTCAATCTGGGACTCAGGTTCAACTTCTGTATCAGGAGTCCTGGAATAACGATCGACATCGCAACCAGGGGAGCAAAGGTGAGTGCTTCCGTAAAGATGGGTCCCAGAACAGGTCCAAGGGTAGAACTGAGCTTGAACATAAAGAACTGAATGGTAGGAATGTAGAATGAAAGGATTGGTAGCGAGACCATCGGACGGGTGTATTTTTGAACCCAAGAGTGACAGAGTGAGCCCGCCGCCGCTGCGATCAGTGTAGTTGCAGTGTGGTATTTGCCAGCGGGCGCGGAGCCGTATACAGGAGCAAGCGTCAGCTGAGATACATAAGAATAAGCCCCAGCAAGGCCTATCGCAGCCGCTCCCATAGTAGCAGCTAGAAACAACTCTGGCAGCGAAGACTTCTTCCCCTCTACAGCTGCCGGCCTGCGGACAGCTACGTTGGTTGCTGGAGTCGATGCACCAGGCTGACTCTTGCCAGCTGCCTGCTTCGACGGCGTCGGCTTTGGTTTCGCCATGGCTAACAGCTTGCTGTGTTTCAAAGATCTTGTCAAGCTGGCCTTATCGAAGTGTACCAGGCCCAAAGGGACGTGACTGGGCAAGTCAATGTACCAAAGCACAAGAACAAGAACACAAGTTAACTACACCGTGGCCATAAATGCGAACAAACAAGAGGAACAACAGACCTTCCAATTCCTCGGTGTTGGAAGTTGAAATCTGTTCACAAACACCAACGAGTTTTTGGTATATAAAGCGTTTGATGTTGGCTTGTTTAGGCTCTGACACGCGCCCCCCACCTGTAGCCGCTCACGTGGAGAAAGCCCGAAGACAGCCGCGCTACCCCAGACGCGCCTAAAGTGGCAAGTCATGACATTAAATGTAAAGGAAGACACGAAAGAAGGTATAGATGTAGATAGACGATGGTAAATGACGGAGATAGGTAGGAATAGACAGAGCAGATGAGAATCTGACTCGAGGATCTCTGGTAGTCTCAATCAACTAAGGAAGAAATCAACTATACAGATGGCATGGAATACAAGCAACGATTCAGTAACTGGAGTAAACAGATATATTCACGTCTATTTGCTTGTTGAAAGACTTCTTGAGCCTCGATAGTTTGGAGGCTCAAATCTGACATCACAGTGCTTGGCATTTTTTCCAACCGCAGCCAATATCAAAGATAAAAAACTGCTATTAAAAATATATCAATACCCCTTCAGTCAAATGGAACTCAGTAAAGATAAATGACAATGCCATTCTTCCCCATAAACACGGGCATAGACCTTTCTCGGGCTCGAGAGAGGCCAAACAGGCCAGGGTTCTCATCTCAGGGCGAGAAGCAGAGATACAACCCAACACCAAAGAACCCTCCAGCGTCTATACAGATTAAAAACAGACGAAAACGATATCTAGAGCTGCACCCTGAATATTTCTCTCCGGCCCTGGAACTAGCGGGTAATCACTCGTCATGCACACCTACATTTACATCCACACGGCTAAACTAACAGACACCAGACCCCCTTCTCTACGACCGACTAATCCGACGTTTCCAAACGTCCAGCGAGCGTGAAGCCGAGGGCCGTCAGAAAGGCCACTCTGGCACCCTAGAAGCAGACCTAGAGCGCGCAGAAGCCAAGATGGAAGCCCTGGCTCATCCGGACCCAAGCTCGCTGCTCACATATACCCGTGGACCGAACGGCGAAATCCTAGCAGAAGACAGAGACGAGATACCATCCTCCAAGCAGGAAGGCGCAGAGCGATGGCGGTACGAGATGGAAATGAGATTTGTCAAGGGGGCAGATGACGAATTTGAGTATTCGGTCGTAGATGAGTGTGAGGAGTATGATGATTTAACTGAGGAGCAAGAGAAGTACTTTGACGACGAGGAGCCAGAGTGGATTATCGAGGAAGGAGAAAGCAAGGAGTCGTTGAAGGGAGAGACGGGGATTCAGGATTTTTGACCGGGTTGGTTATCTTTTTGACAAGGGAGGAGAATTGGCTCTGGAAGGGTTGGACTGCTTCCCGTTTTCCATCATACATTCACACCGCCTGCAAGTGGGTGGGAGGATTCTTATCCAGGCTACGAGAGGGGTTCATGCTCATGCATGTCATGTATCACTGCATCATGACATCAGGCATGTCTGCGTCGTGCGAACCGGTGCCAGGTATCCAAGATGAACGGCATGACTACCTACCAGCATTACCCACGGCCATTCACAACGCCGGTCTTTGGCGTGCAAAGCCCGAGACCAATTATACCATGCCACATACTAGTTACATTATTACCAGGCATCCCGTTCGTAAGGGGGTTGGTTTGGTCACTGATCCTGTTGGTCTACCGGGGGAGGGTGAACCAGGGGGTTTATACTAGGTGACAGATGTAAATATCGATAGCTCGCTGGTCGTATAGCTGGTGGTTAACGTAATTCACCACTCAGCGAACACCCATCAAAAATTTTCAAACTCCCACCGCTTACCACTTCCAACGTCTACAAAATACCTTCTGAATAATTACAGCAGCGTAAGGTAGGCAAAAAGGAGGCTTAGAGGCTCAAAAGGCGCTAGAGAAAGGCAAAAGCTCCTTCATCTGCCAAATCAGGTAAAAAGGTGTCTACCAAAGAGTACAGTATATGCCGTTCAGCCAAATGATTATGACGTTTGTCATCCTGTGTACCGCTTATATAGGCTGTGCAGTGCCCTCATATCGTTAGGCATATATGATGTAGCCAAGGGCAAGGCAGATGCTGGCATGACAAGAGTCTACTCCTGCTCCTTCGGTGCCTAATTTATGAGCCATTAAGCCCAACATACATGTATTTTCCCAATCTAACAAATTTATATGTAATTTGAAACCTATCTATCGTTTATAATAACCCTGATTACTTGGTTACGGTGTGGCTGTTGAGATAGTTGATACATAGTATACTGAACGCTGTCTAGTTATGAGGAGCGATATGAATGTGGAGCACGTGACTAGGAAGCTGTAGTGATGATCGTTGAGTCAGAGGTTAGCTATCGGGAACTGCAAATACATTGTGTGGCAACAAAAACAACACCACCAACTCCCACAAGCGGCAGAGATCAGGCTACAGGTCACAGTTACCTGAGGCGATTATCATGGGCACCCTATCTCTTCAGGGCCTTGAGTCCCTTCTCCAGTCGCTGGGGGCCGCGGTTCCAGTACCGCAGTTCCCGCGCACTAATGTTCTTGCCAATCCAACTGATATTTACCGTTCCTATGTGGTTGATGCCATTCAAAAGCTCACAGGATGTGATGAGGGAGTTGCATACGATGCGGTGCAATGGGCGAGCGCAGCGACGAATGCTGACCTTATGCTTGTAACTGCCCGTCTGAAGTTGAAAGGAGTCGATCTAAAACAATTGGCACAGGATCTGGTGTCTAAGGTACTATTTTCCATGCATCTATAGTATCTATAAACATTTTAGCTGATATGGTTTCCGACTAGTTCCCACCCATGCCGCTTCTCAGACAGCCTGTCGCCAATGGGATATTCATACCAATTTCTTTCTCTCCAGACACTTTGCCTAGCTTGATCCTACCCTTTATATTTGATCGTCGAGCTTCATATGGATCGAATCGCCTTCTCGGCCTAAAGGACTCGAAAGACGAAGGCGCTGGTAAGAAAAAGGTTATAGTCGAATTCTCATCACCAAACATCGCCAAGGAATTCCATGCTGGTCATCTGCGGAGCACAATTATCGGCGCTTATATTTCTAACTTGTATGAGAGCATGGGCTGGGATGTAGTTAAATTGAACTACTTGGGGGACTGGGGTAAACAATTTGGCCTCCTCGCAGTTGGCTGGGAGAGGTTTGGGTCGGAGGAACTCTTCGCAAAGGAGCCCTTAAAACATCTCCTCGACGTATACGCAAAGATCAACGCTTTGTTTGCGCCGGAAAAAGAGGCTAGCGAGAAGGCTCGAGACAATGGCGAGGATACTTCTGAAATTGAAAGTAAGGGGCTATTCGCTGAGAGAAATGCCTTCTTTCAAAAAATGGAAGACGGCGACCCGGACGCAATTTCATTATGGAAACGGTTCCGAGAAGTCAGCATCGAGCGCTATATCTCGACATATGCCCGCCTGAACATTAAATTCGACGTGTATTCTGGCGAATCCACCGTAAAGCCACAAACAGTTCAGAAAGCGGAGTCTCTTCTTAAGCAGCAGGGAATTTATACAGAGGATAACGGCTCTTGGATAATCGATTTCAAAAAGCACGGCGCCCCTAACTTAGGTGTTGCGGTTGTGAGAACGCGAACCGGGACGACGACATATTTACTACGCGACATTGCCGCTGTCTTAGAGAGGGTGGAGAAGTATAAATTTGACAAAATGATCTACGTCGTATCCACCGAGCAGGATCTATACTTCCAACGTCTTTTCAAAACAATTGAACTCATGGGACATCCAGAAGTGTCTTCCAAACTCGAACACATTAACTTTGGAAAGGTCCAAGGGATGTCATCCCGACTAGGGACTGTGAAACTATTGGGCGATATACTTGATGAATGCGGCAGCGCGATGCACGATGTTATGCGAAAGAACCCTTCTAAATACGACCAGGTCGAAAATCCCACCTGGGTTGCAGATGTCTTGGGAATCACGGCGGTTATGGTTCAGGATATGGCTGGGAAAAGAATCCATAACTATCCATTTGACATTGCCAAGATGACATCCTTTGAAGGTGATACCGGTCCGTATCTCCAATACGCCCACGCAAGACTCTGCTCTATCGTGCGTAAGGTCAATATTGATCTTAAGGACATCACTGCCGCAGACTTCTCTTTATTGAAGGAGACACATGCTATCAGTATACTTCGACTTATGACTCAATATCCTGAAGTCACAAACAACGCCTTGAAAACGTTAGAGCCTACAACCATTCTCACATACCTCTTCCGCCTTGCACATCAAGTTTCCTCCGGATACGATGTAATCAAAGTTATCGGTGCCGAAAGCCACGAAGTCACTGTTGCACGGCTGGCCCTATATGAAGGAGCTCGCCAGGTTTTAGAGAATGGGATGCGACTTCTAGGATTTACCCCTGTTGAAAGGTATTACTGCAGCCCTTCCCTGAGCGTTTTACTTTTATCTAACCAGACTATAGAATGTAACGGTGCCCTGCGTTGATATCACTCTCAGGGTGCGGAGTTTTCAATGTGGAATCAAACTTCCTCATCAAAGTGGCGCATGTAACTGTGGATTGGATTATAAATCTTGGTGACGTTATTTTACTTACGACCAACGAATAGCTAGGTTGTTAGGCGGCTACACACTCGAGGGACCTTGGATCACTCTTAGCGCAGTTACATAGTTTTGTGTGTTTCGGAAGGTTGATCATCCGCCGGTCAAGCTATACGGCCGAGCTGAGAACCTCGGCCCACTTAAATAACCAACTTAATAACAAGCCAGCTAGCTATCAGTCACCTAAGTCCTCGATGTTCTAGGCAAAATACCCATTGCTAACCTGTCTACCCTTAACACTGTTCAACATGGCCGACGACAATACAAAGGATGTGAAAATCACCCTCTACTGGTAGGCCTGTTAAATTAGTTAACTACTCATTGACTTAATTCGTTAAAACATTGCTAACATCTTGCATCCAGGCTGGAGCAATCCCGGGCGCAGCGCATCCTATGGCTACTAGAAGAGCTCAAACTGCCTTATGAGCTGAAGCGGTTTAAGCGCAACAAAGACCTACTAGCTGACCCCAAGTTAAAGGAGATTCACCCCCTGGGAAAGTCGCCTATGATATCAATCGAGGCGCCTAAGCTTGAGAAACCGCTTGTTCTGGCGGAGTCTGGTTTGATTGTTGAGTATCTAACGGAACATTTCGGGCCAGCTCTCATCCCCAAACGATATAGGGATGGCTGCGAAGGGTCCGTTGGTGGCGAGACTGACTCGTGGCTACGGAACAAGTACTTCATTCACTATGCGGAGGGGAGCCTGATGCCTCTATTCTTAGTGCAGCTTGTGGTCGACAGTAAGCCTGCGTCCGATGGTCAGGGTTTAGTATCTAAGACTAACATAACTGCGGCAGGGATTCGAAACGCACCTGTGCCATTCTTCCTTAAACCGATCACTAGGGGCCTTGCAGAAAAAGTCGAGGAGTCATATCTAAGGCGCAGTATAAAACTGAACCTCGACTTCCTAGAGGATCAGCTAAAAACGTCTCCGGGAGGTGGCCGATACATATGCGGAGATGAGATCAGCGGGGCGGACATCATGATGAGCTTCATGATGGAACTCGCTTCTGTGAGCAAAGCGATGACCGAAGAGACGTACCCTGCTCTGAATAAGTACCTGGGGAATCTAAGGGAGCGAGAGGCTTACAAGAAGGCCGTGGACCTCATAGTCGAGCTAGAGGGTAGCTGTGAGGTCATCCCTAGATAAGCTGAGACTGCCATGGACCGGTCTGAAGGATATTAAATGCAAAGCTAAGAAAGCAAAGGAAGCAGAGCACCTTCGACCTCTAGATCTACCACCCATCTTGACGAGCCAATTCTATATGATATGGCAACACCATTTGCGCCACTACACTATATCCGGCGCGGGGTCTTATATTAATAAAGAACTGATTGATAGTCTTTGTAAGAAAGCCCAGGATAGATATATACATAGAGTGACGGTCATGTGTTCCTGTTTTTATAAGTAGTCCTTCTGTTAGTTCTAGAAAAGCAATCAACAGTTCTGTCTTTCAAGTCGCCCTGCATCAGCCTCTTGAGCCTTTACACTCCCTACCACGGTTCTGCTCACTCTTCCATCACGCTGTACATACTATGTAGTATACTCACCCGCTCAGCATGGTGTCTGGTTAGAGTTCATTAGTCAGAGTTTAGTCAGCTGCTTAGTCACGGCGTAGTCAACGTAATCTGCGGCATATCAGTTACTGAGTATATCATGTATATTATACTATTAAATTAGTACAAGTATAAGCGAATACGTATATTAATAATGATATTTAGCCCGGGGGCACTGTATATGCATATATGTACGTTCGGTGGGCGAAGATATGGAGTAAAGAATTATTATTTTTTTCCATTTTTTTTCTTATCTCTGTTTGCGTTTTTTACACGGTCTGTGGATGCTATTTACTGTCGTTGTATAATAATCGGCTCAAAGCCATGCTGTATCCTCGAAGCTGAAACCAAAAAAGGCCATACACATACGTCCATCCCAGGCGATAAACAATACAAGGTAGAATGGAACAAGAGTGTAAGAAGAGGGAACAATTAGAAATAGTAAAGTGAAAGCGCCTCCATTACAAACGTAAACGTAAACGACAACGCTTCCCAACCCAAGGCACGCACATATCAACCAATCAGTCAAGGATATGAAGATAGAAAAGACATGGAAAGAAGCGAATGGTATCAAGCTAGACTGGTATATGGATATGGAGAAAAGAGAATATACGGGACGACTAAAGGCAAAGTCATAAACAGAGAAGTTTTGAACGGGAGGGACGAGAAAATGTTTCCCCATGCGTAAGCGGAATCAGAGACATAAGAAATAGAAAAACAGTAGGTATATCATGCGGTATGTGAAGAGGAATGAAGGTACAGATATAAAAGCAAGACGCGGGAATATCGACATGAAGATGGAAGTGAACAGAGGATAAAAGAAAACAGTCAAGGCGGCACTGCAACGCCGTTTCGTTGAGTGCTCTTCCAGGCCTGAGGATTTGTGTTGCCATTTGCACTACCATTTGATGCCGTCTTGGTAACTACGGGGGATCTCCTCGTTGTCACAGATGTAGGTGATCCGGTGCCGACGCCGGACGTAGAAGGGCCTGCCTCCGTCTTTGGAACAATCGTTGTTGTAGAGCTGACTGTTGATGAGGAATCATCGGCACCGGCGTGCGTGGCGTCGCCGTAGATGGCAGCAGCGGCTGCTCGGGGTTTGGACTGTAGATTCGCGCTGCTCGATTTACCCAGCACCGTCTTGAGGGCGTTAGTTTTTCGAAAAGGAGTATCTGCAGCTGCGAAGCTAGGGTTGGCGTTTTCTTTCCCCCTTTTGTAGGCAGCCGAATCGTGGGATGCGTCGTGGAAGCCGCGCCACTTTCTCCAGCCTTCAAAGTCGATTAGAGCTTGCATGCAGCCCCATTCTGTAACTTTTTGTTCGAGCCAGACGATGTTTACGGGCTGTGTAGTTGTTAGTTTAACGAGATATTTGTATATGTCTCTAGCAGAAAGAGCATACCTTGGTCAAGAAGTCGTTGCAACCTGCAGCCAACGCTTCATGTCTGTCACTCTGCAAGCTGCTTGCGGTCAGAGCAACAATGATAACGGGACTCTTAAACTGGTTTTCCTTGTTCAGCAAGTCCTCGGGCTTAACTTCTTCTGAATGCGGCTCTGACTTTGGTGTCTCGGAGAGCGAGGGTGAGGTGGGTGGCGAGCCAACCATGGACGCAGAATAAGATGGGCCAGACACCGATCGCTGGAACACCCCGATATTGTTGACTCGTTCTAATCGTCTGATCTCTCGGGTTGCCTCTAGGCCACTCATGACAGGTAATTGGATGTCCATCAAGACAAGATGAAAACCGCCTTCTCGCCACTTATTCACGGCTTCACGACCATTCATGGCAGTCTGCCAGCGGACTTTGAGACGTTTCATGAAAGCTTCGAGGAGCTTCAGGTTGATCGTGTTATCTTCGACAATGAGGACGTTGATCGGTGGTATTGCGCCGTCGAGCAGTGAGGTAGGTAACGTGTTGGAATTCGAGCTGCGGTTTTTGTTCAACTTTTCAAGTCCCTTGGGACGAGGAGAGGAGACACGAGATGGGGGTGAGGCGGATTTGGGAGCTTGTTCACAAGGGATAGCGGGCGGAGTGGCTGCAGAGGGAGGTGAGGAAGCAGTAGTTACCCCGTTTGCCGGAGGATTCACTGAATCTACATGTGTGAATCGACCCCGAGTTAACGATAATCCTTCGATGCATTCGATATATTATCAAGTAAAGCGAAAAAAAAAAAAAAAAAAAATTGAAAATGAAAGAAATACGTACCGTTGGTAGACGGCGACGGTATGGAGCCAGGGCCGGTCTGGGAGCTGGCATATTGATGATAGCTACCCCGATGCTGAGGTTGTTGCCATGGCCCTCTGCATCCCGGAGACGGAATCGGAGGTACCTGGCCGGTATGGATAACCTGCATGGAGTTCGGATGCGGCGCAGTCATGGAGTCTTTCAGGGTAGCGCTGTTTGGTGTGATCATATGCATTGGCGGGAAGTATCCGGACTGTTCGACGCGGGAATCGTCTGTGTGAGTGTAAGGGGTAAGAGGGGATGCCTTTGGGGTGCGTCGTGCCGGGACTTCGATGATGAGGGCTTCATCTATCGTCTGACCACCAGGGTAGAAATGATCGAGTGTTCGGGTAAGCGGTTCTTCTGGACCCAGAACACGTTCCTGATGGCCGTGTCTGCTCGACGGTTCTCGCTGGATGAGTCTAATGACGATATCGGGCGAGTCGATGGTTCGACCGAGGGAGTTGGCGTATTTCTTCAGGATAGAATCCCGCAAGTCGTCGACCAGGTCTTCCTCTGTGACCAGGACGAGCGTTGGCGAGGAGCCAGGCCGCTTGACCCATACTTTTCGGTTGATCATGTCGAACTGGATGGCAGGTGTTGAACGGGGGAAGTATTCAGCGCCACTGGTATACGGTGGTTCAAGAAGGGTGTTTATCAGCCTCTGCTGTGATGCAGGAACGAGGGACTGCCGTCTGACAGCGAGTGTAGGTCGGCGAGGGCCCTTTTGATCAGAAGAATTCTGGGGGCTTCTGCCTGAAATCGGAGATGCGGGTGAGGGGATGCCCTGACGAGACTCGTCGAGTGTGTTTAACGGTCGAGGAGAACCGCTTATGCTTCCTCGAGGGTTGAACTGTCGCTGAGCGCGATTCTGAAGCTGTGAGGGATCCTGAATCCCTGGCGATGCAAAGCTGTAGTCCTCGAACCGCCTGGCGGAGACCGTATCTTTCCCACTGTCAACGCTGACAAGTCTTGCGCGAGCCAGAGGCGGGTTGGGAGAAGCGGGAGACTCGATCAACGGAGAAGGCACCTGTCTCGTCGTAGACCGTACAGCTGTAGCAATTGGTTGCTGTTGCAGTTGTTGTTGTTGTTGTTGCAGTATCTGTTGCTGCTGTGCTGGTGGTGGAGTCCGCGACGGATTGGACAGCGACAGAGCTCTATTGGGCCGCGAATCAACGCCCAATCTCTGGCCCTTCAGCGCCAGGTGTCCATCTGCCTCGCCTGGCGACTTTTGAGCAACGGTAGTCTCGACAGGTCGAGTGCGCCGTGTAGCTCTGGTCGCTGTAGGAGTGGGCGTAATAGCAGTGGCAGAGGCAGAAGCAGAAGCTACTTCGCCAGCGACGGCCGGCTGGGTGGCGAGCGAGTGCCAGGAAGACGAGCGGGGGACGGCGTCGTCGTCTTCAGCGCCAGGCTCTTCTCTCTCTCCGGCGGTGACAGCGTCTCTGGAGATGCTGCCGTGGGTGATGCTGGTGGGCGAGGGAGTCGGCGTCGTCGAAGTCACTGAAGTCGAGGTGGTGGAGTCCGAAGCGGCGTTCTTGGCGGAAGACGACGACGGGCGGCGCAGAAGGGCCGTCAAGCGGGAGAACCTACGCTCTTTTTCCACCGGCATCGTCTCAGCGGGAGAGCCTGCGACCATCAGCCTGGTAGCTGAGAGACGGCAGAGACAAGATGCAGAGATGCAGAGGCCAGCAGAGAGGATAAAGACACAGACTGATAGAAAGGACGGTCTAGACGATAGACATGGTGCAGCAGCGGGAGGACGGCATGGCCCGTCTAAGCGAGATTGAAGCTTGATGGCCGTCAAGAGTAGAGGAAGAGAGAGAGAGAGTAGGGATCCGTCTTGTTGATTTGACAGCTTTACTGACAGGATTTAGTTAAACCACGATGGTTAGGGGCGTCAGACAGCAAGCCATACAAGAAGAGCAAGCCTGGCCTGGGGGGAAGGAGTTTATAGCAACGATGTCAGACTGCTGCAGAAGAAAAAAGACCGGCAGAAATGACATGTGGAATTGGCAGAAGATAGACAGAAGTCAGAAGGCAAAGAGAGAGTGTGTGAGAGAGAGAGAAAGGGCAGGGATGGAGCCGGTGTTCATGGGATATGTTTCACTCGCCCCGGCCTTTGCCTTAAGTCTACGGATCTATCTCTTCTCTTGCTTTCTTTTTGCCCTGCTTTTTTATCTTTACGCTCCCATTAGCTTGCTTCGCTGGGCTGACGAGGCTGGGCAGAGCTCGACGTCCAACCCGTGGAGTTCGCCACAAGATCGGGGCGTAAGTTGATCCGCACAGGGATGCATACAATACGACCTTAGTTTACTGACAGCATGGGCTCCCTGAGCAGCGACCGTTACCCTACATAGTATGCTCAGAAAGGAGATCGGGAGAGTATCACGATCAGGATGTCATAATTTTGATATGAAAGGTCACGGAGGACAGAGTACAGCAGACCGAACGACTATAAGTAGGAAGAGAAAAAGAAACGAGAGCAAAAAGAAAAAAAAAGAAACATGAAAAGATGTATCTCTGGGTCTGCGGCTAAATATTTTATCTATAGGAAACATCTTGCCATTTCTCCAACTTGACGCAAGTTTCCGTTCGTCTACTCGACCTCTCGTCTGATGAAGCAGACCGCCTCTCCTGGCCATCGTCTCGCTTCAGAAGAAGCTTTCTGTTCCTGACCCGCCAGACTATCGTGGCTGGCCACAATGTCGGGTTCTTAAAACGAGCTGTTTCGGACCTGTCAGTTCTTGGGTCTGGGGAAAAAAAGGGAGATGAGATGGAACTCATAATGTGATATTATACAGTACGCCACTTGGCCTATTATGACAAATACCTCCTTCGGCGGCTACGCCTTGTGTTATCTGCAGCTTCTCAAGAGTCGACAGTCAACCTACCAAGAGAACAAGGCGCCGAAACTATCGATGCTCAAAAAATATCCAGCCTATGGAGTAACTAGCGATCAGGCCTTTTCGATAGGTAAAATAAATCAACAGATTAGCTCACTTATACCGATCACACGGCAGTGTCGTCTCCATAGCTCCCAGGATGCAGGAACGGTCGATTACATGCCTGCCATGACGCCACAGAATACCAGTTCATCGTCTATGTACGTCTTCGAAGGCGACCTCCATACACATCGAGATACACCAACCTACCTACACTTCCATCCCCGATACAGTCGATATCTTTGGCCTTAGGGCGCTCCAAATCCCATCTTTTTTCTCGGTTCGCCATTATAAAAATCCCACACGCTCTATTCCCAACCAAAGTCATTACCGGAATCTTCATCCGAGTCCGAGTTTGACGGGCCTCGCTTTGGGTTGTACATAAACGACCCAGCCTTTCCGGCCGCCCGCTCGAACCTGTGGATACGCATTGCCTTGCCTACTTGGCCGCTTGGAACCCTTCGGCAACGGTACATGACGCTCGTCATCTACTTGTCCATCCTGGCTTTATAAAGTATGTCGAACTTGTCTCAATCATTGTGACGGCAATGACTTGGAATATAGAACTTTGCCATGCTGGCTACAAGGATTCCTTACCATGTCATACTTCTAGCTATCTATATATACACTCAATCCATCTCTAAAAGGAATTCACCCCTGGATGATTTTTGAATTCCATGCTGTATGGTAGATGGATCTACAGCTTTGATGCCGCGTGAAAGATGTAGGTAAGTCGTAAGTCTAGCAGGTTAACCAAGAGCAAGATAACTACCCGAAAGGCAAATAAGGAGACCTAGACATCCGCAAAGATCCAGGTGAAATGCGAAGTCGTGGATACTGGGAAACAGTGTCGGATATTCTCCATATCCTCGGAATTTAGGTGCCGGTCTACCTCCGTGGAAGCCTACCTAGGTAGCTAATGAACAGCGTTGATGCAAAATATGATTAAATATAAAAATAAAGAGCGGATAATACCTCTTCACTAAGATAAAGTACAAAGCTCCGTAGATAGGTAGAGGAGCACTCTGAGCTTGGTTCCTCCTCAATATACTCTTCATGCCTGGAAAAGGATTCCTTGAATTGCTCTCGATGCTTTTATATCCATGAAAAGTAACCACTGGCAGTGTAAACTTCAGGTTTTGGAGGGAATTCCCATGGTAGGCATATAGAGTAGACAAAACCGACTTTGGGACATTAAACGATACAATTCGAAGTCAACAAATACCTTTTATGAACGATTCTACGGGTCTGGCAATAATATCCTTGTCAGTTGGGCTTCTGGTTCATATTTCAAATGAGATGTTAGGTACGAGACCAGTAAAGCGTTCTATGAATTCTCGAGAGCTATCGGTTACCAGGACGAGGTGCTGAAGTCTTCCAATTGGCACACTTGGGCCCTGGCCAGACGAAGGATAGATGGTAACCACAGCCTTCTCAAGGTAGGAGTCTCGCTCGAATCCAAGGTCAGAGAAGGCTGGCCATGCATCAAATCGTTGAGCCCAGGCTCTGGATGGATGTGCTCTTTTCAATTGCATGTGCCACCTTATGGCCTTGATGTCTTCCACCGAAGCGCAGCGAGAGGACCTTGGAAGGGCTTGCTATGCATTCCCCATGGAAACCCGGAGCTCTTGATCCGTTATTGCCGTTAACTGGGAGGAGTTGCTCTAACCACTGGGACCGCGAGGAGTTTGGCCCTGGTCTATAGCTCGGAATGCTATCAATAATGAACGTTTTGAAGGCAGGGATGCATACATACCCAAGGCATCCATGCATACTCCGTGTAAGCCCATAAACAAGAAGCGAAGAAAAAAAAAAAAGATCTCAGATCTCTTATTGAAAACTGCCTTACCTATTCTAAATCACACAGGGGCACAAAGTCGAGGAATATCATGGACATAAGATGGATTTAAAGGGTACAAATCAAGCACTGTCGAGGAAGAAGAAGGGAAAAGGCATTAAAAAGGGTTCTCGATCCTTTTTATGGAATGGAAGGGAAGTAAAGTAGTGTAAGTTGAAGGGACTTGCAAGATTGTACAAATGAATCAAAATGGGGAGAGAGAGACATGGCATTAAAAAAAGAGAAGAAAAAAGGGTCAAAAAAATTATCGAGACCACCCCTGATGTTGCGCCGTGAAGAAATGAAGAAAAGAAGCAAAACGAACCCATTAATCAACAAGTCAGACCAAAGCGGGTATCAGATCCATCAAGTACTTCAGACAAGCATGGAACTAGTAGGAAGATATCAGAGAAGACGTATCTCCCTTTCCCTCCTCTTATTCCCTTATCATAAGTAAAACGAAAAAAAACCAGCAAACTAAACCAAACACACAATGTAAGTGAGGCATTTTTTTGGTAGGCGGGTAGATAGTGTATGGTTAGAGTAGAATGAGGTAATTTGATGGTGCGATTCCTGTTTCGCCGGTGGACTTCTTCGCCTGCCACCATCGGCCGCTGACGTCAGACACCTCCAGGATCTCATGTTTGGTGAAACTGATCTCGTTCGCATCGTCTGGGTTGGCTTCGTACGAATAGATCGCCTTTGCACGGTAAGGGTACTCTGTTGGCTGGCCAATCTCAGCCGTGTCGCCGCCTACCGTGCTCGCGTTCGTCTGCAGGCCGACCATGGGCTGGATACCTGTTGAGCTGGCGGTCGTGGCGTTGTAGCCGGCCATGGGCGAGGATTCGAAGCCGCTCAATGGGGCGGATGAGTAGAGGTGTGGCTGGTGAGCGGATGAGACTGTGGTTTCGGGACGAGGAGTGTAGCTGTGTGAGATTGGCTTGCTGCTTCGGTAGCTTGGCTGTTCCTTGTGAGGGGCGAAGGAGTCGATGTAGGTTCTTGGCCGCGACTGAGGGGTTGAGCCAAAGTAGAAGATCCAGACGATCTATCAAGTTGTTAGCAGGGCAATGGCACACCTTACTTTCAGCGTGAGACTGGGACGTACGTCTGTCATGGCAAGGAGGATAAGACCGGCACCGCCAGATTGTCTGGCGCCTTCTTTGCTAGTGACCAGTCCGTCAATGGTGAAGGTGGTGCAGACCAGGCCAGCAGCAGCGTATCCAACAATCTACAACCGTCAGTATGTCGATCAATACTTTTTAGGATAATGGAGAGAACCTACCGCGGTGCTGTAGACGTGACCGGTATTCGACCCCATCACAGCCGTAATTCCAACCACGATACAGAACTGGTACGCAACAGACCACCAGAAGAAGTTTGGAATGGCTTCTTTGGTCTGGGCGATGATGCAGGACACAACGGTAATAATCCAGGCAAGCTATCGAAAAGTACGTCAGCCATCATTTCCATTCAGCCCAAAGGTAGCTCAATAAATAAAAAAACAGGGAAGAGACGTACTATCGCTATCGAAACGGTCGCCAACGCAAACGGGTCGCCAACCAAGTTGCTCATCTGAAAGCGCGCCATTGTATCGTACCGGTTGCAGAGAGGTCAAGGTAGCGCCAGACACAGCTCTATGACACAGCAAAATCGACTGGATATGAGACCATCCAAGATCGCATACAGCGGAAGCCGTAGCAAGTGGATGTAGATGTATATAATTCTGTGCGTGCACGCCGTACGGTCCCTTTTACCAGAGCGAGGCTTGGTAGTGTTCCTGCGGGCGCTGGTTGCGTGGTGAAGTGTTGGACGTGGCCGCAGCAGTCTCAGCCGGTTCAAGAGCCAGAGATCAAGATCGAAGTCGACTGCTCAACGAGTGAATTGGTTGTATATCTGGTGTAGATGGATAGATTGTATATGTATGTAGATCTTCCCGGCACGGCTAGGAGGGCGAAAGTAGTCGTCAGCACCTGGCTGGTAAGACGGAGAATAAAAGAGGGGGAAGACGGACAGACAGAGGTTGCCAGAACGAACGCAAGTGATAATAAAAGCGAGAGTGAAGGCGCCGAAGAGAGAAGAAGAAGCGGAAGAAGAAGAAGACGAACGGCGAGACGAAGAAGACGAAGATGAAGATAGAAAAAAGCGACTTTCAGGAGGAGAAAAAGAGAGAGAAAAAGAAAAAAAAAATCTTACTTAAGCAAATAACATCAACGCTTTTTTAATTTTTTTATTAATAGCATAAAATATAACATGAATATATTAAGATGAATAAAGTAGAGATTGATAGATTGAAATTCATATTGAATTAAACCGTCTCCTTCGGCTGTTTCTGTCCTACGCCACTTTCTGTCCTCCTCGTCTCGTATGTGGTGAGTCTTTGTTTCGCGCGCCCGCCAAGTTGGGCCCTGAACTAGCCCTGCAGCAGGAAGAAGAAGAGGCTCGATGGCTTGCTGGCCGGTGGAGTTGGGGCAGTTTCAGGCCAGCGCGCTGGACGATCGATGACCAGCCGGCGGGTGTCATGTTTTAGGACGATGAACAAGTTCTGGCTCCGTCCGCCAATCGATCGCAGGGGCTCGCTGGCTTCTGAGGAAGAAAGATGGCCAGGCCAACCCCTGAAGCATGTGGGAGGAAACATCGGAAGAGGGAAAAGTTGGACGGAGAGATGGGATCCATGTTTGCCGCTGGCGTCGACTGGCTCCACGAGTTCTGTCGTGCGTCCTCCGTGTTTCACCTTGCTTTAGTGACGGCAGTGTTGAAGGCCGTTTGAAGGCCGTTTGATGGCGATGGTTTGATTGTTGAATGTTTGAGATGCTGGAAAGAATGGTCTCTTGACGCTGTGTCTGTGTGCATTCTTCAAACATAAAAAGTCCCTGGTTCCTTGTCCGGAAGCATACCGCTTATTCAACCGTCTATCCATGGACGGGAAGGCCGGGGGGGGACGGGGGGGGGAGTACACAACAAGTCATCCCGGGTAAACAGCTACTACTCCCTCTCTCTCGCCCTCTCCTCCCGCCTCACTCCCCTCTCGACCATCTTCAGACGCTCCTCCCACTCCCCCCAGACCTCTCCGCCCCCGACTACTCCAACCTCTATCCAACGCTTCATCAACAGTGAGCTCTGGATCCTTAGCTCAGCGACCTCTTCTGCCTGGCGTCTCTGCGTCTCCAGACACCGGTCCAGTCGTGGCTGGAGCTCGACCAGGGCCGTCGACGCGCTGGCCGGCGGGACAGGGAGGTCCTGTAGCGAGCTAAGTCGGGATGCGGTCTCGGGAAAAGCAGTGGCGTACGAGAGCACTATGGACGCCAGGGTGCTTGGTGTCAGTGTCGCGGGCGGTGTGTGTGTAGGCACAGACTGGAACAGGTCGGGGAACCGGGAGTCTACACCTTTGGTTAGATATTGACTATAACAAGTAGAGATGACGATGCGTACATAGCTTCAGCACGTCCTGGACGGCTGGTACTCGCGCAGAGAGGCGTTTGAGGCCATGTTCCAGCTCAGCTAGGCGGGCAGAGACCGTATCTCGAACCGAAGCTGGAGGCTCAGAGAGCTGCTCTGGCTCGCTGGCCCAGTTCGTCTGGCCTGTAAGCAGGAATTCGACGCGTCGCAGGCGAGTCTCCAGCAGCTCGATGGTGTCTGCGGCCGTGTTGATCGTGTATTCCGTCTCCATCTTGAACGCTCTAATTACTTTGTCGAGTGTTTGATGTTTTTTGTTTTCATCTTACTTGAAGCTGCTTTTTTTTTTTTTTGAAGCCACAAGTTAAAGCCGAACCTTAACCTAATTAGGCAATCTATAGATCTACAGTAAAAGATATTAAGCAGTAGAAGTAGAAGTAGGGTCTATGATTATTAACAACTACAGAAGTAATAGACATTATGCCGCTGGAGCTGGTCTAGTCTCTACGTCGATATGCATGTGGTCCTCGTCACTCTCCTCCTTGATCTGGTCCATCGATCCAGCCTGTACGCCAGCACCAGCTCGCTGTCGAGGGGCTGTCGGCGGAGGGACGATACCGACACTATGCTGCCCTGCGCGTTCCTGCATCTCTTGACCTTTGAACTCTTGTTCCTCGCCGTCACCTGGCGCCGCTGGTTGGGCGGGACCGGGCTCTTCCATAAGAACGTCGCCCTGCTCAGTAGCAGAGTAGGCAGCGTCCGCCTTTCCCTCAGCATTCGCCTTCTCTTCAAGTTCGGCTGTGAACTCTGCAAGTTCTTGCTCGAACAGTTCGTTGTCTTTGTCTATGAAATTCTGTAGCACCAGTTAGCGTCGACAACCAATTCTGGACGGGAGTCATGGCTGATACTTACCTTCAATGGCTCAGGGAGATCCCCAGCCTCGAAGTTCATGGCCTCTTCGTTGGCATATACTAGAAGAATATTGGAAGACTCTTCCTTTGCAGCACGAAGCACTTCAATCTCCCGCACCGGACGTGCCGTGTACCCAATGATATCCACGTTATTAGCCACAGTAGCTCGAGATACTACCACTTTGCCATCTGTCTGAGCAGATGTAGACAACTCTGCTTGAGTAGTCGGTTTCAGAGTCGCAGACCCAGAGCTAACTTTTGCATCATCGACTGAAAAGCTGACTCGCCACCACTGCCATCCATCTGACACTGGTGTATCGGGAGCATCATCCGTCATCAGGCCCATGTCTGGCTTTCGGGGCTTCAATACGTAGAAGATATGTGGCTCCGTGCACACGCCGCGGAGAGTATACTTGTGCCTTGGTGACTCCTCTGCAGAGGAAGCCTGGCCAGTAAAACAATTGGAAAGCTGCCGCAGACTCTCAATAGCCTGTGTCTTTCTTTCCTCCAGTTCTAAGATATTATCGCATATCAATACTCTATACACCCTTTGGATAGCCGGAGTTGAACATACCTTTTATCTTATGGGTAATCTGCTCTGTCAATTTTTTCAACTGGTCAACAAGACTAGCTACGTCTTCTTCCGTGGTTGGGGAAGAGCCCTCAGCCTGGTATGGGCCATTCAACGCAACCTGTGAACCAGCAACGACATTCTCCACGATTGTATCAATCGACACACTACCCTTTTTGGCTAGGAATCGATCAACCATCGCTCCCAGCCTCTCCAGCTCAATGTCAACGACAATACGGCGTTTTCTAAGCTCTGCAGCAAACTCTTTGCAGTGTTTCATGTACCGATCAGGGTACCAAACAGCGGGAATCTTCAAGTCTACACGGCTGCCGCCGTTATTGGTTATGCGCATTGTGAAAACTGGCGCAATTTCCTCTAGCCATACGTCGTCAAGGTCTTTGCCGGGCATATCACACCATATATGTCCATCCAGGAGATCGTATAGCGTCCGCCCCGAAGTCCTATCGATGGTAAGGTCCAGCAATGAGAATGGCTCATTTACACATTCGTCCTCTGAAACAGACTGTTTAACACCTCTCGAGTAAAATGTTTTCTGCGGCAGCTCTCCATTTTCAGGGGGTGATATATCTTCCCATATTTTGAAAAAGCTGGCTATTCGGTCTTCGGGTCTCCAACATTTTAGAGGAACTAGGCCAGACAGTACATCTGCACTTCCAAAAGCTCGTTTGGAGCCGTCTAATAAAGCCATTAACCGCTGTGTTTCATGGACAGCCTCTTCGAGCGGTGTCTCTGCCTGCTCTATTGCGTTCAAGGTAGGCTGCCCATTCCACCACTGGCTGTCATTACCATAGTCTGGTATCACCCTATCCCTCCAAAGAAGTTCCTCCCTGGCTATGGGGATTGAGTGGAGAATAGTTAAAAAGGAAGGAAAATGATCCGCCTCCGCACCAGGCCGGAGAAAGACAGGCGTATCGTCTATCCTCTTTCGAAGTTCTGGATCCGGGTCGATGGATATTTCCCTAGAGGTAGAATTGTGTAGTGTCAATGCCCATAATTGTGTGTCATAGTGATCCCTATTTGCAGGACCAAACTTCGCTTCCTCGGTGGTGACCACACCCGATTCCTGGTCTCCGATGGGCAAATTATGTCCAAGTGACGCGGCCATCGCATGCTGCATCTCGTGCTCTTCACGTTGTGCCAACGTGAAGCCATCGGTATTGATACTGTCCGCTGTTCCCACCCTGTGTAAGCGCAAAGCCACGGCAACAAGACAAGTAATAGAAGCTCACAATAACCTGGGGTTCCCAACATATTCGCTGTCTGAGTCGTAGACTCTACGCTTTTCTTCTCACGGATTCCGACTCGCGAGGGCGGGCGAGATGGCGCTCCATAACCGGTAATATCTATACAGTCGATATCAAACGATCCTCGAACAAGTCAGAAAAAATATGGACTCTAGTTGGGGGCGAATAAGTGTCCATTATAGCTTTGATCGCTGGTCAAGGTCGGTACATGCTTACTATGAGACACTGAGCCTTGGTAGTCGCGAGAACCGGTGTTCGTTATAATTTCCTGGACCTGTTGATGTCAGACAACGTGCTCTGGTGCGCGAGTTCAAGAGCTTGAGAAACGGGTATCTGCTCACTGGTAGTAAAGGATCGTCAGGATTCTCAAAGTAGGCATTGATAGCTCTGTTAGAGTCGCCGTTATTATGCTGTGATGCGTAGAAGAGAGCTGTTAGCAGGCCGTATATCGAGCTGGGGGGGGCCAATGATGGAGGGGATCTTGCTGTTGAGCTAGACAAACCTGGAGAAAGGCAACTGCCCGTTCCTTTGAGGCGCTCGTGAACGAGACGAAGGCTTCAATCGCCTCGTCAGATATCTCCGGTACCATGTTCTGTCTCGCAGACTGTTTGCTCGTTTGTGATGGTGAGCTGTTGAAGTTGATGGAGTTCAAAAACAGACAAAACCCCAAGTTTATAGATCGCTAAGTCACGGGGAAGCCTGCATTCGTCATCTTCAACTCGCAACCTCAACTATGATGATGCGTTATTATTCTATGATTTATTATTATCAAAATAGATGATACGTCCAAGGAAACACTACTCTTCTGGCTCTGATGGCTATCAATAGCTGCTTAGAGTGGTCTATATCAAGCAGATATCCACTTGTATCCAGTCATGGCTTCATCCTACTATGCAGCTAGACAGCCTCATCTCTGCTACTTCTCGTCCGTAGCAGACATTATCTAGCTAAGATGCTAAAGTTTCAATTGAAGAAACAGTCAAGTCTACTACCCTTTGTCATTCATCCTTGGATGTAGTGTTAGCTGGATATTTCTAGCGAACAACTCTCCAAGGCTTTCACATGAGACTTTGTGGCAATTATTATCACATTTTACAACAAGACTCTAACCAACGACTTTTACTAGGGCGTTTCAGTTTATTAAATCCTAGGTTAGAGGCAAGGTGTCAGAACTACCAGCCAAAGACGGCCGGGAGACGCCGAATATTCTCCGCCTTCGATGAAAAGAGTGTTTGAAGATACGCCTATACTGTCGTCAAAATCAGGAGGCCGACGGCGGGTTGTGGGATTTGTGTTGACAGAGGCCGGCTCTCCAAGAGGAAGATGATCAACGACCAGCCTGAAGATACTGTGATCTCACTAGCCTTGGGCTTTCTCGACGATTGATGTGCTGTACAGTGAATGTAGCCCCTTCATGCACAACCTCGAGTCCTTATGCACCCTTTCCTAGATTTGCGTCCACCATGAAGGAGGCCTGGGAAAGGCCAGTACCTTGGAAGATTTCGAGGAATGGAGGCAGATGGAAACTTGTTCGTGTGCGGAAGGCAGAGTGATTTTCTTATCAACAACTTCTTCACCCATACAGAACTAAGGACCCAATCTATGGAATATTATACTGCAATAACCAACAGAGGAATACATTACATCTCATATATTTTATAGCCTTTAATTGTCCCAAGGTAAAGAGCAGAGACTTTTCGGCTATCGGCAGTGATCGCCGAATTTTCCCCTTAGCTAGGCTCGACTTAAATATTGGGTCTTCCAGGGACTCCCCGCAAGTATTTTCGGGTATAAATCTAGGTCATTCCCTTACATAGTATATGGGGTAGAAGATATTGACTTCTATATCTATATTCATTCCTTTCTGTTAGTGTTCTGCGTGAACGTGGAATTCATTCTTTCTTGGGTTGAATTGTTCCTTGCATAAGTTATTATTTCAATATTCCCAGCGGTTATGCGGGGAACAGCGATTTCACGGCAGCTCTCCAGACGCATCGCAAGCCTACCAACGGCAAGGTGGAAGTATCGAAGCTTAGCTGGAGTGTTGCAGTGTCGCAAGGCGTCCGGTCTGAGCTATGCTCGAGGACCGTCTGAGGTCGGTGGTCTTGAAATCTTTCGTTTTCTTCTGATTCACGAGCTGCCAGCTAACAAGTCTGGCGCAGCCTCCATTATTCGAGCAGACGGTCGGCGACTATTTTGCGAACACAGTGAAGAAATATGGAGATAGAACTGCGTTAGTCTTCCACTAGGCGTCGTCGTCTGGTATAACTTGTTTGGCAAGGGAGTGATCTAACATTTTGGAACCGGATAGTGTTATCTCGAGACATCAGGGCCAGCGAGTCACTTATGAAGAACTGGATAGGAAGAGCAACTCCCTGGCCCGTGGACTGGTATCTACCGGCGTCAAAAAGGGTGACAGAGTAGCCGTGTCGTTGGGAAATGGGATGGAATATGCGATTGTGAGGGATACGGTAAATGAATCACGAAGGCTTCAAGCTGACCATATCTTTTGATAGACAACATATGCGCTGTTTAAACTAGGAGCAGTCTTGGTAGGTATACTGTCTCTTAATCTTTTATAGACATCGAGACAGCTAATTGATTGCCGTGGCTAGGTTCCTCTAAATCCATCCTTCAACTTCAACCAGGTCGTGTCCGCCCTCAGCCATCTAGATGCCTCTCATTTGATTATCAGTACGGAAGTGAACCTACCTCGACGGGACCCTCAATCGAACATCCCTTTACTTCAGCAGATTGTCCCAGATCTCCAGTCCGTTAAGTTTGAATCTCCCGTCAGCTCTCTCAAACAGATCATACTGGTCCGGAACGATGACGGAAGAGTTGATACGTCCGACTTGAAATGCATTACGCCGTATACTTCGATATATACCGAACTCTCGCAGGATATGAAGCCTTTGGCCGACCAGGGACTCTCTCCTACCGATATTGTGAACATCCAATTCACATCTGGGACGACATCAATGCCCAAGGCCGCCTGTTTGAGCCATCGATCGATCCTGAACAATGGAGTGCAGATTGGCGACCGAATGCTGCTCACGCATAAGGATATTGTATGTTGTCCTCCGCCGCTCTTCCACTGCTTTGGCTGCGTGCTAGGGTTCATGGCCACAGCCACTCACGGATCAGCCATTGTATTCCCTGCTGAATCTTTCAACGCGATTGCAACGTTGAAAGCAGTGCAGGAAGAGAAGTGCACAGCACTATACGGCGTACCGACGATGTTCATTGAGGAGCTTGACCTCATTGCAGACGGTGTAGTACCTTACGAGGGATTCGAACATCTACGCACAGGCATTGCGGCTGGTAGCAGCGTACCGTCAGAACTAATGAAAAAACTACACAAGACACTTAACCTGACAGAGCTTACGATATGCTACGGTATGACAGAGACGAGTCCGGTCTCCACGATGACTGCAACCGACGACCCGATCGAAAAGCGGCTGAACACCGTAGGTAAGTTACTGCCACATGTCGAAGCGAAGGTGGTCAATCCCCAGGACTATAGCAAAACACTCCCCCTGGGCGAGAGAGGCGAGTTGGCTGTCAGCGGATATCATGTCATGAAGGGGTACTGGGGTGCACCCGAAAAAACCGCTGCTGTCATGGTGCCAGACTCGGAAGGAAAAGTTTGGATGCATGTGAGCAGTCCCTCTTCAGCTCGATCCTTTTTTTTGGGTATTCATGGCTTTTCTAACGTTTTGTCCACAAGACCGGTGATGAAGCATCGATGTCTGCCGACGGCTATATTACAATAACTGGACGTATCAAGGAT